CCGATTGGATCGCTGCCCTTATATTTTAGTCGATGTTGTTTTTAGGAAATAAATCAACAAATTTACAATAATAGCCCAAATGTAAAAGAAAAAACAGATTTATTGTGAGATAAAACAAATATTTCTGCATTTGATTGGACAGGACTGTTTGGGACTGCCCGACAGCACAGGTTGTGGTTTTATTAGAACAATTACACAGGATGAAGTTTTATCAGGATGATTTGCCTGACCGGTAGACACACTACAGCTGTTGGCCAAGAGACATTTCTCAGGTAACCAGTAGATAATGCTGATTATCGATTGGTAAATGACTAATTCTTCCAAAACATGATAAACCAATTATTCAGAGCTGTGCCTTTGCTCATACATGTGTTTCAGGTGAGGTCCTTTAAAAAGTGGAATACCAGTGAACTGAAGTGTTTGGTTTCATTTGTTTTTACCTGCAGTTTGTATGTTTTGGTGTTGCATCATTTTTCAATTTTAAATTAAAACCTAAAATGTACCTGCAGCACATCACTGAGCTCCTCCTGCTCTTCTGAACCTCTCCCAGGCTGCAGGTCGGCAGGAGGAGGACCAGATACTTTGATGTCTGACATCCCGGTAGACTGAGCCGCGAGTGTTTCAGCTGATTCGGCCATCCCCGGCTGCCTTTCTGACAGAATTATACTTTTTGGTTTGTGTTTTGTATTCACCAAATGTAGAAGAAATGATGAGATTGTTTTTGTATTAATTATAATTTGTAATTGTTGAAATCACATTAAAACTGTGTGGCTTCATTCTCTGTACTGCACACTGAGCCAAACCTGCCTGCTGTTCACTGAAGTCTGGCACACACCAAAAGATTTTGACAACCCGAGCCGATTCATAAACGCCAGAGACCCCAAACATAATGACAGATAATGACAGATTTAACAGTTTTAGTGCTGTGATGTGTGCAGCAATGCAAGAAACACAACACACATGAAGACTCCTCACCTGCAGCCGGGATCTCAACTCTCACACCTGGAAATCTCGTCGTGTCTCTTGTGAGACGTGACTTTGGAGTACTCACGTCTCACAGGCGATGAGAGCTAACTGTTGCGAGCTTCATGGTACTTCCACTGAAGACGTCAAATCTCTCTAAAGCCTCTCCTGGTCATTTTAATTTTGGTGTGTTTTAACAAACATGTTGAACAATTGTGTTGTCAGCATGTATCAGCGAGTTTTGTTTGATATGACTGCGAGCTGGGTGGCTCCAACCGTCTTTGGTGCAGAACAGAGGTAGAGTGCTCACTCCTAACACACCTCAAGATAACCTGACAAGATAATCCTGAGAATCATCTGATCATCGGGCTCTTGCTGACTTTTGTCAAACAGAGGAACTCAGAGACAAAACCGGCACTATTATCTCGTAATGTGTGCCCTGCTTGAGCTGAAAGAAAGTGCATGAAGCTGAAATATCACGTACCCGCCTAGGCCAATGTGAACTCATCCCTGCTCCAAGTCATTTATTGAAATTCCCATGATGATTCCATCAGTCACCAACATAAGAGATGAGCTGGAGATATTGGTGAAGTTTGAGAAAGCCTACCATGAGTGCAGTTTCCTGTGTTTTACTAAAACCTGGTTCACTCAGACTCCAGTGTGGATCTACCTGGCTTTACTCTCATAAGGTCAGACAGAGATGCTGAAGCTAGTGGCGAGAAGAAAGGAGGAGGTCTGGCTTTCTTTGTCAACCAGAGATGGTGTAACTCTTCACACATAACTGTCAAGGAGAAGTTGTCTTGTCCAGATATTGAACTGTTGGCAGTTGCTCTTCCAAGAGAATTCAGTCAGATCATAAAGTAGTTGTTTTCATCCCACCCAAATCAAATGAAGAAATTCTGTGTGATGTTTTGCAAAATAGTGTTGCCAGGCTACAGACTCAACACCCGGAGTCACTAATAATAATATCAGGAGACTTCAACCATGTCACCCTCTCCTCTCACCTGACTGTGAACTGTCCTACCGGAGAAGACAAGACCCTGGATCTGCTGTATGCCAACGTCAAAGAAGCCTACAGAGCCACTGCCTTACCACCACTGGGCAAGTCCGATCATAACTTGGTCTATCGGCAAACCTGTTACAGACCTTGTGTGCTGAGGCACCTCAAGCCAGTGAAGCTCTAGGGGACTGAGTCTACTCATCTGGATTTACAGTGTACTATTGTACTTGGACATCTTTACTTTTGACCCAAAAACCCACTTTGAAGGCAAACGTGAAGAAGTGTCTCAGGATGAAAAGCTGTAACTAGGCAGAATGTGTTTTTACCACCACTAATGGATTGAATAGAATATCTTATGACTAAGAACTGGGCTGACTTATGAACTCAGAGCCTCACCAAAGATGATACATGAGAATACAGCCCAGTCATAATCACAGAGACGGAGAACTGCAGATAGAAAAGGGGCTTAGTCATCTGTAGGTGGCAGAAATCAAACTCATAATCTTTAATACTATTGATTTCTTTTGTGAGAGTTCCCCATAAACAGGATGGCAAACTGCTGCTTCACTTTTTCATCATTTGATTGGAAAATAAACCTCCATGATAAATTTCTATCACAGAGAGCACCTACATCCTTCCTAAACTGCAGTTACTGACCATGAGGTCGGCCAAAGAGTATCGGCAGGATATGTAACAGCAAGGTCAGATTATTAAAGCCACAATAAGCGTTGTGCATATTCTCTGACTGAATCAGTGATATTGATGCGCCGCTGGCCTACAAAACAAACAGCCCAGGTTCTCCTCGCTCTCTCTCTCTCCTTTTCCTGCTCTGTCTGTGGCTCAGTTCTGTCTAACAAAGAGTTTAAAATCAAAAGAAAGAAAAACTTTTCTCATTGATTATCACACATCATTAAATCTAAGGCGTACACCTGCTGCATATCACTGATCAATAAACTGTCTACATGGATGAAATACAAGTCAAAGTCATTTTTAATCCCTATCAGTGTTTATGAAACAGGAGTCGCATTCAACAGCTGCAAACTGACGGATAAACTTACACTCAGCAGTATCCCATGGCAACAGCTGCCATCTTTATCCTTCAGTACTTTTCAGGAACAGAGTATGCCAGGGTGTGTTACAGTCGAGCAACAATAAAACAAACAACCAAGAGATCCATAAACGCCTTTGCACAACGAGTCTGTCTCTTCATCTGCAACTGTTGTAGGTCTAAACAGAAATACTGTCTTGTGTTGTGTTGTGTTGTGTTGTGTTGTGTTGTGTTGTGTTAATCCTGTCTGCACAATGACTCTTTCTTTGTTGCCACATGATGTTCTGTTTGTTGTATTTGCTTAATGCGCCCCTTCATGTGCTATAAGTGGGTGGCACATTTTAGATTAGTGCCTTGTTTCCATTTGTGCATGTACAAGGAAATCCATTCCTTCTTATGTGAATCTTTGGGATACTCAATGTCCCATAATTCCATCTGCCTTGAATATAATGAAAATTGAATTCTGGGGTGTATTTTGGAGGACTGCTGAGCTCGGTGGCTGCTAACGGGCTGACAGTCTGTTGATCGTCAGGTGTGTTTGCATAATTAAAATAAAGTGGAAAATGAAGCACGAAAGACTCGTTACCATTCAGGGATTTTACTCACTTTACTGAGATGCTAATGTTGATTATTTAGTTAATTATTAACAATTAAAAACGTTTTTATCAAGTCCTAACAAATCATCAAAATGTGTTATGCTACTCCGTAAAACATGGTATACTTTCAAATAAACTCAGATATTGCTTGCCTCTCTTTCATGGCTACAGGCTGATTCAATGTTTCTATCCTTCCATAAGGAGATGCACTTAATTTTCACATCTTCAAATACACATGGGAGTGACCTGGAGGACGCTGCAGTTCCTTCATCAGAGAGTGAAACTGTCCTTGCTCTTTTTCAGGAATAGATGGACTCAGTTTATTCTGTTCTTCTCTAAAGGACTGAAAGACCTCGCCCTCACTGCTGGACAGCTCAGGTTTTTTGTTTTTAATGATTATTATTTCAACACTGCCAAATTCAAAACAAAAACACATATGCATCAGACTATTTCTGTTTTCCTTTCATCAGGTTACAGATCTGTAGAAACTCCTCTGAAAAAACCTGAACTCAGTGTGCGAAGACTTTACCCAGCAGTCTCTACATTGTGCCCACCATAATGATCCATTTGCCAGTCTCCCCTTGTGAACCATATAGGACTCATTCTCACAGACCCTGAGTGAACTGTCAGAAGTATGCAGCTCTGCATGTGCAGTGAAAGCTTTGCGAACTGGTTGTTCGGATCCCAGTAGCCAGCCTCCATCCTCACTGCGGCTCGTTTCACACAGCTGGAGGACGACTTTTACAGCCCCCAGCTGTTAGCTCAACCACAATGCACAGCTTCCCTTTTCACTACTGAAAGCCGAGACACAGTTTCTAGTCCCTATTGATTATGTAGTCTGGTCCAGTCTGATATCCCTCTATAATTTTCTTCGTCCCTGTTCTTTGGTTCTTTTTCTATTTTGGTTATAAGTATGGCACAGATAGCAATAACAAAAAACTGATACAGGTCTCTCTCGCTCTCTCTCTATGTACATATATATATACATGATTGATTGTGAACACTTTTTCTTCTGATCTCAAATTGAAAACATCAGAGTTGAAATTTAAAAAAAAAGTTGCTGAACACAAATAAAGTTTTTTATGATTGATTTATTAAAAAAAAACAATCTAATGAAACAGCATCACTTTAGACTATTACATGTTAAAAAAACAAAACAGAACAACAAAAAAACATTTAATATCTGTTATATCTACAGAGGCTGTGAAACATGAGGGATCATGGTGTTAAATATATTCATATTTACAGCAGATAAGATCATGACACAGTTCATAAAATATATAATTCTTAAATGTTTTTACAATATCACATCTGATTTTTGAATATTCTGATTCTGATTCTTATTATTTATTCAAAAACAAATTTAGACCAAAATCTGAAAACAAAGAGGATAGGATTTGGGGTGAAGATCAACCTACGGGAAACATGAATCTTATTAAACAATAAAAAACAAGTTATTGATATATTGGTCGAAGATCTTCCACAGACACATATACTGAAGTTTTTAAGACGTTTCATAAAAATTCATTTACACAGAAAAAAAGACCAAAGCCAAATCAAACTGCATTTAAAACAGCAAATGTTTCAATCATATACATCTTTATATATTTCTATAGTTTATCAATATACCGTACATTTGATGAATGGTAAAAAAAAAAAACCTCTGTTATGACAAATGAGCCACATGATAATATTTAAAGAGGAAAAACACCAACAGAAAGGTTTTTAAAACGCCGACAGGTGCAAATACAGAGTTCTGGGTTCAGTTGTCATATTTGTGCCTCTTAATTCTTTTGGACAGAGTTAAAGCACCGCTCTTAATAAGGTCATCAATTCTGGATGAACACGTGTGGTAATCAATGACAGAATAAGAAACATTTGCTCCAGGGATAACAAGAACACAGATGTTTTTCAGAAGAAGTAAGTCTCTTGGGCAAATGTCTAATTAAAGTGGAATAGGGGTTAAGAAAAGATTCAGCTGTAGTGTAAAACCAATACAGAGAAAAAGTCTCTCCCTCCCCTGATGCTATTATTCCAGACTCTGCTGGGAGGCATTCGCAGAGGTAATTAACTTCACTGACATGTTGTGAATTCTCGCCTCCCCGGCTCAATGCTGGATGTGCAGATAGACTGATTGAAAAACTCCCATTTGGCTTTCACTCTTTAAATTATCCACGTCCCACCATATTTCTGCGGTTATATTGCTGATAATCGCACTAATTTTACACTTGGCAGGAGATAATACTCGCAGCTTTTCTTCAGCATCAAGCGCTAATTGCCAGCCTCATTCTCTCTGCTGTAAAAAAACAAAACACCTGCAGTTGTCCACTTGAAGATGGAAACAGTGGAAATAATTATGTCTGCGAGGTTAAATGAAAATAAGTGCTTTCAGGAGACTGAAACACAACATGGAAATGTTAGGGGACCGCAGCTATTATATGTGGAATTCAGGTGTCTTCACCACTGTTACCCTCAATATGTCAACGTACTTCACAGCAATGCTTGGAATTAAGATCCTTTATATCCCTGAAACTATCGATGATTGTTTTTACATCCAATCACTGTCATGTTTTCTTAAACAGCACAAATCCTTTTGTTTGAAGAGATGAAACCTGCATGTTTTTAGCTTTTCTGCTGCTGCATAATCTTCCAATTTCATTATTGACGAGTCAAGTCACTAAATTCTTTCCCCAATAGACTCCAGAAGTGGAGATGGTCCTCTCGTATGTGAGCTCTGGCCTCCAGGTAAAGCGTTAAAATTGAGTCAGACTGATATATCGCCCTAACACCATCGTGTGTTCAGCCGTTTTTACTCTGTTTTTTTCACTCCCACGTTAACCTCGTTTGTTGCAACAGGAAGTGTAGTGAAATAATTGCTCTGCAAGTATAAGAGGAAACAACACAAGTGAGTGACACTGGATTGAAGCTCATTATAATCCCATCAGTTTGGTGTTTTCTGTTCTCTCCTCTGCAGATTTACGCTGACAAACATCTGATATCTGGTTAATATCTGCTGCTGTTTTGCATTAAAAGTATCAACTAGTGCTCGGCTGCTTATTGTTATGAGGACGATTTCAAATGGGACGTATTTTGGATGATAGTAATGCTGACTGAGATTGTCTGTTAAAATATAAGTACATTCATTCATAACAATTTTCAAAAAATGATTTTTTTTTATAAAAGTACAAGAATCAGGACGGAGAAGTACTCGTGCTGCACAGAATTAGATTAGCGACGGCCTGATGAAAAATTTATCTGCAGAACAAGCTCAGTTTGTTTGGCTGACTGAAAATAGACCTAACAAATGGGTTTCTACAGCCTGTTACAGCAGCTCTTTATAAACTCTGTCTTCATTTGGAGTGCACTAAACAAAACACAAAAACCAGCAGGTATAAAACCTCAAGTCTGTCTTTGCTGAATTCTGCCATCGGGCTGCAGTTCATATTAACTAGCAGAGCAATATGTCCCATTCAGGAAACATATGGAGTATCGCCCAATTTAACCAATTACAGAAAGTGCTTTTCCAAGTGTGTGTTGGACTGTTGCCTCTGTGTCCAGCTCTGAACGTGTTGGTGACCCCATTAAATGACTGACAGCAGCAACAAGGAAGGATGTAAAATATAACAAAGCATTCTGATGTTTTAATGACCAGGGCAGTACAACATTCAATAATTATCTGCTGTTTGTAATAAGTGCCTTCGTTAACTGCCTGTTCAGTTCTTCTGCACCAGTGTGATCTGAAACCATGACTTAGAGGACACAGCTTCACAGTAAGATGATAGATCAGTTTTCTTAGATTCATCTTAAATATCTATATTCATGTAGAGTTTGTATCAAATATTGGAATCCTATGAGACGTTTCATGTATTTTTGGGTTATTACAGATAACTGGACAGACATCCAGAAGTCTCTTGAGACTTTGTTTTAAGCCGGTTATAATAACATGTTCATTCATTTGTTATTAAAAGGAAATTGCTGTGTTCAACAACATGATATATTGGGCTTATACATCAGCCATTTCTTGACCACGTTAAAGAGCTTATGAATAATATGCAAGAGAGAGTTCCAACCTGGTTGTTCTTTCTTTTATACGGGTCTTAAATGAGTTTCCTCCAACTGTGAAGACACAAAAGGCGGCGATTATGCATTTACTTCCTTTATTCCTTCCTTCCTAGATTATACTTATATTATAAAGCTTCAGATTGAACTATAAAGAAGCCCGACCGCTGGTGAAGTGAATACAAAGCTGAAAAAAACTCACACCACAGAGGAGAAATGAAGAACAAAAGTGTTACCTGTCGGTGTGACTTGTTGTTTTCTCGTGTAGATGCTATGAGTGTTCCCCTCACAGATCAGCTGTTGAAGTACCTACCTACTCTGGCTGCACTCGCTCACTCTCATTACTGTTTCTTTGTTTGCTCTGAACGGTGTCAAAACTCTGCTTGGCAGCCACAGAGAGAAATCTGTGTTTGTCCCGCCCCGTAATCTCTGATGTCAAAGTAATATGAAAGTGTAAATAAAAGGAGTTGCAGAGGATTAAAACAGATGACTCTGACATTACGTCCTGTCTGCTGCTGCTGCAGTGCTAATACCATTAGTTTAATTGGAAGCTTGTTCACGTGTAAGACGAGAGTTTTATCAGTCAGTGAAGTCAGCAGCCCACTCAGAGTCAAAGAGCAAACTGAAGCTGCAGATCTGAAAACCATCTCAGATACAGGATATGAACAGAGCAGAGGAAGAGCTCCAGCAAAGACCTTCAAAATAAAATGCTGTTCATACATGATACTTTTTTTTGCCCTTTTTTCTCCTTATTAAAAATTCTCTGATTAGACTTATTTAAAGGAACGCTCAACCTGCCAACTCTGGGAAAGGTCAAATAGTGCCAATAGAGCAGAACAGATCGACTGTTTGACATCATTTTTATTTACAAGAAACTTCACAAATATTTGCAAAGTTTTTATTTATTTGAAGCCATTTTTGTCTATGTGTGTGAAGGACCAGATAGCAAACAGTGTTTGTCCAGGGGGCGCTGAAATTGACACAAACTAAATAAAGCCCTGTTTTTATTTATTTTTGCTGAATTATCAGAATAGTTCCTCTCAGTGTTTTTCAAAACCTTCTCTCGGATTTCAACGATAATTTTCTCAGTTAGTTAAAAAAAAGAGAAAAATGAAATATGCTCGTGAAAATCACATCACACAATAAAAGCAAAAAAATAAAAGTACCACAAAGTCAATTCTGGTTGATTCTGTTACAAGTGTTTACTGCTGAGACGTTCATAGTAAAGCTGTTTTATCCCTCTCACATGTGCATTACAGAAAGTCGACATTATTATTGTTGTTGTTGTTGTTTCTGCTCAATAGAGGGAAGATTCTCCTTCCCACAGTCCGACCCAAACCTGCTTTGAACAATGAGTGTGGTCTGGACCTGCTCTTCTGGAGAGTGTCTGAGGAAAAAGACTGTTGTGATCAGGTGCTATGTAGATAAAAATTGATTGATTGATTGATTGATTGATTGATTGATTGATTGATTGATTGATTGATTGATTGACATGAAAATCATGGTAATACCGACAGCGACCAACCAAAGTTGATTTATACTAACTCTGTGAAAGTTTGCAAAATGTTATCTGACATCTCAAGTTACACACTAATTTATGCGAGACTTAAACTGCCGAGATAATGAGCGCGACTTGCTTCTACTTTTCAATTTGGATTTGACATTTAATTTCATAACACCTTGATTGGTTTGTGGCTTCAAGAGTCACTTGGTGGCATTTTCAAATATTTATTTTACTACTTAATGGACATTTTACAGAAGTGCTTACTCTAAAGCTGATCCCCCGAAGTACATACCACAACTGAAAAGAGCAGCAGAACTAAGACCAGCGCTGTGTGTCTTTTGAGGACAGATTTTGTTTGTGTGTGTGTGTGTGTGTGTGTGTGTGTGTGTGTGTGTGTGTGTGTGTGTGTGTGTGTGTGTGTGTTCCTCTCCTCTGATGGAGTTTGTCCCTTTTATCAAACAGCCGATGGTGTGCTCAGTAAACCTTTTCACTACTGGTGGATTTCATGACTGAATCCTGAAACATATTCCCTGTCTAATTCCCTTGTTGAGCTTTTAGCCATAAATGTCAAAAACAGCATGTGTTTCTTTTAAATATCTCATATAATGGGGAAAAATAATATTTTTGTGTACATTTGTCTTGTTTGATGTATGGGAATCCCCATGTTTGAACTCGATTTGAAGACGTAGGCAAAAAAGAAAAGAAAACACGAATGCTGACTACAAATCCCCAAAGCAGCACATTGGTTTTGATCATTCATGGACCTGAAGTACAATATGTGAACAGCAGAAAATGAAAATGTTGGTCAGAAGTGAAACATTGATTTGCAGTAAACGCAGCCTCTATGAGTGAATTTCAATTATAGGATGGATACCCCACAATGCTCCAGCACACTGTGGAGCTCTGAGTTAATTATTTGGTTGACTAATGTGAAGGCCTAAAGCTACAGCAGAAAGCAAAAACCTAATTTTCCCTTTTCTACCGTTGTTCACTAAGAAACGAGAGCACAAGGAATTAGTGTGATTCTCTCTGGAGGCGCAGGCAGCAGCAGCAGCAGCAGCAGCAGCAGCAGCAGCGGCGTGTTGGTGCTTTAAAACAGGAAACCCCCTGATCTCTGACACAGAATCAATGATTTGAGTTTGTTGACTTTTCTAGTTTAGACATGCAGGGACTCACTCAGGAGGAGGAGCACACGTGTTCGAGTGAGGTGGGCCATCTTTGTTCGGGTACATGTGAAACTCCGGTTTTCCTTTTTGGTCTTTTTTAAAGCAGCTGTGAGGATACTTGGGTTTGTGTCAATTTTGGCTCCCATGTCGACAAAGTGAAAGCAGTTACCTCTCCTCCTGCACAAGTTTTTTTTGTTCTTGTTGTTGTTTTCACTCACTGTGTATCATAGTCATGGAGAAAAGTAATGCTTCAGTGTGCTGTCAGTTATCTGGTCTGACGCCGACCCTCATTAAAAGTAACATAAAACAGTCAGTCAGCCTTTTTACTGATGAAGAGGCATCAGTATTAACTTCAGTGTGTCTCAGCTGATTTAAAAACTCCTCATTGTGCCTTTAATGTGCTTCTTTTAGAGATTTAGAGAATCAGGGTGTTTACCACCTCAGAGTTATTAACATTCAAGTTGGGTGTAGCTTTCTGTCTCTGTTTAGTCAGGCCATAAAATCACAGTGTGACACGGCTCATTGAATTTATTGCTTGAGGTGCAATTTGACTGAGGGAATTTACTTAACCACATAACTAGCCCCAACCTTGACAAAATAATAAGGTTGCAATAATAATAATATTATGCTATCAATCAAAACCAAGCATGAGCCATAGTCACAGTGGTAGGACGGCCGGTTTTTGAATGTCTGTACTGTGGGTATATGACACCTTTACTAGTTGCATGTAGACGTAAACCTGAGAGGTGGTGCTAGCTCTGCTAATGTTAGCCACACACAGTTAATCTGCAGACTCAGTTGTCCTGTGTTAAGCCATTTTGAATGACAAGTGTTAAATCTGAAGGGGTGCATGTTGTGTGCATATTTTACTGAGGAATTTGAATGTAAATGATGTGTCCTCCTAAAAAAACTGATTTCTGCTGAGTCCTCCAATAAATATACTTAAAAAACAAACCTCTTTTAGTGCATTTTATCTCACAGTTTTAACATAAGTCCTCTTTGGACAAAAGACAACTACTGCATTAAACAGTTGGACTGTAATTCTAAAAACAGGTTAAATTTCTCTGTGTTACTGTCTGCAGATGACAGACCCTTCTGGTACCCCTAATCAGCACCTACATTGACTTCAGAGCGTCCGCGTGAATAAGTGTGTGAGCACAAAAGCAGGAAAAAACTGTCACCATCCAGTTAATTGACTCCTGCGACGTTAAAGCCAAACTGAGAGCAAAATCTGTTCTGTGTCTATAAATGAATAAACAAGGACAAACCATACAGCTGAGCTGACCTTAGTCCATTACCAAACTAATCACAGATTTGCTTTGCTGAACAATGAGACAGCCTGAGGAGATAAAGAAAGGCTTTTATCCTAATGGGGGAGTTTTTAGATTCAAAAATTCATGATTTTATGAAGAGGAAAAAGAAGGTAATGACCCCTGTTGGGAAATAACACTTTAAAAAGGGTGTTGAGCCAAAGCAGAACAGAGTAAGTGTAGCAGGAGATTCTATTTATCTTCCTTATATTGGCATTTCATAAACACCCCTTTTGTTGAACAGGAGGGTGATTGATGATATCTAAAAACTTCATCGTCCCCAGCTTTATGCACTCACTCCATGATGACTGAGATCGCTTTGTCCCTTGTGTGGCCAGTGAGTCATCCCTGGATGATGAATGCTTTGCAAAGTACACACAAAGAATGTGGCAGAACCATCAGCACACCGAAATGCTTTGATATCGACAGATTGGACGCAGAAGAAAAAGTCCCCCAAAAAATTCAAGAGCTGATTGTGATCTGACAAAAAGTATAAAAGACTTTTAAGCTCTGCACAAGGCTAAAGGTGATTTGGAATCTTATTTTTTCTTTAACTCTTGACTATTGTCTGGTGGAAAAAGCATCTTTGCAAGTGATGTTTAACAAAGACACAAAGAAGCGTAGCCTTCAGAAGAAAGCTGGTCTGTTCTTTGGCCTTTTGTTGGACTTAAATAAGGAAAAATGATTGATCAGACAAAAACTCACTTTTTTTTGCCACATGCACTTTTAGTCGCCTTGTGATGCGAGTCAATAAGTAAAAGGACACACTAGGTGAGAGGAGCCAAAGGCGAGTGCTGTCAGAACAGCACGGTGTCTAGTTCTGGCTCAGCAGAGCAGCTGCTTTGATGCCCTGGGAGCAGAGGGAGATGAGTGTAGTTTTTCAGTGCCTTAGTGGAGCTTTGCATGCTGGGAATGCTGCAGGATCGACAAGGTTTCAGAGGATTCAATGAAGGAAGCAGGCCTGTGGGTGGAAAAACACAACGTTGTGAAATCTCAGGGTTTTGGTATTTTAATGCAGAAATTGTTTTCCTGTTACGTCTGTAGCCTCTTCATTGTGTTGTTTCCTCTCTAAACCCCAACTAACACACACACACACACACACACATACACACACACACACACACACACACACAAAAACCTCAGTCTGAGGGTTTTGCATAAATGAAAAAAAGTCCTTGTTCTCCAAACCATCTCCTGAAACTCTGGTGGATAATATGTCCTCAAAAACTCTCACTCTCATGTGAAATGCAATAAAAGAACAACCATTGATACGTAAGTAAAGCTTATAATCAGACCACCCCTATTCACCGTTATGATCTGCCCATGTAAAGGGTTGTTTCCCCTCCAACGTGTGGATGTTGGATCGTCAAAGTTCTTCACAATCTAAAAACTCAGATTCTGACTCATAGGCACTAGAGATTTCAGGTTTCGGGGGACGCTTTTACAAACTCTCTTGATCTGTTTCTAAAAACAAAATGAAACAAGCAGAAACTTCTGATCTTCAAAAAAAGACAGTTTAAAAGTGCTGAAAACTGCAGTTCCTACAGTGTCCACTGGAGGCCAGTTGTACAAGTCAAAGACTCCCTATTGAGCCCAACGTTTGGATCCCAAATTCAGAAGAAAAAACAGTTTTAGGTACGTAGTTCATTTGTTTGTTAACACCACACAGGGCAAAACTTTCTCTTTGATTCCTAATATGATATCAATTGTAATAGTGTGAATAAATATAATTGAGGAAATTAATAAAACCATTTGCTTTCAAAGGAGCTCAGCTGAGTTGATGGACAGGTTGGTGTACTATAGGTTTATTTTCAGGAAGTTAAAAGCCAGCCTTTGCTCCACCACTTGGTCTGTTTTCAGGTTGATTGACAGTTCGGCTGACACAGCATTTTCAATGTGACGCCTGTCCATCAGATGGCTTTAAATTACTGTACCAGGTGTCAAAGAGACCACTTCCATGTTTTCTGTGTTGGAAAAATTACATTTAGGGTATTAACATGAAATTGTGACTGATCCTGACTGATTCTACATGTTTTTATTGATATTGTCATAAATTTTATTGCTTATTGATGTGTGTTTTATTGTTATTGCTTAACTCTGTACAGCGTCTTTGTGTTTTTGAAAAGCGCTTTATAAATAAAATGAATTATTATTATTATTATTATTATTATTATTATTATTATTATTATTATTATTATTATTATTATTATCCTGTTTATCATGTTTGCAATCGAACCCCTCTCAGCTAAAACGGTAAGTGCCCAAAGGTCTTTCGTCGTCGACCCATCCTACGAGTTAACATTTGTTTGCAGCTTGCTAGATGACTAACATTCTCAACAGTCCAGTATCTTTCACAAAAACTAACCAAACTATGAAACCATCTTTATCAGTGAATAAGTCCAAGGCCTCCTCTCCACTTTCTGAGTCAAAAAGCTCTGAATACTCAAGGCCATATCCAAGACTAAGTCATCAGTACTCAAGCCCAAGTTGAGTCACGAGTCCTAAAGAATCAGGACTCCAGTCAGACCGGAGTCTAAGTCCTGGACATGAGTACGACAACACTACCAGTCTAATGTTGTAACTGACTTTTGGAGTTTCTCACAGAGAGAACAAACCAATTTTTTCCACCTTTATTAAACTAACCAAAACATCTCAAAGCAGCTAAGACTATCTTCTGTCCTCCCATCACCCCAATAAATGTTTTCCCTGTTTCTAACATCCATGCTTTAGTGTCTCTGTATTATTTGGCATCGGTTGATTCTAAACACACAAGTCTTCTCAGTTTTCTGCATATTGTTAGTGAAAAATGAAAAACCCTTACCATCCCGGTCTCCAGGCTGTGAGCAGAAATCAGCAGCATCCCACTCATAATTCTCATCAACTGAGGCCTTTCTCCTGGAGAGGTCACAACGCAGCACTTAGTCTCAAAAACAGTTTGAATACATAATGCCGACATGTATACACTTCTCAGTGTCAACAATGATAAAAGTGCTCAGAATAAACCATCCAGTCCAAAAGAGGCTCTTCTCACAGAGGCTTTAACATGCTGAATATAATACTGCGGTCATATTTGTTTATTCTAATAGTCTATTGACATGATATTTTGCTTTGAGGGATTTCATGTGAGAAGTACATGTTTATCTACAATTCAAAGTAATCCTGATATTTGTGAAACATCTGCTGCTTTAAACGGGTTTACCCATGTTTGCTGAGCTTCTCAAACAGATTAATTGCTTTGTATACTGTGCAAAATTGCTCACAATGTATTTCTACAGTATTGATGAGCAATTGGATTCAGTTTCTTCAAAGAATACAGCACTGAGTAAAATATCCACTGTTTGAACCAAAATCTCTCCCCTACCTTTGGCTTTGTTCCACCTCCAGAATGTGTTTGTCCTCTGTGCTGCCCTGGCTCTCCTCTACAGTCTCAGGTGAGCCGCTGAGAGTTGGGGAAAGTTGACTCAGGGATAAACGTCCATTAGCTGGCTCCATACTTCCCCGACCGCTGCTGGCATAGCTGCTGTAGTTGCTCCCCGACTCTGGCACGCCGTCAAAGCCTCCGGTCTCGAGTTCAAGTGCCTCTTGGTCGTTGTTGTCCAGTGGAAGGTGCGCAGAGGCATGTTTCAGGACCTCTAAAGGACCCCTAGCCTGTTTAATGGTTTCCTGATAGGGGGCTGTCCATTTGGTAGCTTCAGGAAAGATGGACGCCTCTCTCCTTGGCTCATGGTTACAAGGCACATTGAGATTTGAACTGGGCCTCGGAGATCGAGCATCCTCAGCAGGAGGTAAACGGGAGGCAGATTGGGTAGCAGAAGGAAAACTTGCAGGAGATTTGGAGGTCCTCTTGGCTGGAGAGCTCAAGGGTTCCAAAAATACAGAGTGTGGAGGGGAGGAAGAAGCAACAGAGCAGTTCTCCTGGCTTAGAGACTCTATCCATGCATCAGGGGTCAAGAAATCACTTTCTTTCCTTCTTCTTCTTGAGTCAAGGCTGCGACTTCGCCTCTTGGAGTCCCAAATCTTCGGACCGGGGGTCACATTTTGACAAAGGCTTGGCCCCAGAGGTTGGGGTGAACCGGGAGCGCTACTGGGAGCGGGGCTAAGGCGTTTTAAGCTTGAATTCCTACTCATGTCTTCAAAGCGCCCTCTGGGGGAGAGTGAGTGCCCCTGTTGCACATGAGAGGCAATCCTCTGGTGAAGCATAGGCTTCATCGGTTCCATTATGCATGCGTCTAACTCTGGCTCATCTACACTCATCTCAATGCACACGTGTTCATGAGTGGGCTCTTGGAATACCTCCACTTCTGAGGAGCCTGGCACTGCGTCGAGATTTGAATTAAATCTTCCTGTGAAATTATTGCTATGGAAGGACAACGTTGAGAGACTGCCACGACTAAGATTGTTCTGTGTCTGTGCCGCAGAGAATGAATCATATGTTTGCGTTTCTAATTGGGTTGATTGTGGTGAATTATCATAGCCCTCTGGTGCTGCCTGTACCCTTTCATGTCCCTGGTGCTTTGAGGACAGATGTGGGAGGGTTAATTGGTCCTTGGGAAGGCTGCCCACATCCCCAAATTGAGGGGCGGTCTGTTGGGTGAATGTTGGGGCAGGAAAGTGGTTGTTAGACTGAAAACAAGAGGAACTGGGAGGTGAAGACGGATTGGAATTGGTTCCAGTAGGAATCAGAGTGGAAGGCAAAACATCCCAGTTCACAGATGACAAAGAGAAAGGGCTCTGAGGCAAACCAAAGCTCTCCTTTCTGCCTTCAGGTAATCTGTGGGGTAACGTGCTGCTCTTATATTTCCACACATGATCATAAGCATCAGCGTCTCTCCTCTCCTCCTGCTCCCTCCTGAATTCTCTCAAAGAGCTCCTCTCCAGTGTGTACCTCCGGAGCTCCATTTCCAGCCTCTCCCTCTCTTGGGCCAGTTTCAGGCAGTGACTAAGGTTCCCCCTCTCCCGTTCATGCTCCATTTGGAGAACAAGAGCGCTGGCGGTCGTAGATGGCTGACCGATGCTGGATCGAATATGTGGGAGCACTGGAAATGTCGGAGTGAACACTCTGGCTTGCTGAGGAAGCGTTGCCAAGCTACTGTTGGAGCACATGCTGCCGAGCTCAGGAAAGCCATCGTAGCTTGACTTCTGATCCAAGTTATAGAGGCCATGATGAGAGAGAGGCCTGGCCATGCCACATATTTGGCTCGTTGTATTAGACGCTGCTGGTTTGCAAGGCGGGAGATCAACGGAGAGGACAAACGGAGGCTCATTCCTGTCCTCCCTCTTAGCGTGCAGTGACACAGATCTTTTGACTCTTGCTGGTTGGCCGTATCTCTCGTTTTCCTTGCTGTTTACACTCAGCATGTCATATTCTGGGAGCACAAATCGCCCATCAGGACCTCTTGAGATCAACTCAATCGAAGAAGAGGTTGGGACGGAAGTTGTCCTCATGAGGCGACCTCTGCTGTAGTTGGACAGGAGGTGCTTCCGTCGTTGATAATTCTCAGAGCTAAAGGAGGAACAGTCGGTCTGCGAGGAGGAGGTGGTTGTGGTGGTAGAGGAAGTGGTGGGATAGAGGATGCTGGCTCCGAGTAAGCTTTTCTTTAACACACTGTCTGGACTGCCGGTGCTTGAAGTCTTACTGCGAGTGTGTGTGAGGGAGAGAGAGGGAGAGAGAGAGCGGGGGAGGAGGGGGAGAAAGAAGAAAATTGTAAGAAAAACCGGAGGTGTAAGAGGGAGTGAAAATATGACCAAGAAAATAAGATTGAGTAAGAGTAAAAGTGGGGGCGGGAAGATTGCAGACAGAAAGAGACCAAAAACAGCGTCGGCAGCAATAGATGAAGATGAGGCAGAGGATGAGGATACGTGATCGAAAATAACCACAATGTTGGCATTTTCAGTGTATTCCAGTTAGTGTGGAAAGCAGCGGTAAAGGTCAATGAGAGGGACATTAGCTGAAATGATAGAGGGGTACTTACACTGATGGGGAGCGTTTATAGATGGCAGGAGGGGGCTCTGAAACAAAGGGGAGAGGGGCAAGATGGTATCTGACTCATTAGGATACAACCACTGACCAAGAAGTAAAATCATAATCAACTCTAATAAGACGCCATTTAAGGGCCCGAGGCGACCAGCCTTGTCCAAAAAGTTAATTACACTTACATTTATCAGCCACTAATGAGAAATTACCCTAATTAGCAAGTAATGTAAATGACATCAATAACTTTTACAACTGAACGGACGGACATGGCTACAAGAGGAGCGCCAGATCCATGCAGTGGGCTTTGATTTATATAATGGATGGAGAGTGCCTTCAATATTTTATTGAATAAATGATGATATTCATGATGCAGTTCATCAAAGTGAGTGTCTGCTGCTGTGTCTCTGGAGTGAGGGGCGTTTTACCATCCTTCTTCCTGCGACGCACGTCCCTCTTGTAGCTAATGATACAGGCAGACCCCAGCAGCAAGACCAGCGCCAGGCACATGAACCCCAGCCCTCCCAGCAGGCCGGCTAATAATGGTTCAGGGACGAACTCCAGGAGGCGAGATGAGGCGGGGTAAATCTCCATCCCTGTGAGATTATTTCAGAGGGAAATCATGTTGTTAATGATAATCACAGTTTTAACAAAGGGTATAAAAACAACAGCTGAACTGAAGAAGCAGGAAAAGAGTTGATCTAAAGTACATTAACATTAGTATATTAGTATACAGTCAACATTTATTTCTAAATGAGAGTGGGTCCTCCTTCATGGAGGCCACCGTGTTTCTAATGCTGAATGGACAAACTAGACATGTGCAGTGTTAAGGTCCTTTCACACCAGGACTGTTTTTGTCGTGCGATTATTTCGGACATCATTTTTTTTTTTTCGAGCCCGTATCCTGTCAATACAAGCGTTCACATCAGCGACGTTTCTCGTCCTGCGATATTGCAGCATTCATTTTTTCGGGTCATGGTGGATTTTTCTTAAGTTTTGCAGACTGTGTGTCCACTGCTGACCAATCAGATTTCATGTTGTTGCAAAGTCATATTCACTGGTATATCCAACATGGCCGACCAGCTGATTGTTTACGTGTCGGAGAACAGAGTGATTTTTGATAAAAAACACAAATGTTACAAAGATAACGACCTGAAGGACGACTTGTGGAGAGTCATAGTGTCGGATTTCTCATATGACGATGATTTGTGTGCTTTAACAGTTTAATAAACGTCTTTGTTTTAACTTTCATCTGTGCTAACATAAGCTAGCGGCTGTTACCATAGTTTCATGTGCTTATCTGGTACTGACCCCGACTCAGTACATGCTATCATGACAGAAAGTCATCTCAACACTAGTGTCTAATCAGAACTGTGTCGGCCCCGGTGTGTACGGACCTTTAGTGATTGATTGTGTGAAATGCACTGATTGAAAGGCAAAAAGGACACTAAGAGTGGTCGATGTGTGTTACAATCTTTGTATTAAAAGACTTTTCAGATGGTAAAAAATATAGGATCACACTGATGACATAACACCATCGGGAGACGTAAGGGGAGCTTCTTGTCCTTTCAGCAACAGAAGAGGTGAGAAACAGAGCATTTCAATCCGTCTGTACATCGCTTAATATTAATAATATATATTTTTAACAATATGTCCTTGAAGCAGGTTGCCAACATATTTCCTCCCGTCGCTCTCTCTCCGCTCTAGTTTCCTACCCCGTCTACTGTCTTCTCAATAATAAAAATCCAGAGAATTAACCCCTAAAGGCCTTTATTTATGATCAATAATGCAGCTTATCCAGTCATCAGCTGCTAATCTCTATTATAAACACATTTCAAACTGCTAACACAAATGAATGTAACTCATCCACAGCACCACTAGAGAAACTCATAAACATAATATCAGATTGCTAAGAGATTTTGAATAAGCGGTTTGAAGTGGACCTAATCCCCAACCAGCGTCCCTGATGATCATTTTCAGTGGATCATAAACTTGATTGTTTTGCATAATTTACTCAGTCAGACATTTAATGTGATGTTATCAGCTGAGCTATATTGTACAAAACACAATCCTCCATTTAGGGTTAAAGATCCATCCGTTTGAAGTATCTGTACCATATCTAATGAAAGATTCATATCCCATTTACATCAGAATCAAGAGAGACTGATACAAATTCTATCACTAACTTTGGTGTGAAGTTATTAGTGGAGCTATTTCTATCACTCAGACTTCTAATGGACAGTGTTCCCCTGGGCTCTGCTCTAATTTCAGTCTGACGCTGAGAGTGAGAAGGAATAGAGAAAGAAAAGAGTTGGGGAAAAAAAACAAAAAAGAGATGGAGGAGGACGGGTTGTAACAGAGAGTGGGGTGAGAATGCAAAAGGGGGCGAGGTTGTTCTCGAAACACCTACCCACAGTGGAGACATTGACTGATGGACTGGGCTCGCTCAGCAACTCCCCGCGTCGAGATAGCAGCCGCAACTCGTACACACAGTCCTGGGACAAGCATCCACACACACACACAAACACACACAGCGGGGAGGACAGAGGATGAAACCACACTTTGTCAACACGGGACTGTGCCCGCAATGCTAATGAAGTTGATTTGAATTTGTGTAGGCCTATACAGGAGAGCAGACGAAGGATGGGGAAGACAGGGCAGAGCACACAGATTGAAAGACGGAAGAAAAGTCATGTGGTGTGCATAATTGAGAGTCTGCAAAAGTAAAATCACTGAGGTGCAGCCTAGATAAAAATCTCTAAGGCATTCAACAAGCGGTGTGGACTGATTAGTCTCAGAGGGAGCAGTGTGACTCGCTTGTTACCTTGTGCAGACCTGGAACGACTATCACGCTACTGTTGGCACTGATGTCCTCATCCAAATTAAACCACTCCCCTTGTTCGGTGCGGGACTGGAGAACAAAGCCTGTGATAGGCGGATTCTGAGCCTCGGAAAGGGACCAGTGCAGTAAGACACCTGCTGAGCCCTGATCAGCTGACAGTGACACAGGGGGCTTCGGTTTACTTCTCCTCAGCGGAGGATCTGTATTAGAGGGAATAGAAAAGACCTTGAGTCGATCCACTAGACACACTCTAGCGGAAAAATTAAATTACAGCGCAGGAAATTGCAACTGCCACGGATGTTCAACCTTGAGAGTATGAGGGGAAAGTTTAGCAGTTCTTACTGCTGCCGACTACAAAAGCATACAACACCAGTCTATAGGAGTGAGTGTGCTGTGTAAAAGGTTGATAAAGCAGATTTTAAGTCACCACAACAAAAAACAATTAAACGCTGGAACTGGAAAGTGTGACTGTTTCATGTAAGATATATGAAACATTTTAAATATGATGATGGGAACATGTTTCAGAAAAGTTCACAGAAAAGTTGTGAAATACAAAAAAGAAAAGAAAAAAAGCTTGAAGGAACATCTTTCAATCAATTACATTTATTTGCAATAGGTTAGTCACAAGACTATGAAATGTTAGAGAGACTTAGATTAGATGGACTGGGACAAAGTGGAAATCTTTCCTGCAGTCTGATGACACAACATTTGACATTCTCCTTGGAAATCCTGGACACTGCAGAGAGGAGGGACCAGCAGGCTTGTTATCAGCACCCTGTTCATGAGCAAGTATCCCTGGTGGTGAAGGGGTGCAAAATGCCTTTACTCGTTTACTTCTCTGGAGAGGTAAAACTGAAGCTGTTTTTTTTTTAATCGGAGTTTCTCACCATGAAAATTAACAGGATTAGTCAATGACTTTTCCGTCACTCTGCTTCAAACACAGACCGATGGCAAAAACAAAATCTACAGGCCCACTTCTTATCCAGTTGCAGGTTGTATCTTCAAAGATGTTTCTGTAATCTCTCTGAGATGTCTCCAGGATGACTACCCACCGCTGTAAACGATAAGATGTTTCCGGGGGCAACATCACATTAAATCCGCATCTCTTCCAAAGACTGAGTCATCCGCCGACCTGGCCTGCTGTAGGCTAGAGCAAACCGCTTGACTTACATAAAAACACTGTACTGGACTAGCCAAGAAGAGGAGGAGAGGAGCGGCACGATGTGTGAAAACAACATCTGAGTGTTGAGTTTGCAAATATAAATATCTGATGAATCCAACTACATGAATATGAATGAATACAACTAAAAGTAAGTAAAGATGCACCTAGCTAAACCTCACATTAGCAACACTGATGCAAACAGCTAGCATGCATACCACCTCCGATATGTGTGCACAACCTCTGCTAATGAGTCCATAAAGTTGAGGCTTGAGCCGTTTCTAGGGACACATTTATTATCTAAATGTAAACTGCGACTGATCCATAACTTCATTTAAATAGCATTTGACCCTTTTTGTTTCTATTCAGTAGTAGTAGTTAAGGTTAGAGGGTGAATGGTAAAATAGAAAGGAGGCATTCATAGTTTTTTATAACTTCTGAGGGATTCTCTCTGCCTTTAGGTTTGAAAACACTCAAAATCCGTCATAATTTACAGCTGCTGAACAGATGAAAACAGTCTGCTCAGATCTCAGTGATCGACTACCTTTGTCTGTGTTTGGAGTCGTGTGGGACCAGTCGATCAGGTACTGTACAGAGACCTAAAGTATTGATCAGATATCTGAGGTGAGGAGTAAAACCTGATCGGGTTAATAAAGTGATGATGCAGAATTTATGTCCTCACAGTCTCTGGCTGACAGACATCAGCATGTAGCTCACAATCCAACTCCACTGCAGCTGAATTTCACTTTGGCCTTTGGGAAAGTCGTTCATATCAACTGGAGCTAACTTTAATTAGCTCCAGTTGATATGATCTCAAAGCTGCCAGCATTTCCCTTTTCAAGATGTGACGGACAGAACCGGCTTACAATGAAAGCCTGCCAGCTGAATGTTTTTTTACGCTCTTCATTGATGAAAACAAAAAGAGCGAGGAGAGAAACAACCCGAGCAAAGAGGCTTGTTGAGTCTTCCTGCTCTGGTTTTCAGGTGGCTAAAATCTTAACCCCTAAAAATCTGCTAGTTTAGGCTGACTACCTTTCTCTGAACCCACTGACCAATCCTTCAGGACAGTCAAAGCATCCTTATGTAGAGACAACATCCAAGAGCGGATTTTTGCTGCACCTTCAGATGTCTAAATAGAGAGATTAATAAAAGCAAAGGAGTTGTCGGATGTAAGCTGATGGGGTCAGGGATTGTATCATGGCTTATGTGTTTAACCTCCTTTAGTCCCCACATGAACTGTCTGACTGCATATAGCAATGGTTCAATAAAACATTAGGTGGTAACCAGAATATTTCCAAGACCCAAACTGTGCTGCAGGATCTTAAAGGGGACCTGCCACCAAAATTTCATCCCCATTTTGATCATTTTTTCATAATCCTTGATGTCCCCTGATCATGTTTGCAACATAATTTTAGCTGAGAAGTTATTTGATGGTTTGTTTTAGTATGCTTAAAAAACCTTACAGGAAAACCAACTGGTTTTGGCTCATTAACATTTATGGTAATGAGCTTTGCTCTGATTGGATCGCTGCTGTGAAGCCTGCTGTGCTCTGATTGGCTCAGCAGTGGAGGTTCGGAGTTCGGTTCATCCATTGTTATTATGCTAATGCTAATAGCATATGCTAATGTGTGCTACAGTTAGGTGCCCAGATGTCTGTAATGATATTCGGGGATATTCGGTGCGGCGGCTGCGGCGGTGCAGGGGCTGTGTGATCATAGACAAAGTCTCGGTACTATTTAGTAGCAGCGCATGCCCCTTGTAATAAACCCGTAAGAACTGTTGTTCAGGACTGCTAACCTGTGCTTCCTACCTATTCGGCTACTGTAATAACCGTTGTTCGAGCCCACACGCAACATTTTCGCTCTCATTCATGAAACGCTTAAATCGGGGACATTTTCGGGGACAGTTTTTGCCGGGGACAGATCATCCAATACGGGGACTGTCCGCGGAAATCGGGGACGTCTGGTCACCTTATGCTAAAGGCTAAAAACGGCAGGTATTAAACCATATATTTTAGACCCCGAGTCCGAAGAGGAGGTGGAAGTTGAGGAAGAAGCCGGAGATCTCCAGCGGTGTTTTCTCATTCATTCTGCCCGGCTTTAAGTTCATTTTCCCGGCAGTGAACCGAAGGAAACACCGGTCGTTTGGAAGAGACCCATAGCGGATACAGCGGTAGCTGGGTCTCGCTCTGGCTGTGACTGAGTACGAGAACGAGAGAGTGGGCGCGGCTCACCGAGGACGCGCTCGTGAATAATAATGAGCAACGTCAACGCAACGTAACACCGACCTGCTTTTTCAATCGGCCTGGTTTACTCGTTCCTTTATTTTAAACCTTTACAGAATGCAAACGACTTAACGGTTTGTTTTCACATTTACAACATAAGACGAACATAATATGGCCCTTATCTGACACAAAAAACACACAAAATTATGGCAGGTCCCCTTTAAATAATAAATAATGTTACAATCCGATGTACAGCTGGCACCATGAACTTCTCTCCTTCTATTGGACTCCAAATATGTACAAGAAGACAAACAGATCACCTAAAAAATAAAGTTGAATCATGGTTTGATGATTAAATCCCAAATTAACAGGTATGTGTACATTCACACACCAGGCACAGCAGCATCACTTCATTACTTTAAAACTCAGAACACGCCGACAGTATCAGACAGACTCTGATGACATTCATCATGAGGTGGAGCACAAATGTGCATCTCTGTATTTGCCCATCTGACTATCTCACTAATGAGCCCTCGAAATATCAGGAAAGTGCCGCATCGCTGCTCTGAGGCGACGCATGCCCCCTCAAGATAACAACTCAGCACCTTTGCCTCTGACGCCTCATTTTAAGACTAACATGTCCATGGGCGCAAACCTGGGCACACATTCAGAGCGTATTTACACAACAAGGGTGCTAAGTGGTGAAGTGATGAATGCGCTGGATGGAAAATAACAGTGACACTTGCGCTGCATGCCAAGATGCTTTGTGCTGAGTGTATGACAGGCCCCTCGGCTCTTAGTAGACCCTAATTAGTAATCAATCGCCTGACTTTTTCCACCTTTTTCCCTTATTTGGCAGAAAGCCGCAATGTTTTTTTCCCCCATAAATAAGATCTTTTTGAGCAATACGTAACTTTAGGTTGAAGGTTTTGTTGATTTTTACCACTAGTTCAGGTATAAAAAGTGAAAAATCTGCAACAACAACCAAAACAGAGAAAAGCAGCCGATTAAAAAGGGATCGTGTTTGGTACTGACCCAGTGTCCTTGCAGTGACAATTTCACTGAAGGGTCCTGAGCCGTTTCTGTTCTGAGACAGGATGCTGAACTGGTAGTCGGTGGCGGGAGACAAGCCTGTCACCTTTAGCCTGGTTCCAGAGGAGGGGGGAACAGGCACCGAAAACCATTCCTGCTTCCCTTCATTACTGAGTCCTGAGATCTTTTTTACCCTGCAGAGAGAGAGAGAGAGAGAGAGAATAATTGAGAACAAAGGAGCGTCTGAAATTCTGTGAGTCTGGTTTTATGAAACATGACAGAAAAGTAGGTTTCATCAATCATTTATATTCATCAGCTGCAGATTTTGTGGCACTGATGGATTCCTGAAATTGCACAGAGTGCTTGCCACTCCAATTATGGGGATTTTCATGTTCGTATCAGAGCTGAGGTTTCTACACATCTATCTCATACAGAGCAAATTACTTGACCCCGGGCGAGGAAACCCGTACACTTATTCACCTATTCAAAACTGCAGGAGCTTTTGAAAATTATTAATGTCTGTCTGAACTTCAGGTTTTCATTCTTGAAGAAGGAGCCCTAACTGGACAGAAATCTTCTTTTATGAGAAAATGGGAAAAAAGACTTTCTATAAATCTCATTAATGAGAAGGAGGTAATTATGCACACTTGAGTGCAGAGTGAATTAACCGGAAATATGCTGCACAAGGAAAGCTGTTTTGTTTTAGTGCAATGTAAGAGCAAAGTACCTACATGGAGGTAGATTTTTCAGTCGTTCACAGTGAAATATCTGAGAATGAGTTTTCTAACTGTCAAACATCATTTCTCATTAAGAGGGCACTCAGCAGACGGCACATTCACTTAACTAGATTGATTTTCTATGCAAACATTTTACATCTTAATATAAAAAACAGCTCAGAAGGTCAAGTCAGCGGCTCACAGGAGACGACATGTAGAAGTAGTTTTGTCTGATGACTGGCAGATCTATTTGAAGATTTCTAATGTGACTTGTTTATTTCTACGCTGGTCTTTGATGCAGCGTTGACCCAGATCCCTCTCGAGGATTACGATAACTCATCTCATCTTCATCTGATGTAGTGCTCGCGGGTTACAATGTGATTAAGATGAGCATTAAGAGAAGCTCTGTGTTATCGTCACTTACATTCTTAGACACACACAAAAAAACAGACAAAAAATAAGTATGGTTTTCAAATACTTTGACTCAAGAGAACTGAAATGACCTCCTTTTAAAACCATAATGCAGAACACTGTGACACGGGTACGCAGGCTGTCTGCCCGCTGTGTTTTGAAGAGAGCAAACTCCAAACAGAATTGTTGAGTCATATCAGGCTGCAGCTTTTTTTTAATCTCTTTCACCCTGTTCATCCTTTTCTTTTCATAAAACAGAGACATATTTAAAACACGTAACCCTCCTGTGAACACAAGACCTTCATCTGTGATCTGTAAGCTGATACAGAAGCGCTGAGTCACCACAAACAGATGCATGACTCCGTATTTTGTTGGTCACCTCCCATTGTAGCCAGCATGGCCACTGTGATACACAGCTATGCTCTGCACCAGCATTTTTTATTGTAGCTGCCAAGAAGTGATAACACATAAATGAATTCCTCATCCTCAAGATCAATAGAGTAATACCAGCGCTGTCGATGGCTGCCATGGTTACAGCCCAAGAAGAAAGTGGGAGGCTTTACACCCACCAAACTGAAAATGTCTGTGCTGATCCTCCATCAAAGCCTGCCTCCCAGGATATGTTGGCCTGCTTCACCCCTGGAGAGACTGACAGAGAGGTAGCTGCATGGGGACTCGTTCCTGTGATGGAGGGAGAGGAGAAGAGTTGGTGGAAATCAGCCTGCACTTCAACCGCCTAAATCTGCTCAAGTTTAGAGGCCATCTCCAGATAGACCACATGTATCTGTTGGAGGTGGGACGGAGGCACAGGAATCTGTCCCGTACTGGGTTTAAACAGGTGTACAGAAAACAACGTTTATTTAAAACTTCTGCTCTGATCGAACAGGAACGTTTGTTCGTTCGGTGATGATTGCACTCACCAAGAACAAAGACCTGGGTACTGGCTTTCACAGAGGCGACTCGGTTAGCAGCAGTGCACTCCCACCATCCCTGATGGTCCTTTGAAAGAGGCTTCAGGAGCAAAGAGCCGTCAGACTCTACAGAGTAGGATATCCGGCGAGCCAAGTCGACCTACCGAGAGGTGAACAGAGATCATTCACAACAGGAAAACAACACCCTGCATCAGTCAGAATACAATGACTAAATCACTGATCTAAATCTTTGAGCCAGAGCCAGACCCTCCCATCAGGATGTTCAGGATCCCTTATTACTACCACCTCTTGGAAACTGGAAATCCAAGAATAAAGTTGCTGCTCGTGATTCACTGATATTGTTTTCAACAGCAGATATCAGCAAATAGAAGTTTAACAGTTTATCAGCTGACACTGACATCACATTTTACTTTTTTATTCTGAGTGAAATAAAACAGTTTTATGATAACGTCCACTAATTTCATGGATGTTAAAACTTCATAGACTGTACATGTTTATTTCAGCCGGAACCATGAACAGATAAGTTTTGAATAACTCCATGAAACAGAAAAATACAATGTTTGAAAGACCAGGTATATCCTGAATATTCTGTGTTTCCTTGTTCTAGTGACTGATAGATTTGATCTGTTGGAAAATGTCTTTTTGTGAGGAGATATTAACACTAATGAGGCTGCCTACAGTATCTGTAGACGTACTGTACTTTAGTCATCTTTATCATCAGCATCAAGAGCTCATTTGAAATAATTACCAATGCAGATCATTTCTAGTTTCAAAGTTATAACTTTGGCATTTTAGGTCAAAAATAAATGAATGCTGAAACTATGAAAGGAAGCAAAATGAGATGTTTGTGTTTTTGTTTTTTTCTAATTCATCATCCATAAACCCACAAAAACAATCTCTGCTGTGTCACAGGTCTATCTGCTGAAATTTATAATGTCAATATCACTGATTAAAAGATAACGACCATGTGTTAGCCTTAATTTGACCTTTTGATGACCTTCAACAAACATTCATAAACAGATCAAATACCAAAATGATGAGAAATGAAACTGTTTTGGTTTGATCCTGTTCGTTGGTATGAGGGTAAATCTGAGAAAGTATTACAGTGTAGATCTGGGTCAGTGTGCAGCTCAGTTCAGTCACAGAGTCTGTGGACATTGATGTATTTTTGGCTCTTTTGGGCTCACTACTCCAGCAGATTGGATTTTTAAATAAAATAATGGATGAGGTTAAAGAGTCCCTTACCTCTGAATCTATGTTAATAAATTATACAGTATGCACAATCACTTTGTTATATTATTGATTCTGGCAAATGGTTCTGGTCCCAGGTCCGTGTGTCTGAATGTGAATGCATTATTTTAATTAGGAAGGATGGCTTCTCGGTTCTAAAGGTGTTAAAAGTTGCTCTTTAGAGTGCAGACCTCCAAATCAAATGCTCGTTTAGTCTCCATGATGGAAAGACACTGAGGGATTTGTCTCAATTGGTGAAAAGTTTGTTAATCATCATGTGCTGCTCTGCAGAAGTGGAGAACGGAGAGTTTCCAGCACTCTATGGCAGCAGCAACAGTGAGGTTATTGTGCATTGTTCAAATAAAAACAGCTGAATTACAATAAAACAACACATGCAGTCTTTATTTTCCTGAAGTGCTGTAAAATGGAGTAAACAGGTGGATTAATAGAAGCATGGAGGCCCAGAACACACATCCAAACAACCTTCGATGGTTTAGGAACAGAGCAGAATCAATTCGACCTCACCTCCTCAAAATTACTGCTGATCAAATGTTGAGACTAATATTTAAAATTAATAATTTAAAGCCCATTTCTAATTTAATGGCAGCAACATACTTGCTCGCAACAGGTGACCAAAAACAGCATCTCAGTGAGAAAGAGTCTTAATGAAATAAATAAATAATCTTTATTTTTAGAGCACTTTTAAATTACAAAGTGCTTTACAAGACAGGAAACGGATAAATGCAAATTAACAGATATTTGTTTATAGGGATCAACCCACTCAGATCATAAAACCAGTTACAGTAAAATCAGGAAACGCTCTCAAATAAAAGTGAGTTCTTAGAAGCGACTTAAAAAAGGGCGCTGAGTAAGCCGACCTTATATCCTCAGGCGAACCATCTCAGATCTCAGGAGCCCGGAGTGAAAACACTCTGTCACCTTTTGTTTTCAGCAGAGTGTCTGAAACGGTTAGAAAGCTCCTGCCTGAGGACCATCAAGTATGTGTTGGAGTGTAGGGCTTTAAAAGGTTGGTGATAAAACCTGGACAGAGACCATCGAGAGCTTTAAAACTAATAAATGAAATTTTAAAATTAATCCTAAAATGTACAGGCAGCCAACGTAAAAACGCTAAAAAAGGCGTAATATGTTTAAAACCTGGCAGCTTAGCTCTTCACCAACGATGGGTAGATTCGAGTATCATCAGGGTAAAAATGAAAGAAAACAACATGGGCTCTAATATCATCCCCAAAAGGTGGGTGGTCATTGAGTGCAGCGCAGCCAATTTGGTAAATTCCTAGTGTCAGGCACATTTCAGTGCAATAAATGATCAACAACAACAACCAATATTCAGTGTAACTATCGGAGTCAGCACATACATTTAGATCTATATCACTATATTCTGACTTTTATCTTATCTGATTAGCAAGCACCTTAGGCACATAATGGATAGTTAACTTTACCAAATGAACACAAACTGTGAGGACGATCATTAGTCATCCACAGTAAATATCCAATAAATAGTCACACATGATGGAGCTAACAAGATATGAAATTTGTGTGGAGGACGCAAAATTCTCTGCAGGGCTTAACACCTCACGTGTTGATTGATTTGTTGTTGATAAATTTGACTGAGTTAAACACACACTCCATCCCTTCTCCCTTCTCTCCTTCTGACTTTCACCACTGGGAGGAGCTGAGATAGGGAGTCCCATCTGTGCAGTGGACCTGACTTGCCTGCACCAAGCTGCCAGCGAGGCACAAAATTAGAGCCCCGTGTTTTTGTATTATGTGCCCAAGAAATGACTCCTGAGGCACACCAGACTTAGCAGAGGAATATGAAGACCTGATGTTATTCACAGAAATATAAAACCTTCTTTTAGTAGGATTGCATACAAAACAGTCTAAAACTATGCCTGAACTCAGTGCCGGGGTCGGTTTAAGAGAATGCAGTAAGAAAAGAAATACCAGGACTGAGACCATCCTGTGATCAGCTGCCATCAAAAGATCATTAGTCACCTTGAGCAGGGTGTTCCTGTGCTGTGATACTTCTGCAAACCAAACTGAAACCTTTCAAAAATGTGTTTGTTTTCTGGTGCTGCTTAATCCTGAGTGGACTCTGTTGTTTCTATTTTGTTTTTTTTCAATAGAGGTTAATTGGGAAACTCGTCTGTAATTGTGAAAAAGTAATGCAGATGATGGGATGGAGTGAGGCACTGACAAGAACTTCAAGGATGATGTCTAAAATAACAGTGCAAAGAATTTGGGAATTTCATATTTTTCAGTCCATAATACCAGCGAGAGATTCAGCAAATCTGAAGATATCAAAAGATCGGTATGAGACTCTGTACTAAAACTTACTTTAGACACTATATACAAACATGAAGAAATCCATCATCTGAAAAGTCAAAATTTGACATTTGTGTTGGAAATCAGAGACACTAAATCCTCTGTTCTAAGGAGGAGAGGGACCGACCGGCTTGTTATTATCAGCACATGTACATGATGGTTTTGGAGCAACATGCGGTCAAGTCATCACCTTTATCAGTGAAGGATTGGTTTTCTTCAGAAAAATAATGCCAAGGTGATGGACCATAGTGGCCCTGCCCCTGTCCCAACAATCTCTAATAAAATTCATCAGTGTGAAAAGAAAACAGAAATTCATTCGATACGTCAAGAAATGGGTCTTGATTCAGTTTTCTTTTCAGCATATTCAGAACTCACAACTCTTTTTATCTGTCAAGTGACCTTGGCTGTTGAGAAAGGTGTTCATATATAAAGGTATTATTACTATAACTCATTTTTAATCCATGTGCCCCGGTTTTGAATGATGCAGCAGGACAGCGATAAAGGTATCAAAGGAAGAGGACGTGTGAAAAGCAGAGCTCTTTTCACACAAGGGCTGAAGAATTTTTTACAAGTCCATGTGTGAATGCATTCATGAAAATCTGTTCACTCCCACTCGATTTGAACTCTCTCAGCTTCCTGTTACGCTGACAGTGTGAGATCAGAGTGGAACAATGCCATGAGGGACTGGACAGGGGGGATGTGTAGAAGCATCCCAATACAAAAGACTCCTTCACCTTCACCTGTGCGCTCACTCCTTTTCACCTGAACCAAACTTTGAGTCTAAGGTTGTGAAAATGTCAGATGTTTAGATAATCAGACGTGTCCTCTGGATGCTCGCCCGGTATATAACATAAAAATGTCCTTTAGATACCGTCTTTGATAGAAAAGAAACACAAGTATCATGGGTCACAAAATCAAGGACAAAATTTTCATTTCAAAGGTCGTGATTTCAGTGTGTGTATGTGTCTAAATAAATAGAAATAAATATGAAAGAATAAAATGTCCATAATTAAATAATGACTGTAAGTTTTGTTTGGACTTTTCATTTCCAGGTCATGCAGTCCTCACACTCTTATGTCGACTTTTCGTTTTTTCGCCATCTTAGCTGCGCCTGATTACCAAACACAGAGACGTGTGGATTCAGACGTCAAGGAGCAAGGATATCCAATCAGAGCCAATCAAGGACCTTGTGGGCGGTCCAAACAGAGGGAAACCAGTTTTCGGTCGTTCCTGACATCCGTCAGTTTGCTACAGTGTAAAGAAACGCTGTTTTCAGAAGGTGATGATGACCCCTCATTTCAACTCTGTGACCTCCAGACTTCCTGCTGTCAAAGTTGTTTACCTGATCTCCTTTTCTCCATGTTTATCTTTACTGTCTGTTCTCTGGTGCCCCGTTGAAAACTGCAGGGGCCCTTTTTTGTTTTTTATTCAGGTGCTCCTCAAACAGCCCGAGTCTGTCCCTGAATGTTCATGTGTAAAAAAACTGTGGGCCAGATAGTATGTTTGTTTTTCCCCCATACATGTTTCACATGAGAAAGCATGCTGGTGTTTTAAAAGTACGTTCTGCAGAAACCTAGAAAATAAAGCGTTTTTTGCAGAACCACAACCACCAAAGGCTCTACTGGGTTACTCACCTTTCTCCAGGTTACTTCTACGCTCTGGTCATCATTCCCTTGACAGGGGATGTGCAGAGTCCTTCCAGCTTCCTGCTGGTACTGCTTCTCTGGAGTGATGCTGAAGGATGGGGGGTCCTGTAAAATGCCAGAGCAATAGAACTGAATCAAGGAGATTGTAGCATTGCCAACAATGGATTTTCAAGACTGGATTACTGCCGCTTTGGACAAGATTATCTTAATAACAAAAGGATTAGCCACACAATTAACTCCCTAACAGTGCAGCCATTGTAGGGAGTCTGAGTTGACTTCCATTAATGCCAGAGGGCTCGCACGTTGCTGTGAAAAGGTCATTAAAATGTCGTTTCTGTTAAGTTTTTAATTTGCTGTGACAGATGCCGTTTGGGGTAATTAAAACACATGCACAGTGGGTAGATGGATAGTAAAACAAAACTAGGGCAGATCATGTGGTACTTTGTGGGCTTTAATAGCATGGCTGACCAACAGTTTGTGGTTTATGGTCCAGAAAATTAAGCTTTTCTCACAAAGAGTATTTTCATTATGCATAGGAAACTTTTTCTTTTTTTTCCCACCGAGTAACCTCAAAACGAACCTGTAGAATAACGGTGGTTTGCCCAGATGGCCCCATGCTGCCGTAGCTGTTGAACGGAGTACATGTGTACACGCCGGCTGTATCGTCATTGACTGTTGCCATGAACACAGAGCCCTCTGGTGTCAAGGTCCATCCTGGGTACTGAGAAAAGACAGCAACACTCACACAGCGCTGACAGATTTAAAGGAAAGGAAACTAGCACATTCAGTCCTGAATGATGCACAGCATTATTGCATAAAAAAATAAAAAGTTAGAAGTGTGCGAAGAGCTTAGAGAGCTAAAAGGAAAGAAAATGTGAAACTGCTGCAAAGTTATGCATGAGCTCTTCAGGAGTGTTTGAGGGATTTACAGGAACATGTTTGAAATGTGTCACAGTCCTCCACTGCGTTTAAGTCCTTAAATCCCCGCTGTGCAGATTATTTTCTAACTTTATTTTTGTTGATGTGTCAGATTACATCTCACTGAAAAAAAACCTTATGTCCTAAATTTGTTTTCTTTTCATTTACTTCTTATCATTCCTCTTTAAAGTCCAAAACACTCAACAAAACTGTGCTTCCAGACTCTACAAAGCAGGTGTATTTTAGAGTCATTTTTCCATTAAGTCGTAGTGGGAGCCTCGTGTTGCGCCTGTACTCCACAATAGGCTTTAACTTAATCTAATGAAGTCAAAATCACTATTATCCTCCCCAGAATGAAGCTGTGAGAAAGTCCAACAGTGGCTATGAAAGCTCGTCACATCCAGGGTAGATTAGGAATAATTGGCAGAATAACAGCCTGAGTCCAACAACATTTCCGAACACTACAGGAATCTATCGCATTTCCTGCAGCGTGCGGTGTCACGTCCATCTCCAGAGTGTAGAGGGGGAGGGTCGACTCAGCGTGTGACGGGTCAGGAGGAGGAAGGGCTGGATCCTTTGTGAGCTCATCCTGGGCTCTTAGTTTGAGAGAGAGAGAGAGCGAGAGACGGAGAAGGAGCAAGGGGCAGTCAGGAGCTCCCGAGGGATTGCTTCAAAGCTTTTAAGATGAAGCACATCATCCCCGTCCATTAAGATGAATGTGATTGGATGATGGTTAAAAACCCGACAGGAAATTCTCAATGATGGGCAGAGGAAATGTACCTCTCAAATACCTGGAAAAATCATTTAATGTCTCCTGCAGTGTTCACACTGTAATTGCACAAAAAACATTTGTTCTGCTGTTCAGTCGGCAGGATGAGAGGACGGATAGTCAGAGGAGAGTTTGCATGATAGGTGGCTGGAGACTGGTGCTTCCTGCCTGCAGTGAGCGGTGTCTGACACATCTCTGCTGACAGAAAAGGCCTTTTGCTGCCATACTCTTGTGATGTGCGCAGGATCAGGAATCAATTATTTAAAGTGTTAATCAGACAAAGTGGTAGACAGAAGTTTAGTCTTATGAAAGCTGGTGAAGTATCATGGCTATTGCACTTCCACACTAATGTTAATGGGATTTTTTTCTTACCAAGGACAGGTCAAGGGGCTCTCCATCTTTGGTCCAATCCACACGAAGAAGCGGGGGCTGAGCCGCTGCTGGGCAAGTGACAACACCATCCATCCCAGTGGGAAGGTAGGTTTTTGGGGGCATTCGGAGAGCCTTGGCTGGGTCTAAACAGAGGGTTAAAAAAAAGAGGTCTGCCTACTTTGTAGAAATTTCTACAATTTATAGTAAGACATGAACTGTTACAAAGAAACTCTGATAATCCATCACTTCTGATTTATTTCGAGTACTTTATCAAACCGTTCCCTATTTTCTGGGAACATTACAAGAATCAATCAATAAAAGCCTGTTTGACCAGATCTCTGTATTTGCAGCCCACTGAATGTGTCTGATGGGTTTCACAGGTCTATAGACAGCAGAGAAAAGTTCAGAGAGAAGGTCATTTTCATCAGCCTTTAATAATCTACTCTGAGCAAACACAGTCAAGGAAAATCTATATTAACACCACAATCAAAACTCAGAACATGTTACGCTGTATCCTCCATAATCACATTGATTTCTGATTAGCATTTACAGGATTCAGTTAAAAACCAGGCTTAGATTTTGCAAATGCTAATCAAAATATTATAATTTAAGTTTGGTTGAGAAAACTGTGATACAGTATAAGCATTTAATCTGGTGCTGTAATCCTTTTAAAACCTCCGTGGCGACATCAAAACAATGATCGGAAAGTCTCTCACTGAGCATATTTCAGTGACAGATGAAGACAAGGGGCTCTATTTTCATGCCTCGCCAGCGGTGTGGCGCAGGCGCAGTGTAAGTCAGGTCCACCGCACCGACAAGGCGTGCCCAAGCACAGTTTGGTATTTTGGTGTGCGACGCAGCTCAGCATAAGTATCCCCCGTCCCTAACTCAGCTCCTCCTAGCGGTGTAAGTAGCAGAGAGGGAGGAGAGAAGGCGTGGAGTGGATTTAACACAGCCGAGACCTGTTTTCGCCGATCACATCAGCTCCTCTCCTCACCTTTAAATCCGCCACCAGAGAGGCGTATTGCAATTTTCATGAAGTAGTCAAAGAGATCAAGAGATGTCTGAAGACAGCAATGCCACACGATGGCGACAGAAGGCAGCTCCTCAACAAGTGTCGCTGTAAACGCTGCAGAGGGCGTCCTCCACACTGCCTCATATAAGCACAAAGGGATTTTGTGGGTTTAAGGTTGTACCCACTGGTAAGACAAACACCCTTTTCACAAATAAAGACACTCTCATGAAGTTGCATATATTTAAACCCCACGTGACAAAGGTGGGTTGTGTGCACAGATCACAACATGAACAAATTCCAATAGTGGCATTAAAAGATTTAGATCAGAATATATCGATATGGATCTAAAGTATGTCCTGAGTCAGATAGTTGCACTGAATATTGATTGTTGTTGATTATTTATTGCACTGAAATGCACCTGACACTGTGGAAACCTGCCTGTGAGACATCTGTGACGTTTCCGCACTACGCCGCCGGACTACCAAAATACCGCTAGACCAGCTGCGCTTTGCCTGTGCTGAAAGCTGACCAGGTCGCTGTGCCGGCTGATTCTGTCAACACCAACCCCTATGGCGCCACCACGCCCAGCTTGGCGCACCCTGGCGCGCCTCAGTCTATGAAAAGACCAAACTGGCTGTGCGCCAGGCTCCACCAGATGAAAATACCACTGCGTGGGGTCCGCCACTGTCCGCGGGCACGAAAATAGAGCCCAAGTTCTCAATTCTATGAAGAAAACGGTCCGAGTTTGAATTCTTTGTGACTAAATTTACATTTTCTCTCTCGATAATCCCAGTGATGCTCAATCGCTTACTGCTCATCTATCTTCATGTTCTGGGTTTCGGGGGGTTTTACTAGAGTTAAGTGTCAGTGTTGTCACGACTTGGAGTTTGAGCCTGGGTCCGTTGAACATGGCAATGCTTTATGGAAGTGTTGTAATATATAGAGGTTCTGCTCACTGATATGATAGGTGGCACTGAGACGCCTGACGTAGCTGCTAAGCCTCCCTGAGGTGTTGTGGGCTTCACAGAGCGCTCTCGATTCTTTTCAAGCACAAGTACCTTTTGTTTATCTGAAACATAGTGTATACGGACAGGTATCGCATATATCTCCTGTTTCCTTCAAGCGTCATCAGAAGCTCTGAATGCAGCTCCTGGATCTTTGAAGGACAGCGTTCAGAAGCAGTCAAGCAGCCCTTGACCCTTGCAGTCTGTCTCTCTCCTCTGTGCTTTGTTAAAACAGCTCTGAAGTTTAGTTATGTGAAAAAACTACATACCTATACATATCTTCTAGTGGCAGCAGCGATGAAATAGTGAGTCTGCTCTCTGTAACGTCACAGGTGGGTGAGGTTACAGGTGCAGCAGAGAGATTAAACCAAACTAAACACACCCATCAGTGTGCTCAGAGGAGGAACACCCACTGGGATTATATTCCTAATTTTTAACAAACAGAAAAACTGAATCCTACTCAATCCATGAAGACACATCAGTGTTATTTGTCAACGACAACAAATGCGCATTTTCACATAATTTGTAAAAAAAGAAATTTGAAAATCATAATCAGTATCTTATTCTGAGCAGATTATGACTTGAACATAATAAATATCCTGTTTATTTTGGCCTGGATCAGAACATGCAAACACAGATATGTAGCTGACTAACCTAAGGATGACTACCACAAACAGGGTCAGCACAGAAGACTGCTGCTGTAGGCAGAGTGCTGCACTGAAGCATTCTAATGGAAATGTTGAATGGAAGTAGAAGGTAAACAAGCACTAAAGATGACTCCAGCCTTAAGAAGATGGAGGAGGACCGGTGATTCAAAGACTTAGAGGAAGTGTACAACATGTGGACTGAAGCATTAAAGACCCACTCCGATGAAAACCATGTTTTTCTTGTTGTTTACATGTTCATATGGTATTTTTCTGATGCTACAGGACATATCAAGAACACACTAAGTGCACAATTGTATTTCTGAGTACATTCAAATCGCTGAGAGAGGATTATATAAACAAGTGCGTGCATTAGCGGACTGCAATGCTCTTAAGAAAGTTAATCATAATATTACCTTTCATCATGTTCCCAAAGACATTAGTGTCCCAGAGATAAATAGCTCCTATGTTACCTGCTACTTCTACTACACAGGTAATGTTAGGCTGCAAGCTAGCGTAAAGAGAAGTGTGCAGAGCAGCGCTGTCTCCGCCCACGACTCAGAGGCGAAGTGCTTATGATCTACTGAAGCTCTGCAGAAGAAAAGACCTTAAAAATGACACAGGTGATGTGATTTTTGGTAAAAACTTAATAATCTCAATTTAAAGACCACTGAGAAAACTTTAAGTAGTGAAAAAACAAAGGGAGTGGGACTTTAAGAGCTGCAATGCAGAGACCTCTTCAAGTAAGGTACTCCTGAATCAGAGACGTCAGAAGCGTCTGATCTCAGCTCCAAGAGTCTGCAGGAAGAGAGGTAAGGCAACAAGCCCAAGATGTCCTCAGACCAAAAACACAGATAGAAACTATACAAAGAAACTTACGCATCACTGTGAGGATAGCAGAGGCAGTGGGCGGGGTCAGAAGGCCATTGGTGGGCATGCAGGTGTAGTTTCCAGAATCCTCTGGGATGAGCCTGGAGATGAGTAAAGTTCCGTCCACCATGATCTTCACTCGAGACTTGAGGGAGCTGGAGAATAAACAAAAGAAAACTCTTGAGAATTACAGTGAGAGGTGATTCGACTCTCCCATTCCAGTGAAGTCAAACAGCTTCTCAGAGCTTTGACAGTGTAGGAGTTTTTTCTCAGTTATTCACCACTGTTTGCAGATGGAGGTTCAGGAAACCTCACTCCTCTTTGGTTAAGAGTAGGAAGAGGAAAGCCCACTCGTATATACATACTGTGCATGATTACATTTACAGAGAGAAAGTCTGAAGCCTTTACAAGAATGCATCCCTTTACAAACAGGCTACAAATCCAGGCAGTCAAAATGGACCCAATGACTTTTATACAGTTCCACTGAAACACAGGAGTGGTGAGATTAGATTTCACATTTCACATCCATCTATTTTTGTCTTTAAAGTAACGCCCTCATTCTTCAGTTCAGGTCCTTCTGAGGATTTTTTATTATTATTATTATTTTATTTTTTTTTTTTTTTCTGTCATTATTATTTATTATTAACCTTTTTCAAGCGCCCAAAAGTTAAAAGTTGAAAACAGGATCTTTACAGCAACATGACTGCATGAGAGAGCACATTAGCTTCTCCTTTACTTTGTAGGATCACAATGACTAACTGTTACAAACATTTCTATGAAATTTGGTTTGTCACTCCATCGTCCCCTGAATCAGATGGATGTCGATCAACTTTAGTTTGAAGTCACTAAATTGTCATTCTTTGGCTTTAAGAGTAAATATATACAAAAATAATGACTGAAGAGCCTCAGCTGTAGTTTCAGTTGACTGACAGTAAATATCTTAAGCTGAGAGCTTCATGTAAAGCCACATTTTTGCATTTCAAAGCGAGAGCTCAGTTTGTCTTTTCTTTAGGAGGGTCAAATAATTTAAAAGCCTATATTTACATGACATGGCTTAAAGACAACATATCAAATGTTGACACTATTAATACAAATAAATATCAGAAAAATATGCTTTTTTAATTTGGTATCACTGTCAAAAGAACTTAAAATCTCGACAACAAAAACAAATGGATTTACATTTTCTGAGTGATCAGACGAATGTGCAACAGGTTCATTAAGGGTTTACAGAAGAAAGGAGAGATGGACAGATACACCACTCTGTGAGAGGCTGCATGTGCAAAAAGCTCGACAAGATTAATGTTCAACGGCTTACAGTTTTAAAGAATTTAGTTCATAATATCATCTGGAGAAAACTCAGTACATAAGGGAAAATGTTAATAAAACCAACACTGGATGGACCTGATCTTCAGGCCCTCCAGAGGCCCGACATTAAAAACAGTCATAACTTATCCATGATACATAAGAACACAAGACATGGGTATCTTACACATGTGGAAAGGCACCTTTTTTTCATTATTTTTCAGACCTTGCATGTTTCAGCAAAGAAAATGCCAAAACTCATTCTGTACATGTTACAGCCGCGTGGCTCTACAGTCCTGACTTGTCTCCGTGATGAAATGCTAAATTCAACAAAGGTGACCCTGTACTGGTTCGGTCTACATGCATGCCTGATATACAGACATGAGTGGTTGTTTTCCTTCATCTGGGGTTCAGTAATGTTCGCAGAGGAGGTGATGCAACCTGATAGTAAACACGCTATCTGTTTTGTTCAGTGTTACTGAAATGTAATTCAAAATGAGCAAATACTTTAGGATAAAATGATCAAGTTTTCTTTATTTTCATTAAGGATTTTAATGATTCGCAAACCATGAAATTCAGATTTTTTCAACACTTGACATTGAGCTCCACCTTTCTGAACTGAATCTCTGTGGACATCATCAATACAATTATGGCTGTCAAAAGATTGAGGGTTCGATTGTAGGTCCAATGTCGTGGCTCTTGGTCTCTGTGCTTTAAAAAATCACTTGTTTGTCATCTTGGTTGTCTTTAGTAACTGTTAAACCATATCTGCTTAAAAAAACCTGAGTGGTAAACACGACTTTAATCTGTCAGGGCTGAAAAGCAGGTGGTGATCATCCTCAATAAAACAAAATAAACCTTGATTCAACTTTGAGTATAATTCATAGTGAGGAAAACCTTCCCACTCCTGTCTTGTCCATTGATTTCAAATCCAAATAAATGTTTTATGACTGCAGTTAAGCCCTTCAAAGTAAAACAGCCCCCCACCCCTCCCAATGTTACACAAGATATTTCCGGTGCAAATGAGAAAAACCTAAAGTGAAAGTTGTTTCAACATTTTCAAAGAGCACCTCACTATTTTTAACAACGCGATTACAAAAGAGCTTATTCCACTGAAATGAGGAACAGATAATAGGAATAATCCTTATGTGGTCTACTCAGCTGTTAACTGCATTAAACATCACCTCCAAAAAGCCTCTCTGAAACTTTCCTCCCTCGTCTAAACCAGGTTGAGTATTAGCCTGAGTGGAACTCGAACGAATAATGAAATGTATGACAGAGGGATGCCAGGGAGAAGTGATGCTAATACGCCCTCCACCTGCCAAACTGACCCCATCCCAGCCACCTTTTTTAAGAGTGTTCAACAGTCTGAAATTACGAGCCATTCTCTGAACGTCTCCCTGTTACTGGACACCGATATTGTGAAAGCTCTTCTGCGCTCCACAGTTTCATGTTTTAGAGCAGCATGATCAGACCTTAATGTAAATCCCTTTGTCTTATGGTTATAAAGGCTGAACTTAAAGACACTCTGAAAAACACACATTTTATCCTGGATTATCAAACGGGGATGTTACTCTCCTTTTCTGTTGCCTTAGCCACCGAGCAGTCTCAGAGCAACATTAGTATTCATCCTGAGTTTCATGTCTGACTACCTGATGAATTCACCTCCAGTGTTCTGTCTTTTTTACCACATCTTCTTCTGTCTCCTCTGTTTTCACACACATATTAGGTTTCTCCCTCATCAAGTTATGTACTTTAATGCATGAGCAGATGAGACTCATGAGATAACAGACTTTAACTCTGGGGAAACAAATAACGGCCAAATCGCTCTTAAAGGCTAAACAGAGAAGCAGGCATAAAAGGTGTATCTGTGTAGGCTTTTGTATTCCCTTTCATTCTGCAAATATTTATTTAATTAAGACAAAAAAACTTGCTTTATTTAGATAAACAACAACAACAATGAGAAGAAGCTTAAATGTGCAGACTTTAGACATGTGACTGAGCCTCCAGTTTTTATCCAAAATTTCTACCAAAGCATTTTTAGCCTACAACAACCATCCTTCTTCTTCTTGGTATTGACCGGTGTGTTATTAAGAATAACACACCTGAATTTCAAACCTGCTAAATATAGATGCTTAAAAAAGCGAACCCAATCAGTTTTAGGTTCCATAAATCACATCGCTGGTGCTAAATGATTCCATTCGCATCTTCTCCTCCCAGTATTTTGCGCATTCTGATGATCTACACTCATGAAGGCAAACATGCTAAATGGATTACATGTGGTATTTTGCCCATTTTTGCACCCAGTTAGTAGAACTATCAAGTTTACAGGTGTCTCTGTACACACAAACCTTTATTAGATCAGACCCTCAGAGTCATAATTGGGATTGTAAACTCTACACCAATTATCACACATAAAATACTGAATAAATGTTTTTATCACTGAAGAGAGTATAAGAACCCTCCAACATTTTAAAAGTGATGCTGGTTAGAAAAGACGTTAAATCTGTGGATGTACTTTGAGCAAAATTGCTAATGAGCAGAAGTGCCATACGACAGTTTGGATACTTTATTCTGCCCTTCTTACGACTTTATATGTAGAGATGCACCTAAATTTAAGATGTTAGATATTAAGTTTGACAAAAACAGATTACTCTGTCTCATAACTTTAACACAGCTGTATTGATATCTAAACAATTACCACACAAAACAAGATAACCATGAGGGTTTTTCTTCCATATTGCTCATACAAAATGATGCATTCTTGGAAACTGTATCCTAGCATCGGTTCTATTTGGCCTTGCCGTTGCCTTGGACACAGAAAAACATAGTGAGCCATTTCATTTTAAAACAATTGTGCTCTCTGCAACTGGATGGATGTTACTGTGGGATAATTCACATATGGGCTAAAGCAACAAAAGATAAGCTGAGCGGTAAGAGAGCGTTTAGCCCTCTGCTGGTGTCTTTCTTAGGCAGACTAAGATGAATGGAGCCTCATTCTTCAAACGTCAGACGGCTCAATTATCTACTTTATCTTTTTACACAACTTTTTCCGTTAAATGATGAAACTTGAACAGTCACTTGTCATTTCAGCTCCTGTCTTGATTATCAGCACCTGAACTCATTATGCACCTGCCCTGATGATGTTATTACTCAACCCTCTTCATGTGCTCCTTTTCTTTCCTCTTATCCTTGTTTCCCCTCCACTTTATTCTTCTTCTTCTTCTTCCTGTTTCAAAGTTTTTTTTAAACTCTACTTGCTTTCAGGTTTTTTTTTTGTTTGTTTTGTTTGTGAAGAAAATGGGCCCAACATCTTAAAAAGTTGTCATGAAGAAGTAGTTCTTCTGTAACTTTAATGAGTATCAGCAACATCTCCACTGTGTTTCCACGAGTTCAAAAAACATGTCGTATGAGCTCCAATCATTGTGTGAGTCACCCTAACAATGCGGTCGTTACTAAAGTTGGTTTAACTAGAGAAGCAAGCGGTCGACAACATTCATCTCTGGAGGGAGTGTCCAAGTCGGTGTCACTGTGTGTTTGACCCTAAAATAATTTTACGCCGGAATATCCCTTTAACAATTTCACAGCTGAAAAAAATGCATCATGTAGGTCGATTCATGAGCGAACTTTTTCATACCTGACTGGTAGAGACTCTAAGTATTCAGTGAATTCTTGAGTAAAGATGAAGAGTTGAATCGTATTTTCCTCTTATTTGAAAGAGTAAAGCGATTTCTTCAGACATGAAGCGAAGCATCAGTGCACTTCTTCTTAAATATCACTGAACCTCTGTCAGCTCTCAGCAGAGCAGCACAAGCGAACGCGTTGGACAGGCTTTTAAGAAATGTTAAAGAAATGTTAAAGAAATGTTGAATTCCTCCTTTCCTCGGGGACTAACTTCCACGTGTCGAAGCTACAGTGATCAGGGGTAAGATCTTCACGGAGTTTTGGTCAATAAATAAGTAGACTTTTATATTATATTTAAATAAGTAGAGAAGTCAAGAAATATGAAATAAAGAAAGGTCAGACTTTTGCTGATTTTGGAGTAATGATACCTGAGTCTAGTTTTTGACAGAAAGGCAGCGGCCCCCCACCTCTGGCTCTGGACCCACCAGATCAAGCTGAAGTTTTATTTTCTCTTTATTTCTCCTTTTTTATTGTATCTCCATCCATCCCTTTTTTTCCCTTTCCTGTGAAACATTTTCAGTGAAATCCTCCATGAAATACACCAAAATATCTTTTGATTAGACGTTACAACATTTCCTTTAATCTCAAATCATTTCTTTACTCCACCTGCTCAAACCCGTTAGAAATAACAGCGCAGGTTTAAAAACCTCCGACTTGGGAACAAAGAGCGTTTTTACACTTACTCAATGTGATAGACGTTTTCACCACCTTTCAGCCACACGTAGGTCATGTTGGGGGGATCTGCCACCGCCTGGCACCGGAGAAGTGCATTTTGGGACATGTTGAGAGAGGTGCTCTCAGGAGGGACAACAATGACAGGTGGACCTGGGGGAGAAAAGTTAAAAAAGACTTCACTCACTTTTCCAAGAAAGAGCTGCGATAAAGGACATTTTCTCTGGAGATAAAAAAAAATCCATTTCCTTCATGTCTCAAAGAAATCCTGAAAGCTTCTGAATACAGATGCCGTTCTTGATGCATGGTTACCAAATAATAGTATAAACCTTTTACGAATGGTTTTCATTCTAAAGGCTTTCCTGAAGTTTACTGTATGTACTGGGATGAAGATGTCTTTGTCCTGAGGAAAATTACTCTGCCCAAACACTATTATTATATTATAACTGTGTATAATAGTATATTTTTTTATAATTATCAATTCCACTGTTCAATAACTCACATCTGTCAGACAGGGACTCACACCTGTCTGCTGTACAGTACATTTAAAAAAAACTTCTACCAAATCGGGGATCAATAAAGTCTATCTATCTATCTATCTATCTATCTATCTATCTATCTATCTATCTATCTATCTATCTATCTATCTATCTATCTATCTATCTATCTATCTATCTATCTATCTAAAATTGAAACAACAAAATATAGCAAAGGAAAAAAAAAACTCCACCACCTAACTAGTCTCAAGCTTTGTTGTTGTGAAGGCTAAAGACAAATCTGAGCTGGAAAAGTCTTTAGTTTACCAAGGCCACCAACTACACCACCTGACAGCACTGGTGTTTTAAACTTTGTTTAAGGATAAATATAAAAAGGAGCCAAAGCAGTGAGATGTTTGAAGAGCTGTGTGAATAAAATAACAGATGATAAGATAGTTTCTAAACGAGATTTTTAAACAGACGCTTTCACAAAGTCAACTATCTTCTGCACGAGACGTAGAAATAATGTTACAAACACATTTTTAACACTTTGAACACAGCTCTCTCCGTGTTAAACTTGGTTCAAAATACATCAGCTGATCATAATCCCGGCCTATACAGTTGAACTAATAAGGGGATGTTCAGATTGGTGTCCTAGTCAAACCGCCCTTACCACCCCAGCCCCTCGTTTTGGTGCTGTCTGATTATAAGTGTCATATATGATGTTAGTGTCACTGTTTGTACCCCGGGGGTCTTTGCTAAGGCTCTCCCTGCCTTTCATATAAGCATGTATGTGCATGAAAATAAGGGTCTACTATAATGTGCCTAATACTGACTTAAAATATGTTGTGAGACATTATTTCAACTGAGATTAACACATTAAAGGTGGGAGTCATAAGTGAAGTAAGAATGAGCTGGAATGGGCGCTTAAAGTCAGATTACAGGAAAATATCAAATGGAAATTTAACAGTGTCGGGATAAAACACGACTTCAGGTTAACTGTGATGTCAAAGATCAGACGAAACAAATACAGTGTCTGTAAACTAAGAACACATTTAAATGGAAATTTAATCCTTCTTAAAAATCTCTTTTTTTTTTGGTTTTACAAACATTTATGATGACAAATTCATGAAGTCTTGACACCAACAACCAGCGTGAGTTGTTCAGAGAAAATGAGCAACAGTCGGATGTGGAGCATTTGTGTTCTTTTTTAATGGCTGTGGATGGAGTTGAAACAGGTACCTCCTCCTGAACAAAACCTCGTAGCTTGATAAGTGAGCGTCTCACGGCTTCAAGGTCCACATTTTCTGTCCTGCTGGTAGATTTCCTACGATCTGATGGATAATATTTGTGTGTCGAGTGAAAGTTGTGGCCGTGGCAGCAATTACGAAATTAAAAACTGGGAGTACATGTTCGCCTTTCACCTTAGTGTCAGTATCATCATGTTTGCAGGTAAAAACTCTGGAGCAGCTGGTCTGGTTATTTTCAGCACTTTTTCGATGGTGTGTATTGACATATCTGGCTGCTTCTAAAGCGGTGGCCCTTTGTTCCCCCAAGAGATGTCCAAACTTTTCCTGGTCTGTGAGTTGGGGGAAGTTGGGTGTTATGTGTGTGAGTTTAGTGTATGTTTGTGTGTGTGTCCTGATGTGTGTGTGTGTGTGTCACAGTGCAACAGGAAGTGCTGCTCTGTGTCCAGCTGTGTGTGAGGACAGAGCCGACACACCTGCTCCTCTCTGGGCAGCCAGGTCTGCTTGTGGCAGCCTCTCGCTCTCTCTCTCTCTCTCTCTCTCTCTCTCTCTCTCTCTCTCTCTCTCTCTCTCTCTCTCTCTCTCTCTGTCTCTCTCTCTCTCTCTCTCTCTCTCTCTCCCTCCCTCGTCAGCTTTAGGTGGCACATGTCTCATGTATAAATAAGCACATAATCTGAGCAGCACTCATTCCTGATTGGTTTGCAGCCTCTAATGCTTCACAGATACATGCATGGGTGACAATTTAGGGGTTACTTAAAGCTTTTCACTGACTTCATCCAGATCAGCCATTAGTCTTCTGTAATCCATCCATGTGGCAACGCTGCAGCGAAACCTGGCCAAAGCTCAGATCGTGTCACTATGACAGAACGTTTTTTGGCTCGTGAGGATGTTTGTTCAAAATGTGACCACTACAAATGCTCCATAATTTAGAGAAACTCGAGAAAGTGTTTCCCCCTGCACAACTCTCAAGATGAGTCCTGGTTCTCTGGAGAAAATCGGCAGTAGGAGTTGGAGTAGGAGTTGAGGAAAAAGTCAGAAATTAATTCCACAATGTATTATGCAGAGATGTGTCGGTGTAATCTAGTGATACTAACAGAACATTTGCATATTCAACACATTTTCATCCTTTTACTGGACTTCAATTTTGGAAATCTGCAAACCTGAGAACACGTGTATCTGTGAGGCATGTGTTTGTACCCAAAAACATTTCATCTGACCTCGTACCTCAAGAGAAATTCATTCAGAAACGAACATTTCATTAAAAATATGGTAATAAGTAAGTCTGGAAACCAAACAGAGACATGAAGACGTTTCACTCAGTCACAGCAGCCGTCACATTTCAGAAAACTGTCATGTCTCTGAAACGCAGCCTTTAAATTGAGCTAAACACTCGGTTTTATCACAATAAAGCAATGCCCCGAACCCGGGATGAAATCCTGTCACATACCATGATATCAATAATACCTTCACAGGGACCAAATAGGAGTTAAATTCAGTCTGAGATTCTGTTGCCACTCTGTCAAATGATGCAAGAGAGGGAAACAGAGATGTAAATTGTGGTGGCTCCCAGCCAGGCAGACAGACATCACAGAGAGTGAGGAAACTGGCAGACAGACAGAGAGACAGACAGACAGAGAGACAGACAGACAGAGAGAGAGAGAGAGAGACAAACTGGCTGTCAAGCAACAACTGACCTTTGATCTTCACGCTCGTCACGCGAGTCACGTTTCCCTCTGAGTTGGAGGCGTGGCAGGCGTACTGTCCTGCTGACTGCATGCTCACTGCTCGCAGAGATAAGGCTCCATCCTGGTAAACGTGATACGACAGATAGAGTAGAAATTGATGGTTGCCATGGTTCACATATAAATACATACAGGAACTCGACGGGCGGATCGGTGGTGTTTGAGTGATTGATGAATGGATGAGTGGATGGATAGATATGAAACTGGCTTTAACACAGTTACTCAGAGCCTGATCTCATGTCAGATACGAACATACTCACACTCACATTGAATATTTATTTACATATATTCTTCATTATCATATTTCTGCCTCTGCTGCACGGTCGCTGTTTTTCGTGTGTTTGAAACTGGAGTAAAAGTAATTAGAGGGTGTGAGCATTCAGTGTTTCCCAACCTTTTGATCCTGAGTGTCAAAACTAATGCTGCGGCGCTCAGATCTGATTTAGGCATGTGAGGCTGTTTCTGAGCAGATTTTTTTATGCAGATTTTCCATAAATTCAATAACGTGGCTTTAACAGAGGAGTCACTCTTGAGAGGTAGTTGGAGTTGTTAAAATTCTCAGTTTTCTTTCATGTTTTGTTATCATTTCAACAAACTTCAGTCTGAGGCAGAAGTCACTGGTTGACTATGATTGGAGCTCCGTCACATTTAACCTTTAATTAACCAGGTAACGACCAGTTCAGATGGTCTTTTTAGTATCTTTTAATAGTTCTTTTCGATACTGACTGTTTTCATTTGGCCTCTGTAATTGTAACTTAAATTATTACGGGGTGAACATCGTGTCTAAGCGTGCTCCATGTTCAGAGGTCTAAATAAACAGTCTGCAGCCCTCTCCCTCGTGTTTCTCTCCCCTCTTTCTCCATGTTCTGAGCTCATGGCCACTCTTACACCTAAAACCCACAGGATACCTGTTGAGTGCGTTCAGTCAGCATTGTATGCTACACAAATACACACAATCAATCCTCCATTACACACAGGAAGCATTGAGGCATGTCAGCTCTGTCCTAATAGCCTCTCCACACGCTGCTCCGAGTCTATTTTCAACCGAGCATGTGTCCAACGCAGAGAAGATTGTCCTGGACAGGATGTCAAGCACAGGAGAGGTGCATGTCATCTGGTGAATTTCAAAATAAAACACCATATGCAGACTCTTCGCTGTTTATCAGATTGTGTAGATGAGAAGTACTTCCTGGTTATGGTTTCATCATTAACACAGAACAACCCCATGGCCCTGATCCCTGATCCATGTGGACCCCAACAGGACTGCTTACCCTCTCTGAAGGTAACAGAAGAGCAAAGTGCGGTTTCCTTCAGATAATGACATAAAAGAAAAGAAAACAAACAAATAAAAAAGCCGGGGTTGTTCTCTCTTCTTGGATAAACAAGCCAACAGTGTAAACCCAGAATCGTGGCTGCACCATCCACTGCAGTGCGAGTCAGCGAGGAGTACAACAGCGTCACATCACATTGTAGGAATAAGAGTTCACATCTTTACAGCTTCCCTCCTCTCTATGGCTGACTTCATGAGGACGCACATACAGTATATCAGCAGTGTGACGATCTGTCTGTCAAATAATGTGAAATGAAGGTGATGATCAAGAACCAGCAGAATCAAAGATGTTTGGACGATTGTAACAGGAACACATCCTATTAGTAATTGATGGTTTAACAAACATGAGCGTAGAACACAGTAGAGACCGTGGAGGGAGGCAGACCGGTAGTGATATTAGTTGTTGTTCTAGTTCAGGGGTCGGCAACCCGCGGCTCTGGAGCCGCATGCGGCTCTTTCTTCCCTAAGCTGCGGCTCCCAATGGATTTGGGAAATAAATAATAAATACTTAATTGCATTTTATTTTATTTTATTTTATTTTATTTTTTTTGTAATTCTAAATTCAAAGATTATAATGCTCTTGTAACATTAAATAAACTATTAAGGCTGCAACAACGAATCGATTAAGTAGATTCGTCGTGACGAAAAATCCGTTGCCAACAAATTCTGTAATCGATTCGTTGGGTCTTTATATATGTCCATGGACACCGGCGTGTAAACATCAGCAGGACGCACAGAAAAGAAACAGCCATGGCCGAGGCAGCGGCTGAGAAAAACATGGACACAACCCAACCCAAATCCCGACCTAAAACATCAGTGGTGTGGGAAAACTTCACCAAGACTGAAAAGGAAGGCGTTCAGTGCAACATTTGCAAAGACCATTTTGCATGGCTCGGGAGTACATCGATGATGCGTGAGCACAGGGCTCTCAAGTCTCACACATTCAGCGTATGACACACGCATTCCCACTCGTTCACACGCTCACACACCACACATTGTATTTCTCACACATTTAAATGAACACGGTGATGTCCACCAAGTTGCACTTCTTCAACTATGGAACTGGGGGAAATCAACTGAGTTCCTCCGAGAGTTCAGAAGCTGCGTGCCACGCACAAGCCAATCAAATAAAGTATATCTACTGAACAGCCAATCAAAAAGCAGCATTGCTGTATCCGGGTAGATTTTGATATCTTGCGGTTTAACTACAGAAGAAGACAGACACTCGCCGAAATAGTTCATTTATTTCATAAATGCAACTCGCTACAGTTTTTCATATACTTTGTATAAAGGTAAAAAAAAAAAGATATATGCAGTGTTATCTTCATTTTAGATGTCAAAGAGGTTTTGTGGCTCCCTGTGTTTACTTTTCTGTGGGAAACTGGTCCAAGTGGCTCTTTGAGTGTTTAAGGTTGCCGACCCCTGTTCTAGTTGTTTTAGGTGAATCTCAAGGATGGGCATAAAAATACATGTACCTGGTAGTTTCTTCTCTCGATCAGGTTTCCATCCTTTGTCCAGGTGATGCTCGGGGTGGGGTTGCCTTCAGCAGCACAGTCAAGAAAGAGCTGACTGCCAACAAGGGCCTCCACCACGAGAGGCGGGGTTTCCGTGAAGGTGGGTGAGGCTACGGAGCAAAACGTGAAGGTCAACATTGAATATGTGGTAAAAATACAGAATGTTATGGTGATTATACATGTTCATGAGATCAGGGGTGTGCAGCGTCAGTCGTCCTCTTTGAATAAACAAAAGTTGATGTCTATAGAAAAGCTCAAAGTCCCATCATGGTGGGTTCAGAGCGACACATTAAAGAGAAACTACAAAGGGAAAAAGTGGACGAGCAGACTTTGGATCTTTGTTTCCTTCACCTCTTTTTTATGCACCATGAACAGCCTGACAGCAGGTCGGCCGTGTTTGTTAAACAGCAGCAGCTCAGGCGCAGTTTACTGACATCGAGTTTCATTATTATTTCAGGCAACAAAGTGAAAATGCCGGTGACGCTGCTTTTAGATCTGTTAGCGAGAACGTTTTCCCGTCTCTCTGGGCTTCAGATCTAATCAGAGGACTTCCAGATATTTCTTTCATCATCTGCAAACAAACTAAACCCGGACAGACCACCTCAAACTTCCACAACTTCCCAGAGCTCATACTTTTATTTTTTCTTTATTTTAACAGGAATATAGCTTCAGTATTTTCACGGAAAACAAGAATTGATCTCCTCCTCTGAATCACAGGTTGGTGTACTTGTTTAATATTCAAAAGCACGAGCGATCTGATGAAAATATGTTACTGAATACTCCCCAAAAGTCTTTTCACATATCTGTGAAACTTCAGGCTTTCATCATTTTTACCTTTTCTTTCGTACATTTTTTAGCCAAAGACGATCTCAAATGTTAAGTCAGATTGAAAACAATCGGATTTGAAGCTTAAAACCTGCGGGGCATGTCAGTGAAGTTACATCTAAAGCCTGGAGCGCACAGACACCTATTATAATCTATGATAATTCTCGGCTCTAACCCGACGCTCACACAGACCAACACTGTCTCACCTCACTTTGATCTGCTATTCTTTATGTTTGTGAGCAGTCATAGCAAAGGTTTTCCCAGATACAGACACACTTCAAAGCACAGAAAATAATGATGCATATTTCAGATTTAGATTTATTATTTAGACCTATCAATAATAATGATGATAGCTCAGGGATGAGTCTCACAAAACCTCTGTCAAGAAAGTCAGGAGTTATTTAAATCACCTCATCTGTCCACAGAGTTTTTCAAAAATTAACTTGTCAAAAACTTTTTCAGAAGTTTAACGTAAAAGAAGAGAGTTAAACGTAAAGCAGCTGTCAAGAAATTGGAAAAATAAACCGCACTGTCGGATAAATGAAAAGGTGGTGTGAAAATGAGACTGAGAACGTCTTTATTTCAATATCTGCACAGTTTCCCTTCACCTGACTGTCAAACCTGATCCAAGCTTGGGTCCACTTTGGTTTTCAGAGGATCTGAGCAGCAAAGATGTCTCGAGTTCGTCAAAGCATTGTATCCATTAAAGGGATATTAAATTAGAATTAATTTATGGTCAAACATACCGGGTTAAACACCCCCTCCAGAGATGAATGTTGTCGACCTCTTTCTTCTCTAGTTATACCAACTTTAGTAACGACCGCAGGATAGAAATACACAGCGGTCTACGTCTCTATGGACACAAATAATGCTCAGAACAGCACCTAACTTCATCAACAGAGTAATAGAAGTAATATTCATCATAATAATCATTTTGTTCTGCAGACTTGGTAGTTCCTCTGTCTTAGTGTCTCATCTGATCCCCCACAAACAAGCGGCTGCTGGAGGTGAGTGGGTGAAGTGTTTAGTCTCTTTGCTAAAGAAATGAGTCAAAGCTAAAAAGATGTTTGGTGTCTAGTACTATGACTGTGACCCTATATGTCCTGTTGATGAAGTTAGGTGCTGTTCTAGAGCGGCGTTTTGGTTGCAGTTTGCACGTGGAGATGTAGACTGCTGTGTATTGCTATCCTGCGGTCGTTACTAAAGTTGGTATAACTAGAGAAGTAGGCGGTCGGCAACACTCAACTCTCCAGGGGGTGTCTAACTCGGAGTTACAGTGAGTCTAACTTAATTTTAGGCCAGAATATCCTTTTCAAAATGGAATCAATCCTGTTGTTAGAACCTTTCAGGGTGTCAAGAAGTTCATGGACGTTCGAATAAAACCCTGATTCAGAATGTTTACACCTAACGTTTTACTGATGTGTGAAAAATGACTTATTTTGGATTTGACACTCGCTGTGTCCTGAAAACACAGCAGCTGAACCTTCTTCTCTTTAGAGCAGAGGTAAAAAGGTCAAATTTGACTCATCAGACTCATTTTGTCAGTTTTCCATCCTTCACAGACCCGGGTCCAAAGATGTTTTGGAAGTGTCCAGTAGGTGAAAGAAGACGTCTTTCATAAGACTTCATTTTGATATCTGCTTTTGTGGACCAACTGTTACCGGAGTCCAGTTCCTTTTATGTGTACACGGACTTGGCCAAAAAAGCTGATTCTAACTCTAAACTAATCCCTGTCAGTGAAAGTCTTAGAAATGATTTTGAGCCTTCTCACTAATTTTCACTACAGAGTCATGTTGGTTTGTATTACAATGATGTATTATACGGTAAACCCCTGACTCAGACTAACATTTAAAATAAATCTATGAAACTGGAGACGCAGAAACCAAAACATTCTTTTTCTAACAAGCTGTATTTTTAAGTTTACCATGTCCTACTCGGTATATGGAAGACTACCCAGCGTCCACTTTCCCTGTGAAATATAAATGTTTGTCCTTCCAAATGCTAAATGTTGTAAAGGAACAGATGTCTCAGATCACATGGTGATCCACAGCGCAGCGGATGGCAGCGTGTCTCCTAGCAACAACGGCCCTGAAAGTATGACGGGAAACACCCGAGCAGAGGTCTGAAGCTAAAGCAGGTTTTTACAAGAATCTATAGTGAAATACAGGATTTGTGGTAAAATATAGTAAAATATATGGATTTCCATACAAAACCAGAGGGGATGAGTCGGTTTTTGTCCTTATTTATTACAACTTTTTTTCAATTGTCGTCTCTTGTTACGTAAATTCAATAGAGAAATGGGATTTTTTTTTATTTCAATAGAAGCAGTTTTGAGTATTTTTGTTTTCTCAGGTACAAAATCTAACTTTAAAATCCAGGAGATCTCAATGAACGTTTTAAATACAACCAGGTGAATAAAAAGGGACTGATAAATATAAGAGTCATCAAAGAATCAGGTGTACCTCACCGTCTGTCGGCGCTCGGTTTGATGTTTGACACAGATTTGACTTCCATCCTGGTTTAATTATTTTCTGACCCTGTTTTCATCGACACACCCATATCTCCTATCTCTGGACCAAAGGTTGCTCTTTGTTCAAACACGCCCCATCCTGTGTTTTGTTTACATTCGGCTCATGAATTTTGTCTTACAAAGCTAAACGTAACCTACTTTAGCTTTAAGCTTTACGGGCATGCAGCCAAAACACCAACACACACAAAAACGGCATCTCCATGAACCTCACCGGTCACAGACAGCAGGGTCCAGGTGCCATTCTGCAGCTCATCTGTGGGTTCAGACAGCAAGAGGATTCGGCACTCGTACAGGCCCTGGTCATCCAGCTGCAGGTCCTCCAGCCTCAGGGCTGTGATTCTAACCAGAGACACTCGCCCTGCAGAAACAGATTGAGGTTAGGCGGGTGAGGGGGCAGGGGTGGAGGTTGTATGAGATGGCCAGCTTTACATGATGCTGATTTTATTTGACATCCTCTGGGTCTGACCTGAGTGAAACTGCTGGAGTGTGAAAAAAAAAAAATGTCCTCGAATGAAACAACCTCACACAAACACATGCACAAAACACAAACAACAGCTAACACACAAACTTCGTAATGTGATCTCCTGGTTGCCAGGTGACGGCTCCCTCGAGCCGGAGCGCAGCTTGCCACATCATCCCCTTTATCTTTTTCAGGCTGCTGCCCACGTCTTTCTGTGTCCATCTACTTCTCACACTTTGTCTGACAGACAATTGTCCAGCAACCTAACGGCCCGGAACAGTGTGGCTGAAGAGACACAGTCAACAACAGCATTATATAAGACGCACTGTAGCCTCACTGCACCATTTTAGGAATAAAATCATCCAAACAGAACTCAAACTGCAGAGTGGGAGCATCGAGGATGACTGCAGTGACGGTAATTATTAACAGAAGTTCCCGTTTATGGTTGCTATAGCGGAGTGGGACAGTCAGAAAGAACCAGGAAGTTGGCGTAAGGTATGTTGGCAGAGATAACACACCTTATTTACTTTTCCAGGCTGCCAAAGGTGAGTGAATCCACAGGGAGAGGAGCAGACGAGGAAGGGGAACGCAGAGCAAAATACAGAGCAGAATACACTCAGGGGATTAGAGCGGTTAAAATCCTACCCTTTGACCTCTGGTGGGTTTTTTTCCCACTCATGTTTACCTGCTCAGTGTGATATAGGTCACTACAGCACCTCAGAGGAAAAGAGAGGGCTGCGGCTGGGAGGTTTGTACGACCATGACTGGGAGTTGTCAGATAAAATAGGAAGGGATGGGTGGAGGTGAAATGAGAGCATGACCTAATGGCAACACCCCCGCCATCTGAAAAATGTATGACTGCAAAGGATTTGAATGTGAAGTAAATGGACTGTGAGGTTGACAGAGAGAGAGAGGGCGAGGTACGAGAGAGGAACTGACCGGGAAACTCAGGCTCTTCTGTTGATGTGAGAATGCAAAAACAAGCATGTTCTCGCACTCAAGAGACGAATGAGTGAGTGAACCGTGCAAACAGAGGAAAAGAGTCGTTACATTCTGAACGTTAAGCTCAGTCAGAATTTCCCTTTTCTTAAACACACTAAAGAAAACAGCTGTTTCAGTCGACTGAGCTTTGAAAATGAACAGTTAGCATTGGTTAATTTTAAGATGTATTATTCTTTACGCTGCAACATCACTGCCATAATAATTAGTATTTGACAATTATTGTGAAATGTTAAGCTTAATGATTCTGTGCACAAGTGTAAAAGTGTGCAGCACAGATCGTCTGCAGCTATGTAATCTAAAACAGACGATTATTCTTATTTTCAATATTGAGTTTTGGATTTCCCTGCTATTAACCGGACCTTTTAATCGTCAGCTGAGCTTAGATAAGGCAGCTTATTTACCAAGAAGTGCTTTTTCACTAAAATTTAAACATCATGACAGATTTCCTTTTTCAGGGACTGGATCCAGATTACACCTGAAAATACACGAATATTTTCTCTGTGGGACAGAAAAGCCCCCGGACATCGCGGACACAGTCTCTTTACATGACATCCGTTTGTTGCAGGGTTTCTATTTTTGGAGCTGACGGTTCGAACACATTAGTGTCAGCCCAAGAGGGTTTAAATAACAAACAAATATCAAACTAATAAAACATATTATTTAGGTAAAAATGACAAAAGAGCATGAAACCTTCAGGGGCCATGGACAGACAAACCAGAACCTTAAATGAGAAAAAGTTCATGAGGTGTTTTTATGCGACGGGCTCCTTATTTCTCTGAGGATGTAACCTGGACTCTCCTGCGGACGCTCGCTTTAAAACAGAAAACACTTTCATGCCTTCAGCCACTTTCAACCCTTTTTTTAGCCAGTGAAAATACAACCCTAACATCAACACGCCACAAAACCATTTTGTCTCTTAATTCCAATAACTTGTTTATTTTAGCGATGAAGAGAGAACAGAAATTATCCTTTTGGAGGCATTTCTCAGAGGTAATTTTCCAGCAGTAGTTAAAATCCCGCAAAGACGTAATTTCACTGAATCTACTGAAATCATGGATACTGCTCTCTACAGGCTGAGTAATATAGACATGAACATCAGAGACGTCATGAAAAAAGCAGTTTTAAACCTTCACGGGGGGGTTTCTGCCTCTGTTGTGGAGCTGTGTGGTTTTCTTTTCTTCCCACTGAGATGTTGAGAAAAAAGAAGACTCCCACTGTAAAGGTAGAAAGGCTCCAGGATGCTGACAGAGCTGATAAATCTGTCACTATGATTGATATTCACCAGATCTCTGAGGCTGACAGAGATAAGTGATGGACGTGGATCTGAGTGTTTCTCACATTTGTTCATTTTGAAGTCATGGCCGTAAATATACAGTATATATTTAATGTCTCATGACTCAAATGAGACGGGAGCAGATTTCCTGCTGAAATGTGGTTTAAGGTCCGATGTTGAATCATAAATAAAGGTTAAAAAACTCATATTTTGGGACCATTTTTGAATGTGTTTTCAATGGCTGCCATAATTTTTTTTTAGCTGCAAAATACTCGACAAAGACCCGTACTTCTGATGAGTTATTTTCCTGTTAAAAAGACCAAAATGAATCTTTTTGTGACATAAATCAAATGTTCATGAATACTACATGAGTAAAAGATAATCTTGACTTTTTTATTTGAAAGTTTTAGTTTAATCATCGAAACCAGAAGTTGCTTTTTAATTATTGTTTACCTTTATTTTGGGAGACGACATCAGATATCTATTGGCGCTCAGGCCTGCACGTCCAAAACAGTGACCTGATCAACATACAGTATTATGAGGCTCAGGTTTCTCTACATGACCAGCTTGAAGTAAGAATGTGTCGTGGGCTTTCTCGCTGCAGGGTGTTTTACAAATCTGGTGTGAAACACGTGCTTTGCCTGCACAGGGTCCTGACTCCAACCTCATCTGGTACCTTCAGGGTAAACTGGACCAGGAACTTTTATCCAGACCTTCTCAGTTATTATCAGTGTCAGACCAGCGTGACGCTCTAATTAGAATTAGAGAAAACCCTGAAGTGAGACTGAAAACTCTGGAGGGAATGACGTTTTTAGAGATGTCCAGCTTTAACGTGCAGGGAGAAAAAAATCAGCATCCACAACATTTGGGTAAAAAAACCTGCTTTTGTAAATAATTAATAATCAGGAATAATTGAAGGATCATTTCAAAAACCAAACTTCAACTTGTCTTTGTTGGTGTCTGCTTAAAAACGAGGATAACAGAAAGATCCCAGCTGTAAACCAGAGTCTGAAGTGAATCCATGAATCAAGAAGCAGGTAACCAAATACAGCGGGGAGCGATAACCATACTGAACACAGGTCGATGCACCACCCCCACTAACACCTCCTCCTCCTCCTCCTCCTCCTCTCCTCGCTCTGGTTCTCTGCCCTGCTCCTCTCTGCTCACTGAATCCGCTGAATTAAATCAACCAGAGAGCAGCTTTTTGACTCCTCCGGACCAAACAATAACCCCCTATCAGCTCCATTCAAGCACTCGCACACAGACACACCCACGGTGATACCCTCGTGCACTCACACTCACACACACACACACACACACACAGTGTATTTATTTGCCCAACTGTTTCCAACCCAAGCCCCCCACCCCCACACTCTTAACCCTCCCAGAGGCACTCAGGTGACAGAGAAACACAAAACCTCTCAGTGCTGTGATGAAACACAACACTTTACAGATGAAAAGGGTTTGTCTGAGTGAGAAAGAGAGCAGTCCTCTGCTGCTGCTGCTGCTACAGCAGAGGTGGTGAATACATGTCAGAGACTTGACTGTTTCAGAGACAACAGCTTTCTACGGAGAAACGGACAAACGATCAGCCTCCACTCTTGAATAACTGGTAGATACTCCTGTGAGAGGTTGATCAACATGAGTTTAGAAGAGAAATCTTTTATGGAAGTTACTGAATAATGCGATTTATCGAGCAGATTTTTCACACTCGAAACAAAAATGACAAATGTGACAGACAGGTTTTTTTTTTTAAAACATAGCTAAGTGAGTGTTTTTTTGGTGGAAATAGATAAAAAAAACTGATGTCCTCGTCATCCCACAAGATTGAAGCTAAACACCATTTTACAGACTGCAGATCATGTGTGTCTGAAATGGTTTGTTTGCTTCACTTTAGTATAGTTCAAGTTCACACTGATCAAAATAAACAGGTCCACGTTCACAGTTCAAGTTCATGGTTCAATAAGAACCAATTCACCTGATTTTTTTTTTCATCTGCAGCTCAATGACTCATCAGTGCAGCCTCCATTATCAACAACTGTCGACTGATATTCAGTTTCAAAGCCAAGAAAATCCCATTTCTGTGTTTTATCAGATAAATACAGGAAATTATGCATCTTTGAAGACTTAAAAACACGTTTAACTCTCGTGCGTCGGCTGAATAACAGGTCAAGTCCCTTTCCATAAAAATCTGCCTCATAATTGACGATGAAGCTGAGACGGTTTCTACATCCTCTAAAATAAACAGACTGAGGATAAAAACACAAAAACTGAATTATTCTCCATCGCCTCTCTGACAAAATGAGCTTTTTTATTTTTAATGTTCACTGCCCCCAAAGTGAATTATTCTGACGTTTCTGTTCATCTAAATTGTTTCAGATTAGCTTTTACTCAACGCCATTCGGTGCGACACAAAGAAATTGTCTCATAACTTTAGTAGAAGTTCTAGACCTTCAAGAAACAAAGAAATTCTGTATCTCTTCATACGGACTGCTGCTCCGCTGTTGACGAAAGATGCTTTTAGACCAAATCTTTCAGTTTCAGGGACTTCTTCTTCAGGAACTATGTCGTCTCTGTGGCCTCTTGGTGTGTGTGTTTCCACTGTTAGTAAATGATGAAAATCAGACCAATGACACCTAAAGGTGCTGAACAATAAAAATGCTTATCAGTGTCAGAGGACGGGGTTCTGGATGTGCAGGGAGAACTTGTGCACTCAGACCTGAACCGTTCCCTGGTGTGAGTTACTGATTAACGTCACGACAAAGCCCACCCTCCCTCACCTGACGAAAGGACAACGTCAAAGGCCACAGAGTGAGTTTTTTTCTCTACATTGTATTCAGGGTGAAAGATGCTCTGGAAGGATTGATTTTCTGTCCTTTAAAAATGGATGAGCAACATTTTAGAGATGAAGATTTTAAATGATAGAAAAGCCTTTTGGGGGATGGCCCACAGAGCGTCTCGTTTGGTCGGGCGGGACGGTGCATGATCATTTAAAACCGCTCTGAGTGACACGGACATTTATGTCCCTGAGAATGTGATATTTACGGGCGGTGAGCCCACAGCGTCTAGAGATGTCGTCAGCTCCTGGCACGCTGCACAGAGACGTCCGGGTTTCGGCGAGAGAAAGACGCAGATAAGGTTTCACATGAAGTTGCTGCTGGTTGCTCCGTTAAGCTGGAGTGTGTGATGGTTTCAAACTTGAATTGGGCGTAACAGAAAAAAAAAAAAACAAAGATGAGCAATCGCAGTGCAAACTCTCGTGTTTGTCCGTGTGGGAAAAGAGGAGTGTATCAGCTGTGTTAACTGTGTGTAATGAGCTCCTTCTCTTCTTCTGCTCCGGCTGAATGTGATCAGATTTACATGCTAAGAGCCTTTGTAGTCACACAACTGTATTTTAATACAGTTAGCAGCTGTACGGGCGCAGAGGGACTTCGTGTCCTCTTCACAGATCAGACACTAATCCTCTGATCTGAACCGCTCTATTACAACAAATACATTTAAAGTCTTTTAGCTTTTAACACTCTCTGGGGAGCAATCTGACCAAAATCTACTGTATCTCACACTCTGGGAAGCTCCACACGAGGCCACACACAAAGAGAGGGGACGGGAGAGGTGGCCTGCAATCACAAAAGGTCAGGTTTTATCCTTAAAAGAGAAACAGTTGAAAAATTGAACCTCAGCAGAATAATTCACTTGTGTAGCTGTGAGAATCACAACACCAGAGCAACAGTTGGGTTCTGGCTCTTCCATCCAAACTACTGAGACACCCGAAACCATCCATGGCCTGAGGAGGTGAAATCCACACCTGTCCTTCCATCTCTTAAGCGCTAGTTTCCCATGTTGCACCTGTTAACCTCACACCAGCCTGTACCTGTGAGAAAGTCCAGCATCGGATTGGACAAAGCAGCTTTTTTCAAACCTTTTGTATCTGAACAGAACAACAGCTTTCTGTTTGTCACTGGAGAGGCATGTGATTAACATACCTGTCCTTCTAAAAGCAGGTGCTTTACTAAGCAGGAAACTTTATTGTTGGGTTGAGTGTACAATAAGTGTAATTCACGGGCTAAAGGGTAGGCAAACTTTAGAGTTTTACTGCTGGTATATTGCCTGGCGTCTTCTGCAACTAACATCCAGTGTAATGAAGTGTGACATCGGTGTACACTGAAGGATCGTCTTCATAGTCAGCGACAAAAGGCTACTGTCTTTTATGAGCCCGCGCTGGAATTAAAGTCTGCCCTGCTCCCACTTCCAATAACTCATCAGCCAAGGTTCAGCCTGACTTTATTGCTATGTAAATGTCTGTATCGTATTTCCTTGTGTCGGGTGAGGGAGCGGCGTTCAACTCAAATGAGAAAGGCCTTGGCTCAGTTAAAAGCAGCTTCTGATCCTTTGGCAAACAAATACCCAAATGCAACAATTACCGCTCTTTAATGTGTCAGGACAACCAATGAATCTGTGCAACCAATGACTTTTTTAGGTTGTATTTAAACGAAGGCTCAAAGGATGAGGCTGGACGTTTTCCACAACTGTCTTACTGTCAACAAATCCCAAAACCAACAATGAATAGCTTCAGCTAACAAGTGTTTTCAGCTCAGAAATTTTGCTCTGAAGTTATTTAAAACAAGTCGATTAGATGTAAAGTCACCCACAGTGGAAAACAGTCACTAACTAAACTACAGTGAAATAATTAAAGTAAAATATTTGGGGCGTATTCTCAGGGATGACTTAAATGATGAAGATGATATTCAGCATCAGTGCTATTAACTGTATGCCCAGGCAAACATGCTGGCACTCAAATTCCATATGTGCAGTGATGATGTCAAAACAGCTCTTTTTAGAGCTTATTGCACTTCACTTTACGCAGCACATCTCTGGTGTAGTAATAATAAAGAAATATGAACAAGATAAAGAGGGCATAGCATGATGCTCTTCAAATCCTCTTCAAGTACCGAAGATGGGAAAATGTGAGTATGATGTTTGTGAGCTGTAATGTTCCTACTTTTCAAGCATTACTTAAGAATTGTATGTATAAGTCTATGTGCAGGCTGACTCAGTCTAATAATGATATCATAAGGTCGTTGACTTACCCGACACAAATAATTTAAAATCTGTATTCAACAACATGCAGTCACTATGGAGATGTGTAACTCTTTCTAGCACCGCGGGCTCTAATTCCACTTTGGTAATTTGGTGAGCTATGCAGCCCAAGTACACCCCCCTCCCTATCGCAGCTCTGCCCTAGTCAGAAACAGGGACGGGAGAAGGCGTGGAGTGGGTTTAACACAGCCAAGTCACATCAGTTCTTCTCTTCACTATTAAATGCATCACTGGTGGGTTTAAAGTTAGAGTAGGGTCAGTGTTGGGGTTAGGGGTTAGGGAGTAGGGTTAGGGTTAAAGTTAGGGTTAGGGTTAGGGTTGGAGTTAGGGTAGGGTTTAGGTTAGAGTATGGTTAGGGTTAGAGTAGGGTTAGGGTTTAGGGCCCCCACAGAGTTTGGTTTCTTTTATATAACGCTGCCTGTGTTTTTTTTTATTTGGTTTCTAACCTTTTTTTCTGTTTTCAGTTGTTCACTTATTTATTGTTGTTCATTCATTTTAGTTGTTAGTTAAACAGATTCTCAGCTAATTTAGTGTTTTTAAGGAGAAAATCCACCTTCTCTACACTTTCTGACTGTAAAATATTGAACCATCTTGTTTGTTGAAGCTGATTTAACTCAGCCCACTGTGAAATACCTTCCCTCCCCCCATGTCTGTACTTTAAATACTGGAGATGTTTTGTTCATCCACCTTTTCCAGAAATTCAGCATGACAGATTTGGTTTTGTAAAAAGTGTTTGGGATCGCCACCAGAATTTGAAATGAAGTTATGTGGGTTTAAATAATATTTCTCTGCACAGCATGACTTTGTACCAGCTGATGCAACAGTAGGTAAGATGTGTTTTAGGGGATGAATCTCTGTTAGTTTTGCAGTTTTCATGAAATGTTGATATCTACTATCAGCATTTATGTATGTCACTTCAAACGAATAACAAGCAGAAAGGTTCCCTGTGTGCTTTCACCTGACCTGAGTATAATTTAACATTTTCAAGAGATACCACATAGGTTTGGTAGTCTCCATTTCAAAGACACCTTGGTCAAAACATTGCATGGCCTTCTTGCTCATATAGTCCTTGGAAAAGTGGATAGGTCAAAATGAAAACCCCTTTTGACAAAAGGCAGATCTGAGCCATCCAGACATTCCTCCTCTTTGTCCACACCACTCCTATTGTTGGTGACTTTAAAGGATAACAGGAGCTACACACAAGTTTCCTCGGTCCATTGAGTATATTTTTCCCCCACAGACTTTCTTTGTTCTCGGCGCTGTGGGCAGAAAGAGCACAATAGGTGGTGATGCAATGTGAGAGTTTCAGGCCCAGAAAGAGTAACTCCCACTGAGACGGATTTCAAAGGCCATCAAGGTGTGGTGCTGAAAACACTCCCAGACCCAGATACTGGTTACATTCTTCCAGTTAAGAAAATGGGACTGTAACCTTTAAAAAAAAACAACCTCTACTCCAGTCATGCTGCTGTTTTATCCTTTCAGTCACAGCAATTAAAAAAAAGAAACCCTACATTAAAACTGACAACGATCCATTGTTGGAATTGAAAAACAAGGCATGTCAGTTAAGGATGCTCTCACTCAGCCAACTTGACAATTAAACTCAGTTACCCTTAAAGGTGGGGTGGGCAGGAATACGTTAAAGAAGCATCTTTTTTCTGGTTTCTGTTTTGTTATGTCTGTGTCGTCAACATTTAACATTTTTTGAGTGCTCTGCTCTATCTGATTGTAAACTAAGCCATTCCCCGCCTCCCCAAACCTGATTGGTTGTGAGGCAGACGCCGCTCCCCCGTGTCGTTCAGGGGCCCAAACAAAGTTAGCGTGCTGCAATATCGGACAGTAGAAACCAACCAGAAAGTTCGGAAAATTGTCTGAATCCTCTTTTGGCCACGACTGCCGACACAAGCAAGAAAACAAAGTAAATACCGGAGACTCTGGAGGAATAACGGTTAGTTGTTTGTGAGTATCTGTCATAGTCACATGTTTTTTTATATCAATGCTCGCCATCACAGTCCAACACTAAAGTATGCTCATGTGGTGTAAGTTCTTCACCAAAGCTGCTCATGTTTATGCTCAAAAAAAACAACGAATCTGACAAAGTGCCTCATCTGTGTAGATGATGGCTCCAGACTTAAGATCAGGAGGTGACCAGCTCATCCCACATGATTTCCTGATTTCATTCAAAAGTTGGCATTAGATAATTTTGCAAGAGGTATTTGTGAAAATCTCACGGGGGTTGCTTGATAATCAGTCACCAAAATGAGAAGACTTTATTCTCAGGTGACCATGAGCCTCAATGCATGTTGAACTTTCTGTTATTCTCAGGATATGAAATATATAACTTAAGTACACCACTGACTTCCTTACTGTCAACATATATGCAAGAATAGATACTACTGTGTCTTAAATTAAACCAAAATTGAAGTGTAATTATTAATCAGCTAATATTTAAATCAGGTTATTATTCACAAATTTAAAAGGTTGGATCCTTTTTTTCTTTACTATTTCTTAATAAGACATAACAACAAACAGGTCGGTGCATGACAACAGCATAAAACTATGCAAAATAGAAAAGTTTGGGCATAAACAAAGTACCTCACCAGCTGCTTATTTAAAACAAGGTGAAGGTTAACTATTCAGCCTTCAACAGAGTGACCAGAAGTCATTTACATGGACAGAATGCAGAGGATACTATACAGCATGACTGAACACAGGGGATTCCTGTAGCATAATCTTCAACTGGATTTGTGTGATCATTTCCACAGACACTCACCCTCATATTTTGGATGGACTCGAGGAGGCACATATGATCCAAATTTAATCAGGACGGGGATGTCCAGTCCCTGTCGAACCCACTCCACCACATGCAGGGATGCTGGGGACACAGCAGCTGGGCCTGACGGAGGGAAGCTGCACTCCAACTCCACCACTCCTCCAGATTTTCCTTGAACCTCTGGCCTTCCACCCTCACAGGTAACTGATGGGTATGTGACCAGTGAAATAACATGTTAGTTGGAAAAACTACAGCGTAATTATGATGTGCACATATCAACAGTGGGATGCAGAATATATTTCTGATGGGATGATTCAGATACTTACAAAACAGGCCAGAAATGACCATCAAAGTGAAAGTCTGCAAATATGATCCTGCTGATCCCATATCTGTCACTCATACAACCTGCAGCATGTTCAATCTGTTGGCAAAGGAGATACAATTGTCACAATCACATTACTTCCTTGGCTGCATGCACAGAGACAGCCATCTGTGACAGATTTCCAAACTTAAAAGGCTACAGCCGAGCTGTCGCTTCTGTCATAATTTCACAGACGGAGGGAGAGAAGCGCTCAGATTTTTATACAGCTTTCCAATAACTGGAATTCATCCCATATCATTACACAAATGGGCAGAGCTGCCCCTGCTGCCAGAAAACTTCATGGCCCTATATCCTTTTCTGAAAGTAAATGTCATAAATGTCACATAAATCTTCGGAGTGTCACGTGCAGTGTGACATCGAAGTATTTTATTTAGAGCACATCAATAGAGACGTTTGGTTGGAGCAGCCAGAAGGCTCAACATTCAAGGACAAAGACATGCTCAGATGGGAGCATGAGGCATCATATAGCGCAACTAAATGTCAAGATGCAGCGACCGATTCAACCCTGTCAAAACAACACCTGCCTCCGCGTTAGCAAAAGGGTAAACTAGAGGGAGATAATCAACGAGACAGGTCAGGTTTAATGAACACACCAAATATCATCTGATTTTTAGCAGTCAATCATCATTCAGAAGCTCGTAGATACAGTACAAAATCACTCTGTAAAGCAGCAAACTACACACCGTCATGTCAGGTCATCTTCTCTCCGTGTTCGACACGGTATTTCGCAGGTCATGTTTATTCTGCCGCCGTTGCTGCTGGTTTTAAGGTCACATTTGACAGGAAATGTGCTGACAGTTTAGCCTTGTTTTTGCCTGCTCACATTTTTAACTGTATCTAATTAAGATTCATTATTGCAGTACTCCCACAGAGAGCTAAAGCTAATTTTTGGTGGCAGCGCCTTGAACAAATACTCCCGGCACGTGTTGACATGTCTGTCCACTCACAATGCTAAACATCAAAACGTGAGCCAGATAAGGACACAGCTGCTAAGTGCTTATTGAGTCAACTTTTAATGTTGTTTCTGTTTTTTTCTTATGTGTCGAAAGTTTTAGTTTCATTGAAGAAACAAAAACTGTTTGAGAAATTATCTGTGCAAGCATGCACACATACGTAAATAAATTCAGTTAAAGGTAAATGTACAGAAATGTTAAATCACGGCGCGGTTCTCTCTGAAGTTTGTTTTCAAATGAAGGATATCTGAACGGCACTTTATGCTGGAGGCTCATCAGCTGTAATGGTATATTTATTATCAGCATTAAAAAAAGATCAATAACTTCAAGAAAACTTGTTTACTTTAAAATCTTACTCATTCAATGACAGGGAAACATGCTCAGATTGTACAGAAACACATTTTTCACATTCTTAATTCTATTTCTAAATAATATTGCTCAATTGTTGAAGGTAAAACATGTACGGTCTGATGCATGGTCGTAATGTAACCTCTGAATATGATTAGTGAATGAGACTTAATGGATACAGCACTGAATCAGGTCTACATAGAGTTTGTGTTAGAAGCTGTTGTCCCTGTGAGACTAAGGGCGATAAATATCGGTGTATGTTTTGTTAAGTCAATCGTTCATATCTTTTCCTGCTTGTTTAGTTTATCGCTTTAAAACCAAAAATCTAAATGACAAAAGGTTAATAAGAATTTGCAGGACAGATCATTAGAAGCTTGTGAGGTCACGTTTATGATGTCTTAGTCCTATTTGGTGATCATATGGACACACCTGTCCACTTAACATACACCATGTGCATATTTGCCCCTGCTCACCACTAACCCTTTTATTGGCTTTTTCATTTCAGAGCAGGAGCAAAGTCTGAACTGGTGAAAAACAATTACCCAGCATGTCCACAGCTGCAGCCGGTTTCAGTGCTCTTATGCTCCAGCCAAAAGCACAGAAGACATAACAGCACTCCAAAATCGAAGTGAAAGTTTAAAAAGAAATCCTCAGTTGGCAGTATGTCTGCCGATCTTCGCCTGCCTCCATCTACCGCCCTTCGCCCTGCTGGTTTTATGCAAATCAGCACCACAGAGGCTTCATCCTGGGCTTTTTACATTTGAATTAATGCTGAGTGTGTGCTGAGACCGGCTCAAGGTAAACTCGAACATCATGATTCTTTTATTTCTGGTCTTTGCACTGTGAGCAAGTACAGAAGAACAAATAAACACGCATGAGCAAATTTAGACCATCTGTTGCCATGACAGGGCAGCAGGGACTCTTCGCTGTTGTGGGTGGATTTTAAATGCTAATCGAATAAAATAATTGAATTGAAAAAATTGAATTGAACAATGATAAGGCGTAAAACCCGACACTAGCATTTGTCAAGTCACTGATGAGGACACTTTGTTTTGCAATCCATAAACTGACAGCCACAGATGAATAAATACTGTTTAGGGTTTTATTGCTTTAACAAGGTGCAACTTTTTTGTAAGTCTGGTAAAATACAGCAGAAGAAGAGAGTCAAAAAATCTGCTATGAAAAGCAGGGAAAGGGCCACGACCACAGCAACAGATGAGATGTGAGGCAAAAATAAAAAAGTCTTGTTGAACCGCAGGACATTTTCAGTCATTAAAACTGAACCAGAGCCTCACAGAGCTGCCAGACAGAGCGGCCTGCACAGGTGAAACCCTCCACCATGGAAACGCAGATGGTCTCCAGACACGTCCCCTCAGACGTGTTCCCCCATCCACTGACACTGAGGACATGCATAAACATAAGCACAGCGACAGCACGGCGCCCAGAAAACGGTTAAAGCTGTAATAAATGAGCCAGGGGCTCTGAAAAGAAAGCCACTGTTTTACACAGATTTATCAGCTGACAGAATTAGAAATGTCAGTGACAGGCATGCTGTTGAAATTCTGTGTTGTTGCCGTTTTAATCTACACATGGAAAGAAACAGACACCCGCTGATTAATAGCAACCCGGGCAGAGTAACAGATTTATCAGCAGGGCTTCCTCCTCTAACCCCGGCACACTTGAAACCAAAAGATAAAAAGGCTTCAGCACATTTGATTTCTGATCAGATCCATTTCATTTCTCTCATGAGTATCGCCACGGCAAATAAGTGAACAGGCTTCAAGCATCACTGTTGTAATGTGTAAGTTATTTATCTGTAAGGAATTTATCTCCTTTAGAAACGTGAAACACAGGATGTTTGTCCGCTTGGTTAGTATGGTCTCAAGGTTATTCAACATATGAAATGTGAACCTCTGAATATAAGGAGCATAACCGGCAATTAGACGTCTCAAGAGCCTAAATCAGTGCACAAGTTTTAGGAGTGTAAGACGTCAGGATGCTGCAGAATGGAGACTGTGCTACACCTATACAAATTATCATGCAACCAAAGGAGCAAGAAGAGCAGGTGTGTATTAACGGAGCAAAGTGACAGAGAGAGCGGCAAGGGTCCGAGACACAACAAACACTGAGCTAGGATAAAATATCAGCCCGTTTTCATGTCTGAGGAAAGTTTTTAAAGGTCAATAAATGGACTTAATGTAGAAGATTCCAAATCATGGAGTGATCAGGTTACATACTTGTGATATTGATCAAAAGTATCATTGATGGTATCCCATCGTTTGCTTTGAACAAACAGCATCAGAAAGCGGCGGCTCTACGAGCGACTGGTCCACCTTGCTTTGTGTATTACAGCAGTCGCTCGGTTCTTCCAGCATCAGCAGGTTTGTTGAACAGTACACAAGAGCCACAAAGACTGTCACTGTCTTTTTCCTCAAAGGCTTTACGACGGACTGTTGAGATAAGACGTCTGCTTATTTTCCTACATGGCATCTGTGGGCAATAAGAAGAGTGTCGCTGTATGGGAGATATGTCGACAAACACAGCTTATTCACCGGCCAAAAATGAAGCTATGTGTTGATGATTAAGCTCAACCCCTCACTCCTGTCCAGCACTACCCTCTCGTCCAAATATTCTATCTCTTGGCTCCAAAAATCCAACATGGTGGCAGCCAATTTCAGATCTTAAGGCTCTATATATGCGGTCAACAAACAGTGGTCGACATCATGGTGGCTGTTCCTATTATCCAAACAGTGTGAGGGCTGGGAATAGGACATATTACATACCAAAACACAAACATGGATCTTTGTAGTCTTAGACCAAGCTGGACCTTACTCAAGTCATTTATAAGATGAACTGATTCATGCAGTTTTTTTCCATATATTCAGTGTATATGGTGGGACCTGTGTACACAGAGCAGTAGAAATGGATGTGGGGCCTCTGTGCCGTCAGACTGGATGGCCCAAAAACACAGCTGAGAAACTGTGAGAGGAAAATCAGAATATTTCAGGCCTTGGTCCAAAGAAAGACAAGCCTGCCAGCTGTCTTGTAGACCTTTGAGTCATGCGGTCTGTGTCAAACTTCATCAGCCTAAAAGTTACGATCAGATTTTGATAAAGCAGTCTCTGCTCTGACTCATATCTGCTGCTAAACCAGTGAGAAAAAACGTAGAAATGTCAGAAAAGATGCTCATCAAGATGATACATATATGTACATATGTTCATGTATGCATTCTCCATGTAAAGCATCAAACCACGCTGGAAGATGACTGGTTCTTTTTTTTCCATATAAGACAAGAGGAAAATCTCCCTGAAAAACTCAAATCTATTGTCAAACTGGATCAGAAGTTCCCTTTTGTTTCCTGTGGATCGACCAACAAACTGATGTATTATTCCAGCCACTCTGCTAAAATATTCAACAGCTTATTAGACGATCATGGCTGTGCAGAGGCCTTGAGCCACAAAGACCAGAATACAAGACTTGACATGAGATGTGAAATCAAAACTGTCAAGGCGAAAGAGGGAATATAAACACACAGGCCATGTACAGTCTAAAGTTGAAATATTTAAGATATCTACAGACTGAAAGCTCTCAATGGGGTTTTGCTCCCAAATCATTTAATAAGCAGGCACCTGCAGTGCAAGAATTTGCATTCAAAAGGTACGAAAACATGAAGTGTTCAGCTTTACAAGGTAATTCACCAGCAGAAAAGAAACTTAGTTATATAACATCTTTGATAAATGAAGTTGCATAACCCAATTCCTGTGATTACAACTTGTAATTCAGAGTTCCTCTTGTTTCACATTTTCATTGAGAGTTTTGAGACGGATCTGTCGTCCACAGCAAACATGTTCGCATGGATCCTTTTCTCTACGCGCTCTTTGGAGGACCTGTCTGTTAGCTGATGTGCTTTTAAATCTCCCATCAGAGCGATGACTGCCAGACGCCTCTCGCAGCTTAAAAATTCAGCTTATTGGCATTCAGACTGCTGTTACCCACCTCTGCACCAGTAAAGTCATTATGATTTTCCAACTGCAGAGCTTTAGCTCTTCTCCTCAAGGTGCTTACATTATCGGCACACTTTCAGTGTACATAGAATTTTCAACAACTTGCAGATGGCCTTAAAAATAAAACCAGTTTTCAATTTCTAAAACTGGCTTCCAATCACAAAAGGAACACTCAGTATGGCTCAGTTTAATATGCACTTGAAGAGAAAATAGGCCAGTCTGAAAAGGAGCAGCAAATGAAATATGAAGAGGTTTCTGCTGTGTGAGTATACATCTCTACACCAAAGCTCGAACAGAAGGTATATTTACTGTGAATAAGAAAACAGTCACAGTAATGCGGATAAAAAAAGAAACTGTCTCTTTTTTTCTTAGATCAATGATTTAGACTTCAATCACAGAAAATAAAAGGGTACCAGGGGTCAAAACGTTCAAACCGCTTCTCTGTTTTGCAAGTCAAAACTACGTCTCAGCTCAGCCGTCCAAAACACAACTCTTCAAATCTGCACCTTAAGATCCCCGTTTAAATGAACGTGACTTAACCATCTCTTCATCCAAATATTTCACATGCCATCTGATAATTCTGTCAACAGCAGAAAAGGTTTTTCTTTCTTCAAATGTGATTGGTTCCTGCAAAAGTGATTTAAGCGGAGTCTGTCGTCAAGGAAACAAGAAAATTTCTCCCTGAGTTTTATTTTCAAGCATTATTATTTACCTCAAAAGTTAAAATATGAAAATCCAGTTGATGCTAATCTTGTCAGTTGAACAGGAGTTTGAGAAACTGACACGTCTTCATACTTGTGGGGATTTTGCCAATAATGATGGATGAGCGATTAATCATCCTGTGCAACCCTCAGACCCTCTTCTATTGTGTCAGCCTGCTCAGTGTTGGCAGTGTTGTTGTCGAGTCACTAAAGCTGGAGTCCGAGTCCAGTCTCAAGTCCTCCTCAGTGGTCAAGTCCGAGCCATCAAAAGAAAAATCTGAGTCGAGTCTGAGTCGAGTCCTCAGTTCCCTAGAATAGCCCCAAGAGCCCAAGTCCAAGCATGCAGTCACTTTTATGATATGTGCAAAAATGTCACTACTGCAGAAATAAGAAATAAACCAGAGTCCCAATGCAGCCAGAGCTTCAGTCTGAGTCCAAGCGCACATCAGCGCACAAGTCCGGCATATCCAGACTTGAGTTGGACACTGACTTGTGGCTTTGGTAGATGTTGTAAACCACATTATGGTGAAATAAGTTTACTAACTATTGCAGCTACAGCGTATTCTGCAGATTGGTGTCCTTTGAGCAACATCTGACTTCACACGGTCAAATCTAACATCAGACAGGATGCTGCTGGCCTGGTGGTCTAAGAAGTCCACACACAGAGGTTATGATTCCAGCCCGGAGCTTCTCCCTCACATCTCACTCCCTGCTCACTCTTCCTTTATCCAGTCCACCTAATAAAGGCATGAAAAAGCCAAAATAATCATAATAACTTGTAAAATTTGACCTAATCCACTCAGAGGCTTGTGATGTTTGTCTTTTGGCCGTTTTAACTCCTGGCGTACAAACAGCCATGTTAGTCAGATTCATGACCGTACTCAGTGAGAGTGTGTGGACTCTGAGGTGGGCTCTCATTGTTGTTGAGAAATAAATCACCTACTTGACATTTGGCACATTGTTCAATCACCAATTAAGATATTATCTCAGACAATAAACAGAATATCGGACACTCCTACCCTTAAGTCCACAGTGAGTATAAATGAAGGTCCAGAGTTCAGGTCAGAGTCAGTTTCTTTCTGAGATAATAAACACTGTTAGTTACACATTATACATAGGTATTATTGAGTTTCCCTTTGGAGATCAATAAAGTTCTTCTCATCTCATCTTTCTTATCTTATTTGGCAGCACAAAATCAGCCAAAACTCACTGTAAGTAATACATTAATGATCTTCTCTCCAGACCCTGAAAAAGATTCTTCCTAGTATACTATCACACTGTTTTCCTTCTGCTGCCCATTTTTGCCAGCCTAAAGTTAGTGGAGCTATTTTGAAAAGGTGACATCACCGAGTTCCAACCAATCAGCATTCAGCAACATTTGAACGCGCACCTGATGGGAGTTGATCTGCGTAAAACCCACCCACAGTATCCTGATGAAGGAGCTTTGAGTGTCTAAATGTGTGAAACTCACGATGAGGGCGTTGACTTGTGCATCCTTCACCATCATTACACACAGAGTTTGAAATGTTTAGGCCGAGTTCGCTCGCAGCCCCGACGATCCAAGCTGCTTTTTACATTACTGCCACTTTTAATTGTGATTTCTCCACAATCTGTCAGTTGTCTCTTTCCTTTCATGTCCTCGCAGCGCTTCAGAGACTTTTTAGACATAGATAATTCATTGCACTTATCATCATGTCTTCTTTAATTCTCATCAAAAGTAGCATCAATGTCAGGTGTAGTCTAAATGAACCTCTTCTTGTGAACTACATTGAAATCAACATCACAGCAGCCTTTTAAGTCATCAGTAATGCAATGGATTTAACATGCAAAAACACTAGTATAGACTTAATGGTGTTTTCCAGGTACTCGTTTGGATCTACATTAGCCAGATCTGGAATAAATAGGCCAATTCATAATGTGTTTGACAAGTCTTTGTCCTTCAAAATAAAGTACATGAATATATTTCCACTCAACCTTCTTCTGATCATGAGAAATATTATATTAGGCCCATCTGGCGCCTTCACAGACTCAATCTAACCACAAATAGACAGTGAAATGATTAAATGGGCTCAGTCTTTGGGGAATCGTGAGAAAAGGTGGACTAAGAAAGAGTTTGGTCTCAGCATAAAATCAACAGCATGAAAAGATGAGGGTTTATCTTCTCCCTGAGTCGACTGATTGGTTGTTCAAATGAGAAAATGGGTGGACAGTCAATTTGGAAGCTGATTTCAAATGAAAATACAAGAGATTTAGTGAAATAAAGCAGGGCTGTGGTCTGTAGTAGTGCAGTATTATTATAAAAACACAAACCCAGCTTTTTTAAGGGTTCTTCTGATGCTAAAATTTCCTAGTTATCATCCCCCAGTTTTACCCCAGTTATTAAGAGGTCACAAGCTACAGAGGCTGTCACATCTTTATGACCCCAATACAATCATATCCGAGAAAAGAATCAGCACACGTTCAGTGAATGATTAAACACAGACCTACTTTAACATTTAGGAGCTTCAGCTTGTCTTGAAAAGAAGTTTCTGCTTCTGTTCAAGCTCCACAAACTTCCTGCCAACTTTTACTTTTTCCCATTATGATAAAAAAAATAAAAGCCTCCATAGAAACTTCATTACTGGCGTTTAAATGCATGACACAGTTCAGAGGACTAAGAGGAATTTCCGTCAGCTCGGTGTTTTAATTTTCATCCTTTTAAGCTGTTGGAAGTCAGAAACACTTCCAGACTCATTACCGGCTGTTTGTTTAGTCTCTGTCTGTTTCAGCGGCTCCTACCTGCGCCTGTGGCCGCTGTCTCTCCTCCTTCTCTCTCCTCCGTTTTCTCCCTTAAAGTCCAACTTCAGTCTGACTGTTTCTCCGTGTGAGGACCAGGTCTGAGTGAGGCAGACTTGAAACAGGCCCTGAAAGTACCTGAAACATGAGCTCTTTTCTTTCTCAAACCCCCGCTGGCAACAGGTGTTCGTTTCACGTACAGGTGACAGTGAAGCATCGACGCTCTCTGCTGTTCCCTCGCTGAGCTCTCCCCCCCTCGACACACCCCGTCCTCCCCCCTCCTCTGGCTGTTACTGCTGTCCTCCTGTGTTCAAATGACTCAAACCACATTAATGGAAGTCAGCTCCACAGCCCTTTAAGCTCTTTAATGTTTGAAGCCGATGCAGCTTTAATGACAGTTTGTTTGTACAGGATGAAACGCTGTTTTTCTGCCCCTGATCCCTGATGGTATCCAACTCATGTTAGCCACAAGAGGGTGTCCTTTACCTGATGTTGGAGGCCAAACCAGGAGACAGAGTTTGAAATGCATTCTTGATAAACTTCCAAGATAACCCTGGATAATCTCACAAACATGTATCATAAGTTATTTTCTTTAACACAACACCTTTGCTTAGACTTTTACAAGCTAATAATCTTTGTCTTTATTGTGATGCCTATTTGTGGTTTTAGGCTACATGTGCGTGTGTTTGTCTAATACCTACCTGCTTTATCCTGTAAGTAATTCGCATTACTCGGTGTTTACTCAGGGAGCAGGGGTAAAAAAAGGGCAGCTATTGTGTGCCACTGTTGGAGGGGGTGGGAACTTATTTCTAGACTCACGTTTCTGTGAATGAGGAGCTTTTTTTGTTGTTGTTGTTTTCAATGTAAGTACTTTTACTCAATGGAAATAAAACTCTTGGCATAATTTCATGAGTTATTGATGAAAATGAGCAAAAAACATACAAGCCTTGCAAGTGCAGATCATAATTCTCCAATGTGAACAGCTCTCATCATCTTACCGAGTGGTCGCAGTCCAGTCAGAATATTAAAGAACTATTGAAGCTTCATTAAAATTACAGGTCAGAATGTTGTTTCGAGGCTAAAATCTGCTGGATGAGTCCCTTCAAATAAATATTTCATCTTGTTTCAATAAACTTTGCAAAAATAATTAATTGCCACTCTTGCAACAATTTCCACTGACTATTATCTGTCAGTCCGCTCTGCACAGCCCGCTATGACTGTCCACAGTCTGCAATACCGACATAAGATACTGCAGAAACGCTCAGTAACTTCAGCCTCAAAGATGCAAATTACAAATACAAGCATAGGTTCATTGGTAAGTACTGGTAACTGTAGGTAAGACTTAAATGTAGTACTTTTGACTTTTTCTTAGTAGTTGTTGAATTGTGTTGTTGAATAGGAGTTGAATGTTTTCTTACTCTGACCAAGAAAGTTCTTCTTGCAGAATTTTGCTGACCATGATTGAAGTTACTAAGTACGTGCCCCTCCTCGGCATTGAGAAACAATTACATAATAACACTAATAACACTAATGCGGTTACACGGATCCTTTCAAAACAAAGAGTCCGCTGGTAAAATTCAGAGAAAGCAACAGAGGCAGCAGGTCGCCTGGAGACTGAAGAACTAGGCCGTTTCTCAAACTCTACTGAGGGACTAGTTTTCAGAGGAGACTTTATAACACTGAACACTAATCCTCTGCGTTCTGGGGAATACTTATGTGGCATTTAATAAAGTCTAAATAAAAACACAAAAATATTCATTCATACTTGACGAAAATGAAAGCTACTTCCTGCAAAACGCCCATTCTCCAACCGTGATACTCTTCCAAAGGTCTCCTAAAATTGAATCGTGTGATCCACGACTCATCACATTTACTCATGTTACTAAATTATGTAGCTTTTGTGTCTCAAACGGACTAAACAACCAGCGCACTAGTATTCAACACATGCTGTAAACTTTGAAGTATTTTTTAAACTTTAACTTCAGTTGATTCCCAGGTTAGTAGTTTTCCTTCTACTTCAGTAAAATGTCGTTGAAGTAACTGTACTTAAGTTTGAGTATTTCAGTTCTCCTTCCAGCTCTGTTGTAATTTAACACACACAGTCAAATAAAACAGCTGTTTACTGATTTAGCACTTCACTTACTAAAACAGAAGATTGTAAAGAGTCCCAAGGCTTTGTCACAAACCTTCTAAGGTCAAGATACCTACAGAACACTTCAGCATGCTGTCTCCGTTAGGAAGGCTTCAAACGTGACATCCTCTCTGCTGGAAGAGCGCCTCGGGGGGCATCTGTCGAACATTTTTCCTGTTGGAAGTTCTTTCAGAGAGAGCATTACTGTTTGGTACCTCTATGTTTTATCAGAGGGGTCGCCCCTCACACCCCAACCTCTGACACCAGTTTAAGTTGCAACCCATGCCCAGAGGAATCTCAGTGAATCAGACTGATTCAGATTACAGATTATATTTCTACTTTTATTTCATTCAAATCAAGCGTTTATAAAAAAAATACATCCTTCTTTCAAAACTTCAATACTTCATATACTAAGTAACACAGACCATTTAAAAAATATACTATACTTGAACAAAGTAATCAGTCTTTGGACAGTATAACAGAATCTTTCAGGAGGAATTTCAGTTTATATCATAAGTTTATATCATTTTAACTACAGTAACATTAAAATACTCGTTTCAGATAAACCAGAAGCTGTGCAAAAACAAAGATTCTCAGTCATACAACTCTCAGTCTTTCTAGCAGTAGTTTGTAAAAGGCCTCTGTGTAGCTTCCAGAAACACAGGATGTGTGCAGGTCCTGACTGAGCGGTGAATAGTTTTCAAGAGGAACAATTTTGCTGAATTATTGCAGAAAACTGCTGGTTTGACTTCCTCCACTCATTAAATAATCTGGTTCACTGTTGGGTACAAAAAGCCTCTAAGGTTTGCAAGCTTTTATAAGCAAGGTAGTAAAACAAATACTATCATTCTGGAGAAGAACATGTCAAACCTGCAGCCGTGCACTCATGAATAAACACAAGAGTCTACAGCAGGACAGCGACCCAGTTATCTGCTACATACATTCAAAAGCCCAAAGTAAAGAGCAACAGTCTCCACCAATCAGCTGCTGACACAGGGATCAGTCGCCAAAATCTGGGATGTCTTCATATGAGTAACCACGGTAACCCTTGGCAGCGAAGTAGGCAATTCTCAGATGATAAAACCCGGGGAGGAAAACCAGCAGTCCGATGATGATGACGGGGATGGTGCGGTCTGGATGCTAGAAACACAACAAAAACAGTCATGTGATGATAAGTAATCAGCTCATACTCCTTTTTATTAATGGGGTTAATTAAGTGGGGCTGTGTGTCAGAACCACTATTCACTCCCATACATCAATCTGAAGCATATTTTACTCAGTAATGAGTCACTGGAAGCAGCAGATCAGATTTTTCAAAGTATTCATCTCGCCTGAACGTATCCCAGCGTAACCTTCTGTCGGCGGAAAGACTGTGCAGAGGATCAGAGATTTGGTCACATGCAAATCATAAACCATTTTATATACAAAGCAGCGAACCATCAGGAAGCAGGGATGACTCTGCCAAGTGTAGTGTTTGATTTAACCACCAGATGGGAGTATTACTGTACCTTTGAAGAGGTGCTGGACAAAGACATATGTCCTTTCTGTGATGTGTATTGTGATATAAAAAATACAGGGATTTATATCAGTTATTTAGCATTTGAATCTTTTAGCCTCTTTTTGGTTTTTAAATCAAATCCCCCTCCTACGTTTACCTGACGGTGCCCTCGGACAGCAGCTCAGACGTCTGCATGAAGGAGCAGAGGCAAGAGGAGGAGACAGTTTACTCCATAAACTTAAAGCTTCCAAAAAACGTTCCTGTGAGTGGTAAAAAAAATCCATGCAATGTTCAAAATGATGTCTAATCTGCGTAACAAGCCCTGTGATGGTGAGTTAACTCAATGAAAACTCCACAGGTGGAGACACTGAGAGTAAACACTGCGGTCCTGTCAGTTCTGTTAATGAAAAACTCTGATTGTCTCATTTCTCCCCTCTGCAATAAGACTTTACAATGAACAGTAACAAAACTGATTTTACACCACCACTTTTTTTATGGCATTTAAATTGTGTATATTGTAGAAAGCTTTATTTTTTCTTCTCCCTTTTCTAATTTTTTTCTTAATTATTACATTTATTTAAGTTCTTAATATTAGGACCCTTATTGTTATAACTGCATTTTTGCACTTTTTGGCTTGTCTGTGATGCTGCTGTGACAAAAAAATTTCCCCCATGGGGGATCAATAAAGGAATATTCTATTCTATTCTATTCTATGATGGAGTGTTTGTTGGGTGTTTACACATGAACACAGACTCACGGCGGTCAGTGCTCTGTGTGTTCAACAGAGTTTAGTGGGAATGGTAGAGTGTGTTTCAGGTCTGACTGACCCGGTCATCGAACAACTTGGAGTATAACAATCACACATACAGATATCATATTTGCAATGTTTAAAAGACTCATCATTCTGCCCTTTATTGGCCTGCTAGTTTTTTAAACCAAACTAAATCTATCAAAATGAAAACGACTGGATATGAACTACCAAGACATGTTTGTCAACGGAGGCTGTAATAAGTGTAGCATTACTGACCAGGCATGTGCCGATATGAAAAATTTGATATCACGATATGGGTGGCCCAAAATATCACGATTCACGATATTATCACGATTTTAGCGCATTGCTTTTAAAGTTATTAAAAATGGCAAACAACTGTGAAATCACTTCTCCGTGCGCAGCATGACACACACAGACAATATGAGCAAGAGGCGGCTAACGCGGCGTTGGGAGCATTAGCTCTTTGGAGCTAAAGTTAGCCGTAAAACCTCCATACTGCCGACGAAACCTTTTTAGGATACAGCTGAGGCGTTTCGTCTTTCTCCGACTGTTGTCGGTCCGGCTGCATCGTTACGTTGGTTGGAAGTTGGAAAGTGTGCGTCAACTTTTTTTCTTCTTCTTCAAAGTGTTTCCGGTTCACAGAGTGGACACGCTCCATCAGTGCCTCGGGTGGACACGCATTTTGTTGTAAAATTTCTTCAATTTCTCTTTTAATGTTCCCGTTTTGTCAGGCTGGCATTAATGATGCCAGTTTGGGATTTCTACTTTTGTGGTGGTTTGTTTGTACATTTTGACACCGTGGGTAAGACTACAAGCGGGTTAGGTTGGTAAGTACTCGGCTTCGCTCGCCTCCGCTGAGTGACGCTGCCACTCGTCTTTAAATTATAATTGTGGGACGATTATGACAGTACCTTACGATTTCATCATCGCGGCCGTTTAATATCGCATATCGCGATTAAATCTTATATCGGCACATCCCTATAACTGGCAGTTCAGTAAAGAGCTGACTTATTTTAATCCGCTCCTTGTTTTGCTGTGTTTGCCACTGTTATAGTTTTTTGCTTTGTTTACGGACGACCTTGCCTTATCATAAACACTGTTGCCCAACAAAAGAGTAATTTATTCACATTTTAAATCAGGATTTCTTAAAAAATCCATCCATGTCCCATCCTTTTGTTATTCACGGCTTGAATCTTGTATAATTCACAGTATTGAATGTGCTTTTTCGACGTGCGTAGGTTAATTGGCAAGAAAAAGGCTTGGATGCTCCACGGCAGCCTTTACGTCAATTCAAATTTCCTTCAAATTTAAATATATAACATGAACATGCACATAGAGTCATGAGGTTAGGAAGCAGAAAGCACAACATGAGACCAAGTATAAAATATCAAAATCCTCAGACTTTAACACTCACAGACCTTTTTGGCGAGGAAAAGCAAGTGTGCGGTGAAAGTTGGCAGCAAAGCAGTGTAATGTCAGGACGACTGTTCAATTACAGATATTTAAAGATACGTTTCTCAGCAGAGTCAGTGTTTTAATTACTGATTGAGCGGAAATTTTGGAGGCTTTATTGGCTCTGATAGTGTGAGTTTGAAGTAGAGGCACAAATTACACTCAAACACTTTTTTGGTTCTGACTGAAATATTTTCATACTGTATTATCAAGTGACCCAAAACTGCCATGTTTCAAACCCTGGCAGTAAATGCCTGCTGAGATGAGCTGTCAGTTTTACTTACTCCTAAATCTACTTGATCCTGAATCCAAAATTCTGCAGAATATTCTGCCGGATATTTACTAGAGACGTGTTCTTGGACCACAGCTTGTGTTAAAAAAACAGTTTGGGTAATTTTTTCTGCTCCTTCTTGCCTTAAGAGAGATGAGAAAATTGTCCTCATTATCATGTAAGTGCAGAAAATGAAGCAAACAGGAAGAAAAGAGGCTGGTTCGGCTTTGTTTGCTTTTTACTTTGTGAGGAGGGAGAGGAGAACAGCTCTTTGTTTTCTGTTTTCAGAGGACTTCTGTGAAGATACAACAAACCAACCAACTATTCAGACTTGGAGCACCTATGTTAAGCTGGTAAGACTCTTCTTGTCCACCTCTTATGGAGAAAGCGAAATATTTGTCTCCCAACTCCTCAATTAAGACGCTCACAAGTGACTGGAAGGTCAGACTGATGAAAGTGCGTTCAGAAGGAGCCGTTTGAAAACTAAACAAAAGGGGGGACATTTTTTACAGCTTCCTTGGTTCACACAGAGAGAAGAACAGAAAAAAGGTTCGAAGTATCCTCAGAACAGGAATTACACTCAGAAAAGACAGGAGGCAGGCAGCTCAGGCGGAGACATTGTGGGAACAGGTCTGACAGAGTATTTACTGTCAGTTCTAGGAAACACAAATACTACAGGAGAATGTGACACGCTTGACAACGAGCTTTAGAGCAATAGTACAAAAAACAAACACGTCTCAATATTTATACCACAAACACATTTCACACATTTGAACGGCAGGTCCAACAACACGACTATAGAGAAGGATAACCAGGTAACGTCACACACAAACTTACCTCAACCTCGATGGTTCCTGACAGCAGGAGAGCCCCGAAGATTATCAGGAGGGAACCAACCAGAAACAGGAATATTGCCAGTGCTATCGCCTTGTACGGGACCTTTGGTGGGCTTTTCTTAAACTGTAAACATGTAATTATGAGTTAGTTTAACAATATCTGAGCTCAGATTTGTTCTTTTGCAGCTTCATGTGCGTCTCACCTGTAAGTCTATGTAACCATCATCATCAGCTGCCAGACGTGAATACTTGACTTTGTTGTTGGACGGTCCAGTCCCCAGTATGTTGCCTCGAGCTGCTTTCATTATGGCATAGGAACTGTTCGGAAAAACAGGAAAACATAATCAACACACGCATTTTCACAGTTAGACCAGCCGAGTAGATTTGTTTGTATGAATGTATATAAGTGTGGAAGCATGTTTCTTATTTTATACATGGGCAGTTTAGTGTACAGCTTATCTTTATTATTTAAAGGGGACAAACATATTAAAACTTATTAATAATTATGGAAAGATAACAAGTTTTATGCTGGTAAACAGAATACTATCTCAGTGTTACTGATAGAAACAAGTTGACCAATGATCGGGTATTAATTATTAATTTATAATTATTGGGAATTAATTCTCGATACATATCGTTATTGTTTTATCGCCCAGCGTTAGAGAGTATGTTACTAGGTACTGCAAAAAAGTGCACAGAATGCTTTCAACATTTACGTTCAGGTGATAACACACTCTTTTTAAAGATACTTTTGATTTTTTTATATTCGATTCTGCAGTGTATGTTCTTCTGAATTCTGTAAAATACCACACACTGCTACTTTATGTGAAATCTACAGTTTGCATGCTTTGTAAATAAGTAACTTATTTAATTCAACTCTTCTTTCTGTGAATTTGGATTAAAAGGAGCACATTTGAACCATAATAAAGGGCTTTACTGGTATGAAAAACAGTGGGAAGAGTGTCAAACAGGCGAAGGATTAAAATGAGGAAAAGTAGAGGAGTTATTCTGAGGGAACCTGGTCATATGATGCATGAATGTTTAATCCAAACTCCTGACTACAATGGTTTCTTTTAAGCAGCTTTTCTGTATATTTCTTCATCTTAAAATACAAGTCAAAAACATTTGTTAAAGTGTCCTGGAAGAGTGTTTTGGTGCTGTTGTAAAGTAATAAGTGAAGGTGTGCTCCTTCACACTTCTGATGACTTTTCCTGCAAATGTGTCATGTTGATGTGCTGAACCTGCTAAAACCTAAATATGAAACAGAATTAGTAAAAACTAAGCTTAGTAAAAACTGAGCTTAGTAAAACCCCTAAAAACAGACGTATCATAATAACAAGGCGAATCAGATCTGTCAGATTTACATCATTATATGAATTACAGCGCAGAGAGTGTCTTTATAACACTTCATAGTTTCATGTCTCAGTATAAAACGGAGTTTGAAAGGTAAACAGATGAGAAAACAGCTGATTTTACCTGCTTTAGTCCTCACTTTGATAATTACACCTCGACCTCATTAGCGGATCAACAAAAGCGGCCTAACAAAACCTCAGACTCTCAGCTGCCGCAGTTATTCACTCGTTTCTTCTCTTCGATCCCATCTTACCTTAAAATGAAGAATACTGTGGATTTCCGTCTCTTGAACGCTGCTCATGTACGATGCCACATCTACATAGTTTTCAAAAAGACGTCAACTTCCTTATTTTGGAGCAGGGCGCATGCGCAGAAACTGTGTGACGCTGCCATCTTGGTTAGGTCATAGACTAAAAAAATATTTGGTGTTTTATTTCATGTTTTCAATTTTGCATCTCAGGATTACAAGCCAAACGTGATTGGATTTTCTATGTCATGCTTTGATTTGTTTAACTCAGTATTTAGACTTGTGTAATTTTTATACTTTAGATTCAAATTTTAAGTCATATTTTGACCTTTTAAACCTGATGTTAACGTTCTCATGTATTTGCTCTTTAAATGCATTATTTTTCTGTTTTTAATATAATGCTCTGATCTTTTGAACTAATAAACAAAAATAGAATAAAAACTTAAATTTTTCTATCTTTTTATCATATTTGAATTTCAAAATGATTTATAATCGTTGCTATTTTTGTTACATATTTTTTTTAAATGAGGTTGACAGTTTTGATGAAATGTCGACCCTCTTTGGCCCTCAGGATAGACCTAAATCCAGATTACTGTGGTTGAGTTTGCCTCCTCTGTGTTAAGGTTTTAAATTCAGGTAAATGAACGGTAGTAGCCTAAAATGGCCACTAGATGTCTCTTTTGGGCTATTTTTAAAGGCATAATTTAGCAGTGTACCTGTATGTGAAGGTAAGGGGTATGAGCAGCCACCAAAATTATTAAGAACATTTTTGTTAGCTTGCTCCTCCCCACTGAGGTGATGTGGGGGACACAGAGGCCAGATGCAGTGTTAGGAAGATTCTCAGAGTGAAGATAGCTCTGATGTCAGTGAAAACTGTGATGATCAGGGTCTGAAAACTGTTCCCACAGCAACAGCATGTCCTGAAACCACAACAAACGCACCTCAACCACACAGAAACTTCACAATATACACCTGGAGTACAGGAAAACATGACAGTGAATATGTATTTAAACCGCACACAGAGACAACAAATTGACCTGACCTATAAGTGATTATTATTACTATTTTTTAATTATCATTAAGGATGTTATTATTATCATTATTTTTATTGCCATCATTATTATTGTGCACTGACAGGTGACTCCATATCTGTAACCTGTAAAATATGTCAGACAACATTTCATAAGGTCAGAGTCACTCTGGAACTGCCTGAAGAGATCAGACTGGAAACTTCCTTATCCTCTTTAAAATATGTTTAAAAACCCATTTTTACAAGTATGCCTTTTCTGGAAATGACTTTTAACTTCGCTCTTAACTTTGAAGTCTTAACCTCTAAAATTTTGTTTTAAATTTTTTTTAATTAAATTCATTTTATTATTGTTATTATCCTAATTACTTTTAACTTATTTGAAAAATAAAATAAAAATAAAACTTTAGATGTGCTGGGGTTTCATCTTTAATTGAATCCTAATTCATTCCTATCATCTAGAAACTGTATTGATGTGTTGCTGCTGCTTATTCTTCCTCTATCTAAGCACTGTGTAACTCAGTTTTAAAAAGTGGTATACATATAAAGTTTTAATTATTATTATTTATAATAAAAGGTTGAATGATCCAGTGTGACGTGCAAAGGCAAACTCAACAATACAAAGACCTTAAATTCAGGCAAATGTAAAGCAGTACCTTAAAAGAGCCACTAGATGTCTCTGTGGGTCTGTCTTTTCCAGGCAGGATTTAGCAACACCTGCACTTTGTTTGTCTATTATTATTATTATTATTTTTATTATGATTATTATTATTATTACAACAGGGTTGATACAGACATGAGACCACCGAGACTACTGTAGAATTTTCAGGTTATTCAGACCCTTTTGAGTCAAAAAGGTCAAGTAAACAAATTTTAGAATAGAATATTTATTGATGAATAGAATATTCATCAATAAAGGAATATTCTTCTCTAAAATTTGTTCACTTGCTTTGCCTGAATGCTCTCCCAAATCTTGAAGCCATTGCGCTTGTTTTGGACTGTTGCATATGTTTTTGAATTGTGTGGTTTCTGCATTTGCAGTGCATCTAGGCTTCTGACAAAGACTGTCAAAATAATATGAAATAAATAAACTAATAAAAAGAGTTACCTGAATGAGGTAAAATTTAGTTAAAAGCCAGATTAAAAAGGTACGAATTGTAGTTTAGGATGAGGAAAAAAAAATTCTGATGAGGCAATCTGTTGTGTAATTAATACAGAAGAGATAATATTGTTAATGAAGAAGTTAAAGTGTACTGACATAAGTCCTGTTTCTGATGCAATGTCCCTAAGAAACAAAAATACACAGTAAACATGAAGATTAGGCCTCTGGGTGCGAAGTCCACTGTACATCTGTATCCCCAAGACATCAAGTCCTTGTTGATGTGATGCTCTGGGACTAACAGACAACTCCTTCATCATTAAGCAGGAGTAAGTCAAGAACATACGGCTATTCCAGTGAGGTTGGGACATTTGGTCAAACATGAACAAAAACAAAAAACAATGGTTTGTGAATCCTTTTCCATCGAAATTCAGCTGAATCCACCACTAAGATATTTAATGTTCAAACTGATAAACACGATTGTTTTTTGTAAACATTCACTCATATAGAGCGTGTGAAGATCATGTTTTAGTAAAATAAAGAATTTTTGTTGTGGGTGTGCTTTTTATCACAATGCTACAAGTATTATTTTAAAATCTATGACGAATCTTTTCATGGAGTAACCATGTCCACGATTTCCAAAGACTGTTTGAAACGTGGACTCTTCAGACCACAGCAGACTTTTCCTTTTTGGGTGAGTCCATCTCAGATGAGCTCGGGTCCAGAGAAGCCGACGGTGTTTCTGACTGTTGTTGATGTCTGTCTTTGTCTTTGCATGGACTTGTAGATGTAGGGACCGACTGTGACGTACACAGACAAACTCTTACTGACCACTTTATTAGACACACCTTGCTAGTACCGGGTTGGACCCCCTTTTGCCTTTAGAACTGCATTTATTCTTTCTGGCATAATATTTAACAAGAGATTTTTGTCATTTCGATTTATTTTACATTTTCTTTTCAGGTTCATCAGGGATCATTTGTGGATCATCACTGTCAGAGTATTACATGAGAGTGTTGAATCCTGATATCAGTGCATACTTAAAGCTCGACAGTGAACAAGTTAACTAATTTGAAAATCTAATTCATAACCTGTTAATAAAAACTGCTTCCTGGTTGAATTATATTTTGTGTTGTTTTTATGAAAGTGATACTTTTTGGATCAATAAAATATGAAATTATTTTATATCATTATCACAGGTAGTGCCAGACAAACTCAGGCCCCATCCCACTAAACTACACACCCCTAGCTACATGGGACTGGGGTTACACATAGACCATATGGTAAGACATGCACTCATGTCCTCACACTGAGCTTAAAGACCGTCCTGATATAAATCTGGAACAGTGAAATGTGTAGGAAGACCTTGCAAAGCCTTGATAAGTTTATACTGGTCAAAAATGCATTAAATTATATCTGGACATGATCTCTTAAAATCAAAATGTGAAAAAAGGGAAGTGACTGTTAGAGGAGCAGCTTGACTACAGCTACAACCACATGTAGATTTACTGTGTTGTATCTATTACCTGTTTGTATGCCAACAAAGCTTATTTGATTGAACTGTTTTCAGGTTTAATAAGAAATGTACTGCTCATGTTTGGCTTCAGGGGTCTGCAAGCAAACATAGTCAAAGCATGTGAAAAGTTCTATGTCAGGGTTTATATTTCATTAATATCATGGAAATTACTTTTTTATTGATTGTTTCACTAAAGAGCTTTTTGTTTTCGTACACTAAATAAATGACATTTGTGAATCTTTCTCTAATCTGCATCCCTGTGATAGAACTGACGTCATGGAGAGGGAGTTTTTCTTGGCTATAAATCCCCAAAGGAATGATCGCACTGCAAACACGGCAGAATATATGAGACACATGTCTGACCTGCCATGAACACTTGGACCTGTTTCACTGCATCGCCTTCTGTCTTTTCAACACTGTTAGGACTTTTGCAAGTTTTAGCATGACTTCTAATGCTTCCACCATTGTTCTGTTTACACTGTCGGGCTTCAGTGCCACCGCTAACTACAGAGTTTTACTTTTCCTTCTCACTTTATTGTGTTATTTTGCAATTCTGGTGGTAAATGTTTCTCTATCTTTAACCATCATTTTGGATGAAAACCTACATGAGCCCATGTACATTTTAGTGTGTAACCTGTGCATCAATGGTCTTTATGGGACTGCTGCCTTTTATCCTAAATTTGCTTTCGATCTGCTCTCTGATACTCATGTGATATCATATGTCGGGTGCTTTTTGCAGATTTATGTAATATACTCGTATGCAACAATAGATTTCTCTGTTTTAGCTCTCATGGCTTATGACAGGTATGTGGCTATATGTCGACCTCTGGAGTACCACGTGATCATGTCCTCACGAAGGACAGCAGGACTCATTAGTCTGGCCTGGATTACTCCTATGCTCCTTGAAGTCGTTGTGGTTACTTTAACAAGTCGGCTAAAATTATGTGGCTCTCTCATACAGAAACTCTACTGTGAGAACTGGTCAGTTGTCAAACTTGCTTGTAGTTCAATGAGCGCAAACAACATAGTGGGATTGATAATAGTTAGCTTTTACTGTGGTCATGTTCTGTTCATTGTGTGTTCATATATGCAGGTGGTAAAATCAGCCCTGAAGTCCAAAGAGGGCAGGAAAAAGTTCACTCAGACATGTGTGCCGCATTTACTGTGTTTGTTGAATGTCACAGCTGCGTTACTTTTTGATGTCATGTACTCCAGGTATGGATCAGCGTCTGTGCCACAAAGTGTGAAGAACTTCATGGCTATACAGTTTCTAATGATGCCTCCTATTCTCAACCCCATTATTTATGGACTGATCCTTACGAAAATTAGATGCAGAATGGTAACTTTGTGCATGATGCTGCCGTCATGTCAGAATCTAAAGCTGAGGCTGAAAGTGTGACTGATGAAAGTTTAATCGCACAAATGCACACGTCAAATGCACAAGGAAAACATAAAGCCCCTGAGGTAAGAGTCAAACCACTTATGAGTTAATCAAGCTGAACTGTTCAGGGTTATCTAAAAGGGAAAGATCACGCAAAGTACACAAACGTTAAAGCAATAATGTTTAAACAGTGCCAACTCCTGCTTCAAACAAAAGTTCTGACTTGATCAAACTGATCTTCATCATTTAAAGTCAAACCTTTCCACCTGTCAGACTGACTGTGTTCTGGAGATGAAGTGTAAATATCCTGTTGCTACCAGAGACAGGTTAGAGTTTCAGTGTGAAGCTCATTGCAGTTTTAGTTTCAACTTTGATTGTTTGAGAAAGTGAATAAAGTTGATGTAGAAGTGTCAATGCCTTCCAGAGTGTCTTTTTTTAGATCCAGAAATCTTCATGTAAATTTATTTTAACTCACTTGTTGGAAGATTCTGCTAGTGTTTACCTTCTACATGTTCACAGTGAGAGTTAAAAACAGACCCCAGGGAACAAAGCTGGCTTTTGCCTCTTAACTATGAACCAAGTGTTCCTGTCTTGGAAACAGGGACAAGGGTTAGTGATTTCAAAATAAAACAGGAAGAACAAGACATGAAACATGAATGTGCCAAAATAAAGGAAACTTAACAGACATGACACTCCTCCTCCACCTCCAAACCAAACAGTTTCTTCTCAAACTACAGATGTCTTTCAGTCTTTTCACCCTGTTTCAATATTTACCCTCACTGAAGTGATTCATCAGATGAAACTGTCTCCTTGTGCTCTTGACATCCTGCCTGTGAGATTTCTGAAAGAGGTTTAAAAGCCAATCACTTCATATCTCCTCTCCATGATAAACTCATGGCTGATAGCTGGTACTCTTCCTACTGATTTAAAACAAAAAACAAAAAAAGTCAACCAACACTGAAAGAAAAACACTCAATAGACCCAAATTCTCTGCGTAATTTCAGACCCATTTAAAACTTCTGTTTCTATCCAAGGCTACTGTAAAAAAATGATTTCTGTTTTAAATAACAGTGAGCTCTTTGAGGAACTCCAGTCTGATTTTAGGGTGAAGCACAGCACAGAGACTTAACTCCTTTAGGTTTTCAGTGGTTTTGCTGATTGCTGTTGATGCTGAAAAATCTTCAGTTTTAGTTCTTTTAGGCTTGAGTGCTGCCTGTGAGACTGTCCATCATTTTATTTTAATGGACCGTCTGTGACACTGGGTCGGCATGTCTGCTTCAGTTTTAAACTGGTTTTATTTCTATTTACAGGACAAATCTTTTAGTGTGGCTATAGGCAGCTCACAATCATCAGTGTGAGACCTGTGGGGTTCCCCAGGGGTCGGTCTTTGGACCACTCCTCTTGTTACCCCTGGGTCATATCATCCATGTAAGTTTCCACTCATATGTTGATACCCAGCTGTACCTGTCTTATATTCCCAATGATTTTAACCATTTCAACAAAATAAAGAACTGTATCAGAGACATAAAATGATGGATGTCTCAGAATTTCCTGCGTCTAAATTTGTATCAAAATGAGTTAATGATTATTAGTCCAGGCTCAGCAGGAATGGGGACTCATCTGGACTCTCTGTCACCAAACGTTACAGCCAAATGAAAAATCTAGACATGATTTTTGAGAAAAATGATTTTTGAGAAAGATGATTTTTGACGAAAATGAGTTCTTGGGTGTGATAAAAAACAAATTTTTGTCAAAAATGGACTTAGGCCATTATTTTCATTTGGTGACGATGTCAGTGTTACTGTGCAGTCTTGATTTATGCAGCTGTTTGTATGCTGCACCCTTGGGAGTCAGGGAAATCGGCTGTGGTGTTTTTTGTCCGTTCAGACTTGCCGTAGTTCAGTTCCGAGTAGAGACGTCTTATATACCTTTTTCACAGTACGCGGAAGTTAGCATTCTGGTCACTTCTGGTGTTCGCGTGTGGTGGAGCCACTTAGCATCGTCCATAGATGGCCATTCATTTTTCACGATATTAACAAGTTCACGACTCGTTTTTTTGAAAGGTAAAGTAAAATTTTATGCTTTGTGCTATTTTACTAACTCCTGTTCTTCATAATACTGTCTGGATTTTGGATTTTTTTTTTAATAGTTCTGGAAATCGTTTCCCGTCTGCTCCTAAATATCCTTGCGTCTATCATGTCATATTACAAATAAATGACAACAGTTGTAGTTTAAAAACAAAAAAGACTCCCTGACATGGCCACTGTATGGTTTATGAGAAGCTATGAACTTCTACAGCAGAACAGAGCACAGCTGAAGCAGGCTTTAGCATCGATTTGTACCGCACATTTCCAGACCTATTAAACATAATTCCCGAAAGGTAAAGTACAAAATCCGGATAGTATTATGAAGAACAGGAGTTAGTAAAACAGCACAAAGCATAAAATTTTACTTTACCTTTAAAAAAAAACGAGTCGTGAGCTTGTTAATATCGTGAAAAATTAATGGCCGTCTATGGGCGATGCTAAGTGGCTCCACCACACGCGAACACCGGAAGTGAGCAGAATTCCGGTGTTAGCGTGTGAAAAAGGTCTATTGAGAATGTGTGTCTTCCATGCTCTCTTTTCTCCCTCTTTTTTCACAGTCTACCTGTAAGGGACATACGTCTGTAAGTAATGCTTACCTCGTCTTGTTGACTGTACCTGTGATTGTACGCTGAATCGGTTTTTGATGGCGTGGGAAACTTAAAAACCGGGGCGATGCTAACGCGTTAGCCGTTCTATGGCGTTTCCCATATATCGTTAGCATTAAGCTAATCCATGATCGCGGTAGTGACTGTTTATGGTAACTTCAACACACGTTTGTTGGTGATTGTGTTGTGTTTGACAGTTAATGACTAGTGTTTGATTGTGTGAAAGAGTTGAGAATAATTTGTGATTTTGTATTTATTGTGTTACAGTTTTACAGCTTCTGGAAGTAAAAACCAAAACGTCACATCGTACCTGCTAACTCCTGCGTGTATATTCGAGGGACCCGTTACTTACCTGCCAAGCTAGAGCCCACTCCTACTGAGGGCAGAATAGTTTGATAGTTTTGATCCAGAAAAAATCTGGAGATTATCACCCAAGCCGCTGTCTCTTCCCATTTGGACCACTGCAACTCTTTGTTTACATCTGAGAATTGATTTTTAAGATTTTATTGTAAACCAAAGTACATTTCTGATCTCCTCACTCCATGTCATACACCCAGCTCAAAGGGTTTTTGTCTGCAGCACAAGGGTCTTCATTATTGACATATTAACCTTCATCCACAACTGAGTGCATTAAGATCAATATTCAGATCCATCCAATAACATCATTAATATCTATTTGATTATTAGTAAGAACTAAACTGAGACAGCTGTTAGAATAGAGATTTCTTTATTGAGTTCATATTTCATAAACGTCCTTACATCAATTCTTACACCTGTATTCCTCCTCTTGAATTTTTCGTCCTTCTTTTTTCATTCATTGTGATTTTTCTCTTTGTTTGAAGTTGTAATGATGTCTTTTTTTTGTACTTACTGTTTTTATTTTTTATTTTTTTGAACAATACAGCAAAAAAAAAGCACACCATATATACATGTACTCTTACACACACATACTCACTCACACACACACACACACACACACATAACACATAGGGGGTGGCCCAGTACTGAGCCGGTCCAGAATGTAGCAAAATATCACTGCCAACTCCTGTTCTGGATCTTTAGAGAGATCACCAGTCTCTCATGCCTTCCTGCAGGCCCACAATGATAAGGTTGTTCCTCCAGCTGTGTGACTTCAGGTAAGACACTTTGGCTGTTAGATTTTTTATCTCCTTTGCACTGTCTTGTATGACTTGCTGCTGACTGGCTAGTTTGTCCTCCTAATACCTGATGCATTTTTCTGCGTTCCCCACTCTGTTCACACTGGCCCGGAGATATTTTTTTTATCTCTTTCATTGAGTTACTCAATTCGTCAAACTTCTGTTGGAATGAGTCTTTCATCAACGTAAGCTGTGCCAGTGATCTTTGGCCCAGGCAGGTGGATATTCATTGTCTCCCATACTTTATTTAGTTGAACGCCAGACAGCCTCTCGTTGTTTCACCGTCTGTCTTGCCACTCCGGGGCGACCTTGACTTGCCATAAAAAGCCAATTCTTTTTTTGTGAAGTACCTTCCTGTTTTTTTTTTTTTTTTTGTTATGTTTTGTTTTGTTTTGTTGTTTTCTTTGCTTGTTTTTCTCAAAACATTGAGTTTTTTGAAACTCCAGCTCCAGATTTTCATGTTTTCTGTCTTCACTTCTTTCTAGTCCTCCATTCAGCTTGACTCTGATTTGTGTGTGTGTGTGTGTGTGTGTGTGTGCAAACCAGCCTGCAGTCTCATGGGGATATGGCATTCATCAGTTTAAACACAGGTGTGAATAGGCCTGTCACGATAACAAATTTTGCTGGACGATAATTGTGCTACAAATTATCGCCGATACACGATATTATTGACACCGTTTTTAAAATTATAGATAATGATATTAAATGGCATAATAATGCGAGTACACCGTGTCAAAAGTGATAAACTTTCATTTCACCCACGACGAAGACGTAACGTTGACGAGCTAAACATAAGTCGGAGATGACTAAAATGTGACGAGACGAAAGTGCGTTTACGTTGATGGGACGAGACGAAAATGATGAACAGAGTTGCAAAAGTCAGTCAGTTAAACGCTAAACATACAGGAGCAGCTTCAGTCCGCTCTGACAGCTCTCATCAGCCTGCTGTGCTCCTCCAACACACAGACACACACGCGCGCGCGTGCGCACACACGTGGAGTTTTGTGGTTGACGGAAACAAAAGTGGTTTAAAGCCGAAATATTCCCACACTTGGGCTGTTGCGTTCGGTTTAGACACCAAAGCTGTCGTGTTCATTCTGTTAGCTTGCTTTTCACTCACGACGCTCACTTGCAGCACTGTATCCAAAAGTCTGTGTCTGTGTGCCTGTGCGCGCCAGCCCCCCTCGTGACAAAGACACTGAATGACTGACAGGAGGGTTCACTAACTCCGTTCATTCCGCTATAGAGCCAACGCCCCCAGGTGCCGAGAAAAATGGGCAGAGTGAGACCTCTTCTCTCATCCAGCGTGTTTAGTAGCGAGAGAGGAAGAAAACAAACGCACGTCAATTATCGAGGCTGGCAAAATGACCGACCTCGTTTTTATTTACCGAGCGATAAGGCGATTTATTGATTATCGCGACAGGCCTAGGTGTGAACACCTGAGCAGGTGAAGAAGAGTTTCATGAGTCTGACTCCGACTGTTCAGACAAACTTTCTGATCAATACAGTGAAGAAAAATGTGCTGAATGAGGCGGATTTTTCCCCCATAGAGACAGAAATCAGTCCAGTTCAGTGAGTCAGTTTGACATGGAGTCCTGCTCTTTGATAACAGACATTCAGACTGATGTGACAGGATACAAACAGTCAGATAATCAGCTGAAGTCTGTGTTAGTGCAGAGGGTCAACTGTTCTTCAGCTGCTGTTTGTGTAGAGAGGAGGAGACTCTCCCTCCGACACAGAACACAAACTCACTGAGGAACCAAGAGACCCGAACCTAAACCCAGGATAGAGAGGTTTAGTGAAGGTGGTGTTGAAGGTGTGGAGGTGGATCAGTGTGTCAGAGGAGACTCTGTAGAAGGACAGAGTACCAGCAGGACAGTCCACATACACTGCTACTCTGTCAGAGACAGAGGACGGGGGGAGAGCTGTTTCTGTATTATTGTGACTGACAGAGTAACCTCGATCAGAGCAGAACAGACTCCAGGACTGATCATTACATCCGAACAGTCATCACTGTTTCCTTTCCTCCTGATTCCTCTGTAACTCACTGATATATCAACCTCTCCTCTCCACTCGACCTCCCAGTAACAGCGACCAGTCAGACCATCTCTACACAGAAGCTGAGGCCAGTAGTCAAATCTGTCTGGATGATCAGGATATGACTGATCCTCTAACACACGTGTCACCTTCCTGTTGTTTTCAGACAGTCTGAGGAATCTGTTTACTGTGTTTGAGTCCAGTGTGAGTTCACAGGAATCTGACAGAGAGAAAAAGACACAACACAGCAGCAGGTTATCATCAGACACACCTGAAGGCTTTCTTCTTTGTTAGCTGACAGTCTGCTGTTTGGTCATCAGGAGTCAAACTGATTCAACACTTACACTTCTTCACACCAGGTTTTAACCTCTGCTCTCCACCATGGTCCACCCTGGAGGAAGAAACACAGTCAGAATGATTGAGTGTCCAACATGAGTCCTACCTGCTGTCCAACATGAAGCAGAGTTCCTCAGTTTGTCCCTGTGACAGAGAAACAGGCTGAAACTCATCTGAGCCAACAGTCTCCATCACTCTGTCACTTTTTCTGATAGAGAGATGAAGATAGAGAGATGAAGTAGTGGGCTCTCTTCTTCTAAATATGAATGAAGATGAAATGAAAGCTCTCAGATGAACTCATGTGAGTGTGTGAGGCTCTTCTTGGATCATTCAGAGTCAGCTAGAGCAGAGGGAGTAGGAGCATCACACCTGGAACAGCAGGTGGATTTCCTGCAGTTTGGGATGGACAGGAAGTGGAGCAAAGTCAGAGCATGTCTAGACTATCTGATCTCCTCTGAACCCACTTCTGCAGCCAGTACTTTGAGTCCATGTTTCTGACTGAGGGTGGATGTATGAAGGAGGTGTTTCTCTGTAGCTCTGAGGGTTTGTTTGATGGCTCACCAAACAAAGAGAGCAGAAAATCAAGAAGAGAAGACCTTCCCATGTCAGCCAGGAGAGTTGATCCTGGTCTGTATGGATGAATGAAATAAAGGATCTGGAGGAGATCTGAATGTTGTTCTGCTCTGATCATTCAACTAGATGTGAACCTTCATCTTGTAACATCAGGTGTAATAAAGCATCTTCTCTGAGTTCTGACGTGGGCTAAAGGACTGTCAAATGTGTTTGAACTTCAAATATGAGCCCATCTCTCTCCTGATCATCTCTGTTTTTAGTCTGTGTGTCTGTTCATCAATCAGGGAGCTGAGAAATGACCACAGAGTCACAATATCCAGGTTTGGACCTCTTTCAGCCTGGAACACTGGATAAGGTCTATTCTTCCTCATCTTCTATCATCTTCACCTCCCTGCAGACATCTGCATGTAATAGACCAGGTTATAACCAATCAGAGAGCTTGTTTCATGCCTCATCTGCATGCATGGTTTTACCAGCTCAAGGCCCAAAGTGTGAGAGAAGGAAAAATGGAGAGGAGGAACGGAAAGATAAAAGACTTTGATAATCGATTATTTTACAGGAAAAGGAAAAGCAGTTAGGAAATGGAAATGAAAATGTAAAGAGGAATTGTCCTTTAAATGTCTGATTTAAAGCTGTATTCTTACCTCAGATTGTCAACTCACTTCTTTATTTCTCTCCTTTGCATTTTCAAACAGATTTTTCAACTATTGATAAAGGAATTCATTTATGTATTTTAAAATCATAAACTGTTCTTCATTTTTAAAGATTCATTTGCAGAATCTTTTTTATAATTCCTCTATTTTTTCAAGGATGAACTCATGAATCTGGAAACCTGTTTATGAATTTATGTTTTAATAATACAATAACTTTTTAAATTAAAAATGCTTTATTTCCATTTCTGCGACCCCTGTGGTCCTCCATAAAGAGCAGATAAAAATGGTTCTTCATATTCTAAAGATTTGCCATTCCTGTCCTTCCAAATATCAACCACCATGTCCTCCTTTGAGACCAGAAGCAGAGGGACGAGTTCCTGCAGTTCAGAACAATGTGACAGCTCTCAGAAGAAAACTAAAAAACTGTTGAACAGAGGAGGATTCAGACTGGAAGACAAACCTACAGTTCAGCAACACATTTTAGAGCTGGGCCATTCAGAGAAGATACTCATCCAGGTTCCCAGTGTTGCAGACAAATAGCTGCTGTTATTGTGTGGAGGAGGAGACAGAATGACAGACACACTTCAGTCTGAGTCAAAGTCATTTCTCATGTTGACTGTTTGAGGGTTTTTTTGATTAATGTTCTCCTCTACATGGATGACATCAAGCTGTATGTCAGCAGGAACAAGATCCAAACCATCAACACCTACGCTCTGACAGTGATCAGATACCCTGCTGGCATCACAGCCTGGCCAAAGGAAGAAATAGAGACCACTGACATCAAGACAAGAAAGCTCCTCAAAATACTCAAATGGAGGTTTTCACCCTAAATCCAGAACCCTGAGGATCTACACTAAGAGGAAGGAGGAAGGCTGAGAACTAGTGAGCATCATCAGAGCTACTATCCAGGATGAAACAGTTCACATCCAAGAGTCCATCAGAAAGATGGTCCACAATGATGACCTGCTAAGTGAAGACCTCAGGCAGCAGAAACCAAATATATCTGTAGTTGTCTATGACTCAGTAACTGTCTGGTTATACCTCAGTGTTTCCAGTCTCCATAGAGGATCCTTCAGTCCAGCAGACAGCAGTTTTACTCCTGAGTCTCCTGGATGATTGTAGCTCAGGTCCAGCTCTCTCAGGTGTGAGGGGTTGGAGCTCAGAGCTGAGGCCAGAGAAGCACAACCTTCTTCTGTGATCAGACAGCCTGATAACCTGGAGTCAAAAAAATATATGAAACAAGGAAAAGTACCAACTTTAGACAATTTCATTCAAACAACAACAAAACATAATCAGCAGAAAACCTGACCTGAGAGTTTCCAGGTTACAGTGAGGACTCTTCAGTCCAGCAGACAGCAGCTTCACTCCTGAATCCTGCAGGTCATTGTTACTCAGGTCCAGCTCTCTCAGACTGGAGGACTGGGAGCTGAGGACTGAGGACAGAGCTTCACAGCTTCTCTCTGACAGGTTACATCCACTCAGCCTGAAGAAGAATCAGTGATTAGCACAGACACAAAGTTTCATCTCTCATGAACAATAATGTTTCATCTCTCATGTGTCCACCTACAGAGCTTTGTTGGAGGCTTTGACCACTGGCAGCAGCCTCAGAAGACCCTCCTCTGAAGCAGAGTATTTCTTCAGGTCAAACACGTCCAGATCTTTTTCTGATGACAGTAAGATGAAGACCAGAGCTGACCACTGAGCAGGAGACAGTTTCTTTGTGGAGAGACGTCCTGATCTCAGGGACTGTTGGATCTCCTCCACTAGAGAACGATCATTCAGTTCATTCAGACAGTGGAACAGATTGATGCTTTTCTCTGCAGACAGATCCTCACTGATCTTCTTCTTGATGTAAAGGACTGTTTTCTGATTGGTCTGTGAGCTACTTCCTGTGTGTGTCAGCAGACCTCTCAGGAGATTCTGATTGGTTTGCAGGGAAAGACCCAGGAGGAAACGTAGAAATAAATCCAGGTGTCCGTTCAGACTCTGTAAGGCCTGGTCTACAGCACTCTGATGGAGATGTTTCAGTTTTGGTTTGACACTGAAGATTTTAGAGATTGAGGATGTTGGTCGTTTGTCTTCTTCCATCAGGTTGACTCTAGAGTTAGTAAAGGTCAGGTGGACATGAAGAGCAGCCAGAAACTCCTGAACACTCAGATGGATGAAGCAGAACACCTTGTCCTGGTACAGTCCGCTCTCCTCTCTGAAGATCTGTGTGAACACTCCTGAGTACACTGAGGCTGCTCTGATATCCATGCCACACTGAGTCAGGTCTGATTCATAGAAGATCAGGTTTCCTCTCTGCAGCTGCTCAAAAGCCAGTTTTCCCAGAGACTCAATCATCTTCCTGCTCTCTGGACTCCAGTGTAGATCAGTCTGAGCTCCTCCATCATACTTGATGTTCTTCAGTTTGGACTGAACCACCAGGAAGTGGATGTACATCTCAGTCAGGGTCTTGGGCAGCTCTCCCCCCTCTCTGGTCTTCAGCAGATCCTCCAGAACTGTAGCAGTGATCCAGCAGAAGACCGGGATGTGGCACATGATGTGGAGACTTCTGGATTTCTTGATGTGGGAGATGATTCTGTTGGCCTGCTCCTCATCTCTGAATCTCTTCCTGAAGTACTCCTCCTTCTGAGGGTCAGTGAACCCTCTGACCTCTGTCACCATGTCAACACACTCAGGAGGGATCTGATTGGCTGCTGCAGGTCTTGTGGTTATCCAGAGGCGAGCAGAGGGAAGCAGGTTCCCCCTGATGAGGTTTGTCAGCAGCACATCCACTGAGCTGGACTCTGTAACATCAGTCAGGACCTGATTGTTGTGGAAGTCCAGAGGAAGTCGACACTCATCCAGACCGTCAAAGATGAACACGACCCTGAAGTCTTGAAAGCTGCAGATTCCTGCTTCTTTGGTTTGAGTGAAGAAGTGATGAACAAGTCCCACCAAGCTGAACTTCTTCTCTTTCAGCACATTCAGCTCTCTGAAGGTGAATGGAAATGTGAAGTGGATGTCCTGGTTGTCTTTGTCTTCAGCCCAGTCCAGAGTCCACTTCTGTGTTAAGACGGTTTTCCCAATGCCAGCCACTCCCTTTGTCATCACTGTTCTGATTGGTTCCTGTCTTCCAGGTGAGCCTTTAAAGATGTCTTCTTGTCTGATGGTTGTTTCTGGTCGCTCTGCTCTCCTGGATGCTGTTTCAATCTGTCTGACCTCATGTTCATGGTTGACCTCTCCAGTCCCTCCCTCTGTGATGTAGAGGTCTGTGTAGATCTGGTTCAGAAGGGTTGGGTTTCCTGCTTTAGCGATCCCCTCAAACACACACTGGAACTTCTCCTTCAGGTTGGACTTGAGTTTGTGTCGGACCTCTGCAGCAGCAGATCCTGAATGAACAAAAAGAAATGTGATGAATCATCTGAAGCTACAATCAGTCTGATGAATTTACACTTGAAGACATCAGGATGGATTTGATTTCCCTCCTCTCTGAAATCTCTTCAGCTCATCAGCTGTGATCAGTTTCTCTCAGTTCATAGATGTGATACAAATGTGTGCATCATATGAACAGCAGAGTCTGAACTCTAAACCTCTCCCATGTTGTCTCCATCATGTTAAATCTCTTCAAATCCTCTTACTTCTCTGCAGACAGTCAGCCAGCTCCTCCTGCTTCATTCTCCTCAGGAAGTTCACAGTGATCTTCAGAAATGCCTCTCTGCTCCTCCTCTGCTCTTCATCCTCATCCTCCCTCGGACTCTCTAAGTATTCTGGTTCATCTGGACTCAGAACTCTCTGGATCTCCTTCAGCTGCTCCTTTACAAAGCTGATCATGTTCTCCTGGAGCAGCTGGAACAGAACAAAATATGAACTTGAACTTGTAGAACTGAACATCAGATCATCTGTGACAGACAGAAAGCCTGCTGGTCTACAGAGTCCAGCATGGAGACTAGATCACAATGCTGCTTCAGGATTGACTTTGTAGATGGTCCTGTCTTCTACAAATCCAGTTTCTATGACCTGACCTTCATACTGGAGAAACCTCAGTGAAACTGTGAGTGTGAAGATAATTCAGGCAGAGATGATGTTTGCAGAGTCATTAGGAAACAATCCAGAAACCTCCAAATATACTGAGTGTCTGCTCTGATGATCAGTAGGAGCTGTGTTTGTACATTTACACCTACCATAAATATGGAGTCCAGCTGTGTTTGATGCTGCTGGGCAGACTGACCAATGGGAACCTCTGATCTCTGCTGCTGAACTCTGTGGAACAAACAGAATCTAATGTAGTGGATATAATATAAGGAGACACAGGGTTACATGTGAGAGAGTCTATCTAGAGGATCCTGGTAGAAACACTGCTGGATCCTCCTACAGACACACATGAAGATACATGCAGAGTCCAGGTCTTTGTGGCTCAGATCCTGTTTACTGCTGTTGGATCCTGATAGAAACACAAACCCTGAAAAATCTTCACCTTCACAGAGAAAACACTGACCACAGTTAGGATGAAAAGTTTCACAAACAAAAGAAAGTCCAGTTTGAAAGTCTCACCTTTGCTCATCATAGATCTCTCCATCTTTGAAATCAATAAATCGACCCTTAGACCGGTCACTCTTGAAGGACACACAGCTAGGTCCAGGTCCTGGTCCAGGAGAGTCTGGTCTCTCATGTTTGACTCTGACAGAAACAGAAACACTGATGAAGAAACAAGAACTCTGAAAATCTTCAAGGTTTGAGTGCTGCTGTTATAGATTATGAAAGTCTCACCTTTGCTCATCACAAATCTCTCCTTTGAAAAGAATAGGTTCATACATAGACCGGTCACTCTTAAAGGACACACAGCTGGGTCCAGGTCCTGGTCCAGGAGAGTCTGGTCTGTACTGCTGTTCAGGTCTTAGACAGACAGACAGACAGACAGACAGACAGACAGACAGACAGACAGACAGACAGAGGTCTGAGTGTGAATAATAGTGATGGTGGAGTGATGTGAGTGCTGAGCTCTGACATGGAGAAGAGTCATGGACAGTTGGAGATCCTCATCTCACCTCTGAACTTTGGTCTGGCTCTCATGTTCCCCCCACAGAGTGGTTTTAGAGGGAGGGGCCCCCTCCTCTCTGTCCTCACACTGATTCATAGCAGAGCCCCCACCTTCACACAAACACAACAACATACTCAGTCAGTTCAACCTGAGCCACATACTGTCCTCCACCACAGTGTCATTCCAGATTCTACCACCAGATGGAGCCACAGTTGTTTCTGTTTACTAGAGAGCTCATCTGGATCCATTCAGAGTCCAGTTCTGTTCAAAATGAAGAAGACGTGAAAACTTTCAGTTTGATGTTTGACAGAATGAAGAAAATACTCACCAGGTGAATCCAGATCCACTTCCTGTTTCACCTGTAGCAGAAAGACAAAGAGAGAGACTGCAGCTGATCGTCCTTCATCAGTTCATCATCATCAATAATCTGAGGACGCTGTCACACTCTCATCACTGAACAGTCAAAGTCTACAAACATGAACAGACATGAAATCAGTGACAAACACTCAGGAACCAGAGTCCAGCTCCAGTCACACAGCAGGACCCTGAGAGAGAGACCTGCTGTCAGGACGAGACAGAGAAACCTCAGAGTGATCCAGGATAATATCTGATGTGATATCTGAGAGTTAAACCTGCGTACATGTGGAAACATTCAAGTTCTCCTTCTGTCTGCTCCAGAAACAACCAACCATGAGAGATCTTCTGATAAGGAGTCCAATTCAACTTTGACTCAACCCCAAATCGATGAAACAGACTCAGAAAAATGACATTTCACCTTTGAAATGAAGGACAACAAATTTAATTCACTCTGAAATCAACGTCGCTCCTTCAAACTTGGACTTTCTGTCACATTTATGACACTAAATCAAACTCGGAGTGAACTTTGGCCTCTGTATTATTTTATTGGACAATTAAAACTGATCACTTCTCACACCCAGAGATGGATCCTGCTCTATCAATGATTTACTGATCATATTCATAAATATATCAGTTATATATATTTGTTTATCGGGTTTTTTGAGAGCAGGTCAAAGTAGTTTTCAGCTTTGTCCCTGAGCAGTTTTCTCCTTTTTATTCCAGAGGAGATCAGACAGCAAAGAAAAGCTCTCAGAAAAGACAGACATCATGTTCATCTGCTGTTGTTGATCGATCAGGTTTAAAGGAAAAGGTCAATACTCTGATCATGTTTAGGATCAGAAACCTTTCAAAGACAGGGAATAGGTTTATGTAAGCTGCCAATCAGAGCTCAGCTGATGGATGATGGTCATTTTAAAAGCAGCAAACTAAGTTGAAATCTTTGTTGAAATCGGAGCATTTGTTTGAAACATCAGAGTTTTTCTGAAACTTGAACCGAAACCTCAAAGTTCAGTGTTGGATTGAGTTTGCTGATGTGCTGCTGTAATTTAAGTGGTGTATGAAAAAGAAAAACTGGAGCATGTTTGATAGAAATAATCTGTATATTCATGTCCTAGCATCTCTTCATGGTCTGATTGTATTTCATAAATCATGTTTTTACTGATATGAGCGTTTCATATCTGGTGTTATCTGGTCTGGAGTTTGACCGTCTCATCAGTTTGATCAGTATTGTAAAGATGAAGAGTTATTTGATTGTTGAATGAATTGAACCTTGATGTTACTCATTAACAACAACTCCAATCAAAGAGACTAAATCAGAGAAAACAAGAGAGCGAGTAAAACACGAGCAGAGAAATAATCTGGACATGCTGTAATAAATACTCCAGAAACAGAGTATTGTCTGATCAATAACAGTGATTTATTTCATATTTTCTATCATGTCAGATATCATTTATGTTCATGGTGTTATGTTAGATGGTGTTACTGCAGATCTGTTTGTGTGCCTATAAAACTGGATATTCTAAATTAAAAGGAAATATTTCATGCTATTATTTTTATTTTTATTATTATTATTATTATTATTAGAATAGAATAGAATAGAATATTCCTTTATTGATTGAAATTTTTTAACTTTATTATTATTATTGTTGTTGTTGTTGTTGTTGTTGTTGTTGTCATTATCATTATCATTCATGCACATTATCAGCATAAGGACCCCAGAGAGCCTTTCCTCTGAGCTTATTTTCCACCTTCTTTCTGAGCAGCTCCTCACTAAACGTTGCTCCTGTGAAGGAGTTCAAACTGTTGCTGCTGTAGAGTGGACACTGACTGAAGTTCATCACACTGGTTGTTGACTGTGCAGCTTCAAGCGCCAATGACTGACTTTTATTACTGTCATAAACTTATCAAATCATAAAAGTGCTCAGCACACAAAGACTTTTTTACAAACACTAAAACCTTTTCCTGGTCTTTTTGCCTTCACTGAGCAAACACACAGACTGTGACAAAATACACCAGAACTTCTGAATTCAGTCTGATCTCTGTGACGGTTTGTTGGTAGAAGTCTGGGGTTCATACTATTGACTTATTTCTGCTCCTACATGTACATCTGTAAATCAAGGAGTCAGAAGATCAGACTTTAAACAGAGATTTTCTCCTTTCCTCTGTGTTCGCTCTGTTCCACCAAACAACAGGTCAGATCTGCAGCAGCTTCATGTGTGCTGTCCTCAGATCAGTTTAACAGACACTCACTCAAACATGATGAAAAGAGTGTGTTAGGTTACCTTCTGATGGGGAAAAGGATCTGCATGAAGACCACGAGTGACGGTGAAACCAATCAGCAGCTTCAAACAGGAAACCAAGCAGAGAGAGAAGAAGATAGAAGAGACAGCAGGAGGTTTTCAAAGGTCCCACCATTCACATCCAGTCCAGACTCTCTGAGTTCATCTTCACACTGAAGTTTTCTGGAAGGAAATGTGACACAGAGCAGCTCTGAACTTTGAACTCTGAAACCACCTGAACACCTGCAGTCAAACATTGACAGACACAATAAAACCTTCTCAGAGGGATTAGAAAGGTCTTATGGTGATCTTTAGACTCCCTGACTATCATTGACTATAAGAAATAACACAGAGAGAAATATAGTCACGAGTGAAACAGTGACACCTAGTGGACAAAAACACCTGAGACTGGACAAGTGAAGAAAAACTCACTTTCCCTATTTTTCAGAGAGATGACACACCTGCAGAAGACAGTTAAACTCATGAATCACCTTCTGCTCCTAAACATATAACAGATCTGACTCTCAGAGGTTTCTGCAGCGCCACCTTTATCATGTGACACACGGTGTTATGCTGCCCAACACATTACATTAAAACTAAAGAACCAAATGAACAGCCAATGAAAATAAGTCATTGAGAAAAAAACACAAGTGAGTTACAGGATGATATAGAGAATAAAACCCTCAAATGTTTTTGTAAAGCAGAGTTACATTCAAAGTGCATTTTGAAGTCTGTTATATACGCCTGTAGTCCCTCACACTGATACAGTCAGTGGGGTTTCCTGCAGTGAGTATCAGGACTGTGTGTTAATGTATGGTCTGAAGGATGTTTAAAGAAAGAGAGTGTGTGTGTATTGCAGACTGTAAAAAACACAGCTGAGAAGAGCTGCTCGGCAAGGTCAAGATGAATATGGTATGGAGTCAAGACAGTTCGTTCCCCACCAATGACAGTGCTGTCCAAGTCCTGTAAAAGACAAAGGAAATGTTGGCCGACTCAAATATCTGACTGCACAAGTTAGCCTCCAATCATGATACAGTGATGGAAGGTTTCCCATCCGAGGACCGGGCCAAGGAACTGAAAGACCTAGAGCTAGGAGTGGATCCTCTGCTCCTACAACGAAGCTTAGGTCTCAACTGGCAGCTTCAAACTGACAGCTTTACCTTCCCTGTCTCTAGAGAGGAGAAGCCATTTACCCGTAGGGGTATCATGTCTACGGTCAACAGCATATTTGATCCATTCAGGTTTGTGGCTCCGATAATAGTACAGGGCAAGGCACTAGTCAGAGAGCTATGTACTGAACATTGTGAATGGGATGCCCCAACACAGCACAGGGAACTGCGTGTCTTCTCCGACGCGTCCACCGTGGCAATCTCTGCAGTAGCCTACCTCAGGGCAGTCGACGACAAAGGACACAGTCACGTAGGATTCTGCATGGGGAAATCAAAATTAGCCCCATGTCACTCCCATACTGTGCCCAGTCTAGAGCTTTGTGCAGCCGTGCTTGCAGTTGAGCTAGCTGACATGTTGATGGATGAACTAGATGTCAAGATCCATGCCGTAAGGTTCTTCACCGACTCCAGGGTTGTGCTCATCTATATCTACATACCAACCTCCAATTCTATGTGTATGTTGCTAATAGAGTTGCACGTATCCACAAGTCATCACACAGAGCAGTGGCACTTTGTCAGTACAGACCACAATCCTGCGGACCACTGTACGCGACCAGTACCAGCTACACTTTTGGGAGAAACCATCTGGTTTTCGGGACCCTCCTTGCTCAAAAAAGACAATGGAGCTACACCATTTCAGTCAGAGTCCAATCCAGATATGCCTACCGTACTCACTCCCGCTATGCTCCTGACACAAAAGGTTGACTCTGTGTCTGCTCCTTCGGGAGATCTTGATCTTAAGGACCTCTACAGGAGTCAATGGCAAACAGATCAACCTAGTCTGCAGATTGGTGATGTGCTTTTGAAGGATGGCCAGGCCAAACGAAATGAATGGCCGACAGGACTGGTGGTGAATATATTCCCTGGTCCAGACAACAGGGTCCGCAAGGTGGAAGTGAGAGTCGTCAAAGGTGGCTCTCCTCAGGTGTATTCAAGACCTGTATCAGATGTAGATCTGCCGCTCAAAGGTATATAGTGGTAAAGCACATTATACCAGGCGGGGAGTGTGCTGCCCCCTTGGGAGTCAGAGAAATCGGCTGTGGTGTTTTTTGTCCGTTCAGACTTGCCGTAGTTCAGTTCCGCGGAGAGACGTCTTGAGAATGTGTGTTTTCTTATTTCCCTCTTTTTTCACGGTCTACCTGTAAGGGACATACGTCTGTAAGTAACGCTTACCTCGTCTTGTTGACTGTACCTGTGATTGTACGCTGAATCGGTTTTTGATGGCGTGGGAAACTTAAAAACCGGGGCGATGCTAACGCGTTAGCCGTTCTATGGCGTTTTCCTTATATCGTTAGCATTAAGCTAATCGCAAGATCGCGGTAGTGACTGTTCATGATAACTCCAACACGTTTGTTGGTGATTGTGTTGTGTATGACAGTTAATGACTAGTGTTTGATTGTATGAAAGAGTTGAGAATAATTTGTGATTTTGTATTTATTGTGTTACAGTTTTACAGCTTCTGGAAGTAAACACTAAAACGTCACATCGTACCTGCTAACTCCTGCATGTTTATTCGAGGGACCTGTTAGCTACCTGCCAAGCTAGAGCCCACTCCTACTGAGGGCAGAATAGTTTGATAGTTTTGATCCAGAAAAAATCTGGAGATTATCACCCATGCGGCTGTCTCTTCCCATTTGGACCACTGCAACTCTTTGTTCACGTCTGAGAATTGATTTTTAAGATTTTATTGTAAACTCTTAAAGCCCGCTCTGGTCTGACACCAAAGTACATTTCTGATCTCCTCACTCCATGTCATACACCCAGCTCAAAGGGTTTTGGTCTGCAGCACAAGGGTCCTCATTATTGACATATTAACCTTCATCCACAACTGAGTGCATTAAGATCAATATTCAGATCCATCCAATAACATCATTATTATCTATTTGATTATTAGTAAGAACTAAACTGAGACAGCTGTTAGAATAGAGATTTCTTTATTGAGTTCATATTTCATAAACGTCCTTACATCAATTCTTACACCTGTATTCCTCCTCTTGAATTTTTTGCCCTTCTTTTTTCATTCATTGTGATTTTTCTCTTTGATTGGAGTTGTAATGATTTCTAAAGCAGGTTTGTTGGTTAAGAGGTCACGTTGTTGATGAGGATGAGTAACAGTGTCGGCTAAATTTCACCACAACAAAGTTAATTTTATGTTTATCATGTCAGCAGACACACACAGACAAGAAGCACTGCAAACAAACAAGAGTCTGAAAAGCTCTCTAACCTTGAATAACACAAACTTAGATTTACTCCTTACTAAACATCTTCTTTGGAGTGACAGACAGATACTGGAAAACACTGGAATTATGTACAATAACAATTTTTTCATCTCCACAGCTCTGAATGGGAGTGAACTACATGAAGCACTTCGCCCAACACAGGTGCAATGAGCAGAGGATGTATCTGGAAAATACAACAGTGAGCGATTTGAACAGTCCTAATGAATGGGGGCTAATTAGCTACCGACCTTAAGACGAGGAGGATCGATACGGGCCGATCCAAAGTTTATAGCGCTGCAACAACATACGATCAGATCATTGACCTAAGTGGGCTGAGTAAAAAAGATCACAAGACACATGATCAATCAATCAATCAATCAAATTTTATTTATATAGCGCCCAATCACAACAGTTGTTATCCTAGGATGTTTTCCAATAAAGGGGCAGGTCTAGACCACGCTCAGTGTTTGATGAATTACCAAGACTCAAGTTTAAGATGGGACAGATTTGACCCATCTCATCTAACATGAGTGACAGTAGCGAGAAAAAACTTCCTTTTAACAGGCAGAAACCTTGGAGAGGACCAGACTCATGTTGGACAGCTACCTACCGCTGCTGAAGTTGAGGAGAAATAGACATTGATAAGGTAGGGAGAGAGGGGGAGAGAGGAAGTGGGAGGGAGGACAGGGGAGAGAGAAAGAGAACAGGGGAGTAGGAAGGAGAGAGAGAATGAGGGTGAGGGGGAGAGAGAGACAGGGGACAGCAGCAACAACAACAGCTCATGCAGAGTTGTGGTTGCAGAGCAAGTAATGATGAAAAAATGAATTCAGTTTACAAGATCAGGATGTAAGTAATTATGGAGTATGTTAAACTAATTTAATGTGATTACAGTCAGAAGGACTAACAGTGGTTAATTTTACTTTTATGTTATTAATGTCAGTTAGACTGACGTTCATGTCTGCAGCAACAGTCCAGAGGAACCTGAGAGAAGAAGCAGCTCAAGGCCTGAGGCGGACAATCATAAATGATGCAGCTGGAGTCAGGCAGGTCTGCAGCAGCCAACCATCTGTAACATCAGTCTACAGGAACCTGAGAGACTGAGGGGCTCAGAGACACACAGAGAGATCTGGTTGGTAATTAGACAGGAGGATATGACTTCAATGTACAGGATAAAGAAATCAATAATTATGGAATGTGTTAAATTAATTTAAGGTGATTAAAGTTGGAAAGTCCAATGGCGGTTTACTCTAGCTTAATGTTATTAATGTCAGTTAGGCTGACGTTCATGTCTGGGATGAACCCTCGAACTTTGTTGAGCAAATTAGAGAAGGCCTCGGACCCTACCGTCCCAGTTCAGACTCTTGAACTGGAGTGTCAGCTCTTTAAGGGACAGAAGATCAGGAAAAGTTTTGGTTGTGGAGGAGAGGGTCATGTGGGCTGATCGTGTCAGAGAAGAGTTGAGCACCACAGCAAGCTGCTCCAGCTGCCTCTCCTGCACCCTGTGATGGGAAGCCAGCGTGGCCCACCAGGGCTAAGGTAAAAGTAGGGCTCCTAAAGTATATATATGTATATATATATATGTACACACATATATATATATATATATATATATATATATATATATATATAGATATATATATATAATTTTTATTTTTTTATTTTCTTCATTAACTCATTAACCTGAACATGCAGACAGTGTGTGTGTGTGTGTGTGTGTGTGTGTGTGTGTGTGTGTGTGTGTGTGTGTGTGTGTGTGTGTGTGTGTGTGTGCAAACCAGCCTGCAGTCTCATGAGGATATAACATTCATCCATTTAAACACAGGTGTGAACACTTGAGCAGGTGAAGAAGAGTTTCAGGAGTCTGACTCTGACTGTTCAGACAAACTTTCTGATCAATACAGTGAAGAAAAATGTGCTGAATGAGGCAGATTTTTCCCCCATAGAGACAGAAATCAGTCCAGTTCAGTGAGCCAGTTTGACATGGAGACTGATGTGACAGGATACAAACAGTCAGATAATCAGCTGAAGTCTGTGTTAGTGCAGAGGGTCGACTGTTCTTCAGCTGCTGTTTGTGTAGAGAGGAGGAGACTCTCCCTCTGACACAGAACACAAACTCACTGAGGAACCAGACAACAACCAGAACCCAAACCCAGGATAGAGAGGTTTAGTGAAGGTGGTGTTGAAGGTGTGGAGGTGGATCAGTGTGTCAGAGGAGACGCTGTAGAAGGACAGAGTACCAGCAGGACAGTCCACATACACTGCTACTCTGTGAGAGACAGAGGACGAGGGGAGACGGAGGTCTGTTCCTCTGTTATTGTGATGGACAGAGTAACCTCCATCAGAGCAGAACAGACTCCAGGACTGATCATTCCATCCAAACTGACAGTCAACACTGTGTCCTTTCCTTCTGATTTCTCTGTAACTCACTGATATATTAACCCATCCTCTCCACTCGACCTCCCAGTAACAGCGACCAGTCAGACCATCTCTACACAGAAACTGAGGATAGAAGTCAAATCTGTCTGGATGATCAGGATATGACTGAAAGTCTCCCACACGTGTCACCTTCCTGTTGTTTTCAGACAGTCTGAGGTGTCTGTGTGCTGTGTTTGAGTCCAGTGTGAGTTCAGAGAAATCTGACAGAGACAAAAAGACACAACACAGCAGCAGGTTATCATCAGACACACCTGAAGGCTTTCTTCTTTGTTAGCTGACAGTCTGCTGTTTGGTCATCAGGAGTCAAACTGATTCCACACTTACACTTCTTCAGACCAGGTTTTAACCTCTGCTCTCCACCATGGTCCACCCTGGAGGAAGAAACACAGTCAGAATGATTGAGTGTCCAACATGAGTCCTACCTGCTGTCCAACATGAAGCAGAGTTCCTCAGTTTGTCCCTGTGACAGAGAAACAGGCTGAAACTCATCTGAGCCAACAGTCTCCATCACTCTGTCACTTTTTCTGATAGAGAGATGAAGATAGAGAGATGAAGTAGTGGGCTCTCTTCTTCTAAATATGAATGAAGATGAAATGAAAGCTCTCAGATGAACTCATGTGAGTGTGTGAGGCTCTTCTTGGATCATTCAGAGTCAGCTAGAGCAGAGGGAGTAGGAGCATCACACCTGGAACAGCAGGTGGATTTCCTGCAGTTTGGGATGGACAGGAAGTGGAGCAAAGTCAGAGCATGTCCTCAAACAGCCCCTCAGCTGACCTGATCATGACTGACAGGTCTGCTGCTGCTCTCACTGAATGTAGCTGTGTCAGTAAAGCAGTAGAGCTCAGCTGATGAAGCTCAATGAAGACTATCTGATCTCCTTTGAACCCACTTCTGCAGCCAGTACTTTGAGTCCATGTTTCTGACTGAGGGTGGATGTATGAAGGAGGTGTTTCTCTGTAGCTCTGAGGGTTTCTTTGATGGCTCATCAAACAAAGAGAGCAGAAAATCAAGAAGAGAAGGCCTTCCCATGTCAGCCAGGAGAGTTGATCCTGGTCTGTATGGATGAATGAAATAAAGGATCTGGAGGAGCTCTGGATGTTGTTCTGATCTGATCATTCAACTAGATGTGAACCTTCATCTTGTAACATCAGGTGTAATAAAGCATCTTCTCTGAGTTCTGACGTGGGCTAAAGGACTGTCAAATGTGTTTGAACTTCAAATATGAGCCCATCTCTCTCCTGATCATCTCTGTTTTTAGTCTGTGTGTCTGTTCATCAATCAGGGAGCTGAGAAATGACCACAGAGTCACAATATCCAGGTTTGGACCTCTTTCATCCTGGAACACTGGATAAGGTCTATTCTTCCTCATCTTCTATCATCTTCACCTCCCTGCAGACATCTGCATGTAATAGGCCAGGTTATAACCAATCAGAGAGCTTGTTTCATGGCTCATCTGCATTGTTTTACCAGCTCAAGGCCCAAAGTATGAAGAAAGGAAAAATGGAGAGGGGGAACGGAAAGATAAAAGATTAAAAAAATTAAAAGCAGTTAGGAAATGGAAATGAAGAAAAGGAGGAATTGTCCTTTAAATGGCTGATTTAAAGCTGTATTCTTACCTCAGATTGTGGATTTACTTCTTTGTTTCTCTTTTATAAAATTGCATTTTCAAACTGATTTTTAAACTATTGATAAAGTAGTTCATTCATGTATTTTAAAATAATAAACTGTTCTACAGTTTTAAAGATTCATTCGTAGAATCACTTCATAACTCCTCTATTTGTTCATGGATGAACTCATGAATTTGGAAACCAGTTCATCAATTCCTGTATAATAACCTTTTTACTTATAAATGCTTTATTTCAATTTTTGCGTCCCTCTATAAAGAGGATTTAAAATGGTTCTTCATATTTAAAAGGTTTCTGACCTCAGAGGAAACTAAAAACTGTTGAACAGAGGAGGATTCAGACTGGAAGACAAACCTACAGTTCAGCTACACATGTTAGAGCTGGGCCATTCAGAGAAGATGCTCATCCAGGTGCCCAGTGTTGCAGACAAATATCTGCTGTTATTGTGTGAAGGATTAATGTCCTCCTCTACATGGATGACATCAAGCTGTATGTCAGCTGGAACAAGATCCAAACCATCAACACCTTTGCTCTGACAGTGATCAGATACCCTGCTGGCATCACAGCCTGGCCAAAGAAAGAAATAGAAACCACTGACATCAAGACAAGAAAGCTCCTCAAAATACTCAAATGGATGTGTTCACCCTAAATCTAGAACCCTGAGGATCTACACTAAGGGGAAGGAGGGAGGCAAAAAACTTGTGAGCATCAGAGCTACTATCCAGGATGACACAGTTCACATCCAAGAGTCCATCAGAAAGATGGACCTGCTAAGTGAAGACCTCAGGCAGCAGAAACCAAATATATCTGTAGTTGTCTATGACTCAGAAACTGTCTGGTTATACCTCAGTGTTTCCAGTCTCCATAGAGGATCCTCCAGTCCAGCAGAAAGCAGTTTTACTCCTGAGTCTCCTGGATGATTGTAGCTCAGGTCCAGCTCTCTCAGGTGTGAGGGGTTGGAGCTCAGAGCTGAGGCCAGAGAAGCACAACCTTCTTCTGTGATCAGACAGCCTGATAACCTGGAGTCAAAAAAATATATGAAACAAGGAAAAGTACCAACTTTAGACAATTTCATTCAAACAACTATAAAACTCAATCAGCATAAAACCTGACCTGAGAGTTTCCAGTTTACAGTGAGGACTCTTCAGTCCAGCAGACAGCAGCTTCACTCCTGAATCCTGCAGGTCATTGTTACTCAGCTCCAGCTCTCTCAGGTGTGAGGGGTTGGAGCTCAGAGCTGAGGCCAGAGAAGCACAACCTTCTTCTGTGATCAGACAGTCTGATAACCTGGAGTCAAAAAAATATATGAAACAAGGAAAAGTGTACAGACTTTTAACAATTTCATTCAAACAACAACAAAATGTTATCAGCAGAAAACCTGACCTGAGAGTTTCCAGGTTACAGTGAGGACTCTTCAGTCCAGCAGACAGCAGCTTCACTCCTGAATCCTGCAGGTCATTGTGACTCAGGTCCAGCTCTCTCAGACTGGAGGACTGGGAGCTGAGGACTGAGGACAGAGCTTCACAGCTTCTCTCTGACAGTTTACATCCACTCAGCCTGAAGAAGAATCAGTGATTAGCACAGACACAAAGTTTCATCTCTCATGAACAATAATGTTTCATCTCTCATGTGTCCACCTACAGAGCTTTGTTGGAGGCTTTGACCACTGGCAGCAGCCTCAGAAGAGCCTCCTCTGAAGAAGAGTATTTCTTCAGGTCAAACACGTCCAGATCTTTTTCTGATGACAGTAAGATGAAGACCAGAGCTGACCACTGAGCAGGAGACAGTTCCTCTGTGGAGAGACGTCCTGATCTCAGGGACTCTTGGATCTCCTCCACTAGAGAATGATCATTCAGTTCATTCAGACAGTGGAACAGATTGATGCTTTTCTCTGCAGACAGATCCTCACTGATCTTCTTCTTGATGTACTGGACTGTTTCCTGATTGGTCTGTGAGCTACTTCCTGTGTGTGTCAGCAGACCTCTCAGGAGATTCTGATTGGTTTGCAGAGAAAGACCCAGGAGGAAACGTAGAAATAAATCCAGGTGTCCGTTCAGACTCTGTAGGGCCTGGTCTACAGCACTCTGATGGAGATTTGTCAGATTTTGTTTGACTCTGAAGATTTTACAGATTGAGGATGTTTTTTGTTGTTCTTCTTCCATCAGGTTGACTCCAGAGTTGGTAAAGGTCAGGTGGACATGAAGAGCAGCCAGAAACTCCTGAACACTCAGATGGATGAAGCAGAACACCTTGTCCTGGTACAGTCCTCTCTCCTCTCTGAAGATCTGTGTGAACACTCCTGAGTACACTGAGGCTGCTCTGATATCCATGCCACACTGAGTCAGGTCTGATTCATAGAAGATCAGGTTTCCTTTCTGCAGCTGCTTAAAAGCCAGTTTTCCCAGAGACTCAATCATCTTCCTGCTCTCTGGACTCCAGTGTGGATCAGTCTGAGCTCCTCCATCATACTTGATGTTCATCAGTTTGGACTGAACCACCAGGAAGTGGATGTACATCTGAGTCAGGGTCTTGGGCAGCTCTCCCCCCTCTCTGGTCTTCAGCAGATCCTCCAGAACTGTAGCAGTGATCCAGCAGAAGACCGGGATGTGGCACATGATGTGGAGGCTTCTGGATGTCTTGATGTGGGAGATGATTCTGCTGGCCTGCTCCTCACCTCTGAATCTCTTCCTGAAGTACTCCTCCTTCTGAGGGTCAGTGAACCCTCTGACCTCTGTTACCATGTCAACACACTCAGGAGGGATCTGATTGGCTGCTGCAGGTCTTGTGGTTATCCAGAGGCGAGCAGAGGGAAGCAGGTTCCCCCTGATGAGGTTTGTCAGCAGCACATCCACTGAGCTGGACTCTGTAACATCAGTCAGGACCTGATTGTTGTGGAAGTCCAGAGGAAGTCGACACTCATCCAGACCGTCAAAGATGAACACGACCCTGAAGTCATGAAAGATTTCTTCTTCTTTGGTTTGAGAGAAGAAGTGATGAACAAGTCCCACCAAGCTGAACTTCTTCTCTTTCAGCACATTCAGCTCTCTGAAGGTGAATGGAAATGTGAAGTGGATGTCCTGGTTGTCTTTGTCTTCAGCCCAGTCCAGAGTCCACTTCTGTGTTAAGACAGTTTTCCCAATGCCAGCCACTCCCTTTGTCATCACTGTTCTGATTGGTTCCTGTCTTCCAGGTGAGCCTTTAAAGATGTCTTCTTGTCTGATGGTTGTTTCTGGTCGCTCTGCTCTCCTGGATGCTGTTTCAATCTGTCTGACCTCATGTTCATGGTTGACCTCTCCAGTCCCTCCCTCTGTGATGTAGAGGTCTGTGTAGACCTGGTTCAGAAGGGTTGGGTTTCCTGCTTTAGCAATCCCCTCAAACACACACTGGAACTTCTCCTTCAGGTTGGACTTGAGTTTGTGTCGGACCTCTGCAGCAGCAGATCCTGAATGAACAAAAAGAAATGTGATGAATCATCTGAAGCTACAATCAGTCTGATGAATTGACACTTGAAGACATCAGGATGGATTTGATTTCCCTCCTCTCTGAAATCTCTTCAGCTCATCAGCTGTGATCAGTTTCTCTCAGTTCATAGATGTGATACAAATGTGTGCATCATATGAACAGCAGAGTCTGAACTCTAAGCCTCTCCCATGTTGTCTCCATCATGTTAAATCTCTTCAAATCCTCTTACTGCTCAGCAGACAGTCAGCCAGCTCCTCCTGCTTCATTCTCCTCAGGAAGTTCAAAGTGATCTTCAGAAATGCCTCTCTGCTCCTCCTCTGCTCCTCATCCTCTTCCTCCCTCTGACTCTCTAAGTATTCTGGTTCATCTGGACTCAGAACTCTCTGGATCTCCCTCAGCTGCTCCTTCACAAAGCTGATCATGTTCTCCTGGAGCAGCTGGAACAGAACAAAATATGAACTTGAACTTGTAGAACTGAACATCAGATCATCTGTGACAGACAGAAAGCCTGCTGGTCTACAGAGTCCAGCATGGAGACTAGATCACAATGCTGCTTCAGGATTGACTTTGTAGATGGTCCTGTCTTCTACAAATCCAGTTTCTATGACCTGACCTTCATAGTGGAGAAACCTCAGTGAAACTGTGAGTGTGAAGATAATTCAGGCAGAGATGATGTTTGCAGAGTCATTAGGAAACAGTCCAGAAACCTCCAAATATACTGAGTGTCTGCTCTGATGATCAGTAGGAGCTGTGTTTGTACATTTACACCTACCATAAATATGGAGTCCAGCTGTGTTTGATGCTGCTGGGCAGACTGACCAATGGGAACCTCTGATCTCTGCTGCTGAACTCTGTGGAACAAACAGAATCTAATGTAGTGGATATAATATAAGGAGACACAGGGTTACATGTGAGAGAGTCTATCTAGAGGATCCTGGTAGAAACACTGCTGGATCCTCCTACAGACACACATGAAGATACATGCAGAGTCCAGGTCTTTGTGGCTCAGATCCTGTTTACTGCTGTTGGATCCTGATAGAAACACAAACCCTGAAAAATCTTCACCTTCACAGAGAAAACACTGACCACAGTTAGGATGAAAAGTTTCACACACAACAAAAGAAAGTTCAGTGTGAAAGTCTCACCTTTGCTCATCATAGATCTTTCCTTCTTTGAAAGTAATCACTCGATCCATAGACCAGTCACTCTTTAAGGACACACAGCTGGGTCCAGGTCCAGGAGAGTCTGGTCTCTCATGTTTGACTCTGACAGAAACACAAACACTTATGAAGAAAGAAGAACACTGAAAATCTTTGAGGTTTAAGTGCTGCTGTTATAGATTATTACTTTTGATGATCAGACTGATGTCCATCTTTGAAAGTAATCACTCGATCCGTAGACCAGTCACTCTTTAAGGACACACAGCTGGGTCCAGGTTCAGGTCCAGGAGAGTCTGGTCTGTACTGCTGTTCAGGTCTTTGACAGACAGACAGACAGACAGAGGTCTGAGTGTGAATAATAGTGATGGTGGAGTGATGTGAGTGCTGAGCTCTGACATGGAGAAGAGTCATGGACAGTTGGAGATCCTCATCTCACCTCTGAACTTTGGTCTGGCTCTCATGTTCCCCCCACAGAGTGGTTTTAGAGGGAGGGGCCCCCTCCTCTCTGTCCTCACACTGATTCATAGCAGAGCCCCCACCTTCACACAAACACAACAACATACTCAGTCAGTTCAACCTGAGCCACATACTGTCCTCCACCACAGTGTCATTCCTGATTCTACCACCAGATGGAGCCAGAGTCATTCCTGTTTACTAGAGAGCTCATCTGGATCCATTCAGAGTCCAGTTCTGTTCAAAATGAAGAAGACATGTGAAAACTTTCAGTTTGATGTTTGACAGAATGAAGAAAATACTCACCAGGTGAATCCAGATCCACTTCCTGTTTCACCTGTAGCAGAAAGACAAAGAGAGAGACTGCAGCTGATCGTCCTTCATCAGTTCATCATCATCAATAATCTGAGGACGCTGTCACACTCTCATCACTGAACAGTCAAAGTCTACAAACATGAACAGACATGAAATCAGTGACAAACACTCAGGAACCAGAGTCCAGCTCCAGTCACACAGCAGGACCCTGAGAGAGAGACCTGCTGTCAGGACGAGACAGAGAAACCTCAGAGTGATCCAGGATAATATCTGATGTGATATCTGAGAGTTAAACCTGCGTACATGTGGAAACATTCAAGTTCTCCTTCTGTCTGCTCCAGAAAGAACCAACCATGAGAGATCTTCTGATAAGGAGTCCAATTCAACTTTGACTCAACCCCAAATCGATGAAACAGACTCAGAAAAATGACATTTCACCTTTGAAATGAAGGACAACAAATTTAATTCACTCTGAAATCAACGTCACTCCTTCAAACTTGGACTTTCTGTCACATTTATGACACTAAATCAAACTCTGAGTGGACTTTGGGCTCTGTATTATTTTATTGGACAATAAAAATTGATCATTTCTCACACCCAGAGATGGATCCTGCTCTATCAATGATTTACTGATCATATTCATAAATATATCAGTTATATAAATTTGTTTATCTGGTTATCTGAGAGCAGGTCAAAGTAGTTTTCAGCTTTGTCCCTGAGCAGTTCTCTCCTTTTTATTCCAGAGGAGATCAGACAGCAAAGAAAAGCTCTCAGAAAAGACAGACATCATGTTCATCTGCTGTTGTTGATCGATCAGGTTTAAAGGAAAAGGTCAATACTCTGATCATGTTCAGAAACCTTTCAAAGACAGGGAATAGGTTTATGTAAGCTGCCAATCAGAGCTCAGCTGATGGATGATGATCATTTTAAAAGCAGCAAACTAAGTTGAAATCTTTGTTGAAATCGGAGCATTTGTTTGAAACATCAGAGTTTTTCTGAAACTTGAAGCGAAACCTCAAAGTTCAGTGTTGGATTGAGTTTGCTGATGTGCTGCTGTAATTTAAGTGGTGTATGAAAAAGAAAAACTGGAGCATGTTTGATAGAAATAATCTGTATATTCATGTCCTAGCATCTCTTCATGGTCTGATTGTATTTCATAAATCATGTTTTTACTGATATGAGCGTTTCATATCTGGTGTTATCTGGTCTGGAGTTTGACCGTCTCATCAGTTTGATCAGTATTGTAAAGATGAAGAGTTGTTTTATTGTTGAATGAATTGAACCTTGATGTTACTCATTAACAACAACTCCAATCAAAGAGACTAAATCAGAGAAAACAAGAGAGCGAGTAAAACAAGAGCAGAGAAATAATCTGGACATGCTGTAATAAATACTCCAGAAACAGAGTATTGTCTGATCAATAAAAGTGATTTATTTCATATTTTCTATCATGTCAGATATCATTTATGTTCATGGTGTTATGTTAGATGGTGTTACTGCAGATCTGTTTGTGTGCCTATAAAACTGGATATTCAAAATTAAAAGGAAATATTTCATGCTATTATTATTATTATTATTATTATTATTATTATTGTTGTTGTTGTTGTTGTCATTGTCATTATCATTATCATTCATGCACATTATCAGCATAAGGACCCCAGAGAGCCTTTCCTCTGAGCTTATTTTCCACCTTCTTTCTGAGCAGCTCCTCACTAACCGTTGCTCCTGTGAAGGAGTTCAAACTGTTTCTGCTGTAGAGTGGACACTGACTGAAGTTCATCACACTGGTTGTTGACTGTGCAGCTTCCAAGAGCGCCAATGACTGACCTTTATTACTGTCATAAACTCATCAAATCATAAAAGTGCTCAGCACACAAAGACTTTTTCACAAACACTAAAACCTTTTCCTGGTCTTTTTGCCTTCACTGAGCAAACACACAGACTGTGACAAAATACACCAGAACTTCTGAATTCAGTCTGATCTCTGTGACGGTTTGTTGGTAGAAGTCTGGGGTTCATACTATTGACTTATTTCTGCTCCTACATGTACATCTGTAAATCAAGGAGTCAGAAGATCAGACTTTAAACAGAGATTTTCTCCTTTCCTCGGTGTTCGCTCTGTTCCACCAAACAACAGGTCAGATCTGCAGCAGCTTCATGTGTGCTGTCCTCAGATCAGTTTAACAGACGCTCACTCAAACATGATGAAAAGAGTGTGTTAGGTTACCTTCTGATGGGGAAAAGGATCTGCATGAAGACCACGAGTGACGGTGAAACGAATCAGCAGCTTTAAACAGGAAACCAAGCAGAGAGAGAAGAAGATAGAAGAGACAGCAGGAGGTTTTCAAAGGTCCCACCATTCACATCCAGTCCAGACTCTCTGAGTTCATCTTCACACTGAAGTTTTCTGGAAGGAAATGTGACACAGAGCAGCTCTGAACTTTGGACTCAACCACCTGAACACCTGCAGTCAAACATTGACAGACACAATAAAACCTTCTCAGAGGGATTAGAAAGGTCTTATGGTGATTGTTGCAGCTTGATCTAACACCAAACTGACGTGGTTTGATTGACTCCCGGGACACCTGGCTGACACGCCGATGGCTTACCGTAAGCTTTGTTCAAAAAAGGTAGTTTCGACTGGGATGCACGATAATCCATATTTATTTTGCAAACAGCGAATACATAATCTTTCTTCAATTCATACAGGATAACTCACAGCCGCCACCGCGTCGGTCAAAAACCGTTTGGCCCTTCCGGTATCAACAAACCAACAACAGGTGAAATCAATCAATGTTCCCTAAATACCTGTGGTCGTGCCACAGGACAGCGACACCCACTGACGCAATTGAGTACTTCACCAGGTGAATAAATGAACCGCTCTTACACAGTGAATGGCTCTTACAGTGATCTTTAGACTCCCTGACTATTATTGACGATAAGAAATAACACAGAGAGAAATATAATCACGAGTAAAACAGTGACACCTAGTGGACAAAGACACCTGAGACTGGACAAGTGAAGAAAAACACAAATCCTTCCCTGTATTTCAGAGAGATGACACACCTGCTGAAGACAGTTAAACTCATGAATCACCTTCTGCTCTCTGGTTTCTGCTCCTAAACATATAACAGATCTGACTCTCTGAGGTTTCTGCAGCGCCACCTTAATCATGTGACACACAGTGTTATACTGCCCAACACATTACATTAAAACTGAAGAACCAAATGAACAGCCAATGGAAATAAGTCATTGAAGAAAAAAAAACGTTTTTGTAAAGCAGAGCTGCATTCAAAGTGCATTTTGAAGTCTGTTACACACGCCTGTAGTCCCTCACACTAAGCTAGGCTTTAGAAAGACTTTCACCTGCTTTGGGGCTCTACTTTCATAGTAAGAGGAACATGGGGCCCACCATTGCAGACAAAAAGATACGTTACTAATTCCACCGTGGAGAGCCGGCTGCAGTAGTGGGCCAGGACAAGATGGATTTCCCTGAAGATTGCAAATGTTTCTTTGCCCTCCCAGACCTTTGCCTTCAAGTACAAACATGGAAGCTCCTGCAAAGGAAGAGCAGCAAAACTACCATACAGACTGACCTCTGACCTCTGTGTGTTTACATGAATTTGCCAGTAGAAGGGAGAACTACGCAGCTAAAATGGGAAACGGTGACAGAGTCTGATCAAGTTTATACAGGTACCAGACAAAGATGACAGGAGTAGGGACGTACACTAAAATCCAAACTACAAAAATGAATGTTAAGAAAAAGAAACACAACAAGAAGGCAGACTCAATTTCATGCAAGAAAACTAAAAAGTCTTATGAAAGCGTCTTTTCCACAACGCTAGGGATTTGTGAAAGTAAAATGCTGGATATAACAGAGATTTGTTTTTCAGGATTGTACAGAGTTCTCAAAATTCTTCAGAAGATTGGCATCATGGAGAGAAAGGTGTGCTGATTGAAGCAGAATCATGAGTAAAGAAGGAACGATTTCCCTCTGTGCTAAAGAAATAAGCATCAGACTGGTTCACATGATGTCAACTTGCCCTTTGCATCCCACCAAAGTTGCACACAACAACAGCATGACTGTCAAGTAGTTGTGGAGGAAGCAGCAACAGAAGGCCGGCTTTAGTGTCCTGCCTGATGAACACTCAGTTCCTCTGCAGAAGCCCCTGACCTCCACTACCTACCCCTCTGAAAAGGAAGAAGTCGATCAATAGATGTTGTTGTATAAAATATTGTGGCATAATCATCAATACATTTTAGACAGGCGGGATCATTATTGACATTTGCAGCTTGTGAAGTGACTGTTTTTATTACTCTGGACTAGAATCAAGTCAGACCTGAAGCCTCATGCTCTCCTTAGTCTTATATAACATGGTGCTTTTACATGAAAAAAACAAAGTGGTCTTTGAAAATGTTGACATCAAGCACCGAAGTTCACCGGTCTGGTTTTCTGCGGACCGTAAAACTGACTCATCATTTCATACTTTTTAAACCTTTTTCAGTTATTGAAGATTTTTAGATTGTAGCACAGAGCACTAGCCAAAACACTGATGTTAGCATCATAAATCTCCAGAGTAGAAGACCCATGAGCTCAGAGTCACTGAAACTCCTCCTCCTCCACCAACACTTCAGGTTTTTTAACTGAGGGCCAAATGAAGAACACACCTGAGGACCACTGATCAGGTTTGGTAGGTATCGTAGACATCCTCGTCCTGCTCCTTTGCTCTCTGTTCTGAATCAGATTGTGGCCTCAAAGACAGGTATGAAAGTTTGCACAACAAAACAACCTAAAAACTGGATTATTTGGCACTGATTTACTGAGCGTTATAATGGAGAATACGACTGCTTCCATGTACTTCAATCTCACCATGTTTGTGGACATCGGACACTATCGCTATTTAGCCTTCGTGTTTTGCTTCCTGCTTTACAGTTTTATAATCTATGCTAATGTTGTTATAATAGTTGTGATATCTGGAGAAAGAAGCCTACATGAGCCCATGTACATGTTTATAGCTTTATTATCTGTCAACTCTCTGTACGGCTCCACCGGTTTCTTTCCAAGGTTTCTTGCAGATCTTGTGTCTGATCGTCATTTGATCTCTCGTCCTGCCTGTTTTATTCAGATCTACATCATTTACACATATGCTTCCAATGAAATGACTATTCTGGGCATCATGGCCTATGATAGATACGTGGCTGTATGTAAACCTCTTCACTATCACAGGAAGATGACCTCAAAAACTGTTATGAAGTTGGCAGTATTGGCCTGGATCTGTCCTGCGTTTGGTCTCCTGGTGTGTATTTATTTGTCCTCCAGGCTCCCTTTATGTGGTGATAAAATACAGAAAGTGTTTTGTGCAAACTGGAACGTTGTCAAACTTTCATGTGTTAACACGGATGCTAACAATGTTTTTGGTTTCCTGCTGACCATAACCACAGTTTTCCTGCCCCTCTGTTTCGTCTTGTTCACCTATATGCAGATTGTGGCTGTTTGCGCTAAAAGCTCCGCTGAATTTAAAGGGAAAGTATTACACAGCTGTTTGCCACACATGGTCTCATTTGTGATTTACTCCATCGCTGGATTCTGTGATATTGCATTAAGTCGGTATGATATTGAAGAGATAAATCCATTTGCTGCTGTTGTTCTTTCACTGGAGTTTGTTGTGATTCCTCCAGTTTTGAATCCTCTCATTTATGGGCTGAAATTACCGGAAATTAGAAGATATATTTTACAGTTTTTATCACTGCATAAGATATCGTCTTAATGGTGATCATGTCCACATAACCACAGCTCTGAGAAACAACAGAGGTGGAAGAAAAGACTGAAATACTGAAACTCATCACCACATTAAACTGTGAGACTTTTATTCTATGATTATTTTATTGTAATTGTTCATGTGTTCACAAACGTCAAATGAAATAAATTCATGAAGGTTGTGTCCTGGTCTTAACTCATTACATGTATGCCTCTTTTTTCTTTCTTACTTATTTATTTACTTCTTCGACGTTTAATCAATCCTCAGAAATGTGAATAACTTTGGTTAAAAGCTGCAGATCCACTGTAAAGAAAAGATGCTGTCTGTGCCATCAACTGTAAAACCGCAGACAGAGGAAGAATGAGTTCAGATTGAACTTTAACAGGCTGCTTTTACTTTTGGAAACTGAACAGTTGGTCTTTCATACAGTATTTTAAAATGATATAAGCCTCCTCATTGGGATTTCACAGAGTACATAATTTTCAGAGATAACTGGAAAGTTGATATGTTGAAACACGACTGAGCAATACGTCATTATGAGTTAATAAGACCATCAAGACATTTCTGTTTCAGACTGTAACTGTAACCCATGAAACCTGTGCTGCAGTGTAGAAATGTCTGCATCCTAACCTCCATCAGTTTAATATGTGCTGATAAATTATTGGTTTTAGTTGAAATATGGCCACCCAGCACAGGTAACAATTCAAAAATATGGTTAAAATTAATAAAACACAACAATAATACTTCATTTCCTGACAATGGGTTATTTATCTGCACCAATTTAGGTCTTTTCTGTAACACTTTTGTTCAGGATAAATAAAATACAGTCGCTGTAACCAACTAAGGGGCAAGAAAATTCATAATATTGATATTCTTTATCCTCTTCTGAAGAATATCTCAGTCCTCTTTGTGGCCAGTTTATCTCTCTAAAATACAGACGGTGAAGGTGACTCTTCATCAGGTTACGCTGGCAGCTAAAAACAGTAGAGGATTTCCCATGAGTCACCTGCATCGCTTGCAGACAGTGAAGGTAAAGGTCGAGCAGGTTGCACTAAAACTCATAAATGTTTTGGGTAGACACCACGATAGTAATAGTGGTTTATTAACTTCTTGTCTAATCTAGTTTTGAACCAGCTAACTAGTGTTATATGAGTTTATTTGAGAAAAACAAACAAATGAATTGTCTTTAAAAAAATAATTTGATTTTTTATGTCAAACTTTCGAACTTTTTGGCAGAAAAATTAAATGTCAAACAAAGTCTGGAGTGACAGGTGCTGGTCTAGTTACTATGGTAACAGCTTTATATGCTCTTTTTATCCAGAACAGAAATAAACAACAGAATAATCAAGACTCTCAAGTCCCACACATCGAGCGTGAGACACGGGCATTAAGTTTACACTCTCACACACCACGCATCGCATTTCTCAGACTGAGAAGTGATAAAACTCACTGCGCTCTCGAGTAACACTATATATGAAAGAGACACACACACACACACACACACACACACACACACACACACACACACACACACACACACACACACACACACAAATCAGAGCCAAGCTGAGTGGAGGACTAGAAAGAAGTGAAGACAGAAAACATGAAAATCTGGAGCAGCAGACTGCAACCAGAGACGAAAGTGTACTTTGGTGTCAGACCAGAGCAGACTTTAAGAGTTAGACTACACTAGCTAACAAACCAACATCTTGCTATCTTCACCTAGCTATAGTTGCAAAAACAGACTTCTGTGCTAGCATTGGCTGTGTGATATATTGGCCAAGCTAATTAATTTAGCTTTCCCTATGCTCTGTGTAGCAACATAAAGTACAGGTCATTGATAATCTAGTATATTGCCGCCTAGCTAATTAGCTGGCTAACAGCGTGCGTGAGCCATCTAGAATTATATATCTATGGGTCTGGCTTTGAGCAGGTTTGGGTTGGATTAATGTGATACCATGCGTGTTTACGAACTCAATGAATAGATGTTTTTTAACATAATGTAAACAAACTGACTGAGACTACAGCTGTGTTTTTTACAGTCTGCGACACACACACACACACACACACACACACACACACACACACACACACACACACTCTCTTTTTTAAAATATCCTTCAGACCGTACATAAACACACAGTCCTAATACTCACTGCAGGAAACCCCACTGACTGTATCAGTGTGAGGGACTACAGGCGTATCTAACAGACTTCAAAATGCACTTTGAATGTAACTCTGCTTTACAAAAACATTTGAGGGTTTTATTCTCTATATCATCCTGTAACTCACTTGTGTTTTTTTCTCAATGACTTATTTTCATTGGCTGTTCATTTGGTTCTTTAGTTTTAATGTAATGTGTTGGGCAGTATAACACTGTGTGTCACATGATTAAGGTGGCGCTGCAGAAACCTCTGAGAGTCAGATCTGTTATATGTTTAGGAGCAGAAACCAGAGAGCAGAAGGTGATTCATGAGTTTAACTGTCTTCAGCAGGTGTGTCATCTCTCTGAAAAATAGGGAAGGATTTGTGTTTTTCTTCACTTGTCCAGTCTCAGGTGTCTTTGTCCACTAGGTGTCACTGTTTTACTCGTGATTATATTTCTCTCTGTGTTATTTCTTATAGTCAATGATAGTCAGGGAGTCTAAAGATCACCATAAGACCTTTCTAATCCCTCTGAGAAGTTTTATTGTGTCTGTCAATGTTTGACTGCAGGTGTTCAGATGGTTGAGTCCAAAGTTCAGAGCTGCTCTGTGTCACATTTCCTTCCAGAAAACTTCAGTGTGAAGATGAACTCAGAGAGTCTGGACTGGATGTGAATGGTGGGACCTTTGAAAACCTCCTGCTGTCACTTCTATCTTCTTCTCTCTCTGCTTGGTTTCCTGTTTGAAGCTGCTGATTCGTCTCACCGTCACTCGTGGTCTTCATGCAGATCATTTTCCCCATCAGAAGGTAACCTAACACACTCTTTTCATCATGTTTGAGTGAGCGTCTGTTAAACTGATCTGAGGACAGCACACATGAAGCTGCTGCAGATCTGACCTGTTGTTTGGTGGAACAGAGTGAACACAGAGGAAAGGAGAAAATCTCTGTTTAAAGTCTGATCTTCTGACTCCTTGATTTACAGATGTACATGTAGGAGCAGAAATAAGTCAATAGTATGAACCCCAGACTTCTACCAACAAACCGTCACAGAGATCAGATTGAATTCAGAAGTTCTGGTGTATTTTGTCACAGTCTGTGTGTTTGCTCAGTGAAGGCAAAAAGACCAGGAAAAGGTTTTAGTGTTTGTGAAAAAGTCTTTGTGTGCTGAGCACTTTTATGATTTGATAAGTTTATGACAGTAATAAAGGTCAGTCATTGGCGCTCTTGGAAGCTGCACAGTCAACAACCAGTGTGATGAACTTCAGTCAGTGTCCACTCTACAGCAGAAACAGTTTGAACTCCTTCACAGGAGCAACGGTTAGTGAGGAGCTGCTCAGAAAGAAGGTGGAAAATAAGCTCAGAGGAAAGGCTCACTCTTTGCCAGCATTCCCTGTCTTTGAAAGGTTTCTGAACATGATCAGAGTATTGACCTTTTCCTTTAAACCTGATCGATCAACAACAGCAGATGAACATGATGTCTGTCTTTTCTGAGAGCTTTTCTTTGCTGTCTGATCTCCTCTGGAATAAAAAGGAGAGAACTGCTCAGGGACAAAGCTGAAAACTACTTTGATCTGCTCTCAAAAAACCAGATAAACAAATTTATATAACTGATATATTTATGAATATGATCAGTAAATCATTGATAGAGCAGGATCCATCTCTGGGTGTGAGAAATAATCAATTTTTATTGTCCAATAAAATAATACAGAGCCCAAAGTCCACTCAGAGTTTGATTTAGTGTCATAAATGTGACAGAAAGTCCAAGTTTGAAAGAGTGACGTTGATTTCAGAGTAAATTAAATTTGTTGTCCTTCATTTCAAAGGTGAAATGTCATTTTTCTGAGTCTGTTTCATCGATTTGGGGTTGAGTCAAAGTTGAATTGGACTCCTTATCAGAAGATCTCTCATGGTTGGTTCTTTCTGGAGCAGACAGAAGGAGAACTTGAATGTTTCCACATGTACGCAGGTTTAACTCTCAGATATCACATCAGATATTATCCTGGATCACTCTGAGGTTTCTCTGTCTCGTCCTGACAGCAGGTCTCTCTCTCAGGGTCCTGCTGTGTGACTGGAGCTGGACTCTGGTTCCTGAGTGTTTGTCACTGATTTCATGTCTGTAGACTTTGACTGTTCGGTGATGAGAGTGTGACAGCGTCCTCAGATTATTGATGATGATGAACTGATGAAGTCTCTCTCTTTGTCTTTCTGCTACAGGTGAAACAGGAAGTGGATCTGGATTCACCTGGTGAGTATTTTCTTCATTCTGTCGAACATCAAACTGAAAGTTTTCACATGTCTTCTTCATTTTGAACAGAACTGGACTCTGAATGGATCCAGATGAGCTCTCTAGTAAACAGAAACAACTGTGGCTCCATCTGGTGGTAGAATCTGGAATGACACTGTGGTAGAGGACAGTATGTGGCTCAGGTTGAACTGACTGAGTATGTTGTTGTGTTTGTGTGAAGGTGGGGGCTCTGCTATGAATCAGTGTGAGGACAGAGAGGAGGGGGCCCCTCCCTCTAAAACCACTCTGTGGGGGGAACATGAGAGCCAGACCAAAGTTCAGAGGTGAGATGAGGATCTCCAACTGTCCATGACTCTTCTCCATGTCAGAGCTCAGCACTCACATCACTCCACCATCACTATTATTCACACTCAGACCTCTGTCTGTCTGTCTGTCTGTCTGTCTGTCTGTCTGTCTGTCTGTCTGTCTTTCTGTCTGTCAAAGACCTGAACTGCAGTACAGACCAGACTCTCCTGGACCAGGACCTGGACCCAGCTGTGTGTCCTTAAAGAGTGACCGGTCTAGGTTTGAACCTATTCTTTTCAAAGGAGAGATTTGTGATGAGCAAAGGTGAGACTTTCATAATCTATGACAGCAGCACTCAAACCTTGAAGATTTTCAGTGTTCTTGTTTCTTCATCAGAGTTTCTGTTTCTGTCAGAGTCAAACATGAGAGACCAGACTCTCCTGGATCTGGACCTGGACCCAGCTGTGTGTCCTTAAAGAGTGACCGGTCTATGGGTCGATTGATTAATTTCAAAGAAGGAGAGATCTATGATGAGCAAAGGTGAGACTTTCAAACTGAACTTTCTTTTGTTTGTGTGTGAAACTTTTCATCCTAACTGTGGTCAGTGTTTTCTCTGTGAAGGTGAAGATTTGTCAGGGTTTGTGTTTCTATCAGGATCCAACAGCAGTAAACAGGATCTGAGCCACAAAGACCTGGACTCTGCATGTATCTTCATGTGTGTCTGTAGGAGGATCCAGCAGTGTTTCTACCAGGATCCTCTAGATAGACTCTCTCACATGTAACCCTGTGTCTCCTTATATTATATCCACTACATTAGATTCTGTTTGTTCCACAGAGTTCAGCAGCAGAGATCAGAGGTTCCCATTGGTCAGTCTGCCCAGCAGCATCAAACACAGCTGGACTCCATATTTATGGTAGGTGTAAATGTACAAACACAGCTCCTACTGATCATCAGAGCAGACACTCAGTATATTTGGAGGTTTCTGGATTGTTTCCTAATGACTCTGCAAACATCATCTCTGCCTGAATTATCTTCACACTCACAGTTTGACTGAGAGTTTCTCCAATGTGAAGGTCAGGTCATAGAAACTGGATTTGTAGAAGACAGGACCATCTACAAAGTCAATCCTGAAGCAGCATTGTGATCCAGTCTCCACACTGGACTCTGTAGACCAGCAGGCTTTCTGTCTGTCACAGATGATCTGATGTTCAGTTCTACAAGTTCAAGTTCATATTTTGTTCTGTTCCAGCTGCTCCAGGAGAACATGATCAGCTTTGTAAAGGAGCAGCTGAAGGAGATCCAGAGAGCTCTGAGTCCAGATGAACCAGAATACTTAGAGAGTCCGAGGGAGGATGAGGATGAGGAGCAGAGGAGGAGCAGAGAGGCATTCCTGAAGATCACTGTGAACTTCCTGAGGAGAATGAAGCAGGAGGAGCTGGCTGACTGTCTGCAGAGAAGTAAGAGGATTTGAAGAGATTTAACATGATGGAGACAACATGGGAGAGGTTTAGAGTTCAGACTCTGCTGTTCATATGATGCACACATTTGTATCACATCTATGAACTGAGAGAAACTGATCACAGCTGATGAGCTGAAGAGATTTCAGAGAGGAGGGAAATCAAATCCATCCTGATGTCTTCAAGTGTAAATTCATCAGATTGATTGTAGCTTCAGATGATTCATCACATTTCTCTTTGTTCATTCAGGATCTGCTGCTGCAGAGGTCCGACACAAACTCAAGTCCAACCTGAAGGAGAAGTTCCAGTGTGTGTTTGAGGGGATTGCTAAAGCAGGAAACCCAACCCTTCTGAACCAGATCTACACAGACCTCTACATCACAGAGGGAGGGACTGGAGAGGTCAACGATGAACATGAGGTCAGACAGATTGAAACAGCATCCAGGAGAGCAGAGCGACCAGAAACAACCATCAGACAAGAAGACATCTTTAAAGGCTCACCTGGAAGACAGGAACCAATCAGAACAGTGATGACAAAGGGAGTGGCTGGCATTGGGAAAACCGTCTTAACACAGAAGTGGACTCTGGACTGGGCTGAAGACAAAGACAACCAGGACATCCACTTCACATTTCCATTCACCTTCAGAGAGCTGAATGTGCTGAAAGAGAAGAAGTTCAGCTTGGTGGGACTTGTTCATCACTTCTTCACTCAAACCAAAGAAGCAGGAATCTGCAGCTTTCAAGACTTCAGGGTCGTGTTCATCTTTGACGGTCTGGATGAGTGTCGACTTCCTCTGGACTTCCACAACAATCAGGTCCTGACTGATGTTACAGAGTCCAGCTCAGTGGATGTGCTGCTGACAAACCTCATCAGGGGGAACCTGCTTCCCTCTGCTCGCCTCTGGATAACCACAAGACCTGCAGCAGCCAATCAGATCCCTCCTGAGTGTGTTGACATGGTGACAGAGGTCAGAGGCTTCACTGACCCTCAGAAGGAGGAGTACTTCAGGAAGAGATTCAGAGATGAGAAGCAGGCCAGCAGAATCATCTCCCACATCAAGACATCCAGAAGTCTCCACATCATGTGCCACATCCCGGTCTTCTGCTGGATCACTGCTACAGTTCTGGAGGATCTGCTGAAGACCAGAGAGGGAAGAGAGCTGCCCAAGACCCTGACTGAGATGTACATCCACTTCCTGGTGGTTCAGTCCAAACTGAAGAACATCAAGTATGATGGAGGAGCTGAGACTGATCCACACTGGAGTCCAGAGAGCAGGAAGATGATTGAGTCTCTGGGAAAACTGGCTTTTAAGCAGCTGCAGAAAGGAAACCTGATCTTCTATGAATCAGACCTGACTCAGTGTGGCATGGATATCAGAGCAGCCTCAGTGTACTCAGGAGTGTTCACACAGATCTTCAGAGAGGAGAGAGGACTGTACCAGGACAAGGTGTTCTGCTTCATCCATCTGAGTGTTCAGGAGTTTCTGGCTGCTCTTCATGTCCACCTGACCTTCACCAACTCTGGAGTCAACCTGATGGAAGAAGAACAACAAACAACATCCCAAAATCTGACAAATCTCCATGTGAGTGCTGTAGACCAGGCCTTACAGAGTCTGAACGGACACCTGGATTTATTTCTACGGTTCCTCCTGGGTCTTTCACTGCAAACCAATCAGAATCTCCTGAGAGGTCTGCTGACACACACAGGAAGTAGCTCACAGACCAATCAGGAAACAGTCCAGTACATCAAGAAGAAGATCAGTGAGGATCTGTCTGCAGAGAAAAGCATCAATCTGTTCCACTGTCTGAATGAACTGAATGATCGTTCTTTAGTAAATGAGATCCAACGGTCCCTGAGATCAGGACGTCTCTCCACCGAGGAACTGTCTCCTGCTCAGTGGTCAGCTCTGGTCTTCATCTTACTGTCATCAGAAAAAGATCTGGACGTGTTTGACCTGAAGAAATACTCTGCTTCAGAGGAGGGTCTTCTGAGGCTGCTGCCAGTGGTCAAAGCCTCCAACAAAGCTCTGTAGGTGGACACATGAGAGATGAAACATTATTGTTCATGAGAGATGAATCTTTGTGTCTGTGCTAATCACTGATTCTTCTTCAGGCTAAGTGGATGTAACCTGTCAGAGAGAAGCTGTGAAGTTCTGTCCTCAGTCCTCAGCTCCCAGTCCTCCAGTCTGAGAGAGCTGGACCTGAGTAACAATGACCTGCAGGATTCAGGAGTGAAGCTGCTGTCTGCTGGACTGAAGAGTCCTCACTGTAAACTGGAAACTCTCAGGTCAGGTTTTATGCTGATTATGTTTTGTAGTTGTTTGAATGAAATTGTCTAAAGTTGGTACTTTTCCTTGTTTCTCATTTATTTTTCTGCCTCCAGGTTATCAGGCTGTCTGATCACAGAAGAAGGTTGTGCTTCTCTGGTCTCAGCTCTCAGCTCCAACCCCTCACACCTGAGAGACCTGGACCTGAGCTACAATCATCCAGGAGACTCAGGAGTAAAACTGCTGTCTGCTGGACTGAAGGATCCTCTATGGAGACTGGAAACACTGAGGTATAACCAGACAGTTACTGAGTCATAGACAACCACAGATATATTTGGTTTCTGCTGCCTGAGGTCTTCACTTAGCAGGTCCATCTTTCTGATGGACTCTTGGATGTGAACTGTGTCATCCTGGATAGTAGCTCTAATGCTCACAAGTTCTTTGCCTCCCTCCCTCCTCTTAGTGAAGATCCTCAGGGTTCTGGATTTAGGGTGAAAACCTCCATTTGAGTATTTTGAGGAGCTTTCTTGTCTTGATGTCAGTGGTTTCTATTTCTTCCTTTGGCCAGGCTGTGATGCCAGCAGGGTATCTGATCACTGTCAGAGCGTAGGTGTTGATGGTTTGGATCTTGTTCCTGCTGACATACAGCTTGATGTCATCCATGTAGAGGAGAACATTAATCAAAAAAAACCTCAAACAGTCAACATGAGAAATGACTTTGACTCAGACTGAAGTGTGTCTGTCATTCTGTCTCCTCCTCCACACAATAACAGCAGATATTTGTCTGCAACACTGGGAACCTGGATGAGTATCTTCTCTGAATGGCCCAGCTCTAAAATGTGTTGCTGAACTGTAGGTTTGTCTTCCAGTCTGAATCCTCCTCTGTTCAACAGTTTTTTAGTTTTCTTCTGAGAGCTGTCACGTTGTTCTGAACTGCAGAAACTCGTCCCTCTGCTTCTGGTCTCAAAGGAGGACATGGTGGTTGATATTTGGAAGGACAGGGGTCAGAAACCTTTTATATATGAAGAACCATTTTTAAATCCTCTTTATGGAGGACCACAAGGGACACAAAAATGAAATAAATCATTTTTAAGTAAAAAGGTTATTGTACAGGAATTCATGAGCTGGTTTCCAAATTCATGAGTTCATCCATGAACAAATAGAGGAGTTATGAAGTGATTCTACAAATGAATCTTTAAAACTGCACAAAAGTTTATTCTTTAAAAATACATAAATGCATTCCTTAACAAATAGTTTAAAAATCTGTTTGAAAGAGAGAAATAAAGAAGTGAGTTGACAATCTGCAGTAAGAATACAGCTTTAAATCAGACATTTAAAGGACAATTCCTCCTTTAATTTTCATTTCCATTTCCTGTCTGCTTTTAATTTTCCTGTTAGCTAATCGATTATCAAAGTCTTTTATCTTTCCGTTCCTCCTCTCCATTTTTCCTTCTCTCACACTTCAGGGCCTTGAGCTGGTAAAACAATGCAGATGAGCCATGAAACAAGCTCTCTGATTGGTTATAACCTGGCCTATTACATGCAGATGTCTGCAGGAAGGTGAAGATGATAGAAGATGAGGAAGAATAGACCTTATCCAGTGTTCCAGGTGGAAAGAGGTCCAAACCTGGATATTGTGACTCTGTGGTCATTTCTCAGCTCCCTGATTGATGAACAGACACACAGACTAAAAACAGAGATGATCAGGAGAGAGATGGGCTCATATTTGAAGTTCAAACACATTTGACAGTCCTTTAGCCCACGTCAGAACTCAGAGAAGATGCTTTATTACACCTGATGTTACAAGATGAAGGTTCACATCTAGTTGAATGATCAGAGCAGAACAACATTCAGATCTCCTCCAGATCCTTTATTTCATTCATCCATACAGACCAGGATCAACTCTCCTGGCTGACATGGGAAGGTCTTCTCTTCTTGATTTTCTGCTCTCTTTGTTTGGTGAACCATCAAACAAACCCTCAGAGCTACAGAGAAACACCTCCTTCATACATCCACCCTCAGTCACAAACGTGGACTCAAAGTACTGGCTGCAGAAGTGGGTTCAAAGGAGATCAGATAGTCTTCATTGAGCTTCATCAGCTGAGCTCTCCTGCTTTACTGACACAGCTACATTCAGTGAGAGCAGCAGCAGACCTGTCAGTCATGATCAGGTAAGCTGAGGGGCTGTTTGAGGACATGCTCTGACTTTGCTCCACTTCCTGTCCATCCCAAACTGCAGGAAATCCACCTGCTGTTCCAGGTGTGATGCTCCTACTCCCTCTGCTCTAGCTGACTCTGAATGATCCAAGAAGAGCCTCACACACTCACATGAGTTCATCTGAGAGCTTTCATTTCATCTTCATTATATTTAGAAGAAGAGAGCCCACTACTTCATCTCTCTATCTTCATCTCTCTATCAGAAAAAGTGACAGAGTGATGGAGACTGTTGGCTCAGATGAGTTTCAGCCTGTTTCTCTGTCACAGGGACAAACTGAGGAACTCTGCTTCATGTTGGACAGCAGGTAGGACTCATGTTGGACACTCAATCATTCTGACTGTGTTTCTTCCTCCAGGGTGGACCATGGTGGAGAGCAGAGGTTAAAACCTGGTCTGAAGAAGTGTAAGTGTGGAATCAGTTTGACTCCTGATGACCAAACAGCAGACTGTCAGCTAACAAAGAAGAAAGCCTTCAGGTGTGTCTGATGATAACCTGCTGCTGTGTTGTGTCTTTTTCTCTATGTCAGATTTCTCTGAACTCACACTGGACTCAAACACAGTAAACAGACGCCTCAGACTGTCTGAAAACAACAGGAAGGTGACAGGTGTGAGAGAGGATCAGTCATATCCTGATCATCCAGACAGATTTGACTACTGGCCTCAGCTTCTGTGTAGAGATGGTCTGACTGGTCGCTGTTACTGGGAGGTCGAGTGGAGAGGAGGGGTTAATATATCAGTGAGTTACAGAGGAATCAAAAGGAAAGGAGACAGTGATGACTGTCTGTTTGGATTTAATGATCAGTCCTGGAGTCTGTTCTGCTCTGATGAAGGTTACTCTGTCAGTCACAATAACAGAAAAACAGACCTCGATCTCTCCTCGTCCTCTGTCTCTCACAGAGTAGCAGTGTATGTGGACTGTCCTGCTGGTACTCTGTCCTTCTACAGGGTCTCCTCTGACAAACTGATCCACCTCCACACCTTCAACACCACCTTCACTAAACCTCTCTATCCTGGGTTTGGGTTCTGGTCTTGGTCTCTTGGTTCCTCAGTGAGTTTGTGTTCTGTGTAGGAGGGAGAGTCTCCTCCTCTCTACACAAACAGCAGCTGAAGAACAGTTGACCCTCTGCACTAACACAGACTTCAGCTGATTATCTGCCTGTTTGTATCCTGTCACATCAGTCTGAATGTCTGTTATCAAAGAGCAGGACTCCATGTCAAACTGACTCACTGAACTGGACTGATTTCTGTCTCTATGAGGGAAAAATCCGCCTCATTCAGCACATTTTTCTTCACTGTATTGATCAGAAAGTTTGTCTGAACAGTCAGAGTCAGACTCCTGAAACTCTTCTTCACCTGCTCAGGTGTTCACACCTGTGTTTAAACTGATGAATGTTAAATCCTCATGAGACTGCAGGCTGGTTTGCACACACACACACGCACACATGCACGCACTGTTTGCATATTCAGGTAAATGAGTTAATGAAAAAAAATAAATAAATAAAATAAATAAATATATAAATATAAATTTGATTGATTGATTGATCGATCATGTGTCTTGTGATCTTTTTTACTCACCCACTTAGGTCAATGACCTGATAGTATGTTGTTGCAGCACTATAAACTTTGGATCGGCCCGTATCGATCCACCTCGTCTTAAGGTCGGTAGCTAATTAGCCCCCATTCGTTAGGACTGTTCAAATCACTCACTGTTGTATTTTCCAGATACATCCTCTGCTCACGGCACCTGTGTTGGGCGAAGTGCTTCATGTAGTTCACTCCCATTCAGAGCTGTTGAGATGAAAAAACTGTTATTGTACATAATTCCAGTGTTTTCCAGTATTTGTCCGTCACTCCAAAGAAGATGTTTAGTAAGGAGTAAATCTAAGTTTGTGTTATTCAAGGTTAGAGAGCTTTTCAGACTCTTGTTTGTTTGCAGTGCTTCTTGTCTGTGTGTGTCTGCTGACATGATAAACAGAAAATCAACTTTGTTGTGGTGAAATTTAGCCGACACTGTTACTCATCCTCATCAACAACGTTACCTCTCAACCAACAAACCTGCTTTAGAAATCATTACAACTCCAATCAAAGAGAAAAATCACAATGAATGAAAAAAGAAGGGCAAAAAATTCAAGAGGAGGAATACAGGTGTAAGAATTGATGTAAGGACGTTTATGAAATATGAACTCAATAAAGAAATCTCTATTCTAACAGCTGTCTCAGTTTAGTTCTTACTAATAATCAAATAGATATTAATGATGTTACTGGATGGATCTGAATATTGATCTCAATGCACTCAGTTGTAGATGAAGGTTAATATGTCAATAATGAGGACCCTTGTGCTGCAGACTAAAACCCTTTGAGCTGAGTGTATGACATGGAGTGAGGAGATCAGAAATGTACTTTGGTGTAAGACCAGAGCAGGCTTTAAGAGTTTACAATAAAATCTTAAAAATCAATTCTCAGACGTGAACAAAGAGTTGCAGTGGTCCAAATGGGAAGAGACAGCCGCATGGGTGATAATCTCCAGATTTTTTCTGGATCAAAACTATCAAACTATTCTGCCCTCAGTAGGAGTGGGCTCTAGCTTGGCAGGTAGCTAACAGGTCCCTCGGATAAACATGCAGGAGTTAGCAGGTACGATGTGACGTTTTGGTGTTTACTTCCAGAAGCTGTAAAACTGTAACACAATAAATACAAAATCACAAATTATTCTCAACTCTTTCACACAATCAAACACTAGTCATTGACTGTCATACACAACACAATCACCAACAAACGTGTTGGAGTTATCATGAACAGTCACTACCGCGATCTTGCGATTAGCTTAATGCTAACGATATAAGGAAAACGCCATAGAACGGCTAACGCGTTAGCATCGCTCCGGTTTTTAAGTTTCCCACGCCATCAAAAACCGATTTAGCGTACAATCACAGGTACAGTAAACAAGACGAGGTAAGCATTACTTACAGGTGTATGTCCCTTACAGGTAGACCGTGAAAAAAGAGGGAGAAAAGAAAACAAACATTCTCAATAAGACATCTCTACTCGGAACTGAACTACGGCAAGTCTGAACGGACAAAAAAAGACCACAGCCGATTTCTCTAACTCCCAAGGGGGCAGCACACTCCCCGCCTGGTATAATGTGCTTTACCACTATATACCTTTGAGCGGCAGATGTACATCTGATACAGGTCTTGAATACACCTGAGGAGAGCCACCTTTGACGACTCTCACTTCCACCTTGCGGACCCTGTTGTCTGGACCAGAGAATATATTCACCACCAGTCCTGTCGGCCATTCATTTCGTTTGGCCTGGCCATCCTTCAAAAGCACATCACCAATCTGCAGACTAGGTTGATCTGTTTGCCATTGACTCCTGTAGAGGTCCTTAAGATCAAGATCTCCCAAAGGAGCAGACACAGAGTCAACCTTTTGTGTCAGGAGCATAGCGGGAGTGAGTACGGTAGGCATATCTGGATTGGACTCTGACTGAAATGGTGTAGCTCCATTGTCTTTTTTGAGCAAGGAGGGTCCCGAAAACCAGATGGTTTCTCCCAAAAGTGTAGCTGGTACTGGTCACGTACAGTGGTCCGCAGGATTGTGGTCTGTACTGACAAAGTGCCACTGCTCTGGCTGTGATGACTTGTGGATACGTGCAACTCTATTAGCAACATACACATAGAATTGGCGGTTGGTATGTAGATATAGATGAGCACAACCCTGGAGTCGGTGAAGAACCTTACGGCATGGATCTTGACATCTAGTTCATCCATCAACATGTCAGCTAGCTCAACTGCAAGCACGGCTGCACAAAGCTCTAGACAGGGCACAGTATGGGAGTGACATGGGGCTAATTTTGATTTCCCCATGCAGAATCCTACGTGACTGTGTCCTTTGTTGTCGACTGCCCTGAGGTAGGCTACTGCAGAGATTGCCACGGTGGACGCATCGGAGAAGACACGCAGTTCCCTGTGCTGTGTTGAGAGAAAGGAAACAGGTAAAAACGGTCTTGGTATGTGAAGTTGCTCAAGTGCTTTGAGTGAGTCTTTCCAGGACTTCCACTGTGACTCTTTCTCTGCAGATATTGGGGCATCCCATTCACAATGTTCAGTACATAGCTCTCTGACTAGTGCCTTGCCCTGTACTATTATCGGAGCCACAAACCCGAATGGATCAAATATGCTGTTGACCGTAGACAGGATACCCCTACGGGTAAATGGCTTCTCCTCTCTAGAGACAGGGAAGGTAAAGCTGTCAGTTTGAAGCTGCCAGTTGAGACCTAAGCTTCGTTGTAGGAGCAGAGGATCCACTCCTAGCTCTAGGTCTTTCAGTTCCTTGGCCCGGTCCTCGGATGGGAAAGCTTCCATCACTGTATCATGATTGGAGGCTAACTTGTGCAGTCAGATATTTGAGTCGGCCAACATTTCCTTTGTCTTTTACAGGACTTGGACAGCACTGTCATTGGTGGGGAATGAGGCAAGTCCGTCGTGGACATAAAAGTTTCTTAGAACGAACTGTCTTGACTCCATACCATATTCATCTTGACCTTGCCGAGCAGCTCTTCTCAGCTGTGTTTTTTACAGTCTGCAACACACACACTCTCTTTATTTAAATATCCCTCAGACCATACATAAACACACAGTCCTGATACTCACTGCAGGAAACCCCACTGACTGTATCAGTGTGAGGGACTACAGGCGTATCTAACAGACTTCAAAATGCACTTTGAATGTAACTCTGCTTTACAAAAACATTTGAGGGTTTTATTCTTTATATCATCCTGTAACTCACTTGTGTTTTTTTCTCAATGACTTATTTTCATTGGCTGTTCATTTGGTTCTTTAGTTTTAATGTAATGTGTTGGGCAGTATAACACCGTGTGTCACATGATTAAGGTGGCGCTGCAGAAACCTCTGAGAGTCAGATCTGTTATATGTTTAGGAGCAGAAACCAGAGAGCAGAAGGTGATTCATGAGTTTAACTGTCTTCAGCAGGTGTGTCATCTCTCTGAAAAATAGGGAAAGTGAGTTTTTCTTCACTTGTCCAGTCTCAGGTGTTTTTGTCCACTAGGTGTCACTGTTTCACTCGTGATTATATTTCTCTCTGTGTTATTTCTTATAGTCAATGATAGTCAGGGAGTCTAAAGTTCACCATAAGACCTTTCTAATCCCTCTGAGAAGGTTTTATTGTGTCTGTCAATGTTTGACTGCAGGTGTTCAGGTGGTTTCAGAGTTCAAAGTTCAGAGCTGCTCTGTGTCACATTTCCTTCCAGAAAACTTCAGTGTGAAGATGAACTCAGAGAGTCTGGACTGGATGTGAATGGTGGGACCTTTGAAAACCTCCTGCTGTCACTTCTATCTTCTTCTCTCTCTGCTTGGTTTCCTGTTTGAAGCTGCTGATTCGTCTCACCGTCACTCGTGGTCTTCATGCAGATCATTTTCCCCATCAGAAGGTAACCTAACACACTCTTTTCATCATGTTTGAGTGAGTGTCTGTTAAACTGATCTGAGGACAGCACACATGAAGCTGCTGCAGATCTGACCTGTTGTTTGGTGGAACAGAGCGAACACTGAGGAAAGGAGAAAATCTCTGTTTAAAGTCTGATCTTCTGACTCCTTGATTTACAGATGTACATGTAGGAGCAGAAATAAGTCAATAGTATGAACCCCAGACTTCTACCAACAAACCGTCACAGAGATCAGACTGAATTCAGAAGTTCTGGTGTATTTTGTCACAGTCTGTGTGTTTGCTCAGTGAAGGCAAAAAGACCAGGAAAAGGTTTTAGTGTTTGTGAAAAAGTCTTTGTGTGCTGAGCACTTTTATGATTTGATGAGTTTATGACAGTAATAAAGGTCAGTCATTGGCGCTTGAAGCTGCACAGTCAACAACCAGTGTGATGAACTTCAGTCAGTGTCCACTCTACAGCAGAAACAGTTTGAACTCCTTCACAGGAGCAACGGTTAGTGAGGAGCTGCTCAGAAAGAAGGTGGAAAATAAGCTCAGAGGAAAGGCTCTCTGGGGTCCTTATGCTGATAATGTGCATGAATGATAATGATAATGACAACAACAACAATAATAATAATAATAATAATAATAGCATGAAATATTTCCTTTTAATTTTGAATATCCAGTTTTATAGGGACACAAACAGATCAGCAGTAACACCATCTAACATAACACCATGAACATAAATGATATCTGAGATGATAGAAAATATGAAATAAATCACAGTTATTGATCAGACAATACTCTGTTTCTGGAGTATTTATTACAGCATGTCCAGATTATTTCTCTGCTCGTGTTTTACTCGCTCTCTTGTTTTCTCTGATTTAGTCTCTTTGATTGGAGTTGTTGTTAATGAGTAACATCAAGGTTCAATTCATTCAACAATCAAATAACTCTTCATCTTTACAATACTGATCAAACTGATGAGACGGTCAAACTCCAGACCAGATAACACCAGATATGAAACGCTCATATCAGTAAAAACATGATTTATGAAATACAATCAGACCATGAAGAGATGCTAGGACATGAATATACAGATTATTTCTATCAAACATGCTCCAGTTTTTCTTTTTCATACACCACTTAAATTACAGCAGCACATCAGCAAACTCAATCCAACACTGAACTTTGAGGTTTCGGTTCAAGTTTCAGAAAAACTCTGATGTTTCAAACAAATGCTCCGATTTCAACAAAGATTTCAACTTAGTTTGCTGCTTTTAAAATGACCATCATCCATCAGCTGAGCTCTGATTGGAGGCTTACATAAACCTATTCCCTGTCTTTGAAAGGTTTCTGATCCTAAACATGATCAGAGTATTGACCTTTTCCTTTAAACCTGATCGATCAACAACAGCAGATGAACATGATGTCTGTCTTTTCTGAGAGCTTTTCTTTGCTGTCTGATCTCCTCTGGAATAAAAAGGAGAGAACTGCTCAGGGACAGAACTGAAAACTACTTTGATCTGCTCTAAAAAAAACAAATAAACTAATTTATATAACTGATATAATTATGACTATGATCAGTAAATCATTGATAGAGTAGGATCCATCTCTGGGTGTGAGAAGTGATCAATTTTTATTGTCCAATAAAATAATACAGAGCTCAAAGTCCACTCCGAGTTTGATTTTGTGTCATAAATGTGACAGAAAGTCCAAGTTTGAAAGAGCGACGTTGATTTCAGAGTGAATTAAATTTGTTGTCCTTCATTTCAAAGGTGAAATGTCATTTTTCTGAGTCTGTTTCATCGATTTGGGGTTGAGTCAAAGTTGAATTGGACTCCTTATCAGAAGATCTCTCATGGTTGGTTCTTTCTGGAGCAGACAGAAGGAGAACTTGAATGTTTCCACATGTACGCAGGTTTAACTCTCAGATATCACATCAGATATTATCCTGGATCACTCTGAGGTTTCTCTGTCTCGTCCTGACAGCAGGTCTCTCTCTCAGGGTCCTGCTGTGTGACTGGAGCTGGACTCTGGTTCCTGAGTGTTTGTCACTGATTTCATGTCTTTTCATGTTTGTAGACTTTGACTGTTCAGTGATGAGAGTGTGACAGCGTCCTCAGATTATTGATGATGATGAACTGATGAAGGACGATCAGCTGCAGTCTCTCTCTTTGTCTTTCTGCTACAGGTGAAACAGGAAGTGGATCTGGATTCACCTGGTGAGTATTTTCTTCATTCTGTCGAACATCAAACTGAAAGTTTTCACATGTCTTCTTCATTTTGAACAGAACTGGACTCTGAATGGATCCAGATGAGCTCTCTAGTAAACAGAAACAACTGTGGCTCCATCTGGTGGTAGAATCTGGAATGACACTGTGGTAGAGGACAGTATGTGGCTCAGGTTGAACTGACTGAGTATGTTGTTGTGTTTGTGTGAAGGTGGGGGCTCTGCTATGAATCAGTGTGAGGACAGAGAGGAGGGGGCCCCTCCCTCTAAAACCACTCTGTGGGGGGAACATGAGAGCCAGACCAAAGTTCAGAGGTGAGATGAGGATCTCCAACTGTCCATGACTCTTCTCCATGTCAGAGCTCAGCACTCACATCACTCCACCATCACTATTATTCACACTCAGACCTCTGTCTGTCTGTCTGTCTGTCTGTCTGTCTGTCTGTCTGTCTGTCTGTCTGTCTAAGACCTGAACAGCAGTACAGACCAGACTGTCCTGGACCTGGACCTGGACCCAGCTGTGTGTCCTTTAAGAGTGACCGGTCTATGGGTCGATATATTGATTTCAAAGATGGACATCGGTCTGATCGTCTAAAGTAATAATCAATAACAGCAGCACTCAAACCTGGAAGATTTTCAGTGTTCTTGTTTCTTCATCAGTGTTTGTGTTTCTGTCAGAGTCAAACATGAGAGACCAGACTCTCCTGGACCCTGGACCCAGCTGTGTGTCCTTCAAGAGTGACTGGTCTACGGGTCGATTGATTAATTTCAAAGAAGGAGAGATCTATGATGAGCAAAGGTGAGACTTTCAAACTGAACTTTCTTTTGTTGTGAAACTTTTCATCCTAACTGTGGTCAGTGTTTTCTCTGTGAAGGTGAAGATTTTTCAGGGTTTGTGTTTCTATCAGGATCCAACAGCAGTAAACAGGATCTGAGCCACAAAGACCTGGACTCTGCATGTATCTTCATGTGTGTCTGTAGGAGGATCCAGCAGTGTTTCTACCAGGATCCTCTAGATAGACTCTCTCACATGTAACCCTGTGTCTCCTTATATTATATCCACTACATTAGATTCTGTTTGTTCCACAGAGTTCAGCAGCAGAGATCAGAGGTTCCCATTGGTCAGTCTGCCCAGCAGCATCAAACACAGCTGGACTCCATATTTATGGTAGGTGTAAATGTACAAACACAGCTCCTACTGATCATCAGAGCAGACACTCAGTATATTTGGAGGTTTCTGGATTGTTTCCTAATGACTCTGCAAACATCATCTCTGCCTGAATTATCTTCACACTCACAGTTTGACTGAGAGTTTCTCCAATGTGAAGGTCAGGTCATAGAAACTGGATTTGTAGAAGACAGGACCATCTACAAAGTCAATCCTGAAGCAGCATTGTGATCCAGTCTCCACACTGGACTCTGTAGACCAGCAGGCTTTCTGTCTGTCACAGATGATCTGATGTTCAGTTCTACAAGTTCAAGTTCATATTTTGTTCTGTTCCAGCTGCTCCAGGAGAACATGATCAGCTTTGTAAAGGAGCAGCTGAAGGAGATCCAGAGAGTTCTGAGTCCAGATGAACCAGAATACTTAGAGAGTCCGAGGGAGGATGAGGATGAGGAGCAGAGGAGGAGCAGAGAGGCATTCCTGAAGATCACTGTGAACTTCCTGAGGAGAATGAAGCAGGAGGAGCTGGCTGACTGTCTGCTGAGAAGTAAGAGGATTTGAAGAGATTTAACATGATGGAGACAACATGGGAGAGGTTTAGAGTTCAGACTCTGCTGTTCATATGATGCACACATTTGTATCACATCTATGAACTGAGAGAAACTGATCACAGCTGATGAGCTGAAGAGATTTCAGAGAGGAGGGAAATCAAATCCATCCTGATGTCTTCAAGTGTAAATTCATCAGATTGATTGTAGCTTCAGATGATTCATCACATTTCTCTTTGTTCATTCAGGATCTGCTGCTGCAGAGGTCCGACACAAACTCAAGTCCAACCTGAAGGAGAAGTTCCAGTGTGTGTTTGAGGGGATTGCTAAAGCAGGAAACCCAACCCTTCTGAACCAGATCTACACAGACCTCTACATCACAGAGGGAGGGACTGGAGAGGTCAACCATGAACATGAGGTCAGACAGATTGAAACAGCATCCAGGAGAGCAGAGCGACCAGAAACAACCATCAGACAAGAAGACATCTTTAAAGGCTCACCTGGAAGACAGGAACCAATCAGAACAGTGATGACAAAGGGAGTGGCTGGCATTGGGAAAACCGTCTTAACACAGAAGTGGACTCTGGACTGGGCTGAAGACAAAGACAACCAGGACATCCACTTCACATTTCCATTCACCTTCAGAGAGCTGAATGTGCTGAAAGAGAAGAAGTTCAGCTTGGTGGGACTTGTTCATCACTTCTTCTCTCAAACCAAAGAAGCAGGAATCTGCAGCTTTCAAGACTTCAGGGTCGTGTTCATCTTTGACGGTCTGGATGAGTGTCGACTTCCTCTGGACTTCCACAACAATCAGGTCCTGACTGATGTTACAGAGTCCAGCTCAGTGGATGTGCTGCTGACAAACCTCATCAGGGGGAACCTGCTCCCCTCTGCTCGCCTCTGGATAACCACAAGACCTGCAGCAGCCAATCAGATCCCTCCTGAGTGTGTTGACATGGTGACAGAGGTCAGAGGGTTCACTGACCCTCAGAAGGAGGAGTACTTCAGGAAGAGATTCAGAGATGAGAAGCAGGCCAGCAGAATCATCTCCCACATCAAGACATCCAGAAGCCTCCACATCATGTGCCACATCCCGGTCTTCTGCTGGATCACTGCTACAGTTCTGGAGGATCTGCTGAAGACCAGAGAGGGAGGAGAGCTGCCCAAGACCCTGACTGAGATGTACATCCACTTCCTGGTGGTTCAGTCCAAACTGAAGAACATCAAGTATGATGGAGGAGCTGAGACTGATCCACACTGGAGTCCAGAGAGCAGGAAGATGATTAAGTCTCTGGGAAAACTGGCTTTTGAGCAGCTGCAGAGAGGACACCTGATCTTCTATGAATCAGACCTGACTCAGTGTGGCATGGATATCAGAGCAGCCTCAGTGTACTCAGGAGTGTTCACACAGATCTTCAGAGAGGAGAGAGGACTGTACCAGGACAAGGTGTTCTGCTTCATCCATCTGAGTGTTCAGGAGTTTCTGGCTGCTCTTCATGTCCACCTGACCTTCACCAACTCTGGAGTCAACCTGATGGAAGAAGAACAACAAACAACATCCTCAATCTCTAAAATCTTCAGTGTCAAACCGAAACTGAAACATCTCCACCAGAGTGCTGTAGACCAGGCCTTACAGAGTCTGAACGGACACCTGGATTTATTTCTACGTTTCCTCCTGGGTCTTTCTCTGCAAACCAATCAGAATCTCCTGAGAGGTCTGCTGACACACACAGGAAGCAGCTCACAGACCAACCAGAAAACAGTCCAGTACATCAAGAAGAAGATCAGTGAGGATCTGTCTGCAGAGAAAAGCATCAATCTGTTCCACTGTCTGAATGAACTGAATGATCGTTCTCTAGTGGAGGAGATCCAACGGTCCCTGAGATCAGGACGTCTCTCCACAGAGAAACTGTCTCCTGCTCAGTGGTCAGCTCTGGTCTTCATCTTACTGTCATCAGAAAAAGATCTGGACGTGTTTGACCTGAAGAAATACTCTTCTTCAGAGGAGGCTCTTCTGAGGCTGCTGCCAGTGGTCAAAGCCTCCAACAAAGCTCTGTAGGTGGACACATGAGAGATGAAACATTATTGTTCATGAGAGATGAAACTTTGTGTCTGTGCTAATCACTGATTCTTCTTCAGGCTGAGTGGATGTAACCTGACAAAGAGAAGCTGTGAAGTTCTGTCCTCAGTCCTCAGCTCCCAGTCCTCCAGTCTGAGAGACCTGGACCTGAGTCACAATGACCTGCAGGATTCAGGAGTGAAGCTGCTGTCTGCTGGACTGAAGAGTCCTCACTGTAAACTGGAAACTCTCAGGTCAGGTTTTCTGCTGATTATGTTTTGTTGTTGTTTGAATTAAATTGTTAAAAGTCTGTACACTTTTCCTTGTTTCTCATATATTTTTTCTGACTCTAGGTTATCAGGCTGTCTGATCACAGAAGAAGGTTGTGCTTCTCTGGCCTCAGCTCTGAGCTCCAACCCCTCACACCTAAGAGAGCTGGATCTGAGCTACAATCATCCAGGAGACTCAGGAGTAAAACTGCTTTCTGCTGGACTGAAGGATCCTCTATGGAGACTGGAAACACTGAGGTATAACCAGACAGTTACTGAGTCATAGACAACTACAGATATATTTGGTTTCTGCTGCCTGAGGTCTTCACTTAGCAGGACCATCTTTCTAACGGAATCTTGGATGTGAACTGTGTCATCCTGGATAGTAGCTCTGATGCTCACAAGTTCTTTGCCTCTCTCCTGAAAACCAACATTTGAGTATTTTGAGGTTAGGGCAGTCGTTATTATTACAATATTTGCCAATCTCAATTGTTTTACAGATTCACGATCACTGTCAATTATTTATTTTATTCACAAAGTTGCATAAAATAACCCTAAAATCCGAGTCTGACGTCTTCACGTTGCACCAGAAGCTGCAGCACGCACCGTCGCAGCCACACATTGGCTGTGTCTCATTTTAGAGACTGCACCGTTAAACGGCGCATTTCAAGTGTGCGTGATGTCATCACGTGGTGCGAACGGTGTCCCATTTGGCTCGTAAATCTGAGCGCGCTTCAAATACGGTCTCAAAACCACACTACCCCGCCTCTTTTTCAAGCGTGCATTTATGCACGCTTTCATGGCCTTGGTATCCCAGAATTCTTTGCGTGCCGCTGCACAGCTGCGCATTTTGGGTGAGAGGCTGGACTCGCTTGGAGACACAGTGCGTCTTTAAAGAAAATAAAAGAAATCCAAAAACAGCAGACAGTCAGCTCAGGCTGTATCAGAGCATGATCTCTGAACTCACTAAAATCTGTAAACCAAACATTATAGATTTAGAGACGAACTGATCCGCTCTGCTTCAACTATCAAAATCATTAGAAATAAGAAAGCTGACAAAACTACAGCAGAGTAAAGTAAAGACTTAGAAATTAAAGTTGTAAACTTGGGAGAATAAAGTCATAAAGTATATAAAGTCATAAAGCTGCTTTTGTGGAGGGGGAAATGACTGAAGCTGGTCATCTGCAGGGTTATCTGTGGATGTATCAGCGGGTCATTCAGAGAGATTTTGTGGTTTCTGAAGAAACAATCAAACTGATGATGATCAACATTTGTGATCCAGAGGGAGTCGAGCTCCGACGAGCACCACGTCTCTGACACCGGCCGTAGCCTACACCTGCAGAGACACCAACACCTTATTATGGCATATGGATTCATATCATAAATTAAAGCTCAATGTCATTCACGGATATTTACGGCTGCATAAACGGATATATCCTCAGCATATTCATTTCTGCCTCCACAAAAGCAGCGATTTCCTTCAAGTACACCAGTTTGTTTGTTTTTTTTTCCATGGAAAAGACATATTTCTCATATGTTCTTTTTTTAAGTCTTTATACTTGTATAAATGTAAAGAATCTCCTTGTTTGTGAAACCTTTACTGAAGCACATTTCCTTCAAATGCTTCATGGCACTAATTTTAACAAGTCTCCTCTGAAATAACAGAAAACCTTACGACTTTATTATTAATAGTATCTATTGTATTGTGTCTGTGCAAGGTCGCACAATTAATAACTGCTGCGCTCCGCGGCTTTTCTTTAAGTCAGTCATGATGCGAGCCTGAGGGTGGGGACATTTGGCAACTCAACCAGGAAGTCCTCCAAAGGGTAGACCGTCCCAGTTCACAAAAACCAGACCACCTCACTCAGGGTCCTCAAGTCCACATAACAGCAGTATGCTCAGCTAAGTGCGTTTGAGCGCGCTCAGACTTAAGCAGTCTCTGAAATGAGACACAGCCATTGTTTACCTCTCGTCTTGGTCAGATGGGCAGCGACTCGAGTTAGGATGGAGGATGAGGAGGTTCTGGGTGCATTTCAGATTTAAGCCAAATGGTTAAGAAGAGCCCGATAACGTGGAGAAAGCGACATGTAAACTTTGCCAGAAAAAAAAGTGCCGGTCAAGAGTGGTAACACAACATATCTGGAACAACATCTCCAGACCCACCATCCACAGTAACACGCCGAACTCTGAAAGACCACACCAGTACAATCAGCAGGCGGTCCAACAGCAGCTGGTGCATCCCGTCAACTGGCTCTTGGTAAATCTTTCGGACGACGACTGTATGAACAGGAGAGTTCAAGATGGCGTACGCTAACTGACACTGTGGTTCATTGTTAAGGAAATGCAGCCGTTCAGAACGGTAGAAAAATTTGCGTTAAAAGCGAGGAAAGTTTGTTTACTTTTGTACTGTTCAGTTTGAAGGTTGGTTGGCCAGGTGTTCCTTGCATGGTTTTCTGTGCCACTGGTGTGTGCTGTGTGGATGTGAATTTGTTCAAGAAAGTCAAAGCGACTTTTTTTCTGACCTCTGACCTGTGCACTTTGTTCATTGACTAAAGAGGTCAAAGAAACCTTCTGTCTGTCAATACTTTCCAACTGTTTCAGCCTGACAGGCAGAAATAATGTGAGTTCACTTCAGCACTTGCCCTGGTGCAGCAGATTGTTTATAACAAGTCCTCTTAAGACGTGGAGAAGTTACTTATGTCTTAGTCTATTTCTTGATGTTCAAAAGTCAGTCATATAATTCATTATTCATTAAGGTGTACAGTACGGTATTGTACAGTACAGAATGTGTTTTATTAAATATCATTATACGATGATACCAGAATATAAAGAAGGGAAGAAATGGACAATATATTCATCAATCGCAATTATTTGTCTGACAAATAATCGTCCTTAGAACGACATACAGTTTGATGTCATCCATGTAGAGGAGAACATTAATAAAAAAAACCCTCAAACAGTCAACATGAGAAATGACTTTGACTCAGACTGAAGTGTGTCTGTCATTCTGTCTCCTCCTCCACACAATAACAGCAGCTATTTGTCTGCAACACTGGGAACCTAGATGAGTATCTTCTCTGAATGGCCCAGCTCTAAAATGTGTTGCTGAACTGTAGGTTTGTCTTCCAGTCTGAATCCTCCTCTGTTCAACAGTTTTTAGTTTTCTTCTGAGAGCTGTCACGTTGTTCTGAACTGCAGAAACTCGTCCCTCTGCTTCTGGTCTCAAAGGAGGACATGGTGGTTGATATTTGGAAGGACAGGAATGGCAAATCTTTTGAATATGAAGAACCATTTTTATCTGCTCTTTATGGAGGACCACAGGGGTCACAGAAATGGAAATAAAGCATTTTTAATTTAAAAAGTTATTGTATTATTAAAACATAAATTCATAAACAGGTTTCCAGATTCATGAGTTCATCCTTGAAAAAATAGAGAAATTATAAAAAAGATTCTACAAATGAATCTTTAAAACTGTAGAACAGTTTATTATTTTAAAATACATGAATGAATTACTTTATCAATAGTTTAAAAATCAGTTTGAAAATGTAAAGGAGGGAAATAAAGAAGTGAGTTGAAAATCTGAGGTAAGAATACAGCTTTAAATCAGCCATTTAAAGGACAATTCCTCTTTACATTTTTATTTCCATTTCCTAACTGCTTTTCCTTTTCCTGTTAGCTAATCGATTATCAAAGTCTTTTATCTTTCCGTTCCCCCTCTCCATGTTCCCTTTCTTTATTATTTGGACACTGAGCTGGTAAAACCAGGTAGAACAACAGATGAGCCATGAAACAAGCTCTCTGATTGGTTATAACCTGGCCTATTACATGCAGATGTCTGCAGGGAGGTGAAGATGATAGAAGATGAGGAAGAATAGACCTTATCCAGTGTTCCAGGCTGAAAGAGGTCCAAACCTGGATATTGTGACTCTGTGGTCATTTCTCAGCTCCCTGATTGATGAACAGACACACAGACTAAAAACAGAGATGATCAGGAGAGAGATGGGCTCATATTTGAAGTTCAAACACATTTGACAGTCCTTTAGCCCACGTCAGAACTCAGAGAAGATGCTTTATTACACCTGATGTTACAAGATGAAGGTTCACATCTAGTTGAATGATCAGAGCAGAACAACATTCAGATCTCCTCCAGATCCTTTATTTCATTCATCCATACAGACCAGGATCAACTCTCCTGGCTGACATGGGAAGGTCTTCTCTTCTTGATTTTCTGCTCTCTTTGTTTGGTGAACCATCAAACAAACCCTCAGAGCTACAGAGAAACACCTCCTTCATACATCCACCCTCAGTCAGAAACATGGACTCAAAGTACTGGCTGCAGAAGTGGGTTCAAAGGAGATCAGATAGTCTAGACATGCTCTGACTTTGCTCCACTTCCTGTCCATCCCAAACTGCAGGAAATCCACCTGCTGTTCCAGGTGTGATGCTCCTACTCCCTCTGCTCTAGCTGACTCTGAATGATCCAAGAAGAGCCTCACACACTCACATGAGTTCATCTGAGAGCTTTCATTTCATCTTCATTCATATTTAGAAGAAGAGAGCCCACTACTTCATCTCTCCATCTTCATCTCTCTATCAGAAAAAGTGACAGAGTGATGGAGACTGTTGGCTCAGATGAGTTTCAGCCTGTTTCTCTGTCACAGGGACAAACTGAGGAACTCTGCTTCATGTTGGACAGCAGGTAGGACTCATGTTGGACACTCAATCATTCTGACTGTGTTTCTTCCTCCAGGGTGGACCATGGTGGAGAGCAGAGGTTAAAACCTGGTGTGAAGAAGTGTAAGTGTGGAATCAGTTTGACTCCTGATGACCAAACAGCAGACTGTCAGCTAACAAAGAAGAAAGCCTTCAGGTGTGTCTGATGATAACCTGCTGCTGTGTTGTGTCTTTTTCTCTCTGTCAGATTTCTCTGAACTCACACTGGACTCAAACACAGTAAATGGACACCTCAGACTGTCTGAAAACAACAGGAAGGTGACAGATGTGAGAGAGGATCAGTCATATCCTGATCATCCCAGACAGATTTGACTCCTGTCCTCAGCTTCTGTGTAGAGATGGTCTGACTGGTCGCTGTTACTGGGAGGTCGAGAGGAGAGGAGAGGTTGAGATATCAGTGAGTTACAGAGAAATCAGAAGGAAAGGACAAAGTGTTGACTGTGTGTTTGGATGGAATGATCAGTCCTGGAGTCTGATCTGCTCTGATGAAGGTTACTCTGTCCGTCACAATGACAGAAGAACAGACCTCGATCTCCCCTCGTCCTCTGTCTCTCACAGAGCAGCAGTGTATGTGGACTGTCCTGCTGGTACTCTGTCCTTCTACAGCGTCTCCTCTGACAAACTGATCCACCTCCACACCTTCAACACCACCTTCACTCAACCTCTCTATCCTGGGTTTGGGATCTGGTCTGGTTCCTCAGTGAGTTTGTGTTCTGTGTAGGAGGGAGAGTCTCCTCCTCTCTACACAAACAGCAGCTGAAGAACAGTTGACCCTCTGCACTAACACAGACTTCAGCTGATTATCTGACTGTTTGTATCCTGTCACATCAGTCTGAATGTCTGTTATCAAAGAGCAGGACTCCATGTCAAACTGACTCACTGAACTGGACTGATTTCTGTCTCTATGGGGGAAAAATTCGATAAACTTTCTGTATTGATCGGAAAATTTGTCTGAACAGTCGGAGTCAGACTCCTGAAACTCTTCTTCACCTGCTCAGGTGTTCATACCTGTGTTTAAACTGATGAATGTTATATCCTCATGAGACTGCAGGCTGGTTTGCACACACACACACACGCACGCATGCACGCACTGTTTGCATATTCAGGTTAATGAGTTAATGAAAAAAAAAAATTATAAAATAAATAAATATATAAATATAAATTTGATTGATTGATTGATTGATCGATCATGTGTCTTGTGATCTTTTTTACTCAGCCCACTTCGGTCAATGACCTGATAGTATGTTGTTGCAGCACTATAAACTTTGGATCGGCCCGTATCGATCCACCTCAACTCAACTCAACTCAACTTTATTTGTAAAGCACTTTAAAACAACCACAGCTGAACAAAGTGCTGAACATAAATAGACAAAACAACAAGATAAAAAACAATCAAAAGACAATTAAAACGATGTTTAAGATAAAAGCAGAATTAAAAGTAAAATATAGTTTCAATGTTTTTAAAAACTAATTTAAAAACATAGAAACAAATAACTAAAAACAAACCATAGAACACTAAAACAGGAGCTGAGTCTCATGCAGGGTTAAAAGCCAATGAATAAAAATGGGTTTTAAGACGAGTTTTAAAAATGGACAGTGTGGGGGCTTGTCTAATTTGGAGGGGTAGCTCGTTCCATAAAATTGGGGCAGCAACAGAAAAAGATCTATCCCCTCTGAGCTTCCGTTTGGACCTCGGTACCTCCAGGAGCAGCTGATCAGCTGACCTGAGGCACCGAGCTGGGGTGTAGGGGTGGAGAAGCTCAGAGAGGTAAGATGGAGCCACACCATTTAAAGATTTAAAAACAAATAAAAGAATCTTAAAATGAACTCTAAAATGCACAGGTAACCAGTGGAGGGAGGCCAGGATGGGAGTAATGTGCTCCCTCTTACGTACTCCAGTTAAGAGCCGGGCGGCTGCGTTTTGAACTAACTGGAGACGTGAGAGGGAGGACTGGCTGACTCCAAAATAAAGTGCGTTACAGTAATCCAACCAAAATGTAACAAAGGCATGGATTACTGTTTCAAAGTGCCTACGTGACAGAAAAGGCTTTGCCTTCGCCAGCTGCCTAATCTAATAAAAACTGGATTTCACTACCGAGCTAATTTGCCTATCAAATTTAAAATCACTGTCCATCTTAAAACCCAAATTTGAGACGGTTGGCTTTAAATAATCTGCTGAAATACCCAAGTCTACACCTCGTCTTAAGGTCGGTAGCTAATTAGCCCCCATTCGTTAGGACTGTTCAAATCGCTCACTGTTGTATTTTCCAGATACATCCTCTGCTCACGGCACCTGTGTGGGGTTAAGTGCTTCATGTAGTTCACTCCCATTCAGAGCTGTTGAGATGAAAAAACTGTTATTGTACATAATTCCAGTGTTTTCCAGTATTTGTCTGTCACTCCAAAGAAGATGTTTAGTAAGGAGTAAATCTAAGTTTGTGTTATTCAAGGTTAGAGAGCTTTTTGTTTGCAGAGATTTTTGTCATGTTTGCTGACATGATAAACATAAAATGAACTTTGTTGTGGTGAAATTTAGCCGACACTGTTACTCATCCTCATCAACAAACATTTCTTCCCCGGAGCGCCTCGATGGAAAACAACACACTTCAGGGAACAGAAGTAGCTTCTTTTAATTGTGACCCAGTGGCCGTGTGATGGCCTCATGGGGCTGATGACAGAACAAATATCAGGATAATATGTGTTTTCAGAGAAAATGTGGCGTAAATGACTTGAAATGTCTTTTTTTCACAGCCTGGTTGTAAAGTTGTCCTCATTCAAAATCTGACCCCACTCAGAGGGGACACGGTAATCCTTATTTATGGGAATAACAACAAACATGAAACTGTTGTTGTTGAAGTGGTCAAAGGGTCATTAACTCTGAAGACCTCTGAGACTAATTAATGTGAAACCAACACCCTGGAGTGAGGACGTCTTCACAAAAACAGCCCGTCCATATTACTTCACCTCATCATGTCAAAGAAAAAGAAAAACAACAGCTTCAGCTTCAGGTCGAGATTATTTTTATAGTACATTACAAAGTGTATCAAGAGCAATAATATGAACTTTGTCACAGTTTGGACAGTAGTCTAGAAATCAGCTGATCAATTTACCGCCTGGTTTAACTCCATCTCTCCTGATCTAAACCTCGACGTCTATTTTATGATGAGGTTTATTTATCTTGTTTATTATCCTCAGTGGTTTCCTTTAGGAGACAGGCTGGAACAGAGCGCTCTGCTCTGGCTTTTCTTCGTTCAGAGAGGGTGTAACTTTGTGGATGCTAACACATTCTGTGCTAAAAAATACAACCAAGCCTCTGAAACCATCTGATGAAGAAAACAGCCATGCTACAGCTACTGGGGAAAAATGTGGTTCAGCTAATGCCCATCACTGGTAAAAACACGGCATGTAAAGAAAAGACCCCGGGGTGCTGTGGGACTGACGTCAGACCATAACCAGAATAAGATTCAGGCTTTTTATTGTCAGTTTCTGTCACATGTGGAGGAATTAAAAAGATATTTCTCTCCAGCCCAGGGTCCAAAAATACAGATAGTATAAAAAGAATACAAAAACTACAACAGATAAAAGTTTAATAGAGTAGGAGAGTGGTATATGTGTCTTCATCCACCCTCAGACCTGCTGTTTCTATGTCTATATATGTCTACATACACTCACACACACATGCAAACCTAATGACCATAAAAAAGGGTTAGGGTTCAAATAAAACCCTCAGAAAAATGAACATTTGGACATTAATCTGACGGTAAGGACCGAGTGCACCTTAAATGGCAGAACCATATTTTAGAAAAATGAGCTTTTATGGTTTGTCCTGTTATCTCCACCGATCAAACAGAAGAGGTGAGGTCTTTGACCGATAAAGCAGCCGATCAGACTGGTGGAGCTCTGATGAATACAGACAAGCCTGATCATTGTTTATGGGATCAGCTGAAGAATCTCAAGACAAGATAAGATTCAGGTGAAGTTCAATGTAAACTGCTGCCTTTCAAAGTATGGCTCACAGCCCTCTGATGGGCCACGGAGGTACTTCAGGTGGGCTGTGAAGGACCAAGGAAAGACCCCTTCCCATCACTAATTTCTTGTCCTTATTAAGTCGGTTTTTATTTGATGCTCATGTAGAAGTTCAGTATTTCACCAAGGTATGACTTAATGGCAGTAATCTTCCAACATATCTACTCCTGACAGCAGAGTTACCCGACACTACGATCCTCTTAACTTCAGTCCAGCTTTTATCTTTAATTCATACATGGACTCAGATTTTAATCAGGATACTTAATCATTCACAGATTAACAGATGCAGTCATAGTTCTTTGTACCTGCTCAGACAGGGAGCACAGCTGTCTCTCACACCAAACTGAAGCTAAAATACAAAATGTGATTTTCAGCTTTTTTTCACCATCATCCAGTTGAACTCATTTCCTTAAATCACTTTTCATTCTTGCAGACAGTTGAAGCACACGAAAGCCTTTAATACTCAGAGTATTTTACTTGTTACAGAGGCACCGGTGTAGTTAAACACCTGTTGATTCATTAAATATCAGACTGAACAACACTTTAATTAAAGTTCATATAAAGTTCTTTGAAGTTGACCCAAACAAGTAGGATGTTTCCGATAATCTCCATGGGTGAATTAATGAGATGACGTCTTGGGTGCAGGAAACATGAGCGTCTTATATAACCTTCAGTTGTGGTCTGTATGTGGGTTTAGTGTTCTGGGTGTTTGTTACGGAGGAAGTTGGACCTGGATACAGACTCGTCTCTTGAGGCAGTTCATCCGTTTCTTTCTGAGGATGGAGAACAGCTCTCTCTCTTTTTATTTCAACTTCACAGTGTTCATGAACATCGGACCCTACCGTTACCCAGCCTTCATTTTCTGCCTTCTTCTCTACGCTTTTATCCTCTCTGCGAATCTCACCCTCATACTGATCATCGTGAGAGAAAGTACGCTGCATGAGCCCATGTATATTTTCATCGCGTTTTTATCCGCCAACTCCGTGTACGGCTCCACCGGTTTCTTCCCCAGGTTCCTCATGGATCTGTTATCCGACCGTCATTTGATCTCTCGCCCCGCCTGTTACACTCAGATCTACATCATTTACACATACGCTCTCTACGAACTGTCCATACTGAGTATCATGTCATACGACAGGTATGTTGCTGTTTGTCATCCTTTACACTATCACAGAAAGATGAACTCTAAAACCGTGGGCATGTTGGCCTTTTTGGCGTGGGTATGTCCGGCCTGTAATCTCACAGTCACTATCAACATGGTGGTTAAGCTCCCTCTGTGCGGAAACACGATACAGAAGGTTTACTGCGCCAGCTGGAACATCGTGAAACTATCGTGCATCACAACCGCCGTCAACAATATCGTTGCAATGCTGGGGGCGATCGCCATAGCGTTCCTCCCCTTTGCTTTCATCCTGTACACTTATCTGAGGATTGTTGTCGCTTGTTGGAAGAACTCCGTGGAGGTCAGAGGGAAAGTACTTCAGAGTTGTTTACCACATGTTATTTCATTTGTGATTTATTCCGTAACATCATTCAGTGACACAGCCTTGAGTCGACAGGATCCCGACCAGATAAATCCGTTTGTGGCCATAATTCTGTCTCTTGAGTTTATTATCATTCCACCGGCTTTAAATCCTCTTGTGTACGGACTGAAACTACCAGAAATTAGACGACACATTTTTAAAATCCTGTGTTTTAAAGCTCAAACTAAAAAATGTTCTCATAAGACTTTTCCAGTTTCTACAGTCACTGCTTGAACGCTGTGTGTGGACAGAAGAACCAGAATACGACTTTTTCAGGCTTTCTGTCTGTTTTTCTGTTTGACTACAATTATCGAACTTTTGTCAAAAGTCCAACCTGTGAATTAAATGTTACTGCGAACATGATCACCATGTCTACATCATTGAATAAGAACTGTAAAAAGAACTGCTTTATGAGGCTGATCTGAGGAGTCATCCACAGAGCCTCACCTGCAAAACAGAAATGTTTGTCCATGAAAGGCCTCTGATATGTAAAACAAAAACTGGGTTTTGGACATGGAAAATAAGTGTTATGACATGATTACTGCACTCACAGACATTTAGCTTATACTCTAAAATAAAAAGATATTAATTAAAAAAAAACAAGCTGATGTTTGAGGCACAGAACTCGCTGCTTCAGACAGAACTGTGATTTATCATTTTTAAAAACCTACTTTGACATCTTCAAGTTTGATGAGGTTATTCTGATTTTTACATTTTTTAATCGTTATAATCGGACCCTCATAACCAGAACAATAAAACCCAATCTATTTTATTGCTGTGAATGAATACAGATTCAAGCCCTCCCTCGACACCTTTATCTTTATCTTTATTACTTTTCTCCGTCTCTCTAAATACTGTTCTGAATGAACTTAAACACTTTAATACCGTTAATAAAAACATATTCACTGTAACTGTACTGAACATGGGAATATAACATTTTATTTGATTTTATAATCTTTTATTTCAGTTGTAAATATTGTTCCTGCATTTATCTGAAGGTCCACATCTGATGTATTAAAGTGAATAAGTTGACAGACCTGAAGTGTAAATAGAAGCAGAAAAACACTGAAAACAAAGTTTGAATGAAAATAGAAGAAGATAAAATTGTCTGATTTATCCTGCTAAAAATTAAAATGGATTTGATGTCATGAGCAGCTTTTACTGAATCATTTACTGCTTTTTTTTCCTGTGAAAAGGACTCATGAAGGTTTTTACATGGTTGCATCAGTTCGGGTTATTCTTGCTGTCCTTAAACATACAGACGGGGGTAAAACACAGTCTTCTCAATTAAGAAAACTATTCATCAGTTTAGCAGCGACAAAAAGATGGAGATCAGGTTTCTCTGCATGTGTGTCCCTTTGAACGGACTCAGACTGGCCTCGGCGTTGTTCACATGCTCCACAGTTTGAACACTGGGCTTTGACACACAGATGTGAAGCTGATTTTTCCTTTACTGCAGAAACAGTCTGATCTAAATCTCCATTCTCAGCCTGATAAAACCGACTATCTGTGGTTTAACATGTTTCTAAAAATGAGTGAGAGATGAAGGTGTCGTCCTCTGAGGCCTGATGAGATTCAGGCTGAGACAGTCGTGTCTTAACAAGACGTTTCGTTCCAAAAATCAATCAATAAAATACGACATATTTCAGTTTGTGTAACTGGTGGTGTGACAGAGTAGAGATTGAGAAGACTGAGAAGCCAAAGTATAAGAGCCTAAAGGTCTATGGAGCGCCATCGCCGTCAAAAGTCTGTGTTTGAAAACTTTACGCTTAAATAAATGCTTCGTGCTCCAAAAATATTGTTTCGTATACCTGAGTCAGCAAATTATGAGTGTTTTTATGTGAGTTTGAATCTCAAAGCTACGACTTCAAGCAGTTACAAATATGAATCTGATTCCTACGCGTACAAACTTATGTCTTTGGATACGAGTCTCCGGAGCCACAGGCAGCTGGTGGAGAGACTTGACCGAGCCCTGATTTCACAGCTTACATTAGGAACACTGCGCTCCAACTCTGTATCACTGGGAAAGTAAACAACATAGTATTTTATCGGCATTCCAGAATGATTTTGATAACAATTTATAATAATATACATTTTGACACACATACAAGTTACAGCATCAGCATAGATGTCAAAGTTTTCTCATGTGTAAAAAAGTGGTAAAGTATGTATTTTACGTAAGTACAGACAGCTCTGTATTTGAACAGATGCTTATAAACAGGGTAAATTATTAAACCATATTTTATTGCACTCAACCATTCAAGGCATCTGCTGCCAAAAAAATAAGATGTTTACCATTGAATCATAATTATCATATTTATCATAATCTTGAGATTCAAATGCCCTAAACAAATACATTAGATCTTTGTGCTTACTAACAGGACTAAAACTAATGTTTGGTTTTAACTTCAGAATATAACTTCTCAACCAAATCCACAGCTCACTCATCTATTCCCCGGTCAGCTCATGTGTTCCCTCTCATAGATTGATCTCCTAAATTTGATTCCAGTCTTATAAAAGTCTTTCACACTTTGTGAATTTTATAAAATGATCTTTTGTTTTTAACTTTTTTTTTTCACTGTTTATTTCTTTGTTAATTTGCCTCCAAAGATAAAATAAAATAGACCCTTCACTGTTTGTTAAACTATCTTTCCATCATCCCCGGAGCATTTCAGTCACTCATGTTTTCCTCAGCGGTCTCCTTGGTCCAGTGATTGTTATTGTGAGTTTTCAGGTGGTGTGAAGTCTCAGGAGCTCGTTACCTGCTCTTACTGAGAAAGTATAAAACAGGGACAGACACACTCAGAGACAGACACACTCAGACGTGGACGTCCTCCGTCCTTCAGTAAACCAGCAGGGTGTTGTTTCACAAACTCTTTTCACATTTAGACAAACATTTTTCTAACTGATGAATTTTCATTATGAAGGACAATTCCTCAGTAATCACAATTTTGACGCTTTCAGGGGTAAGTGGGACCAAAAACTACCGCCTGGCTCTCTTTCTTCTGACTCTGTTGTGCTACTGTGTGATCTGGCTGGTTAATATGACCATCATTGTGACCATCATCATCGACAAAAGCCTTCATCAGCCCATGTATGTATTCCTCTGTAATCTGTGTATTAACGGGCTCTATGGGACAGCAGGCTTTTACCCAAAGTTTCTCAAGGATCTCCTGTCGGCCTCTAGTGTCATTTCTCCCTCTGGATGTCTTCTGCAGGGTTTCGTTTTGCACTCCTCGGCCTGCGCTGACTTCTCCATTTTAGCTCTGATGGCCTATGACCGATATGTGGCTATTTGTCGACCTCTGGTTTACCACTCTGTGATGACTAAACAAAGAGTTTGTGTGTTGGCGTTTGTTGCTTGGCTTGTTCCCTTTTATCTCCTGTCTATAAGCACAATAACAACATCGACGTCAAGGTTATGTGGCTCCAGGATCCCAAAGATCTACTGCATCAATTTCTTGGTGGGTAAACTGGCTTGTTCTTTCTCCCTCGCGATGGTCATTGTTCCAGGTTTTAATTACACTTTTTATTTCGGTCATGTTCTTTTTGTTATTTGGTCTTATGTTTATCTGATCAGAACCTGCCTGAACTCTCAGGAGAGCAGGAGTAAGTTCGTGCAAACATGCCTGCCTCATTTATTCTGTCTGATAACCGTCGTCGTTTCTCTGCTCTTTGATTTGCTCTATATGAGATTCGGCTCCAAAGCGTTGCCTCCAGGCGTTGGGAATTTTATGGCGATGGAATTTGTGATTGTCCCTCCAATCCTAAATCCACTCATCTATGGTTTGACGTTAACTCAGATAAGGACCAGGATTAAACAGGCTCTGTGCAGTAAACCTCTCAATATTTAGATCACTCTTGTCTTTGTGGCGGGACTTCTGTGGTCAGCAGAAACGCCGTTTATCCTCTTTTCTCTTCAGCCTGTTAGTTAAATGCAAAGACCCCGCTGCAGACTTGGTGTTGCTGGGCGATAGATATACTTTCACCTCATGAATGTTGGACCGTGTCAATTTAATTATACCTGACAAAATCTGCTGTGTTTTCTTTTTGTTTTTTGAACCATAGAAATAGTTTTTTCTTTTTTTCCTGCCAACTAGAAAAGACGATTCAGTAAAAATGATAAAGATAAAAAAAAATTCAAATCCAAACTTTATGAATCTGTTATAAGGTGTGAAATGTGTGGGGTAGTGGAGGGACTCATAAAGAAATAAAGTGATTAATACATTAACATGTGAACACAGTCATAACAACACAGCTTTTGCATGGGAAGACAGAGAAGGGCAGATTTCCCTTATCACAACAACAGCAATACTACTACTACTACTACTACTACTAATAATAATAATAATAATAACTGCCTGTCTATGACAGAACCTGACGACCATTATTACTGGTTAAAGCTGTTGTGAGCCTTGGGACAGCAGGCTCATCCTCCTACCCAGGGGGTCTTCAGCGACCTTCAACTGACCTTTCATAACAACATCATTTTACATACTGGCTGCCTTTTACAGGAACCATCATTAATCTTTATCAGTGATTTCTACCCTTCAGCTCATTAGATAAGCCTCAGGTTTACTGACATGTCGTGACTATGAGCATTAGTTGTTTACTTTATTCCTTCTAAGTCCTTGTGTGGTCGTAAAGTCTATTAATTCATTTGATGTTCATGCGCCCATCTTCTTTGTGTAAAAAATAAAAACCCTGTATGTAATAGTTCACGATCATCTGTATGCCTTTTAGTCCATTTATTCAGTTATGACAGTATGTTTTTAAAATTCTGCATGTACTTATTTCAAAATAAAAGACTCCTTTATCACAGTAATCTTTCAGTAGATTTCTGTGAGTAAGATGTCAAAGCAGTCGTCTCCTGAAGCTCTCTGTCTCATTATTAAGTGTTGTCTGGGAGGGACCACCAAACCCAGCTATCAAGTCCCAATGATGATTAAACTGTTTACAAACAGTACAGAAGCAGGACTTTTTCCACTTGAAACTTGTTTTGACGGGATCCTACGAACTCGCCCATAATTAACTTGTATGAAAAATACATCTGTGGGTTTTAACAAAGAAAACAAGTCAAAATATTCACTCTTTAATGAGGAGAAAAGCAAGAATCACACTTCCTCAGCTTCCACAGAAACCTTTTTTATTCAGGTTCAAATCCAGAGTTAATGCCACAGCTGTTGCATTCTGTAAAAGAGTCCCTGAGTCAGAATAAACTAGATTCACCGACAGTGCAAAGACGCACATCATGCAAAAAGTAACTGACTACAGTAAGAAACCATGATAAATAAGAAAGTTGGAAAAGGCTCCATAAGCATGTTGTGTGGCTACAGCCTTCTGTCAGTGGCTTTAATTAGAGGAGAGGCAACAGGTAAGAAAGAGCAGCTCCAAACCTGAAAGGTGAATTTAGTGACTACACCGCGGAGGCTTTCAGACCGCTCTAGAAACCCTGTCTGCTGTCGCTGTTTGACTGCTGCACATTTGGTTGTATCCTGAAAGCCCGGCCCGTCATTCTCAGAGCTATTGCAAAATAACAGAAGAGCACCTTAGCCGTTTCTACAACTGAAAATAGTGATCATTTACATTATGTACACGTTTGTACAGTCAACATCCTGCCACCTTACGTGACCACATATTCAAGATGTCCTCAAGACATTTGATGGACACTTTGTAAATGTGCCAAGAGAAGAAGAGCTCAGAGGCTTTCTTAACTTTTAAAGTGAGAGTGACATTCATTAGATCATCGATGTGCAGGTTTTCAGGATTCAGGAGGTATTTGAACCATCAACCTTCTCAATACTGTGTCTTTGTGGAAAGTGTTGATGTGTCATGATAAATGAGAGATGAGGCATGTTGATGGGACTCCGTGAAAATGGTTCATTCATGAAGAAGGAAAACTGCAAAAATGGCTGAAATGTCTTTTTTTTTTCTTGACATGGATTTAATGACCCCGGCTCTGAGAGTAATATTCATCTGTTCTGATCTGCTGTGCAAACAGAGACACTCACACAAAATCAAATAAGTCCAAAGAGTAAGATTTGTGATTAAATCCTTTAATAATCTCAAGTGTTTGGTTGAAGAAAACATAAAAATAGCTTTAGAAAACAAAACAAAGCCGACCCAAGAGGTGCCATTAACTGAAGAATCTGAGATTTTATAAAAGAGGAGTCAATTTTGGATGTAAGTGGATTTGAAAAACAAACACAAGTTAGCACATTTCTATTTCTTTTCTGGATAAAAAAACAACCGGCGCTTCGTTTTTCAAATGGCCTCCTCCGCTTTCTCCGAGTTTGACAGACGCTATTGACCCGATGCCAGAATGGGTTGGACTGCGTTCAAATCTGATGCTGAATGTTGGGATCAAAAGTGGAAGAAAAATAAAAAAGATTACAGGAACTACATCTCTGAACACATCGTTGAGGTAAAGCAACTCCAAGCATCGTTTTGTATAAAATCTTGATTAATTACAAAGAAAGCTCTCCGTACATCAGAGCCAACTAAACCTTTTCCATTTGATTCAATTCTTTATGTTAATTTAAAACACGATACTTGGATACTAATCCTAGCAACTTGCTTGCTAAAGCAGAGGGGGGGTTATTCCTTCACTACCACATAGGCTCAGTGGGCTTCTACGTTTTCACACAAAAATGAAGCAGCACTGTCTATTATTAAGGCTTGCATGAAATCTATGTTGAGATAAGTCTAGGAGGACGCACACAGAATATTGCTGCAGAGGGGTGACGATCCCCAAAAAGACCGAACTAATGAAACAAAACTGATGATTAATACGATATATGGCATGGAAGAAAAGAAAAGGGAGCGGGACAGAACCGTGTCCCCTCCACGTCTTGCTACTATCGTTTGCGTTACAGAGCAGGAAGTGTCACGCTGTCACAACGAAGATCATCCACTCATTGACAACAGCAGTCGAGATGTTTTTTTTGTGACGGGTTGGAGAAAGCAACTGTGGGATGACAGATTCTTGGATTCGTGTATTTGAACGAACCTTTCAAACAAATGTTTTCAAACCACCCTCGAGTCTAAAATCGTTTCGGTTAATCGTTTTAGAGTTTATCAACCCCGATAAATGCACAAATGTCCATTCTGCACTGTGTAAGAGAACGGATGTCAAGAGGTAAATAAACTAGAGGTAAGAAGTAGGTGCTGTTCTTAAAGGGGTGGCAAATAAACAATCCCTTGCCTGAGCAAGCTTGATTTAAGGCGAAGGTTAAAACATCAATTCTACAGTTGAAATCTGGACAGCAAAAGATATGCTAACTTTGGAAGGCTACATCAAGACAGCTGATAACTTCTTTTGAAATCTGGTCGACCTCCGATAATGTCCTTCAGCAGAACAGTTCTGCATCTGAGCCTTTATCAGGAGGAGAGTGGGAGGTTCATATGTTTAGGGTTCGATAATGCTCGTATGGGAATTTATACTTCAGGTGGAGGCGTTTATAAATAGATGCAAAAATGATAAAACAATCGAAATGTGTTGATATAAGTCTGTGGGTGAGCGTGCTCCAGGCTGCAGACCTGTGACAGATGTGACCTGATGGGGGCAGTCTTCCCATTCTAAGCATTGATATTAGCTGAACAGACTCCGGCTCTGCGAACCAAAAAGTAAAGCGGTCAGATCGACGAGACTGAGACATCTAAGAAGTCCACGACGGGGAGCGCCCGGGTAACTACGGGTTAAACGGTTTCAGATGAGGCTCCTCTAACCCACTCATGATGTGCTTCAATAAGCCGAATCGTCCAATGAAACGAGCGTGATCAGATTAAACTGCTGTACACGGCTACCAATAAAACTGAAATCATTTTGAGACTTCCTTCCCAGAGAGACAAACTGCTGTCAGATTTCCAAATGCATCGTCACACAGATTTGAGCGTCATGCACGACATTTCATCGCCCCGCCTTTTAATGGAGTGTCAGTCCTGCGAACTGCCGGGCTAGTTGCCGAGGCGCCGTTTGGCTACCCTGTAATTTAAGTGATTCAGGATGGGCCTAAAGACGCTTTCTCATCACAAATCCCACGAGGGAAACAGAAGGGAGCGAGATGTCCTGTGTGTTAAAGGTCGTGGTCGGAGAAAGCACTGCCCCGTGATGGAGGTTATGGTTTGAAAGGTTAATATGGATTGGCTTGTGTCCTGCAGGCAAAATGAATGTGCTCGATGTCACCAGTCTCTGAATGGCTTATGACCGTGACAGGAAGTGGAGGTAGGTAGCACAGAGCAGCGAATGGACTGCCTGGCTGTCCATGTGACCTCAGGCAGGTTAAGAGCCTGACCGCGGGTCTTTCCAGGATTTAATGGTACTTGGATGGGGGACAGTGAGCCACTAGCAGGATTAAGAAAGGCCCAAGGGAAAATGGTATTACATTATCCCCTGTTCTGTGTTGCACAAGAGAGCTTAAACCCAAGATCTTCCATGCTGTCTTTCCCCCTGGTGCAATTCTGATATCTAATTCTGGTCTCTATCAAGTTTTCACAGCTGGGTGTCTTCCCGGGCCTGCCGACTGACTCAACAGAGAGTAGAACAGAGTGTGGCAGAGTGATGGTAAAGAACCGGGAGATGGAGCACATTAGTTTTGTTTCTTGGCCTCCTGGTTGCCGTAACTGGAGCCTGTCTTCTTCACCTCTGTCACTCCTATGAGCCGGCGAATGGCTATGGAGGCTGCGAACAAAGAGAGGAGAGAAGAAAGAGCAGGTTTGAAGAATCGTAACACATCAAATTTATTAAAAAAACTGGGCCTGCAGCAGCTCGACGAGTTTTCAAAAAACAGCTCCCAGTACCTTCACAGCTCACTCACCAATAAAGAGGAAGATGATGAAGCCGATGATGAGGAGCGGTGAGCCGCTCACAACAACTCCACATGCAAAGTTGATGAGAGGTGAAAGGAGAAGGGTGGCCCAGAACAAGAAGTTCAGCAGCGTCCAAGGTCTGCGGTGAGGGATGATTGTGGGCCCGGGGAACTTGCCCTCCTTGTTGTACGTTTCCTGCAAGGCATCCTGGAGAGGACAGGAAGTGGTTAGCACAGGATGAATCTACTGGGAGTTTCATTTGAGCTGAAACTATTTTAACCCCAGTTTATAATCCCGTTTCTAGTCTAGTCTAGGGGAGAACAACGAGTCAGAATCAGTTTACCGTACCGTCACTACAGCGTTACATACAGGACGAATCAAAACTGTATGTGAGTGAACACCGCTCCCAGCTTCACATCTATACTACGCCTGGGTTAGTTGTTTTGCACTGCAGTGTTGTCGTTTTCGTTGACGTTGATGAGCTAAACATAAGTCTTAAATGACTAAAATGTGGCGAGACGAATGTGCGTTTACGTTGACGAGACGAGAACGTTAGTGGTGGACGACGAACAGCGTTGTAAAATTCATGTCAGTCAAACGCTAAACACATATTATGCAGTGTTGTTTTCATTGATGATGCACTGTTAGTATGTTATTTCAGAAGCTTTTTGAGGACTATTAAAAATTACCTTCTCCTGGTAAAGTTTATGCAGCCAGTTCGCACACTCTTGCTCATCATCTGGTATGTCTTCCACAGGGAACCGTCTGGATGAGACAGAGTTACAGATTATACCGCAGTCATCTCACACTGAAACAAACCTTCAGACAGTCTGTTAATATTTCACACTTTTCAACCTAAATGCACATTTTTGACAGTCAGAAGATACAAAGGAGAGCGCATGTATGAAAAATCACTCATCAATGAAGTGGAATAAACAATAAGAAGAAACAAACACAAACATCTTCATATATTTTCTAACATCAGGCAGATTTGATCAAGTTTTGGTGAAATAGTTTTATGTCACAATATGTCATTACAGTTTCCCACCAGCAGGGGGCTCCCTTGGCATGATCTCATCAGAGATTCTATCTTAGTGAGGAGTGACTTACCCACTGATATATTTATGTGACTCCAGTCTACCCACTCATATTACTACATAACTACAGGGTATGATAAAATAAAGCACTCCTTATTCCTCCTTAAACTATCTCTATGATACAGTCGGCTCCTCACTCAGTAGGATTGTCTGCAGAGTTACTGATTTCCTATAACTGTCCTTTGTAACCTCTGCGGTCTCTGCTCTATTATAAAAACAGCCAGTGGGACAGAATATGTTCATCACAGGAGGACGTTAAATCTTCATTAAACTTTATTCTTTATTTTTAGATACTGGTTCAGCTGATCTGAGCACAGACACATTATTTAAAGACTATTTATTGAAATACTTTTTGAATTGACAAAGTACAGTACAGAAGTATTTTTATTTTGTCTTTTCTGAGTCGTTTTGTTTTATATGGGACAGTGTATGGAAATGTGTATGTGTGCTGTCTTTGTGCATGTCTTTAACTTACTGCAAATGAATTTCCTCACGAGGACAATAAATTCAACCTACCTAATTACCTACCTACCTACCTAACTATCTTACCTACCTATCTCACCTGGCTCCGCCCTATCTTAATGGAAATGAAGGGTTTCACTGGCACTCACCTTACGCTCATGTCAGCTTTGTATTTCTTGCCGTTGACGATCCCCAGGAGAGTGGGGGTCTGGTTGTCTTTGAAGTTCAGAGTCACGTCATAAACAGCAACAACTATGACAGACAAACGGAGGTTTATGATTGGCCCAGACATGTTCTGAGCGCTGACTTTGAGTGTTGTGAGTTTGGACACACACCTGTGCCCTTCAGACACTGCAGCGTGGTGGTGAATCCTTTGGTTCGGGGCAGCAGGTGGTATTTCAGCTTGGGCAGACCTTTACTCTCTGCGACCTGCATGCTTATCTGATGCTTTGTCTCTGTAAAGCGGGTCCCCTCACAATATAACAGAAACTGGAGGAAGAGGAAGGAGGAGGAGCGGGTTAGAAGATTCAAACACATGAACACCACGAAACAAACAAACAAACAGACTCTGTGACCCCCCACCCTCACACACAAATACATACACATAAAAAAACAAAAAGACCTGCGATGGCGATCTTTTTATTTCACTCTGTTCACCAAACTGTGACATAAGTGTCAGAAATGTTGGTCAACAACGATGACAGCTCTTACAGAAGTTCTCCGGTCTGGCTAAACTCATCAAATGTCGGTCATTAGCAGCGGCCTGCTGCTCCACTTAGGAGTAATTAGATCAGCCGCCTAAACTGATCGGCCTAATCTCCAATGGTCAACTGCTTGTGTCACAGTGGAAATCTCGACTGTAAAGGTGGACAACAAATGGCACTACCTGTTGCCAAAGTCGTGATGACTATAACTATTTTTGCCTCTCAAAGCGAGGTGAACGCCTCCTTCGACTGTGTCAGCACAGAGGACGTCCGAGTCATGAAGTGTGAGAGAGAACATAAACTAAAATCTTCCTGTAGAGATGTGAAAACAGCTGGTGAACTCAGAGAACTCGTAAATACTCAGAACAACTGCCAAAATAAACCAGGATCAGGGAAAGTGGGTTAAAGGGCAAAATCTGGATTTCAGGCTCAGAAACGAACAAAAACTGAAGATCTGAGTTCAAACAAAACTGGATCTTATGTTTGTAGATTTGCAGATTTATTTTCAGCTATAGATCTGTTAGAAACCCCGCCTCTTTGACCTTTCACCTACTTGACTAGATCAGTTTATGGCGACACTGTTTCTCCTTACAGTTGGGAATAATTACTCAACCTTGAGTTGCACCAGATTGATTTGTTGTCAAAATGATGAACCCTTAAATTTAACTGCTTTTTCACTCTTTTGGATGGAGATCTTAGTTGAGATCTGAGACAAAGACTGTAAAAAACATGATTGGTTTTCACACAAACACACAGTATTTGCAGTATAATAACAGTTTAAGCGAGCAGACCACCAAACCTTAGAGACGGCCCACTGTTAACCTATTTCTCATGCCATTAGACAGAGAGGGACAGTATGTCTGACATGTACCTACCCACATACATTCAGGATAATCTTTGAGCCGGGTCAGGCCTTTGAAGACGGTCTTTCGGTCCTCCTCCCACTTTCTTTTGCAGAATACTATCTCTAAGAAGTACCAGGTCCAGCCAATCAGAGGAACTTTCAGGAGCTCATGCTTGGCTAACACTTTTGAACTCTAGAGAGGAAGCACATGTAAGTGTTTTCAATTATGAAAATTGGATTTGTCTGGGTTGGAGACCAACCTGGTCACCACAGCAGAACTACATGTTGACCAACATGAGACGGTTATTTAAAGGGGAGAGATTGTACAATATTACTCACTCCGAGGATACCGAATCTTTCACACATGGTCCAGCCACACAGAAAGTCAATTTCGAAGTTGTGGTTGAGAATGACGATGACATGCTCTTTGCCAAACTTGTCCACCGTAGCCTGGTCAGTGTAGAGGGTGCAGTCTGTGCCTGACCACCACTCCAGCAGCATCACCAGCTCTGTACCGAGACAACAACATGTATCATGATCTCTGCAAAGACAAAACACTGTATATGGTATTAAACCATTCACTAGAATAGAGAATATTAACAGAGCTCTTGCTGGTCAGCTTAATCTCTTTGTTGAGAACCAGAGCGGAGGATATCCAACACTACAGACGGGGTCACCCCAACTGAGATGCTAAAATTAGGGATGTGCGTGGTTATTCGGATATTCATGTAAACGGGTCTGTCCTTACTATCCGGTTAGTAAATAATATTTGTTTCTTCTATAAAATAAAAAAGAAAAGGGGAAAAAAAGAAAAAAGCGAAAAAAAAAACTTTTTTTTTTCAATTACGTTTTTACCGACATGTCTTAATAAAAGTGTGCATTAGACAAGCTAAAATGTGTGGATCATTTGCGTGCGACTCTTTCTGCCTGGCTCGCTGCTCTGGGCTCGCAGCGCTGGCCTGCGGCATGCATGGCATCGTGGGTTAACTTCTTCAGAGTGAATCAACACATGCGATCAGCCAGAGCGATGTCGGAGAGAAAAAAGAGCAAAGTTTGGGAGTATTTTGATTTATGTTGTCTGATTCTGAAGACTCTTCATTTTGTGCTGATGACGCAGCAGGCTGCTTGGCTTGAGCACAACGGGGCGGAGCTTGATTGCTTTGATCTTTCACGTACTTTCTGTCATTCTCCAGCGCTAAAATAAGATTCTGTAACATATTTTAATATTATAAGCATGGCTTCCATGTACTCTTAATATTTATTTCAGATGATATTTGGCCATATAGATCGACATGTGCTCAATTTGGGTTATTTTCTGGGAGTTTATTAATTTTCGTGTATTTGAATATTCGGTTTCAAAATGGTCGTTTAACCGTCAGTGAAATTAACCGCTGGGAACATCCCTAGTCAAGATGACTCAAAACATTACAGACCTGTATAGATGATTAATGCCCTGCAGGCTGAGAACCACAAATGTATTGTGCAAAAAGGAACGCCTTCCTGATGTTTAAGTAAAGCGCTTAAAATACTCAATATACTATACACTTGAGTTAACTGGAGCAATCGGGTCTCCGGTTAGTTTCTCAACAAAGGGGCTAAGCTGACGAGCCCTCTCTGTGGGTAATACACAAACTGTTGACGCCTCCCTTTAAATGCAACATGGCGTCTCTTATTGTTTAATTATCTGATAAAACCTTTAAAAATGTTTTTCTACTCACGACTCCAGAGGGAGTAGGAGAGTCGGCAGTTGATTCTGCGATAGAGCTGCTTGTTGATTGGCCAGAGGACGCAGGTGCAGAGCTGAATGAAGTTTATGATGAGACCACTCACCACAAACACGAAGCCCATGAGCAGCTGCAGGATGAACAGGCTCTTCAGGTAGGCCAGTAGAGCCATCGTTGAAGAGCCTGGAGAGCTGAGAAGGCTCCTTGATGTACAGTACGACCAACCTGGAGAGGGAGGGGCAAACAGAAGATTAATTATGTAGAACGAAAATCAGAAATGTAAAACCCTGTCAGTGTTTCTTACCTCAGCTGCTCCTTTCACAAGCCTCGTTTACACGGTCCTTCAGCCAAGACTACGGACCTGAGGAGGACAGCAGAGGGGGTTACAGGGATGACTGAGAGATAAGGTGAAGTACATGTCTGCTGTGTGGTTTCTGAACAGAAGCGCTTAATACAACCTCAAGAGCTGGAGCAGCATCATTTAATAAAAGTTTATATGTAATCCAGACAAGAAATGAAGTAACCTAACGGGGTTTTCATAAGTGGACTTTAACATAGAGAGTTTCTTTAAGATCTTTAGGGTACTGACATTTTTGTTCTTATCTTTTCTGCTTTAGATTAAAAAAAAACTCGACAAATAGGAGACAGTAATTTAGTAGTTTGTTATCTGGTGTTGTCTCTGCATAAAAAAGATGTTTCAATGATGATTATTGATTATGGCAAAAAAAATAAAATAAAATAAAATAATTAAATCCATTGAACACAAAGCTGTGGAGAAGAATTCTGTACAACACATCCTTAATATTTGGTACGGTGATTTTTTTTTTCCTTTTACCACCTGGTTCACTCAGTGCTCCTGTTTTAATATCTGCCTTTAGCTATTTGGACCAAGCGTGACAACTTTACCTGCATGGCTTCATTTAGTGTGTTTACAGGTAATGCTATCTCAGGTAACCTCACTTTCACTGAGAACAAGGACTTTGAATAGATTGTGCGAGAAACTCACTCTGATATAAAGAGGAGTGGGCTCACAGTCAGCCTGTGCACGCTTTTACAGCTTCTGTTTGTCCCTCAGCTCTCAGATATAAGTTACTTCATTAAATGATCTGCTATTCCTCGTCGTATTTGAGGAGGCCGTCTGACTTTTTTATGTCCTCCTGTACGTTACGGCCTGTAATCACGACTTCTTCCTCCTAAAATGACGACTATATTTCCTAAAACCTACAGGATGCATGTTCCTCACATTCCAGCTTCATCGGACAGCGTACGCTGTCACTCAGAGGAAGCGTGTTTGGAGCGTAGCAGCAGCGTAGCAGCAGCGTGGTGCAGCTGGACTCAGTACACAGAAAACAACAAACTCACAACAGGTTGTTTTGCCTTTCTGTGATCCACTTCCTGCTAATTTGGACTTAATTCTGTGACTGTTGAGCTTCTTCTGTGTGTGAACCTGCAACGTGATTTTAAAGGTTGGATTTTTGCAGGTTTACTTGTGTTTAGTGAAGACAGTCCTGCAGCTGTTTGTTTGTGAGGGCATCACTGTCTGGTGTGTAACGTGACCACTGTTGGTGTCTAACCCTGAAACTTCGACACCAACAGTGTCCAGAAACTGAAACTTCAGTTCTAATCGTAACTCTCACACTGACTCTGACTATAAGAGTTCTGGAGATGCTGCCGCAGATTTACGGTTCTAGAACTACAGAACCTCCAGCTCAGCAGATACATAACATCGCCTTCGGCCCCTTTTGTTTAATTCCCACAGACACAAACAATCAACACATGGCTCCTAAAAAAGCACAGTCTGGTGGTCGCTGGTTCAGGTTTTTCAGTGTCAGACCTTAAGTGAACTACAGTTATGACCACATCGCAACCAACTTATTTCAACATCTTAACGGCACAGAGCTGAGTGAAGGACACGTCTCAGAGACACGTCAGGCACACAGCAGGAAGCTGGTACTGGTGCAGTTGTACTGCATGTCATTTAAGGTGCTGCAGACCTTTTTCTCTGACAATAACCCTCTCTACTTCTTCTAACTGTGAGTAATAAACAGGCTAAAACATGTCTTTTAAATGTTGTCTTCTTAATTTGACTTTTACCAACAGCAAGGCGGCAAGACAATTACAACTGCATTCACACCATTTCACCAAACTGTTCTGCACAGAGTAAAACAAAAACAGAGAGAAAGAGAAAAAAGGAATAACGAGGGAAAAACAAAAACAAAAAAAAAAAACACAAACACTAAAGTTTGGGATCAAGATAAGAAGAAGAAGAAGAAAACAAAAACAGTGCAGGGTGTCTACAGCAGGACAGGATTAGCCTACCATAACAGCACCTTATCAGTCTCTGTGGGCAAACATCCAGCCAACAGTTTCCCACACATTCATGACGACTGGGTGGGCCACCAAATATACTTCCAGCTCTTTAGACGATAAGACTTCCTTTTTTTAATGAAAACAATCTTATTTATGAAAAGCAATTCTGTGTTTTGAAGTTGGGAAACATTCATTATTCACCAAATCGCATGTCATTCCCCAAAACATTTCATTTCTACATACAGGTACACTGGAGGCTACATGGAAGGTGAAATTCACAAAAGAGTTCAGTGATAAGTGTCTGGACACATATTCAGGGTAAAAGCACAGAGTGAAAATGAGGGCAGTCGCTGAACAGAAAGGATGAATCAGACTCTTACTTTAAAAGGAACTTAGTGAATGACTGTATTTAAAATGTCATAACTAGGAAGCGCCCTACAGTTTTACATTCACTGGTTTGGTTGAGAGACATGCATGGCCTTTGGTAGAAGTGGGCCAGCAGGCGACTCCGCATTACTGTGGTAGTATCAACCATAAACACGATCAAGTACAATACTGATCAAGTCTTTCAATATCAAAGTTTTAATTTTACTGTTTATATTGAATTCATGCCATAAGTATCGCTCTAACAGTCCTGTTTGCACCAACAATGGGTCTCCATTCTTTACTTTGTGATTCGGTCTCCCTTTTTGTGCTCGAGATACAAACGACCAAAAAGACCCTCGGGTTTTATAACACCAGACAAAAGACAAAACCAGGTTAGAGGATAAAGAGTAAATAAACTAATCTAGAATACAATTTATAGTGTATTTATTTATTTACTATAACTAGGGCAACATATGAGAATATTGTGAAGGGGAAATATTTTCTTTAAAGAACCAGTTACCACTACAGTGTGACAAACTCAACTCAGAGTTTTACAGCGTCAGAGAAATCATCTTATCTGTTGTGTTTCAGAGCAGACAGAGAATATTTATTTAAGCGATCGACGTGGTTCTGAAAAAAGGTTAAAAATAAAAAAACCCGTCTTGTTCTCTCATCAAAATATGATCACTGTTGGAGAACAAAGTTACAAAATCATGTAGGAAACTTTGCTGAGGCTGCAGGATTTTTACTCTACAGCTCATCATACCTCGTACCATAACGATAAAACACCAAACTAACATCACACCAGCCTAACATTACATTTCCAGGCTTCTGGGTAATCACTACATTGAAAACTTATCAATGAAAATACAATATAGAGTCCATTTACTCTGCCGTCACAACCGTAGTGTACTATCATGTCGTCACCCACATTCACTTTAAGACTGTGTCAGCAGACCAGCAAAACCGAGGCTTCTCATTGGTTAGACAACTCAGGACAAACAGACGCACTGTGCCTCTGTGTCCAAAACACACAACACCACATTACTTGTCCATATTGACTCTTTCTTCCTCTGATAAAAACTGTTTTGATTCTTGTGTTATTCTATTAAGAGAGACTGCAAAAAACACACAGGCATGGATGAAACTGAATGTATAACCTCCACCAAAACAGATCAACTGTCGCCATTTTACCCACATCCTTAGAGAAAACACAAAAAGCCTTTAAATATTATCAACTACTTTACCTCTGTGGCATTTTAACAAACAGGAAATAAAATCTTACGTGTCCTTCTAGAGAACTTCAGGTCAGACTCCCGGGCACATGAACAGAAACGAGTTTCTCAATCTCTGTAGTGAGGAGGACACAAGTGTTGAAATAGCGTCACGTGGCGCTTGTGTGTCAATTCTCTGATTAAAAGTCCAAACATCCAAAGTTGTCTCCACAAAGTGTCAGAGGAATGACCTTTGTCTCCATAGGAAGAGAGCGGCTGCAGAGTTAACTCGAGAGAGACAACGTTATTTAAGACTAAGATCTAAATTCCTCTTCTTGCATTTCAATCAAATATCAGAGTTAAGGTTGTATAATCTGCTTTTGTCCCAGTTGGAATTTCCACAATGTTGAGCACTGATTTTATTCATATTGCACTTGTTCTTTCATATTGAATTTTGTGGGTGGATAGATAGTACTGATGTTAGTTTTTCAGGACACATACTTACGCCTTTTATAAGTAGTTAATGAGAGTAAATGAGTGATAACTGATACTTGAAACAGACACACAGTCGACATGAGTTTGGGTTTTGTCTTCTGTTAAAATGAAGAATCTGGAGTACTTAAACTTTGTCGAAGTTTCTTCAGCTAATCTTTAATCAATCACATTTACAAGAGCGGGCAATTCTCCAGTTACACTTACAAAACAGTCACATCACACTGTCTTGCCAATCAGATAATGTTGTGGGTGAAACATACGGTTAGAAAAAGTGGTTGGAGAAACTGACCCGGAGTTCAGGACACCAGCTAAAGCAGAGCACCTTTAATTAATCAATTTTATCAGCCATCTGCGAAGTAAAAGGTTAATATCAATAATCAGCAAAAGGCCAAATATCAGCTGATGATCAGCCGAGGATGATAATGGGTCTGCCTCTAGATAGTCTCGACATATCTGCATTATTTTCCTCTTAAAACAACAAAAGCAGAGTCATACAAGTGTGGAGACAGTCGAATATAATACTCTGAAAATCTCACATCAGCTGTCAGTCATGTTTTCATATCTATTTGTTTCATAGTACTTTTAACACTCATCAGCAACACACAAATGTTCCCACAACTTGACTTTTCTGTCTTTGTCCTGATTTTTTTATTTTTTTTATCAAGAGCACATTTCTTTGTCTGGAGAGGTGAACGCAGCGTAGGCAGACGTGTTTTGACACGAGCCCAAGGGTGGCCTTCCAAACTGTCCGAACTCTGAATATGATGCAGACATTTCTCTCTGATTACTCACACACTGCAATTCCACACTCCTATCATCAAGAACAACTCTGCAAAACTCAACAGACACACAAGCAAACCACAAACAGCACTATCATGCTAACATCTGTGCAAGGTCACATGATCAACTTTCTGTTTCTGCACATTCACACTTCATTTTTGTTTCTGGTTATCGTTTTTATTTTGATATTATCTTAATTTTGTATGTACTTTGTCATATTTTATTCATTATGGCACTTTTTCGTCACTTAGAATATTGTTTGTCTTTGGTACACTAATGTGTATTGTAGGCCAATAGATATATATCTATTTTTATATTGCTCTTTTTTATCTTTGGTATGAACATTACTATGTAAACTCTAAGTTATTGGTCTTTTTTTTGTTGTTGCTATTTTTGTATTACAAAATTTTATTATTGATCATGCTGTACTGCATTGTATGATTGGTTTTGTGACTGTGTGATGTTTTTTGCCTGAACCCCAGGAAGAAGAGTCTCCACTGTGGTGTAGACTAATAAGGGATCCTTAATAAACTATTAAAGTATTAAACTCGCCTGAAATAAATGCCCGTTACTTTCTGAATTCAAACCCCAGCTGAAGGTTTTAGGTCTTTATCCACATTACTGAGTTTAGTTTTGTTTGTTGCAGTTGTAAGAAGGGCGAATATTAACCTTCAAACAACATTCACAGCAAACTTATTTATGGATATGTAAGATCATTAACAAAAACAGTGACGCAAAAGACAGTATAAAGTTGGAGTAATGTGGGACAAATACGACTATGAAAACAAGTGAAGACTTGATGCCAAGACTCACAATTCAGCAGCCCTCTGTGCAGTTCTGTCTGTTTTTAATGCAGATAACCATCAGCTAAAATAACACAGCGAGGTCCTAAAACCTGAGCAACACGAGAGGAAACACGTCTTTGGACAATCATAGACTTTGCTGACATGACTGCTGTTCTCATATAGACAGACCTTTGAAACTGTTCCTTCATTATTACTCAGAGTCTACATGACTAGATTTCTGATAAATAACTCTCATGATCTTGGACATTGTTGTTTTAACCCATTAGCTAACTAACACGACCTAACCAGCCGTCTTACTGGGGAAAAAAAGGGAGTGGTGCAAAGAGGATAACATGGATTGCACACATGCTCTCCTTTTTTTATTATTTACTGCTCATGCAACACTCATCTGTCATTTGGTAGTTTTCATGTGAAGATCAACACGGTCAGCAGTAATGCAGTGATGCAGGAAGATTTTCTTTAGAGTGTCTCAGAGGCCTGCAGTCCAAAGGAAATGCTCTACAGTTAAAGAAGTTCTTATATCTGCAATCAAACAACCACACTGCTGAGGTTCTGAACTATCTGGTTTCAACATACAGTAACTGAGGACTTTTCATTCTTACCTAAGACACGATGCAACAAGCAACAGCTCCACAAAAGGCTAAACAGACATTTGTTGCAGGTGAGATAACTGCAGTTCATGCAAACAGGCTCACATCAACCTGCGATAACCTTGCTGCCCCTCTAGTGCAAACACATTCACTAACCCAATTCAAATGACTGACAGGGTGACGTGGAGCTGCACGCCTCTCCCACTGATGGTTCAATATATCAGTCTAAATGGGTAATATGAGGCGCACCCCTACGACACATGGGCAGGCCTGTAGTCAACGAAAGAAAAATTTGATCGGCCAAAATTGCACCAATTTATCGGCTGTCATGAGGAAAAAGTCAAGAGAACCACAGTGAACTTGAAAAGCTGTCAGCAGCATAAAAAAGGTTTATCGAACTGAATAAACATATGACTCAGAGCTAACCAGCACTTTCCTATATAACAATATAACTGTATGAACTGGTATTACAGGACTGACTTGTGCCATATAATTTCCAGACAGAGCAGAACATATTAATACACTCAGACTGATCTCAAAAACACTAAACAGACGAAACATCTGACTGCAGACAACAACCATAAACATTCAAGCCCACTGTTCTTTAGGGTAAAGTGATGCTGAAAAACAAAGATTTTATTTCTCTATAACAGATATGAGTACACACAGAGATCTGTACCAGATAAATGCAGTGTATTTCACATGCTTACAAATAATTATAAATTTGAATAACATGATTATACTGTTTATAATTTGAATCTTATCGTCTATTTTTGGCTTTAAGATTAAATCCCTTCCTTCTTAGCGAGTGTCCTGCCCTTTGACAGCTGCTCTGACACCAACACTGAGAAGTGGAGAGTCAGTGGACGGAGAGAGTAAAGGTGGAGCAACATAAACTGTGTTATCTCCATAAAAGGAACTGTTATCAATACATCTTCAAAGTTAGAGATTAAGCTAAATCTTCAACAGCCCCATGATAGTACCTTAAGACAACATGGTCTTCAAATCCATCTCACCTGGTTGAACATTTTCCATGTATTCTGTAGCAGCATGACAGCCTGTGTGTGTTATTACATTCTACTGACACACAGAAACACACAGACACACATAGACACTGTCTGAAAGGGATTTCAGGTGTCTACCATAGACTTATCCTGAAAAACAAAGTGGTGACAGAACAACATGTTTCATGTCATGTTACTGACATGAAAGCAGTCTGACTACTGCACAGAAACACACACAGTTCTGTTGTTTAACCGAGCTTTTCTATAAAAGGTGCCATCTGATTCTGAACTACCAATGAGATGGCCAGAGAGCTCATGGACCAACTAGTCGACCAGCGGACTGACAGAACTTTGTGTTACAGCAGATCATTGATGATGGTACAACCATCATGGTGTGGTCATGGCAGAAGTTTGTGTTGGCCTCCATTCCTCTTTAACGCCGCCCTGACTAACATTTCTCACCTGAAAGATTAAAGGTCGATCTCACAATAATAAACCTGAGACATCGGCTCGTTTTCAACACGGTTTTACAGAACCAGGGTGACGCTAACCAACGCAGCTCGACCTTTAACCTTTTTGAGATCAATAACTGAGCAGTAATGCTTTCATTGAATAAAATGATATCACTGTGATATTTTTTAACTGTTCTGCAGCTTTTTTAGAGTGCTTTTCTAAATGACGTCCCCAGAGCAATGAGAAACAACCTAAATCACTGACTGTGGACAGCAATCTTACAGGGAAGAGGAAGAGAACAATGTGAAAATGATCAGCTTCATATTTGGGTGGCATTAAAGACATGAGAGCTGTACGCCTCACTATTGTCCATATGTGGAAATCACTGGTCCGTGTAAACACCATGTTACAGGCAAATATCACATGGCCCGATGTCGATAGGTGAGCAGCATTTCTGGTGTGTAGGCTGCTCTTGAACTCCATTGGGATCTACCAGTCGACTCTTCTTTCATGTTTAAATGTGTCGGATTGTCAGTTATTGGTCAGTTTCCTTTGTTGGAGGTTGGGGTCGCTGGGGGCGTAGCCCCACTGCTGAATTACCTCAACTAACACTGTTACACCAGAGTTTAATTCACTGCTGGTCACCCTTGATGTTATGGACCCCAACTCTAAATATTGACTTTGCTAATCTGTAGGGAAATATTATATTTACTTTTCCATATTACTCAAACTGGAGTGAGGTGGTTTAACCAAACTTCATGTGTTCATAAGCCTCATATGAGAAATCAAGGAAATTAGCAGAGACAAACACTGGGCCTGACTAAGCAAACATCCAGTTGAAGCAAAACTCCATGTGGGTGCAGGGACCACCTGGCACACAACGGATTAGTGAAGCTGACCAGGTTAAAGCTTCTTAAGACCAGACAGATGTCTCTGCTCTTCTTTGCCTGCACTACTGGTACTGAATTACTCCTCTTTATTTACCTGGACAAGCTCTAATTTTAAAGAGAATATTTCATCACCTGTACAAAAAAAGACTGAGTTATAGTCCAACAAATCAACACTTTCTGCCAAGAGTCTCTGATATGACAAAAAAATACTGATCGAGAAGTACAAGCTACGTTGTTGCACTGTTCGGCACGTTGTCACACTCTTGTTAAAACTTCACTGATTGTCAAAAGTCTCCAAAACACTCACAGCTTCATGGTTGTGTCACGCCATAAAGCCCCATGACAGCCAAACCGCTTCTCCCTTTAACTTACCAGTAGACATAGTAGGCCATTGCCATGACCACCAATGCTCCACAGATCCCTGTGAAGATCATAACAGCGCTTTGGTTCAGCATTTTGGCTCCTGGTATCTCACCAAACTTAATCCAGAATCAGAATGAGAAAAGGCCAGTAGAAAGTCAGAGGGTGTCCTGCTTCATGGCCATGATAATCCTGCAGCAGGAACCAGGGGGATTATGATGATGACAGCCAGAACACAACTAGATCCCCAATTCTGTTTTAGGAAGTGCCGAACAAGTGCAAGGGTTCACTTCAGATCAAAACTTCCTCATGTGCAAAAGGAGACGACAAAAAGTCCACAAGGCTCGTGTGGCGTCTTGCTAGGGGCCTGCCAGTGAATGCTGGGAAGTCCAAAAGAACACTCACTTCTGGAAGGAGGGAGGCACACATACCTTGAGCAGCGTCTTACATGCATTCCCATTCCCTAATCCAGTGGATCAGATTAGTGCTGATTAGCAGGCTATGGGCACCCTGGATATGTCACATTAAATTAACGCTGACAAAAAAGAAGGCTAGGCTCACTCCAACCAGGTTAAACAGAGCAGCATCTGTTGCGCAGAAGGAACCAATCAAAGTGCAGAAATTCCTCTTGCCATCGGCGACGCTGAGCATTAGGCAGAAGTGATGACCTTAAAGTGAGTTGAAAGTTTCCTCAAACAACCTTTTCATAGGTGTTCCCAGGCGGTGTATTTTTGAACAAGGGAAGCTATAAGTAAACCGAAACAAGAAAAAATCTCTGGGTTACATTCTCCATCCTTGTTCTCACTTTTTGGACGGTAACTGTGGTGGAAATTTCTCAGTCAGACAGCTGAGCCAAAACCAGGCCAGTGGGCACACCAACAAAAAAGCCTGTGGGTTCCAACACACAGCTCATGTCAAATGTTGTTTAGACAAGCCAGGAGAGAGTGTATAAATACACACAAGGGTTTACTGAAGCAAATAGGTCAAAGGCAAGAGTACAGTCCTGAGGCCTCGCCATGAGGTGACGAAGCCAAACATAGAGATAAAGCACGATTGTAATAGCTGCACTTCAAGGTCATTTATGGATCAAAGCATGATGGCGTGCTCTGAATCTTTCAGACAGCACTGCTCAATAGTCGCTTTTTACACAGTTACAGGCGAGGCGATGTGTGAGAAGAATATACACAACATTTACGCCTGAAAGACCTGAACAACCAAGTCTGTCACACAAACACTTTGTTGTGAACTTATACAGTTATGCAAGAAGGTGAGAAGTAAGTATGTACAGAGGGCAGAGTGGGGGTGGGGGGTAGGATAGTACAGCAAGAGAAAGTAATGTAGACTTGTTGGTGTCAGTTTCACAACTGTCACAGTAACAAGATGAATCAAAGTTGCGATTAAAGTGCGATTAAAAATAGATGTGTGCGAATTGTAACATGTATTTAGGGGCACATGTGCGCAAAAAAAAAAATAGGCTGAGGCGATTAATGTTTTTTCATGTCATTACCGCGGTTGAGTTAGGTTGGATATTCACTGTGGATCTACCAGTGTCTTGTCACTCACCATTAGGGCCCGACCGATTTATCGGGGGCTAGTTGAAAACACTTTTCTGGTCCAAGTTTGATCTGTCGGTCTTCCTGTCGGCGTGAAGAGCAGTAGCCTACAGTATATCTACAGAATATAGTATACTGTAGATATTTTTTATAACTTAATAAAAAATGTAAAAATCTGCTGATTAATCAGTAATCAGATTTTTTCATCCTAATAATCAGCATCCGCCCCAAAAAATCCATATCGGCCGGGCCCTACTCTCCATAACCGGGAATAATAGCAGCAGCGTGGTTAAATCAACTCTGCGCCCTCACTGTCATCGTCGGGTGTTGAATAAGGGACCATCAATAAATCACTGGTTGATGTTCTTAAAAAAGCGTCTGTTTTCCTTTAATAGCTTCCATGTCACATGATCAACTGACCTAAAACTGATTTCAAATAATTGTACTTATGTCGACCAATAAGACAAATATTATTGGATCAATTTTCATTTTGCCCCTAAAGTTCCTCATGTGCTCCTAACTTTTTCAACTTAGGGGGACATGTGCTCCTTTGTGAAAAAAAGTCGATGAAGTCTATGATCATTTCTTTAGTCTTTGAGGTGTTGAGCAGGAGGCAGGTTTTGTGACTGAATGCTCTTATCAGATCTCTGTACCTGTATTTCTTCATCAGTGCGATCTGAGATTTGAATCGTGTGAATAAGAGTTGTTCTTTGACTATGATATACGCTGTGCTAAACTTAATGACCATGTCATTCTCATCTGTTGAGGGATTATTTATTTAGAGTTGCCTGCAACAGACGGGCCAAACTGCCATCAGCTAAAAACAGCAACATTAACCAGCTGTGCTTCTCTTTGGGTTTGTCTGAGGCTTGAATATTGGCTATCAGCCAGAATAGCTTGACTCGGTTTGACTTAAACTGATATCTGAAAATATACAACAAGGACGCAGCTGAGAAACTAAACTTGTAACCACCCAGATGCAGTTACTGGGAACTGAACTTACAGTGGCATCAAAACAGTTTTATCTGCTGTCACACACAAACATGATTATCTTGTCACAGACTTGTTTAAAGGGGAAGAAGGGTGGGGTTGTGGGTGCTGCACCGTATGAGCATGCATTCATAAGCTTGATAATAGAACGATATAGGAAGAAACCCTTACGACTATGACTACTCTTCTCATACAGACTGGCATTATCTTAAAGTATCACATTAACTCTCTTGCCTCTAACTTAGGGTTCAGCTGTGGATTAATCAGCCTAGTTCAAAATGCTTTTCTGGTCCGAGTTTGATTTATGATAAACATGTGGATTATTACTGAGGTTAATGTTACTGAGAAGTGTTTGAAAAAAAATTCATACATTTTTTAAAAATGGCCGATTAATCGGTAATCGTTTTTTTCCTCCCTAATAATCGGCATCGGCCCCAAAAAAATCCATGTGGTCAGGCCCTAATAGAGATTGATCTTATTATAGTGGTCGACAATGTTCACGCTGTTATTAATGTTATGGGGCGGGGGGGCGGGGTCAACCTTTATAATGACCCAGCAGCAAAGAGGCGCAGACATACATGAACTCCAGTAACCCCACACTGATGCCACATCCACGGGTCAACTTGAAGCCAGATGGCTCATGTGACGTAAAGCTGACGGCTTGTAGAACAACGTGTTTTTTCTTCTTTTATTCAGATAAATCACGTGTGCTATACCATACACTATTTCATTAAAGACTTAGGGGTGCTGAAACATCTGCTGATGACTAAAGATCAGCAGTTTGATTCTCCCTCAGTGACTCTGCTGTTCCCTGTGCAGCATGGCTAACCTCAGAGCCAGCATGCACCTGCATCCACTCAGTGTCTGGACTTCTTGTTTGACGCACATACTGACTTCATATCGATCATTTCACCTTAATCATTACAAATTAACTTTATGTTGTACATCCAGACCATTCCACACCTTTATGAGAGACGTTTAATATACTTCACCCCCCTCTGCTGCTGTCGTAAACGGTACAAACAGATCAACCCTAACCGAAGATTCATGTGCAGCGCAAGGGCAGAGAGCTGCTAACGGCACATGCTAGCATGCTAGGTTGCTATAACCGGTACAGTTTGCCATTGATCAATAACCATTGTATTGGATAGGTGTTGGTTCGTCTTTAGTGATTGTCCATTTGCAAACACGGTGCACTCGTCCCACATACATAAACATATATATCTATAATACCTGCTAACGGTCAGACGACCTGTATCGGTTGCTACGCTATGTTAGCCCAGCAGCTAAAGTTAGCATTGGTAGTTGGTTAACGGAATTCAGGCTTACCTGAAAATGATTCACCGGGACTCTGACAGGAGGAAGATCTACTTATGTACTTCTTCTCCGCTGTTTGGCCTTCAGTTGGGTCAAAGAGCTTTACCGTGGACACCGTGTTACTCTGCCTGTTTCCTGAAACGCAATAAAAATGATTTGCGCTAATGCGATTTGCAGGAGAGCTATTGTTTGTGAGTAGAGACCCACATTTCCTTACAGCCCGTCTGAAGGTAGCCTGCCCTACATCCGGTGCGGCCCCTCACACTCACAACAGCAGACCCACTCCTGACAACCCACTCAAACTAAACTTCATATCAAATTATTAATAACAGACATATAATCTGTAAAAAAATACAGGTATTTGGTCATTTGTTTACTTTTTTTAATTTGTTGACTAATTCCTGACCCATCAGATTATGAAACAGGATATTACTTGAGCTTTTGACACATTTCCTTTATAATATTTTGCAATAAATTAAAGGTGAGGTTTCTTCTGCGTAACTCCAAAGAACAAAAAACATTACAGAATATTTTACATTGTCACTGGAATCTTAATTTAACAACCATTAGCTTGCATAATATTTTCCTAGCTTGTTTTCTGACGGTAAGGCAAACACTCTTTCTAATTGATAATTTCGTCATTTATTTCAACCTTTTCTACTTTGTGGCCATGAGTGATGTCACTTCAGTCTATCAATGAGGAGCATGTTTGACCAGCTTCAGACCCTTGGAGCCCTCTGCTGGTGTCAGCAGAGAACCACAGTATAACACATGAATGATGAGAGGCTGTGGTTTGTCAGACTTGTAGTACCCTCAAACCTTTATGTTGCTCCACACCTCCTGTTGTTGCTATATCAAAGAATTATCCAACCCATCCTTCTGTACTGTTCCACATGTTTCTTCACCATGCTTTCTGTCACCAACCGGGCCAAACTCACACGCATCACAAATACAGCAGCTAAACTCATTGGTCTACTCACACCCAACCTCACAGAACTGAACAACAGGTCCATCACACGCATAGCAAACTCACTAAGGAACCCTAAGGTTTCGCAGGGCCCGCTTTAGGAAAAGTCTGGTCCCTGCAGCTATAGATGCCCTGAATAGTCGGCCCCGGTGAATAACCTGTCCTGTTGCCTCCTTGCTGCTTGTTGCTGTTGTCCGGGTGTTTGTCATTAGTTGTCTGTTCCTTAAGGTCTGTCCTATGTGATGTGCATTTTTGTCCTTTTATGTAATGTACAGTTGGTGAAGACAGATTTCTCCACTTCTATCTCATGGTTGTTTGCAAACCTGTCTATTACATGACACTTCAGCCATGTTGGCATAAATACATCCACTACAACTATTAAAACAATCCAGTCTCTTCTGTCAGGAAGAAATAAACGGTCCTCAAAAGACTGGCTTACTGTTCTCAGGTTGCAGTAAGTCAGACCTGTCGGTCTGCCCAGTTATTCGGGTTAATACAGGCTATTCATGCTGTGGCTTAGCGCTGAGCTGAGCGCAGAGCTGTCACCTGGCATGGTTGACAGCTGTCTTATTTACCTTTTGTTTTTATGCCTTTCTGCTGTTGAGATCCTGCTTCGTAATTATGAATTGTTGCTTTTAAATGTAAGCAAGTGTCCTCAGGTAGGTACTTAATGATTCCTATTTTTAATATCCTTCTGACCTTCCTACAGACCTGTCTCACTGATACCATATTTCTCTAGGACTCCAGAAAAAAAACTTCTCAGTCGCTGGCCAGACAAATTCATTGAAAAATACAGCCTACTTAAGAACAGTTGCTTCAGAGCAAACAGATCAACAACACTGGCTTTATTAGAATCAATCTAAGAAATCATAAACTTAGTAGACCAGACAAAAATGAAGTGGGAATATTATTGACATAAAAAAGTATTTGACCCAACTGGCACTGGGGGAAGAGATTGTTGCACGTCATGTTTGGACATTGCTCGTGAAGTCCCCTAGGGGTCAGTGTTAGAACCTACATTGTTCATTTTATTTACAGTGTTAATGATGAAAATGAAGAACTTAAAGGGATATTCCGGCCTAAAATTAATTTAGGGTCAAACACATAGTAATACCGAGTTAGATACCCCCTCCAGAGATGAATGTTACCGACTGCTTGCTTCTCTACTCATGCTAACTTTAGCAATGACCACAGGATAGTAATACACAGCGGTCTATGGAACCACACACAAACCTCAACAAAAACGCCACTCTGTAGCCACAAATAATGCTCAGAACAGCACCTAACTTCATCAACAGGACATATAGGGTCCCAGCCATAGTACTAGACATCAAACATCTTTTTAACTTTGACTCATTTCTTTAGCAAAGAGACTAAACACAACTCACCTACTCTCTTCCAGCAGCCGCTTGTTTGTAGCCAGACCTCGAGCCAGTCCATTACGGACTACAGTGGGGTGACGCAGCTTAAGGAAGAACATTTATGATCATTTCTTCATGGAAATACAATCAGACCGAGACGCTAAGGCAAAAGAACTACTGATAGAGTAGTGGACAGACATGTAGATCATGTTGTGTTGCAGCTCTGTCGGGAGGCTGACAATCACTCGTCACATTTCTCTTTTTCAGGACAAAGTCAGCGTGGTCTCTCTAAGATAGATGGTGGATAAATACACCCCAATATTTCAATCACAATGAGTAACAATAGGCGCTTTATGAGATGGTGAACCAGTTACAGTTTCCTCTGATTTCCCTGCTGTGATTGAAGGAGTATTATCACTTTACTATGTTTGTTTGTTAGCCTTACTAACTCTGAGTCGGGATTTGGGATAGCGAGTCTTAATCTTACAAAGCGAGTGCAAAGGGCTTTGTTGTGTGGAGACAACCTAAAACAACCTCAGGTGAGTTAGCAACAAAGAAAAGCGGCTGAGAAATAAAACTTCACATTCATTAAAGACTTGAACGAAATAAAAATAAAGAGAGCTTTTTCAATAAAATATTAATCATTTATTAATTCAGTTTCTATGTGTCCCTAGTCCGGCGCAGCAGCATAAGGTTTGGCACTTGTCCTTCTACCGTGTTGTGTGTGGATCAAACATGACAGTGGTACACAAAAACATTCACATCCATTGTTTTTCCTTGCAACAATGTTAAGGCTATTATACAGTCAGGTCTCTCATTAAAACTCATTCTGAGATATGACAGTGGTCAAAAATGAAAAACAAACATATTTCCAGCAAATGTATTAGTGATTATCTGTGCAAATACCTCAATTTGAGATGTTTAAGACATGGTCCAAACATGTTACACACCTTCAAGTGAAATTCATGTCAAGAAAACAGATTCTCAAACAGCTGTGGACATGTGCTGTTAGGATGAACATGAAAATAAAGAGTTCCTGAAAGCAGGAGGAAGTGAAACAAATCATGGTGATGACACTCTACAGACTACATATAAATTGCATAATCTGTTGGATACATTGTGAAATTTACAAAACACATTTCTGCACTTAAAATTTGCACAGTTTAATATTCATGTAACAATTGACTTAGTTAAGAACAGGGAGACTACAGTACACTAAAGGCCCTGAAGGCATCGATTTTATCATATTAATTATATATTATCATATTAAAAACTCACAGCTGGAAATTGCCAGTGACTTTAACAGCTCCTGGGAAAGTAGAGGTTAGTTTTGTTTTCTGCAAAAGCTCTGAATAGTTTGGAGTTACCATCATGTGTTGCTTTTGGCCTAATACAGTATGTTTTGTACGTCTTAGGTACTTGCTTCACTTGTGAGCAACACGCCTAAATACAGTACATGTGAACTGTCATTAATAACTGTTTTGTAGAATTATACACACGCACCTATGGTTTTGTAAATTTGAAACTGAGCTTAATTGAGATGAGTAACTCGATAGTCCCTCCTGTGTAAAGGAAAACTCAGGATTCCCTTTACACTATATTTCAACGAGCGCATAGTATGATAATGTCCTTTTTCTTCGAATTGGACATTATGTACACAGGCCACAGTGCAAAGACATATGGCAGTAATTCAGGTGTGTCTGTAGGCTGAATGTAAATAAACCAATCCTGCTGACCTCTCTGATGAGAAGACAGCCATAATTCTTCAGATTATTGTGAAATGTTGAAAAATCCTATGAAGCTGATTTGTCCCAGCACAATGTGAATGTTTACCTCTTCTTTTTCTTAGTCCACAGACTTCTCTAAAACCTTTGCTTCCACTACAATGGCAGGATTCTCAATGTCAGCTTTGCTCTGGACCATCCTCAGTTCTAGCTGAGCAGGACTGGGCCTGTTTCCTGGACCAGCAACCTCTGAAAGAGAGAGAGAGGAACAGTCAGAACGAAACTACAATAAACTGAAGTCTTTGGAGTCTCTGGTCAACTGAACATACAAACGCTTATTCTTAGTTCAAGACATGAATCTTTTATCCAGGAGGAATCTTGAAGGTGTTTGCAGTCTTTGAGTAAATCACTGTTATCAGTGGTTGACACTGAACAATGTTATCAACGAGGACATTCATCTTGATGACTGTCTACTCGTGGTTGTTCTATCATGCATACCAATAGTTTACATACCAACACTGACTGTGTAGATAGAGCAGAGGAGAGCGACTCCTACTTCAAGATAGAAGGGGAGGGGCTCAATAAAAACACACAAACCCTACCATTGGCGTATGAAATGGTCCTCTTGATGACATGGTGCATAACCGAAACCGTTTTTTCACAGGCAGTCTGTCGGAAAAACAGAAAAAAGGTTTGTTGGGATGAATTCTTCAAATAAAAACACAACAAAGTCATCATCAGCTGTTTTGATTAGAGGGTCCGTGTTGTTACTGGCCTTCAAGTCTTTAGGGTGATGGTGAGTCCAGGCCAGCAGAAGAGCAGCGAACAAGTCTCCTGTCCCCACAAATACAGCATCAACCTTCGGGATGTCCATGCAGATTTTCTGACAGGTGTTGGTCCCATCTTCATTCACTAGATTGAAGAAACACAGGGTTGTGATGTCGACACTGAGGGACAGGCGTTAAAACCACGTCAGCGGATATTAACTCTTCAACAAGACAAGGAATACGGTTAGTTTGCTTCATGTTTACCGATTTTTTGGCTCCCAAGGGCCACGAGGTAATGGTCACCGTATTTTGAAGGCAGGTCTGTACTAGTTAGGACGACGGTCTCTGGACCCATGTTGTGCAGCAAGTCCATCACCTGGAGAGCATGAATATGATCATTTACTCAGGCTTTTGGTGTCATAATCAAGATTATGTGCAGCACAGAGGGGAACTGAATGGACTCTCACCTCCACAGCATCTTTCTCTGTGTTGATTTTCCTGCCTGTTAATAACCTGTGAAATAATGCACAGACTAAGTATTCAATTTACACTCTATTTTATGAATCTTTTCAGACTGTTTTAAATCATGTTATTCATTTTAGTCCGCTTACTCTGCTTCAAACTGGTTGGGGGTGAGGGTGTCGGCTAAAGGCACCACTTTCTCTCTATATACCGGCAGCAGGTGCTCTGGAACATACTGAAACAGACAACAACAAAAGGCAAAACCATTTAAAAACTGCTTTAAATGTTTGGCCTCTTTACAAATATGGTATGACATAAAAATTTGCTCATTAGTTGTTTTATTAGTCAGAGGATGACAGGAAGTTACTGTAAAATTCTTACCATGACGCCGTGATCTCCCATTACTGGATCACAAACTGAGAAACAAATCAAAAGTGGGTTTACAATCAAACAGCCAATTGATACACCTGTGAGACTGGTATATATATATATATATATATATATATATATATATACATATAAATATATATATATATATAGGACTGAGACAGATATACACTGACCATATACCAGGCTGGGATTGGCCTTCTTCAGCTCCTGAATAATGTCAACCACCGTCTCCAGGAACGACATGTCCCTGCTGTAGCCTTGGGAGTGAAAGCATCAAAACCCTCTTTTAGCATTTAAACTACAACAAGTTGATAAGCTGCAGCTGAATATTTTTGTCTTATTGTCTCCCCACCCCACTCACACACTGAGGCCACTTTGAGGAGAATTGTAAAATGTTTGAATGAATTTGCATGAAGACTTGTTTGAACTTTTTCCTCCCAGGGTCCTGAGCTCAGACTCACCTGTGAGGATGTAATCATACTGGTTCACCTTGTTAAGCTTTATGCCCTCATAGAGCACATTAAGCTCCTCTGCAGTCAGTACCTGCCCTTTCCAATGTGCATAGCCTGGAGATCAAGAGAGGAAATGGAAATGTGAAATTACACAACTTTTTCATGATTCATGATTTGGAAAATATAAGTCGTTATGCTGAAAACTCACTTTTTTGGACAGGCTTTTAATCTGTCATTGTGATGTTTTGTCTTTTGTGTTTGTCTGTCTGTGACTGTTTGTTTGTTTTATCTAATTTTAATGTTCATTTATAAGTGTCGGTATTGTTTTTTGTTGTTGTTTTTGCATTGTGCAATGTCTTTGTGTTTTATGAAAAGTGCTTTAAAAATAAAATGTACCATTATTATTATTATTATTTATGACTATTCAGGGTTTGCCCAACCATGACACTATAGCACTATTTAACAAAAACAAACAACAAAAACAACAATCTTTGGTCCTGGAATAAATATTCAGTGTTTTCACCTGAGTTACAGACATTGAGAGGTCCAGTAAAGTTGATTCGAGTGGAAAAACAAAAAGGATTTGAGTATGGGATATCATGCGCTCGGTGTTGCCTGACTGAACATCACAGTCATTCTTACAGGTCTTATGCACGACACCTTGCCAAGAAAAACTCTTTTTATTCGGGCTAATTGGCTGTAGCTGCACAGCATGATCGTCCCAGAGCTTAAAGAGCCGACATTCTCAGACTGTCTTCATCTGCCTGTGATGGAGCTTCAGTGGGTGCTCACCACCTCTTGCAATGCTTCATTTTCAAGAAAAGCTGGTCTGATGAGGCCTAAGGTTGAGTCTGACACCCCTGTGTAGGATCTGCAGTACTGCCACCTTGGTTCACTCTATGAGCTCAATTCATCGGGCTTCCATAAGACAACACCGCTCTTCCTTTGGTCTCCACAAAGTGTGTTGGTCACTTTACTTCATCATTTAACTCAAATCATTTCAGATCCGAGATAAAACTTTTATTACTCATTATGATCTGCAGACAGGAAACAAATAACTGTCATCCAACCCCAACTTCCTCTGCTGAGGCTCCTCTCCTCTGTACCGAGAGCCTAACAGGGCCTCATCTGTGTTTCAATGGGACGCCTGTGTGCTGACTGCCAATTTCTTCTTCTCTTTGTCTCTCTGTCTTTCTTTTTTTTTTACTACTGGCCTAGAAAAGACCCTCAAACTGTTCAGACTGCAAATGATAGCACACAGTCAAACACACACTTAATATTCTCCACACCAGTGCACAGAGTTTATATGTAACCTAAGCCCAACCCTAGGTGAGAGAAAGGACTTCCTACTGTGAGACTTGACTGAGTGTTTGAAGAAAAGAAGCAGCATGTGCTGTTGTTGAGGGGAGAGGAAACATGTGAGCCTCTTATAAAAAAAAAAGAAACACGAGTATTCATGCTGTTTGGACACAGTATGAACTCGATGAAAGGTTGCATTGTACATTTATGCCAGTTTCCTCTAAACCTCATCATCTGAAAGCACAGCAAAGATCCCTGGATCGAGCTCATTTCTGTGTCGCTGTCTCGTGCCCTCGTGGCAGAGGAAATTCTTTGCATGCTTTGGCGTTCTCACTCTTGTATAATCCTACCCTCAGCCAACAAGCTTCAATTTGATATATTTATGTTGTTTTCAGAGTAATTTAACACGTTGGACTCCACTTCACGACTCTGCTTTTGTTGGATTTTAGTAGTTGATAAAGTACAATGAGAAGACACAAGCTGGCTCGAGGAAAAGCTGCATGGCTTTCAGCAAGTTGTACATTTAAAATAAATACTGTCTGAAAGCTAATATGTTTACATTTAAATGCAAATGTTCATCAAGGATTCCTACAAAATCTGACATCCTTTCTATTATGGCTGATTCGAAGATAGACTACCAAATCATAATGTTACTAATTAACACTGATGACTATTGTACTGATTCACAAATTGTAGAAATGATCAGTTTTCTTCATGTTTTTAAACTATTTTTTGTCAAACAGTTGATGTTATCTTATGATTGTAAAACAGCATCTGTAGGTCTGATGGTTCCAGTAAACTTACAGAACTTTACTACGATAACAGCAGCTGTATCACTGCTGTTTGTCTTCCATTTCTCAAACATGTAGTTGAAAGTTTAACTCTGGAAGTAATAAAGAAAGACACCTCAGCTCATACAAAGCTCTGCAGATTACTTTGGTGCAACAGGATTCATTCTGTATGTCCAAACTGATAAACGACCTTCAACCATTGTTGTCATGTTTTGAAGCCTGTCTTGTCTTGACCGGCTGAATAACTTCTACACTGTGCTGGAGTGAGCAAAATGACTTCTAGTGGTCAAAGTCTACATATCTGAGAGCTTATCTCCCAAAACTATAAATCACAACTTCAGCTCCCCAGTCCATGTGGTTAGACAATAATAGCAGTAAATTAATATCATCACATTTGATGGAAAAGCCGTTGAAGTGTTGTGAAAGTGGAACATATCCTGATCTACTTTGATAAAGTGATCTAAAGTCCCTCAGACTCACCTGTGTGATTGGAGAACTGTACGGAGTTGATAGAGTCAACTTCAAATCCCAGAACCTGCAGAAAGAGACAGTTTTTCAATCAGAGCAATCAGATTAAATGATAGACACACATCTGGAAATAAATCTCATGGTTCTTTACTGTGTTATCTTCTATAATTGAAATGCTGGTCTCTGTAAAAAAAAAAAAAAAAAAAAAACATTAAACCTGACTTTCTAAATCTCTCACTGTGACTCCTAATCCTTCAGATTAAATGAAATAAACCATCCAGCTCCACCTGTAGCTGTTCACTTTCACAAGAAGAGGAAATAAGTGTCAACTGGCAGCCCTAAATCCGCCTGACTAGTGTGGGACTAAAAAAATGGTTAAGATAGGTCAAGATTCATGATATTAAAGTCACTGACAGAAACTACTTCTGTGTGTTTATTCTGAGTGGATTTGAGCGACCTTGAGGCTTTCAGCAGGACGTGAACAGTTACAGTAAGTTATACAGGCGACCATCTGTTTCAATGAACACAACGAGTTAAAAGCTTTTAACTTCAATTTTACAGCATGTTAAAAGACATCTAAGTGAGCCCATTAAAGGCAGATTGAGGTCTCTGCTGCTTACCTGTAAGGGGAATGTTGCAGATTTGTTCCCCACGTATCCCCTGACAACGTGACTCTGAATAGACAACACACGGCACTCCATTACAGCGACTAACACCGACTGGAAACAGCGAACGGACGTTAAAAGTCCTGAAACCGCATAAAATGTTTTACAAGAGCTGACAGGCTGGAAGTTCGCATGTGATGAAGAACTCCAGCAGTGAATGGAAGGAGCCGCTCTGCTGTTTGGGACATGAACGCTTTTACTACAGGCACAGAGATGGACAGCTAAACTGGTGCGTTCAAGGTCCAACGATAAATGTGGGAGAATGCAGCTCCCGCTGAAGAAGAATGTTTTGGTTAGGGACCGGTGTACAGTAGCTTATGAAAGTTAAATTCATTTTAACAGACATGAGATAAATAGTTCAAAAAATATAAATACATTTTGTTTATACCGAGGTAAGTCCATACACTCAAGTTCTATTCAACACAATATAACCTTAATTTATTTAAAACATTAAGGTTTTGCTGCTTTTGGTTCCACAATGTTTCTGATCAAGTGAATCAATGAATTCTGGGTTTGGAGTTCATCCAGTTTGATAACCTGAAATCATCCAGGATTACATATTTAAGATTTAAACAGAAAATAACACTGAATACATTGATTTGTCATCCATTTATACAGTCTAGTCTGTCCAAAAGAAGTTTGACCTTTCACAGTGAAAAATGAATGAAATGTTGTTTCTTCTCTTAGTTGTAAAATTCAGGAACAATACAGATCAAGATTAAACCTTCCCAATACTTCCAGAGCAGGACAACCAGCCCAAAGTATTTCTATATATGTTTGAATCTGAAAATCAATTTCTCCTTTACAAAATTGTTTAGCTAATTAATACTGATATTTTTAAAATTCAGTTCTTTTAAATAAGACTCCAGTGTAAACTAATTTTAGCAAAGATTTTGCTTGTTACGGTCATCCCTCCAGCCCACAAAAAAATTAAATAATAAAATAAAATACAATTCAAAGAGACGTTTGTTCCTCATCTACTTTTACTTTAAGATAAAATAAAATGCTCCTTTATTAATCCCACAAGTGGAAATTCCCATTTAGTGAAATGAATTGGATGAAAACCCACAAAAAGACTTGAACCTTGTATGTGATAACAAAAATTAAGATTATTACAAATGCCCAACCATCCATCCGAGAGTACCAGATTTATATATATATATATATATATATATATATATATATATATGAAGCTGACTTACCGCATTGCAAACACTAACACTAATAATAAGAATAATAATAACAATAACAATAATAAATCATTGTTATTATTATTATTATTATTATTATTATTATTATTATTATTATTATTATTATTATTACAAGTAGTAGTAGTAGTAGTAGTCGTAGTAGTAGTATCAGTATTAGTATGAGTATTATTATTAAAATATTAGAAACTGTGAAACCCCATCATAGAGTGTTCTCCAATCTCGTTGTACTTTTAGTCCGATGAAGATAAAGGACATTCTGATTCTGATCCTGATTCTGAGTATGGTTCTGATTCTGATTGTGTTTCAGGTCCATTTGTCTGATTGTGTTCAGTGGGTCTTGCTGAGTCTCCCTCTCAGTCATCCTCAGTCCGGATTCGTTGACCGTGTCTGGACGTAGACCCGCCTCCGCTGGTTCGGGTTGGCCGGGGAGGAGTCAGGTATCAGCTCGACTGACACGTAAGATCCCTGCGTAGTTTTGAGGAAGGAGAACATCTCTCTCTGAAGAAGTAGGACATCCACTCGGCTCTTTCTCCCGACACTGATGTGTAGTTGACCTGTTCGGGAGCAGAGACCCACTCGGATCGGTACAGGGCATTGCTGGTCCGACGACATGAGGTTTTCGGCGTTGATCTCGATCCTGCGGTCGGTCGGCCCGGTGGTGATCGGTATCTCTTTAGGGTTTACTCTGAGTTTACTCAGTGTGAACTGGACGGAGGAGGCATGTCTGTCGGACGGTAAAGATGGTGAAGACGTGACTCTGGGTCAAGATGGACAGCTGAAAGGAGCCCGAAAACCCAACTCCATATCGACTGTCAACGAGGTGGAGTCCGAGTCGGATTTTGAGCCGAGGATAGTCCCATATAAACAAGTCCAGCAGAGTACCCCGAAGAAAGTTTTCAGGTAGGCTTCTGTGTGACAGAGACACTCCAGTCCACAGGGTTTAGTCCACAGGGTTCTTCTGTCCCAGCTTCAGAAACCAGGGCAGGACGGGCCTCAGTGTGGCCCATCCACTGAAGGATGTTTTTACTGTGTTTGGTTTACATGTGAGGCAGAGCAATAAAATAAACCACAATAATGTCAATGTTCTCTTTTCCCTGTCTGTGGATTTAAACAGAAATAGAGAGATCTTGTTTGTATTCTGGTTCAGTTTGTGCCATGTGTCCAAGCCTCAGGATCCCTGTCCAGCATATTTCCTTGTAAACAGACAGAGTTTCTAATTCCTGCTTGTTTTTCATGAGTTCACAGTCTGAGGTTTACTTGTGGATAGTGTTTGCAGTGTTGAGAAAGACTTTGGGAAAGGGTACGATCAAGAATAACGACGGCTGTTGTTTAGTTTTATTTTTGAATCAAGTCTTCTTAGTTTATTAAATGAGAGTTTTGTTTATGGATAGAACAGAAAAGGTTTTTCTTGGTCATGTTCAAGTAGATTTATCAAACCCAAGTCTTATGTGTAATACAGAAATAAAAAGACTGTATAGATATAAAGATAGTTTGAGTGAAGGTTATTGATACGGTGCAGTTTTATCGAGGTGGGGTGGTGGACCGCGATGAATCATGGTTCAAGTCTTTGCATGTTTACTTTTCCATGAGACAGTGATAGAATATTAATATCCATATTCAGTTTTCTTTGTAGCTTTGATTCATCATTTATGATCAATTATTTACCTTCTTTTAAACTATTATTTTGAGTCATTCTAACGACCACCAATGTCAGAGTTTATCAATAAACGGTGTCATTAAGTTTACAGAAATGAAATGGTCCAAGTTTGTTTCTAAGTTGTTGAAAGTTTAACGGTAGTAACTCAGTAACGTCTCTTTGTCCTTTCAGAGCGAAATACATAAGCACAGAGCTGGGGATGCGAGAGCGTCTGTTTGTCGGGGTCCTGACATCCAAGAACACCATCAATACCCTCGGTGTAGCTGTCAATCGCACCATCAGCCACCACCTTGACACCGTGATCTTCTTCACCGGGATGCGCAACCGCAAAGTTCCTCACGGCATGTTTGTTGTCGCTCACGGAGACGAGAGGCTGATATGGAACATGTTCCAGAATATCAAATACATCTTAGATCATTACATCAACGAGTACGACTGGTTTTATTTTGTCCAAGATGATGCCTACACAGAAGCTGACAGGATTAAAGACCTAGTCGATCACCTTAGCATGGACCGAGAGCTTTATCTGGGCAAACCTGAAGAGTTCATCGGGGGGAAGATGGAGGGGAAGTACTGCTACGGAGGGTTCGGGTACCTCCTGTCACGGACCTTGCTCCTCCGTCTTCAGCCCTTCCTGGAAAACTGTAGGAATGACATCCTGAGTGCAAGACCTGATGAGTGGCTCGGGAGATGCATCATTGATTATACAAACATAAACTGTGTCAATGAATACGAGGTAGGTCCACTTCATGATGTCTCTTTTCAATAATAAATACAGGATTGATTCATTAACTTGAGGGGAACACAGTGAAGCAGATTATGGAGAGAAACAATGAAAAAAAAAAAAGGAACCCTGCTGTGAGAGCAGCTCTGAGACAGGTTACAGCAGCGTTTCCTCAAAAATCTGTCATGGTGAAGACAGCACTCAAAACTGACCAGCTGTAGAGACCTGTAATTACCACGCTAAGCCTGAGGTGGTATTTATATCTCAGGGTAGATTGCTAATACCCTCCAGGGTTTGAGTTTTTCTCACAGCTCCAGCAGAAAAGCTCGAATATGTAAACAGGCAGGCAGAGGACAGCTGAGTTCAGTCTTGCTTGGGTTCAATTGTGTGAAAATCCCCTGTGGGTCAACATGCTCTGCCCCTATAATGTCATTAGCACTTAAGGTCAAACAAGCTCTGTAGAGCCGTGATCTGTCCCACTGCCCTTTCAGGAGATCGTTTATTACACTCAGCATTATTTGTTTTTTGTTCTGTAACCATGCTAACACTACTTCACCATGTTCACGTGTTTTTCTGTGGACTTATCTCACGGTGTTTGGCTTCCATGTTCTTCTTTCTTTGCTGTGTCGTAGAAAGCTTGTCCTCTAACTCCAGTAAAGTCCCGTCTGTGTGAGCGATATAGAGGACATCCTAATAAAAGAAACATGTGGAGTAATTTTGTAAAAGAAAGTTGACGACATGCTTCGCTGTAGGTGCTCTTACAGGCAGTAATCTGTTAGCAAACATGAGAGACGGAGCCGCCGAGTCTCCACTCTTTCTCTTTTAATAGCTTGATCAGATTGGATTCACTTTTTTTAATCACTCAAGCTCCTTAGGTGCCGACTCTTTTCAGCTGAAATAGCTGTGTCTGTATGTGAGATACAGGGTTCAAGTGTCAGCCATTTATTTTCAAGGGCTCTACTCAGATTTCCTCAATGGGACCTTTTAAGTTTATATTCAAAGCAATGAAATAAATTTAAGTAAAGTATTCAAACAAATATATTTCCTGATAACGACCCAGGATATGAGGGAAACAGAACTTGAGTTTTACAACAGGATGTCCTATTCCCTTCAAAATAAACCAGGGTTTTTGTAGTACAGATGAGCCCAGGATAGCAGACGATGTTTGTTCAGATGAAAGAAGTTAAGTTTGAGATAACACCAGGCCTGTTTTTTCAGACGTCTCATTTAAAGACCCTCTTTTCTTCTCAGGGGCTGGAGTATCACCATTATGAGTTAGGAAAAAACGCTGATCCCAGTAAAGAGCCCAGTGAACAGTTCAAGAGAGCTCTGGCCGTCCATCCAGTGTCTGACCCTGAGCAGATGTACCGGCTGCACAGATTCTTCACTGAGATTGAACTCCAGAAGACTTACGATGAGATCGCTAAGCTGCAGGTAAGCTGATTTCCAAGTGTAACAAACCACTAACGGCTCGAGTCAAAGTCAAAAACGGACTTTTCTCTGCTAACTGCTGTCGTATTTTCAACTAAATACAAGATTTGCACATTTAATATTGGAAACTGTCCATATCAGATCATTTATCTTGTTCCTACAGGCAGAAATCATAAATGTCAGTGTAGTTGCTTATGATGGAAACCGAAGTGCCCAGTGGCCCGTGGGGATCAATCCGCCTTTTGAGCCAAAGTCTCGGTTTGAAGTTTTGAAGTGGGAACATTTCACCGAGGAGGAGATATACTTGTGTATCGACGGCTCCCCAAAATGTGAACTTCGTGGCGTCGATCGCATGGATGTTGCTGACGTCATCGGCACGGCCATGGGAGAGCTGAATAAGAAGTACAAGCCTGTCCTACACCTGAAGAAGCAGCAGCTTATTAATGGATACAGGCGCTTCGACCCGATCAGGGGCATGGAGTACACCTTGGACCTTCAGCTTGAGGTAGTCAACCAAAAAGGTTATAGTCGTTCAATCACCAAGCGGGTTCATCTGGTGCGACCTTTGAGTCGTATTGAGATCATCCCCATGCCCTACGTAACTGAGGCTACGAGGGTTCATATCATCATACCTCTGACGCTTCAAGACCGCTCCTATGTCAACCATTTCCTGGAGGTTTTCGCCTCTAATGCTTTTGAGACGAGTGAAAACGCCATCCTTACGTTCCTGTTTATTTATGACCCAGTGGAGGCGCAGCAGGTGAATCAAAACGATATATTTGCCAGCGTGAAGACTCAGATAAATGTTTACGAACACAAATACCCAACTGTAAAGATCCCCTGGATAAGTGTCAAGACAGAAACCCCGTCCCAGATCAAGTACATGGACATCATCTCTAAGAAGCACCCAGTTGACACGCTCTTCTTCTTAGCCAACGTCAACACAAACATCAGCCCGGAGTTTCTGAACCGCTGCCGCATGAATTCCATCAACAATTGGCAGGTGTTCTTCCCCATCCACTTCCAGGACTTTAATCCTGACGTAGCCTATCACAACCAGCAGCATCCCGTCACAGTTGACATGGTCAAGGAAGCGGGCCATTTTGACCGCAGGTCATTTGAAGAAGCGTGTTTTTACAACTCGGACTACATGGTGACTCGCACACGCATGGTGGCAGACGTGCAAGAGAACGAGGAGATTCTAGAAACCCTGGATATCTACGAGATGTTTGTGAAGTATTCAGGTCTACATGTATTTAGGGCAGTGGAGCCGGCATTACACCAGCAGTACAGGTACCAAGAATGCAATCCACGACTCAGTGAAGACATCTATCATAGATGTGTTCAGAGCAACATGGAGGGTGTGGGTTCCCGCTCCCAGCTCGCCATGCTTCTGTTTGAGCAAGAGCAAGGAAACAGCACTTGAAGTCCCCAGTGAGCCGAGGGTTGAAGTATTTGGTTGAATCTGTGTGTTTGTTGAGATGACTGTGCCTAAAATTCTCCATTCTCCATTTCATCAAGGATATTTATATTTGTGTGAGACGCTCTCCAGCTCCTCGACCAAAACGAATGCAGTACAGTTCAAATGTAACCGTTTCTTCAGTGTTTACGATACTCCTTCATACTGCTGAATGGCTGGAACCCAAATAATTCTCTGATACTTTGGCCTCTAAAAACTGTGTAAGGTTATTTTAAACCACTAGGTGGCAGGCACTCACACGATTAGAGCTTGGTATCATGCGACATGAATTTCAGTGCAAACAGGACTCAGAGAAGCCTGTATATTTGATCTTTCCACAATCCACTGTTGGTCTGATATCTGGTCCATCCACCCTTGAAAATAACCTTCTTACCTTGAAAGGTGCGGTGGCTTTAGGTGTGTTTTCTGTGGGTTGAACTAGTTAAACATCATCGAACTGAAATGACAAAGTTTGTGGTTTTCAGCTAAATTCAAGCACATGTAAAAAAAAACAGTCCTCTAATGTAACATTGACATCCAAGATATTGTAAATTGAAGTTTAAAAAGACCCAACAAATGTAAATGATTCTATTGCACAGCAGGTAGTGAGTACTTCATGTAAAGTCACTGAAACACGCTCTTTTATATTTATTGATTTAAGTATTTACAAAAATCGTATTTGTGCCTTCACACTAACATAGCATATGCTGACTGTTAACAGACTCCTCCTCTAATTACAGCATGAAAAAAAAAAGACTGAAAACAAATAAGTGAGTGTCAAATATCCTCTTTCAGTGCAGATATAGCCTGTTACATAGCTGAGAGAAAAGGTTGTGATTCCTCAAACATGACTCGGCTTGGTGTGAACCATCCACAGGTGGAAAAGTGCCTTTAAATGTAGGGACTGTTCTTCAGATAGTTTCTTCTATTTGTCTTAAGAGATTACAGATGCTAAGGTGTTGTAAGTTAGTGAAGTTGCAGAATTATGTAAGTGGATGAAGGTAGGGGGAGTTTCAGCGCTCAGCCCTGAAATGTTATAAACTGTGTATAACAGGTGTGTCATTCCTTCACAGCAGTAAGGTGAACTTTTTAACAGAGCTTAATAAGTCATTAAAGGAGGAATGAAATGAAAACATGTTTCACCTGCTGCAGAGGACAATTTTATATCAGGAGTATTTTGGATTCATTTGCTAATCGGTTGAGTTGTCCTCAAATTCACTAGTTCACTTCTCTGGAAAGAACTGCAGACCAATGGGAGTGTTTTTCTGTACTTTATATATATATGTATATATATAGATATATGTATATATATGTTACAAAACCCAATTCCATTGAAGTTGGGACATTGTGGTAAACGTAAATAAAATCAGAATACAATGATTTGCAAATCATTTTCAACCTATATTCAGTTGAATTCACTACAAAGACAAAATATTTAATGTTCAAACTCATAAACTTTATTTTTTTTGTAAATAATAATTAACTCAGAATTTCATGGCAGCAACACGTGACAAAGTAGTCTTGGACAGCGTCATGTTTACCTCTGTGTTCCATCACCTTTTAACAAACTCAATAAATGTTTGTGAACTGAGGAGACGAACTGTTGAAGCTTTGAAAGTTAAATTCTTTCCCATTCTTGTTTAATGTTCAGCTTCAGTTCTTCAACAGTCCAGGGTCTCCGTTGTCGGGCGACAGATCTGGACTGCAGGCAGGCCAGTCGAGTACCCGCACTCTTTTACTACGAAGCCACGCTGCTGTAACACGTGCAGAATGTGGCGTGGCGTTGTCTCGCTGAAATAAACAGGAAGGGCGTCCATGAGAAAGACGTTTCTTGGATGGCAGCATCTGTTGCTCCAAAACCTGTATGTACCTTTCAGCATTAATGTTGCCTTCACAGATGTGAAAGTTACCCTTGGGCACTAATGCACCCCTAACAGTCCAGATGGTTCTTTTCCTCTTTGGCCCGGAGGACGCGACGTCCACTATTTAAAAAAAAAACAATCTGAAACGTGGACTCGTCAGACCACAGAACACTTTTCCACTTTGCATCAGTCCATCTTAGACGAGCTCGGGCCCAGAGAAGCCGGCGGCGTTTCTGGATGTTGTTGATAAACGGCTTTCTCTTTGCACAGTAGAGTTTTAACTTACAGATGGAGCGACAAACTTTATTTACTGACAGTGGTTTTCTGACGTGTTCCTGATGAGCATTCCTCAAATTTCTGTCTTTTTTGCACCTTTTCCAACTTCTTTGTCACGTGTTGCTGCCATCAAATTCTAAAGTGAATAATTATTAGCAAAAAACAAATAACATTTATCAGTTTGAGCATTAAATATCTTGTCTTTTTAGTGAATTCAATTGAATGTGGGTTGAAAAGGATTCGCAAATCATTGTATTCTGTTTTTATTCACGATTTACGCATCTTCACAACTTCATTGGAATTGGGTTTTGTATTATATATACAGTATATTATGTTTTATTATATATATATTATATATGAATGAAAAATGTGCAATATTGCTTTATAGTGATAAGATGCCTGGAAGGGTGTCCAAAAGAGGACAGACAGGACAGCGGTGTTTTTGTGGTACTTCTGGTCATGGCGGTCAATCGGTACTTCCTGTTAGATGTAAAGTTTATACACTGTTTTCTGTTATTTCTTTGACACATCCTTTAATGTAATTCGCTGACACTAGACACTTTGATAATTTAATTAACTTGACACAGATACAGTAAGGATAAGTCCTCTCTAAACTTCGTGTTGGCAGTATTCTTTGCCGTGTGAGTTCAGATCACCGAGGTCAGATAGTTTCGCCTTTTGCAATGATTTCCTAACATCTCCTTCTTAACGGAAGAAATCTCCACCATGACAGAACTCAGCTGATGTTGTAACAACGGTTTCCTTGATTCTTTGGAGAGTCTGACGAATATTGTGCAGAATTGGGAATTGATTATAAGAAAACACTGTGAAGGATCGAAGGCTGACATACATGTCAATGAGAAGTTATTCTGCTGATCTGTATCACCCCGGCCCAATGGCGACATGATCGGTGAAAAGCAATGCTAATGTTTTAGATTTATTAGTAACATAACCGCCACTGCTGAGCAAGTCTCACAGAGTTTGTCCATTATTTATTTATCCGTCATTTTTCTATGAATTATGCAGAATTCAGGCTCTCGTGACATCCTCAGTAGCCTGTGTGTCTGAATATTTGAAAGACTGTTTTGTAGCTTCTTTTTATTGTGTTACTGAGTCAAAGTTTTATACTTTACAATAAAACCTACTGTATCTGACTTTGTGCTTTAAATCATGCGAGGAATTCTTTTAAGAATAATGTGGATGGAGGCTGTGATCTGTCAGTTTTCAGCATTTATGCATATGGTACGAGTGAAACCAAAGCAATACGTATGAACAAATCCTCATCACAAAGAAACGTGTGGTGGTATTCCTAATGAACTGTGAATTATTGTAATTATAAATAAAGATCTTTTTTTTATGACAAACATTTCTCTGTTTCCAGTCTGAATTTCTGTGTGTGGGTCGATCCTGTAGATGTCAGTACAGGAGCGCGGGAGGCTGCCGTCTGCAGCATGTGAGCTGGATCACTGTGGTCTGCATGGACCAAACAGAGCAGAGTAATTGAATCATATCTTAATATAATCGGATATGTTTATCTCATCGTGTTTCCAGCCAGTGATCAGTAGCGCTGCCGTTAAACAGTCCTTTCACTGTCAGCTCCTCATGTATGGGTTGTGTAAAATCAGGGAAAACGTTACAACCATAATTACAGCTTTAGTTATTTCAAGGGTCCGTACGCTCTGCCCTGAAGCGCGCTGTAAAACCACATAATAACAGAGGAACTCTGAGTTAATTGTGAGTCTTTTTTTTTTTTTAGTTTTCTTTGACGTTTTATTCCTGGACTTTCTTCTCCTGCAGGGATGAAGTCCTAAGTCACCTGGACACTTGTGGTAAAACCGCTTTTTCCATATTTTTGTAAAAATAAAAAACAATTTAGGTTTTGCACTTAAGCTCTCTTTAATATGTATTCCTTGTAATTTACGGCTCGGTGATAAAAAATCTTTAAATAGTCCAGAAATTGACTGTCTGGTGAAAAGAAAAAACAGACACTAGAGAGTCACCTTGGCTCCAGATTCAAGAGGCACTGGTCTTACCAATCTAAACTTTAATAGGTGTTGTGGTTACCATACTTAACATTTATAAAACGTGTTCCAAGAAAGAAAACAAACATGGTTTCACACTGCTGTACAAATGAAAGGGAGTTTTGACACCAAATCTGTTTCCATCAGGATGAAACACGGATCTGTGTGTGTGCCACCCTCATCTTATTTATTCTTCTTTTCAGCTGCTAGAAAAACCGTCTGCTCAAAAAGAGACGTGGCAGCAGATATCTAAAATTTCTCATCAGTTGTTCCAATCAGATGTTTTTTTTTTTTTTAATGGAGAGTAATCGTAATAAACAAGCACAAACAGGCTGTATTTCACAGTGCCGTAAAAAGAGGCAGGGAGGTCAGAGGCGTGAGGAATGTCAAGCATGTGAGCTACATGTCGTGGCGTTGGGGAGTTTAGCCTTCTGTAACATGGCCGACCTGTCTTTAACAGCACCTAACACAGACACAAGCCTCTTTGTAATGGACCTGTCTGTGATTTCAACCACTTTTGTACAGAGAATCATCAGGTTTTGCTCAAGAGTGAAGCCTAACATAGTATCAGAATCAAAACACCGCAGAGTCGACCATCTAAGCCCGGCTTTTCAGCGAGAAAGCAGCCGGTATTCATGTCAACACACCAGCCCCTGTGTGACTTGGCTGAGGATAGCTACAATTATTGATGACAGAGGAGAAGATTGTTATGCATAGCCTGTACAGAATGCCATCAGAGACTGTGATTGGGAACCTTTTGAAAATGTCAAAGTGACACATGATTATGAATATTAAACAGCCATGTATAGCCCATGATTATTTGACAGGAGGAGGGGATTTGACAGATGGAGGACTGAGAAATCACATCATGAGCTACGGTGAGGTGAAGACGACGCGGTAACAGAAGACATCCTTTAAATTAACCAGAGATGGTAGTTTGTAAAGGTGATCATTAGTGATGCAAAGCTTTACACAAATTTACCAGACGGTCTTTAGAGGTTGAAAAAGGTGAGTATTATTCCACTGAGCAACACTAAAACTGGCTAAAAGTGCCGCAGCATCACCTGGATAGTTAGAATGATGATCGACATATCCACCAAGATGAAACAGTCTGTGATAGTTTGTGATATTGCTTATCTGCCCCTGTGTAACAGCTGTATCTACTCTGGACGATGCTCTTCTCTGTCCTCTGACTTTGTGAAATGTATAAAAGGATGATTGGACATCGTACTATGAAAGACTGACTTCTGTGTGCACATCCATCTCTGCTGTTGTGTCACTGTGTGGTTTTTCATGACACTGAATACAGAGATAAGGACTTATTGAAGGGTACCTGTGGACCAACTGACATCAAGGTGAACCCATGAGGAGTTTTTAAGGGTGGTAAATGGGATAACTTTACCCTGTACTAAGAAGCAAAAAGGGACTCTTTCTATGGAGTCAACAGCTGCAGAGTCTTTACAAATTATAGTCATTTTATTTACACATCCAGTTCTTTGGTTGTCAGGTCCAGCTTCTATTTTTCCACTGCAGGAACTTAAGAGACCATCAACAGTTGTTTTGTTGTTTTTGTAGTTTTCCTCATGATGATTTGGAGCCGTGCTTCAGTTAGCTGGACTTTTACCGCCGTAACTGCGAAAGGCTGTTTGGGAATCTAGGCTTTTTTTTTTCGTTTGTCTCACCATCATCTACATTTATTTATTTACTTAGATGCTGCTCAAGGTTTTTGCTTCTTAAAATGAGTTTTTCCTTACCTATGACATCCCACACCAAAAATAAGTTTACCTCGAGTACAGTTTACGGAGTATACTGAAGTTCATTCTAGTATACTTCCTAAAGTATACTTTGGTATTTGCGCGCTGACTCTGAAGCATAACTTAAATTACTTTTGGTATGCTATTATTTCAATAGTAGTACATATTCATGTACTTGGCTTGTACTACTTATCTTTTTAGGGTATACGCTTAAAAAGATATATGGAAGTATTCACTGAGGAAGTATACTTAAACCCAAGGCACAAGTACATACTTGAGTGTATCTGGATCAAACGTTTGAGTATAAGTATGGGTTAAATATATTCAGACTTCAAGTTTAATTCTTAGTACAAACCAAGAATACTTGACATTACCTTTTTTATCAGTATATCTCTGAAAAGTGCATCAAAAGTAAACTGAGAGCATACTTAGTCCAAAAACAGTAAACTTGAAGTACTCTTCAACATACTTCTGTTTGGTCAGGGATTCTCTGTCTGCTACAGGTGAATCTTAATAACACTTTAAACTCTCATTGGTTACCTTGTTTTTGACTTGAAGCTTCATCACCAGTAGTATATGGATGTATTGATAATATGAAAATAACATAATGAAAATGATCGTCGTGGGACACGTGAAGACAAAGATTATAACAAACAAATATGGCGACATTAACTCCTGCTCACATACAGAGTGAGAATGAAGAACAGAAATGTGGTTATGATCCTGCAATGACACACAATCAGCATGAGGAATAACTCAAATATGAATAAATTTAACGACTAAAGTGTTTGATGTCTTAATGCAGAAACTGAAGGTATAAATCTCACCATGACTTTATGTGATAAGGCTGCACGCACCAAATAAAACTGAATAACTGAGTGAATAATCTCAAATCTGGACCTGACTGACACCGGCTGACATGTTTCTGCTCTGGAGGAATAAAGAAAATCAATGTCTGCTCTTCTGTCTTGATTGTTCTACTCGGTTTTCTCACACAGTAAAGTTACATGTCATTTTTCAATTGTGTAAATCCAAACTGTCTGGGGGGATAAACTGCATATCTCCGCCTCAAAAGTCCATTCAGGATCAGGTTAGGTGAAGCCAAAGGTTGTAGATTGTTAATTTCCTGCAGTGCAAAAGGGCAAGTGAGCCAGCTGACCTCCCATAAAAAAACGACACACTAAAGGGGGATTTAATGTCTCCATTTTTTCCTTTATTTCAGATTTGTCCATCTCTGTATCGTCGTTGTTGTTGCTCTGTCCCAAGCATCAGGATCATGTTGACAGATTAAAGCACCTGAGCATCTGGGAGTAATTTAGAGTTAAACTGAATATAGAGCTCATTTACCGATCAACACCTTTAACGCCGCAATAAAACTCCTCTTTGTCTCTCCAGCTCTTCTTACTTTCATACATCCTTTCAGCTCAGCAGCCACGTCAGGCTAATGTGCTTAGTTGTGTGCAAGATGTTGTTGAAGTGCACATGCAAGTAAACTCATACCCACCATTCACACTTACACACACATGAGGGTGTCTTCACTGTAAATAACTGCTACACTTTTACAGTACTGGTCCACACGCTGGAGTAGATGACTGTGCAAAAAATAAAATTCAGTTTCTTATTGCTTATGTCAGCTTAAAGTCATGAGGCCAACCAAAGTTAAGAGTGGACTGCAGATGGAAATGAAATGACCTAAAAAAAGACCGATCATACGCCCACAGCCCTGCGCAGGGACATTTCCATCTGACAACAGCGTCTGTTTCCTTTACCTGTACAAATATATCAACGCTCGGCAGTTCAACATTCCTGCAGATCATCAGTGTACAGTAATTGCTACAATTGTGATAATTATTGTCGTATTAAAGTATTTTCTAAAACATATAAATTAATATTCCATTAGTTATATGTCAACTAAATATAAGCAACAACCATTGAAACGTAACTTTTTGAACGTCTTCAAAATTGGACTTTATGTACAGGTAAAATGCTACTCTCTAACACCTTGACCACAAACCAGACAAAGTGTATCATGTGGAGAAATGCTGCTAAATCTTCTAATGTCATACAGTTCAGCCTAAATCAAGCCCCTCATATTTTCAATGGATGTAACACTCCTAATATTCGCTCACTAAGGAACATCTTGAATACAATATAGAACATATACTGTAGATAATAGTATCTTATGAAATTATACATACCGCAATTAATATTGTGCAACAGCTCGATAGGGTACACTGTGTTTTCCATTAAATAGGAAGAACAGTCTTAGGAGAGATAAATGAGTGAATATAGACAAATAAAATCAAGGATGCTCGATCAATAAATCAATTATTCTTTCCCCCTTGTGGAGTATAAACAATATCGTGGTGTCATGCATTCCTCATCTTGTTCCTTTTTTGTGGTCATGTACCAAAAACTCTTGTCCTAAAATCACACGGCCTGTTGCCTGTAGCTGGATACAGTTGAGAGGAGTCCCATTAAAAGAGGGTAAAAAAAAGAAGGTAAAAGCAGTGTCCAATTTGTGCCTATACTGTATGACAAGTGCTTTGTTAGCAGTACATGTTTGGTGTTCAACTTTGGCTGTAGCTTTTCACTGGCGACAGCAAATGACAGACGGAAATGTGAAAGGTCTGTCATTAATCTCAACAGAGACAGCTCCTATCTTTTGTTGTCACCAGGACAGACACAATGGTCGACTCTAACAAGCAAAGTCCTCAAACACCCCATGGTGCCCGGCATGGCGTTGGTGAGAGCGAGGGTTGTGGTGGTTCGGGAGAATTGTGTTGGCGTAGGCCCCCTCTGGGTGACTTCTTGTCATGTCTTTGGAGTCCTGTCAGAGGCACAACAGAAAAGTCCACTTCAGGGCCGTATCTCGGAGATTACAAAGTCAATTCTGACACATGAAAATAAATCAGCTATTGTTGAGAAACAAGCAGCTTCAACATGTAGGTGTGCAGAAACAAATCAAAGCTCCTAGGACTGGGTGTGCTTCCTGCAGTAATTAGGAATAATTACCAACACTGCATTCTTCAGTGAGGTATATCATCATTCGTCTCACCCCAGGTTATTCTTGTGTGAAAGTTGCATGCTCACAAACATCATGTACCTTTACTTTCATCTCCTCCAGACCCACTGTTGCAACAGTGCTGGTCTGCTGCTTGCTCTTCTTTTCCTCCTTTTGGGGTCTCAGCAGACGTTGAAGACGGTGCTTGATCATCTGGAGGTTAAAGAGCAAAGGTAAGCAGGGGAACAGCAGAGCAAAGAGAGCATGCACAGAGATGTCTGCACTCAGTCCTCCCCCACATTCTGCTCTGCTTAAACATGTCTCTCTGTAGAAATCACAGGAGGACCCTTTTCATGATCAGTGTTTCCTGCAGGTCCTCAGCTCAGACCGAGGTGGAATTAAATTACCCCGGCCTGGAAATCAGAGTCATAACATCCATAACAAGTGATCACATTCTCACCACCCCAGTCATGAAAAGTACTACTAAATACTACAACTAACTACTAATTTTCAGTGATTATTTCCAATCAATCCCTGTTTGATTATCTGATGTGTTCAGACTTGCAAAGACTCCGTACCTCATAGATATAGTCCAGTATTTCTAGGACTGTCAGGATACTTGCTCCGATGAATAAACCCATCTGTCCACCGATGTCACCTAAAAGAAAAACATCCACAGGAAGAGGTAACAAGACTGTTCCTGTTCGCGACTAAAAGGCGATGATACGAGTAACAGCGACACACTTCACCGACCAGAGATTCAGACAGAGAGGAACAAGCGACAGAAATCTTACCTAATAAACCTGCAACATCGTAGGCTTTCTTTTGCTCGATCGTTTCATAGTTCAGAGCTTCAAAGAAAATATCTAAGACTAGGAAGTTGTCTCTGGAAAAACAAGCAGAGCGTGAGTGTCAAACAGTGAAAAAAAAACACATGTACCGCATCTACAATTCTTTACAAATCGAACATAGTTTGCAAAATATTATAGGAAGTCATTTGATGCTCACTGTAAAATGTCATGATGGGACCGTCAGGCCTAAAGGGCTTTACACAGATCTAAGCAGTGATTGTGAGATAATGAGGTGTTTCAGGGTTTAACGGAGATGAGCAGAACCAGCGCTGACAGCACGCTCAGTCAGTGCCACGTCTCTGATCTCTCTGGATTTAGAAAGTCTGATAATATTAAGTGTTGTGAGGCATCATGAGCTTTCTGGAATGGGTGTGCTTACATTTCCCACATCCCAGGCAATTAGGCAAAGAGAGGAGCGACAGTCGAAGTGTATTTTAGGTACAATAAGTGCTGCTGATCCAAGTACCCATCATCTGCAAATAACACATCATCCTGGATATGATCAAACGTCGAGTCTCTGATGATGGCCGCAGGTTTAAGTGTCCAACTTTAAATAAAATGTGATGAGTTTGAATTTCTGTCTGATGAGAAAAATCTCTGTGACTCTTGACAATCTTTATGTAAGTGATTAAAATCTCTCTATTTTCAACAGCGAGCCGTTGTTGATGAAAAAAACAAATAATCAAAAATTAAAAAGAAAGAAACTCTATTAAACTTACTAAACAATAAGAAATAACTCAAACTATTCAACCCATCTTGTTCCTTCTGTTGTTTGCACTTACCTATGATATGTTGCTGTTATTTTACATATCATGAAAAATCATAAAGTTAGAATGAAAAGTGTGAGGAGACATGTCATTCTCTTGGATGTCCTTCTTTTAACTTTGGTTGGTATTTTTGATAACATGACAAACAGTCCACAGGCTTACAGACACGGAGAGATCTGAAGGAGGGTGTTTGGATTTATATTAAAGGTGATTAGTTTGTGTTTTATGATCCAAGATGTTTTTTACTTGGGTAACGAGGAGAAGGAGAGGGAGAGAAATAAAAAGAAAGAAGAAAAAACAGGAACAATAAAATAAAAAATATTTTTAGATTAACAGGAAAACAAAAATACATAAACAAGTAAAATGGGGATACAAATGCATTTATAATTACATGTACACATTTAACACACACACACACACTCACTCTCACACACACACACACACACACACACACACACACACACACACACACACACACTATACAAAAAATGTTCCCACCAACCGCTGATACTGTAGCAGACTAATGGAGGCAAAGCTGTCAACATGTCTTCATTATTATATCTATGAAATTTCATCCTTTATGATGATTGTTGTAATAAAAATATGAATGGGGCAAAATAGGAGCTCTGGTATATATAAATATATATATTTATCCCCTAAATTATGGATGAAAATATCAAAACATCCGGAAGTTTAAATTAATTCAAAACTATTTTAATTCAAATCTAAATTTTGGTAGAAAATTATATCCTTTAGTGATGTGACTCTCAAAGTTTATTTTTTATCATTTAACAGGCTAACGAGAGGGAAGGAAGGAAGGAAGGAAGGGAGGAAGGAAGGAAGGGAGGGAGCGATAGAGATAGAGAGAGAGAGAGAGAGAGAAAGAAAGAAAGATTTGATTGAATTTGTATTTCAGGTCTTTGTGTTTATATATTTGACCATGAATGTTCCATCTTAGCAAATACCAAAGAATTGATGATGAACTCCTGATGAGTAAAATGATGCAGACGTACTTTAACTATCGTTTGTTTTGTTTATGTTTATGGGAGTTGTTTACGATTAAAGGTCGAATTTTTAAGACCCTTTTTAATTCCACCCCCACACTCATATGTGTGATCCTGGTGAAGGTCCCCGTTGTACCTGATGTAGTCCTCCGACTTGTCGTATTTCCGAGAGAGATAGCGAGCAGAACCCTTGCTGGGGATTTTGACCATGGAGAGCTCTTTACCGTAGCGGGTGAGATTGCACGGTGTCTCGCATGGACAGGTATCCCCACTGTTCTTTTGTAGCTGTGCTGCAACACAGTGAAACAGGACTTTAAAGGATGGACTGGCTCAGCTTCAGAGTTTAATAGAGAAGTTTACAAGATACAGCATCGAACCAAACTTCTGCACACACCAGGTAACATTTGTGGATCTTGCAGACACAGTAATACCAAAGTAGTCATTTAATACTCATGAGCTGGTCACTGCTTCAGTTTGTGGTTTGATGCTTGGCAAGACAGAAAAAACAGCAGCTGGAAACAAGATTAATGACAACCGAACCGTGTTAAAATGTAAAGCTGGGTGAAGTCGACAAGGACCAGAGAGCAGGGTCTCTGTCACCGCCATAACGAGGTTTCATCAACAACAACATGTTTGTTTAAAGAAATGACACTGAGTGGTTTAGGCTCTGAGTTGTCTGTTAATATATAAGATAGAGTAGATACAGGGCTGGATCTTTAATTGTATCACACACAAGTCCTCCCTGGACACCTTTCAGGTATCCATCATGCACCCAAAGGATTTTCGCAGGCTTGAATTGTAATATGAAGACCTCAAACCGGGATTTACATGAATGTGTGTGGGAAACCAAACATCTTTTAAAATGTGACCACAGTGTATTTTAGACCACGAGTAATCAGGTCTTATATTAAAGAGTTTCTGTAAAGGTTTAATGGAGGCTGATCAGAAACTTTTGTATTCTTGTGAGCTGAAGACACATTTGGTGCCAGAGCTCAGCGTCACCAAATCGAACTTTCACGCCCAGATTACGAGTCCTCCAGCTGCACCAACGTTATTAATTTCTTAAAGGTTTTAAAGAAATAATCAGCAGGCTGCAGAGAAATGAAGAAAAACGATAAAATATCAGACCGTGCCACATTACAAACACATTAAATAATACCATAAAAGCGGCTTTCTGCATATTCAGAACAGTAAATGGAAACACCGGCTGCAGTTAGCAGTGATTCAGTCACTGCTGCTGATGGTAATGTAAGAATGACCCAGGCTTATGTATAATTTTCTCATGTGTTTACAAACAGAAACCCACAATCTCAACTCTACTGAACCCTCAGGCGTGTCTTCATGCTCTCTGTGATAACCTTTCACTAATCAACCTTTAAACATCCTCACAGTCAGAACGGACAACGACTGGGCAATAAAATGAGTAATGACTTTCATTTATGTTGAATAATCTTAACAATAGCATTATTAGTATGCAGAGTGACGCTGGCATGCATCCTTGATCTGGATTATTCTGATTATGGAACAAATACCTTTACAAGAGGAATATATAAATCCGACTTTAATTTATTTCCTTTCACAGGAGCTGAATTTATTCACTCTATTTGATTTAGGAATACGGCCCACATGAATACGCCTCATTTTTTGAGATATATCTAAGATTTCATTCAACCCTCTTTCAAATAGTCTTTAAATTCAGCTGAGAGAGGCGTAATTAAATTTTGGGCTTATTTGGCTGTGAAATGATAATTATGTGTCTTCACTGACACATAGGAGAGTCTTCTTTTACCGCGACCACAATGCCTGAGAAAACCACGGCACCTTTGTTCAGTCCCAGCGTCTGCGGCTGAGTTCAGAGTCAGTTATGGGTGGAGGGGGATGGGGATGGAGATGCAGGAATGGAATGTCAGGTTAATATTAACATTTCAACAATAGAGGCAGCACAGCCATCAAGCTCTAAAGTGACTAAATCACAATGAGAGAAAGTCATTTCAAAATATAGAGTGAACCCTCGGGTATTTGTATGACGAAAAAAAAATCCTTATCATATTTACTGATTGTGTTTCCATTTCCCTTTGGGGGAATTTATTGTAATGAGAAAAGAAATGAAGGGGGATTGTTTCTTACCGAGTGCTTTGTCAACGCAAGTGATTTTACTGGGAGGGCAGATATCTGCTGTTCCTGGAGAGGAGAAGAGAAAATGAGTCTGATCAATCAGAAACAAAATGATCAGTGACCTGTGTCTGCTGCAATGAGGGGCCATCGCTGCGAACAACACGTCACAGGGTATTATTCATCTCCGAATAAAGGCAAACACACGGGGGGGGGTCCTCCATCGTGGACTCCTGATTGTACGCAGAAGTGGGGCATGCTGCATATTTAGAAAGTCTTTAACAAACAATCAGAGAGTGACATCCACATCCTGCCCCGGTCATTAACGGCAGGTGCTCAGTGGCGGTAAAGTTAATTAACAGAAGTGCGTTTATTTTTCTGTTGGGGGGAAATGTTTGTTTGGAGTTTTAATGTAGTCGTGAAGAAATGTTAATACAGAGTGAAGGATTGTCTAATGACCTGAGGAGAGAGTGAACACGGGGGCTGCTCTGTCTTTGTAAACAAGAGTTCATTTGGTGTAAATTCAGATTTGACAGAAGAATCATTCACATCAAACTTATTTCTACATCTCCTCTAATGTTGACTTTTTTTGTCTCCACAAGTAAAATGAGCGACTTTAGTCTGTGTTGGTGTTTATCCAGTATATTCAGGAAAACAGATCCTTCCTCAACTTTAGCTTTTAGTACCTAAACACACAAATTCAATAGCTGTCAAATGTCCAAACACTCGAAATTTTGAAGGAAATATTTCATCAACAATACAACAAATGAAATCATTTACATCAAGGACAAAAATGAAAATCAACAAACGTGTTCAGGCAAAACTAAATGTCCTTCATGTTAAGACGGTTTTTAGGAGTAAAATGGAAGACGACCTTCGATTTAGAGACTAAAACCCTGATTAGCAGCAGCAGCAGGAGCTGAAATGCTGCTGGACTCAAGAACAGCAAAGATGGACTCCTTTACGTTTCCTCGACAGGCTAATGTGTCGTTACAAAAGGCTGAAGTGGCAGTTCACCGAGGGTTCCTGCTCTCCTCCTGAGCTCATGAACCTCCACCTCTCTGGAACAGTATGAAGCAATTTCAGCAAATTAAGTATACAACACTATATTTCATTCACGGTTAATAAGAGCGGTGAACTTCCTGACAGAAGTCCTTTTCTGCAGGGAAGGGTGACCGGTCCAGAGGAGCTCCTGACTGGATCTGATGTCATTCATATATCTGCTGTGATCCAACATTATGGACCTCTGCTCTTTCAGCTGCTCGGACTGTTCTAATTTAGAAATTTTTCAGCATCAGGATGATTTCCTTAATTTAATAAGACCTGATGGGTTTCTGTTTCATACTCCAGCCTTCAGATTGCTTTGCATTTGTTCCAGATTAGAAGTAAAGGCTTCGGTAATGTGAGAGCAGCGAGATGGTTTCATGCAGTGACCAGTTAGTGAGTAAGACAAAACCATGAGCTCAACTGTTATTTAATCACAATCATGTCTCGAGGTGGCACTTAAACCTGCAGAGCACAAAACGGATTAGAAATCTGCCAGAATTTCTGTCTGCGGATCAGACCTCCATTTTCGTCTGCTTCTTACCGCCTGTAAAGTTAAGAGCGTGTAACCTTAGAAACACAGCAATTATACTTCATAGCCTGGAGACAGCGGCAGCAAAAATAGAGATTAATGGGGTAAGATCTGAATCAGTAACTTGTTTCTACCTTAAATCATACGTCTTATTCTGGGCTGTTTGCTGACATCCATTGATACCTTCACTTTTTCAATCGCTCCAAATGAGGCTGTTTTAGTCAGCTGTTGTGTGTAAATACTGCAGCGGTATATCTACATGCATTTGGAGTTTTCTGCCTTTATTTCAATACCACTATCCTAAAAGTAGCTCCTTTTGATTTGCTCATATTTTCAGTACTTTCAGGTTTTATCCTCCACATAATTAATAAACAAACAAACAGTGTTGCATGGCTTATCCTCCGTGTTATTTCACACTATCTACTCTCCTTTTGGTCCTTCTCACGATTTTAAATAATCTCAAATAACATTTCAATCCTCCTCTTATAATTGTAAATAAGGGCCAGACTCATAAAAGCTTCGAGCAAATAACCAGTAAAGACTTAACTAAGAACAAGCAGGAAAATAATGAGATGTATAAACAAATGGCTCTGAAGCTTGTTGAGACTTTTATGTAGTCCCGAGAGTCCCCGGCCAAAGAGCTGCCAGCACCGCTGAAGAGCAATCCACTCCAGATATCAAGCATCAAGGTCAGGCGCGGGGCAGTCCAAATTATATCTGTGCAGGAATTATTCAAGTGGGCAAAAAATATGATGAGTTGTTTTGCACAGCAGGTCGTTTAATTCCATGCAAATATACGGCCGTGTGAGTGTCTGTTTTACTGAGGCTGATAAAGAGATTTGACACAAAAGGAAAAACTTCACATGTTTGAATTTTTCATCCTCGATTTGCTTTTGGTGATTTTTCATGATCTTGGCCACGACACTCTCTTTCTGTTCTTGATCCAAACTAAGGCTGCACGATATTGGAAAAAAATAATATTGCGATTTTTTCAACCCTGCGATATATATTGCGATATTAAAAATACAGTATTTTCACCAGATGACCTGAATATCACTTAATGTTATGCTGCACTGCTGAAATCTTGAGGACAGTTAATCTGCTCTGATCTTACCTCTTTTTGTGAATGTTAGTTGTATTGAAGACTCAGAAGTGGCTAGAAGATTAGTTTTATAGTTTTACTTTAAGAACCCCTCTAAGCAGTAACATAGGCTTCCCGCTGCTCCCTGCCCAGTTAAGCCCTCTTTCTTCTTTACTTCTGGTTTGTTATTTGAGATCCTGTTTATTATTGTTACTGCAGCGATGTACAGTTGTTATTGTTGTTGTTGTGCCCGATGTCATTCATACAGCGGAGATATACGTCCTTTCAGTGTTGCTGTAATTGGGCTGATATGTTTGTATCAGTGCGCGTGTGATTTGGTGCGAGTGTGTGTGTCAGCTGGGAGAGTGAGAGGAGAAAGTTTGAGAAGAGGAGACGATCGGAGCAGCTTCGTGTATTCCACAGATTCATTCATTACTTCGGTGAAGTTTTGGGTGATTAATAACCCGCACAACAAGTTGTCTTTAGACCAGTGAAGATTGTACCTGAAGAGGAACAAACAGACTTTGAACTGAAGTTAGATCGCCGATTAATGTTAGCTCTCGTTTTCCCGACAGTGGCTAGCTAGGTCTCGCTAGCGGCGTCATTGTCCTTCGTATCCCAGCAAGCATTAACTGGCCCCAGCTTAAGGACTTTAGTTCACCCCCTCCTCCTCTGGACCACATCTTCACCCCCTCCCCTCTTCACCCGAGAACAGCTCCCATTCATCTCCCGCGGACACCTGAGCACATAATCCCTCAACATCGGGACCTCTCCACAGACCTCCATCCTGGCTGCATCAGAATCCTCACGTCCTCCTTTGAGCTCCAACCCCGGGCAACATTGGTACCATTAGGTTTAGTATTAAGTAGGACTTAGTATAGTTAGACAGGACATATTTTAGTATAAGATTTGTGAGGCAATTGTGCATAATTTTGTTTGTGGTGTAATAAATGTTTATGTTGTTCCCTTTATATCCTTGTCCCTCCCCTGTTATTTAGTGAGAGTCCACAGCATCTTTGTCCATAGTAAGGGACGCCAGGGAGCGGTGGCTAGCGCCCTACTGTACCTTACAGTTCTCAGTTAAATTGTGGTCCTACGCTACAATTTTTGGTCCTTCGAGCCGGATGAGTTAGCATTGCCCCCATGGCTAGTAGTGGACTATCAGCAGGAGATAGGACTCCAACAGAATGCCCCAGACGTATCCGTCAACGTCCCAGATATTTAGATGCTTATGAAGTTGATTTGCCCCTTAGCCATACCTTTGAACAGTCACATGGAGGTAGTACTAGAAGCCTTATTCAGACCAGGCCCCGCATGTTTGATCTACCTATTAACCGTAGCATGGATAATATACACAAGATAGGTGTCAGTCCCTCTTTACGAGCTGACGAGCTATGCAAGGCTGATCCAATGAACATGTTTGACATGAATGATAATGAGCTCCTCAGACCCAGAACACCTACCCCGCCAGGAAGCCCTGCCTCAGTGCGTTCTTCTACATCAGGAAAAACTAACAACAAAGAACTGTTAGAGTTATTTAAACTGCAGATGGCGACAACAGAGGAGGCTACACGCCGTCTGGAGGAAGCGGCTATACAAAGGGAACAGCTGCAGGCTAAGATGCAGATGGAGAGGGAACGCTTACAAGCAGAGCAACAGGTGGTGCTAGTCAGGCAACAAGCTGAAACCATAGCAACGTTAGCTAGACAACAGGCTGAGCGACAAGCTGAGAGAGAGAGTGCACACACCCAGGCTCTGGTAGCGCTAGCTAAACAGAACGATGAAGCTGCTAGACAGACTATCCAGTTACTTACCGAGGCCTATCAGAGTCAATCCGCACGTGCCTCCGCCCGATCCTCCAGGCAGTCCTCACGCAGAGAGTCGAGACAACACTCCCCAGCTCGTCTGAGCCAAGCGGTATATGGCACAAAGGCAGAACCCATAGAGGTAGCTATACAGCTATCCAACAAGCTGCAAGCACTAGACGATGAAATACGAGATCACGCAAAGTTCCCAGCTCCCCATGTCTCCTCTGCCTATCAAAGAGACCGAGACCCTACTTACAACATACCTGCACAGTTGAGCCAACCGCCTCCCCCCCTAGATGGACACGGCATAGTGACCCCTCCTCCAGCAGCTAGCTCACAACACCAACCTGGTTTGCAGAACTACAGACCCGCTAACCAAGATCAGCCGTTCTCACCATTGATTAATCAATATCATAGTTCTCCCATCCAGTTAGCCTCTCGACCAGCAGCCATCTACGGAGTAGAAGAGCCGACCTTTCCTGATTTCACTAAAGAGGACAGGTCCCAGTATACAGAGCTACGCATGTGCTTGGGAACCCTGCTCTCTCCATCCCAAGATGAGCGTTATAAATATGCCCTCCTGCTGAAACATGTCAAGGTTCCTCGGGCCCATAATATTGTATTAGCACATGCACACTCCGCTACCCCTTACTCCGATGCAATAGCAGATCTTGATGACCGCTACGGGCGAACATGGGACTATGTCCTCCAAGAGATGAGGGACATAGAGAAACTTCCTCCAGTCAAAGATGACCGGACCCTTGACGACCTGTCTGTACGAGTACAATCTCTAGTAGGCATGCTCCAGTCCCAGCAGGAGAAAGGAAATCATGAACTCCACGCCAGCTCCAATGTAGAGCGCATCCTTGACAAACTTCCCAAGTTCAGACAGGAGAGATTTAGGCGTCAACGAAACTACCTCCACGCATCTCAGCACGAGTTGTCCCTGATGGACCTCTCCACATTCTTACGGATGGAAGTTCGGAGCCTCAGATTGGACCCCTCCCTACGGGGCGGCCCAACCCCAGGAGATGTAGGAAAGAAGAGCAGAGGTCATGGGAAACCAACTACTGTGATGCTTCAGACAGAAGATTTCAAACCGAAACCGACCCAGTCAGCCCATAAGAAAGAACCTTCCACTCCGAACAAGAGCAAGGTGAAACCTCACTGCCCCTTCTGTGATAAAGAGCACTGGCTACATGCCTGCGAAGACTTCACCAAGATGAACAAAGAGCAGACCACAGAGTGGATCAAAGTCAATCGGCGATGCTGGAGGTGTGCCCGCCAACACAAAGCGTCAGAGTGCAACCTTAAGAAGAGGTGTAGGCAATGTCAAGCTACCCACCTGACCATCCTGCATGATGTTAATCGCAGAGAAACGCCTACTGAGTCAACGGCCGAGGTACACTACATCGACCCAGCAAAGAGCGGAAGTTCCAGAGTGATGTTGAAGATAGTAAGAGTCCTCCTACGCTACAAGGATAGAGTACTGGACACCCACGCTGTCCTTGACGACGGTTCTGAGAGAACACTCTTACTTGCATCTGCTGCAGAGGAACTGGGAATCAAGGGACAGGAGGAGAAGTTGAACCTCCGCACTATCCGTCGAGATCTAAAGACTATCAAGGGTGAGAGAGTCGCTTTCACCATATCCCCTGCTGACCAGCCAAACAAACAGTATCCAGTGACCGACGTCTTCACTAGCCAGCAGATTGGTCTGTCTCAGTACGATTATCCTATAGAGCAACTCAAAGAGAGGTTTGAGCACCTGCGACGCCTACCGGTACCACTAATCGATCAAGTCAACCCAACCCTCCTCATCGGCTCTGATCACACCAACCTTATCGTCCCTGTCAGTGCAGTATATTTTGGGCCCCGAGGGTGTCCAGCAGCCGTTAAGACAAGATTGGGTTGGACTCTCCAAGGTCCATTCAACTCTCCCCGCAATAGAATAGCACCAACCTGCTGCCTGTACAGCAAAGTCACCTCTGCCGACGCCACTCTGCTGAACCACGTCGAGCGCCTGTGGCAACTGGACGTTCTTCCCTTCTGTAATGAGAAACAGATGGTGCGCTCCAAGGAGGATAAGTACGCCGTGACACTGCTTGAGCAGAAGACCAAGAGGATAGACGTCAAGGGAGTACAGAGGTATGCCACTCCACTATTGAGGAGAGAAAACATGCCGACTTTGCACGTATCCAAGGAAGTAGTCAGCAACTACCTGAGGAACACGGAGAGACGGCTGGCCAAGGACCCGCAGCAAGCAGCAGTTTACCGAGCTGAGATTGGCAAGTTAATAGTAAGCGGTCATGTAAAGAAGATAGACAACTACGAAGCGGGAAAATCAAGAGAGAGTTGGTATGTACCGCACCACAAGGTCCGACACAATGGCAAAGACAGAGTAGTCTTTAATTGCAGTTTCCAGGTCGGCAAACAGTGTCTAAATCGGTACCTCCTTCCCGGCCCCACCCTTGGGCCATCACTCCTAGGAGTCCTCGTGCGCTTCCGGCAGGACAGAGTGGCAATCAGTGGGGACATTAAGGGAATGTTCCACCAGATCCACCTTCTGGAAGAGGATAAACCCCTACTGAGGTTCCTGTGGAGGGATGACCCAAGTGATGAACACCCTTCTATCTATCAATGGGAAGTACTACCATTTGGTACTACCTGCAGCCCCTGCTGTGCGATCTTCGCACTGCAGAAGCATGTCACAGACGACCCAGAGGCAGGAGAAGACATCCGCCACAGTATCGAACGCTGTTTTTATGTAGACAACTGTCTACAGAGTGTCCCCACTGAGCATGAGGCCGAAACCATCCTTATGAAGCTGAGGACCTTGCTAGCGAAGGGAGGATTCGACCTGCGTCAGTGGGCAAGTAGCCATCCTGGGGTGCTCAGTCAGCTTCCCCCTGAAGCCAAAGCCAAGAGCAGCGAGACCTGGATGGCCCAGAGCCCCGGAGAGGCTCAGGAGATGACCTTGGGTCTCGTATGGCACTTCCAAACAGACACTCTGCACTACCGTCACACCCCACCTACGAAGGAGCGCATCACCAGAAGAAGCATTTATAGTACTCTTGCAAGTCAGTACGATCCACTCGGTTATATCCTCCCATATACGACTAGAGCCAAGGTGCTGGTGAGAGAGTTGTGGGCAAAGGACCTGGGCTGGGATGACCCTATCCCTGATCACCTCGCTGCCAAGTGGAGCGAGTGGGAAGAAGAACTTTCTCTCCTCGGTGAAGTTACTCTTTCACGCAGCTACTTCCCTCCGACCGTCGACCTGAGAACGAGTAAGATAGACTTGCATGTCTTTAGTGACGCCTCCGAGACTGTTTACGGATCCGTGGTCTATCTCAGAGCAATCGACACCGCTGGTGACGTCCACATAGCCTTCGTCCTAGCCCGCTCTCGGGTAGCCCCTCGTAAGCAGCAGTCCATCCCACGCCTGGAGCTCTGTGCGGCCCTAGTCGGCGCACAACTCGCTAAGATGGTAAAGGACGAGCTCACCCTACCGCTGCAGGAGACCATCCTGTGGTCCGACTCCATGACTGTGATTTCCTGGCTTCAATCCGAATCCTGCCGCTATAAAGTGTTCGTCGGAACAAGGGTTTCGGAGATCCAAGACCTAGTCGGAGTGGAGTGTTGGAGATATGTTGACACAGGAAGTAACCCGGCGGATATAATCACTAGAGGTGCTACCCTCGCCACCCTGTCTCAAGCGAACCCTTACAGTTGCGGACCAGTCTTCGGCAGCCCGAGGAAGACTGGCCATTACCACCATCCATCGCTGAGAACCCAGACGAGGCAGAGTTGAAGAGATCACCGTTTTGTGGATTATGTCAGGTCCCACCTGCAGATGGCCCCTGCCTTGATGACAGTCTTACACTTGAGCATCTGCAGAAGGCGACTTTTCTTTGGCACCACCCAGACCTCCCGGCCACTACAAACCTAAGTGCAGCAGATTATGTGGAAGCAGAACTATCAGTCCTGAAGAGAGCCCAGCGAGATTCCTTCCCTGAGGACCTGGAGTGCTTGACCGCTGGGAAGCCCGTCCCGTCAGATAGCAGACTCCTGAGACTAGCCCCGGAACTTGATTCTGAAGGTCTGATCCGAGTGGGAGGTCGGTTACGACGTGCTATGAACCTATCAGAAGACACTAAACATCCCATTGTGTTGGGAACCAAACACAAAGTGACAGAGTTAATCATTCAGAAGTACGACCAAGCAGTGTGCCATGCAGGGGCAGAGAGAGTTTTCGCTGAGATACGACGACGCTACTGGATACTGCAGGGAAGAGAAGCCGTACGCCGATTCCAGCGAGCGTGCACCGCCTGCCAGAAATGGAGAGCCCAGCCCGCCATACCCAAGATGGCCGATTTGCCACCTTCAAGATTGAGGATAGGAGAGAGGGCATTCCACACAACTGGAGTAGACTGTTTTGGTCCATTCTTAGTCAAGAGAGGGAGGGGGACTGAGAAGCGCTGGGGAATCGTGTACAAATGCATGACCACAAGAGCCGTACACATTGAGTTGCTACAGTCTATGACTACAGATTCCTTCTTAATGTCCTTCAGGAGATTTCAAGCTAGGAGAGGGAACCCTGCCGTGCTGTTGTCAGACCAGGGGACCAATTTCAAGGGAGGAGAGTCTGAGCTACGTGAGAGCTTTGAGGCCATGTCAGGAGAACTGAAGTCCCGTTTAGCTCCAGCTCAAGTCCACTTCCAGTTCAACCCCCCAAATGCACCTCACTTTGGGGGCACATGGGAGAGAGAAGTGAGGTCTATTAAGACCGCCTTGTACACTGTGTTGGGAGCACAGTCCATTTCTGATGAAGTCTTGGCAACTGTTTTGACTGAGATAGAGGGAGTGTTGAATTCCAAACCTCTCGGGTACGTATCCACGGACGTCGCTGATGTGGACCCTGTGACTCCAAACTACCTCCTTATGGGGCGGCTGGACCCTGCTCTCCCCCAGACCGTGTACCATCAAGATGAGATGAGAGGAAGAAGGATGTGGAGACACAGTCAGGTTTTAGCTGATCAGTTCTGGTCCCATTTCCTCCTATACTATCTCCCCTCCCTCCAAGCCCGACAGAAATGGGTGAGAGATAAGGACAATCTAACCGAAGGCACAGTCGTGATGATCGTTGATCAGTCTCTACCAAGAGCTATCTGGCCTGTAGGGCGAGTGAGCAGAGTCATCGTCGGATCTGATGGGAAAGTTAGAGCGGCAGATGTTACTGTCCAGGGACGGACCTACACCAGGCCGGTCACGAGACTCATAGAGCTCCCTGCTTTCCCTGACGCCAATACAGATGACCCACCCCTGATCTCGCCCCCGTAACTTCATCCTGCTAGATAGTCAACCTATTATAGTTTAACTTACCGTATTTGATTTAACTCTGAGCCTTCTGATTTGAGTGATAGCTAATTACGCATAGCGAATTAGGGGGCGGCTGTATTGAAGACTCAGAAGTGGCTAGAAGATTAGTTTTATAGTTTTACTTTAAGAACCCCTCTAAGCAGTAACATAGGCTTCCCGCTGCTCCCTGCCCAGTTAAGCCCTCTTTCTTCTTTACTTCTGGTTTGTTATTTGAGATCCTGTTTATTATTGTTACTGCAGCGATGTACAGTTGTTATTGTTGTTGTTGTGCCCGATGTCATTCATACAGCGGAGATATACGTCCTTTCAGTGTTGCTGTAATTGGGCTGATATGTTTGTATCAGTGCGCGTGTGATTTGGTGCGAGTGTGTGTGTCAGCTGGGAGAGTGAGAGGAGAAAGTTTGAGAAGAGGAGACGATCGGAGCAGCTTCGTGTATTCCACAGATTCATTCATTACTTCGGTGAAGTTTTGGGTGATTAATAACCCGCACAACAAGTTGTCTTTAGACCAGTGAAGATTGTACCTGAAGAGGAACAAACAGACTTTGAACTGAAGTTAGATCGCCGATTAATGTTAGCTCTCGTTTTCCCGACAGTGGCTAGCTAGGTCTCGCTAGCGGCGTCATTGTCCTTCGTATCCCAGCAAGCATTAACTGGCCCCAGCTTAAGGACTTTAGTTCACCCCCTCCTCCTCTGGACCACATCTTCACCCCCTCCCCTCTTCACCCGAGAACAGCTCCCATTCATCTCCCGCGGACACCTGAGCACATAATCCCTCAACATCGGGACCTCTCCACAGACCTCCATCCTGGCTGCATCAGAATCCTCACGTCCTCCTTTGAGCTCCAACCCCGGGCAACATTGGTACCATTAGGTTTAGTATTAAGTAGGACTTAGTATAGTTAGACAGGACATATTTTAGTATAAGATTTGTGAGGCAATTGTGCATAATTTTGTTTGTGGTGTAATAAATGTTTATGTTGTTCCCTTTATATCCTTGTCCCTCCCCTGTTATTTAGTGAGAGTCCACAGCATCTTTGTCCATAGTAAGGGACGCCAGGGAGCGGTGGCTAGCGCCCTACTGTACCTTACAGTTCTCAGTTAAATTGTGGTCCTACGCTACATTAGTAGAACGGCTTCTGTCTGTCTCAGAGATATTTTTAGCTTTTATTGTGCTGGGATGTTATTGTGGCAACAGATGAACACAGAACACGTGTTTTGGTCGACATCATCCTTCTTTTAACAGAAATAATTCCAGATAACTGACTTTCCTTTTCTTTTTGCCAACAAATCTTCATTTTCGTTGGTTTTCGCTTGTTCGTTGTTCATTTTGCGATCGTTGTTGTTGTTGTTAGCGGTGTTGTGCCGAGAAACGCATGTCCTCCGAGAATTGCATGCACCTCGCAAAACGCGCACTACTTATAGTAGAGTGGTCCACGGAAATGTACAATTTAAAACCCATACAGTTCTTATTTGTTGGGCTTAACAGTCATGAGTAAAGTTCCGAAAGTAATTCTCAGCGGACACACGTCTCCCTCCATGTGCAGAACATGTGCAGGGGTGGGTTTTCTCCTCCCTGATTTTGATTGACAGCTGGCAGGGTAGTCTGATTGGCAACTGAGAAGTGAGTCTGATTGGCAACTGAGTTAAGGACGAAGGCGATTGGTGGATCGCTGCACAGCACATGCAGAGTCACATGGAGTGTATCTCAGTCGGTTACCCTTGAAATTAAATGAGTTCATTCACCTCCAATATCGCAGGCTCTGCGATGTGACTATCGCACACACGTACATCGCGATGACGATAGTCAAACGATATATCGTTCAGGCCTAATCCAAACCTCATTTTTCAATCCTGCTGTAATTGTAACTTGGTTTTAATAAAATAAAATACACGTGTGTGCGTTCACAGATTACTTCCTGCCACATGGGGTTCTGTTAAAGTGTGAAATCTTACCCGGCATGTGCACCATCCTGCAATTGCACACTCGCAGCACCTCGTTGGTCTCGCAGAGCAAACGACAGGCGCTGATGCTGTATGTGTCGTATCCTGGGAACTTTTCTTTGCTGGTGGAGCGGCAGTTCCCCCAGGGCTGGGGCAGGTAGGTCAGCTAAGCACACAGAGATTTATTAGACCCTGGTGTGATCCACGAGGGACGAATGGTAGCTGGTAGAACAGTTATCTGTGGAGGGAGGAGGGGGCGGGAAAGAGTGTTGTGATAAAGAAGACCTACCCTCTGCTCCTGACATGAAACAAAGGTCTGAAAGCCCGGAGAGACACCAAAGCCCAGCTGGTGGATGTAGGGAGGCTCGTCCTGACTGTGTATCTGAACTCGGATACCTGCCTCCAGGGAAGTCTCGTCTTCAAGATGAAACGGCACGAGCGAGGAGCGCCACAAAAGGAGAGGACAAGAGAATTTCAAACGGCTTCCTCATTTCACAGCTTGGACTCGGTTTGACATTAAAACCGTATTTCAATTACGGTTCAGATAATAAAGCGGAGGATTAAAACCTCTGCTACAATGCAGGCACTCGTCTGTTTTTGGAGTTTCCTTTGACTAATCACATAAAAGCAGAGATGCAATTAAAAAACACATGATTTCATGTTAATTGCACAGATGGAGGTATCTCATGCTGTTAGGAAGCTTACTTGTCTCTCTCCAGATCGGCAGATACTCATCCTGCTGAATGTCCAACATGATCTCCAGACCGTTCCCCATCCCTCCCTGCTTGGCTTTCCTGGATGTGCTCTTGTTGCCATTAAAAGTGTAACATTTCCCGTATCTTGTGTATACCTGAAAAAAAAAAGAGAAAAGAAAACAGATTCCTATCATGACCTCCATCATAAACATCACTATCCACATTCTGACAGGATCCCACTAGCTGTGTATTGAAACAAGGAAGAGATATGGAGCAAATAAAGCAGCTGAGTCGGAGCTACTGAATATTAGCCACATATCTCTGGATGCAGTCTGCTGGCTCAGTCCCTCATGGACTTTGATAAGCTGAACAAATTCCCAACACTCAGAACCGTCCTCACACAATGCTGCCCAGCTCTACAACCATCCCGTAGAAATCTTAGAAAGCCCGTAGAAAGCTTTCAAAAAGAGCGATCATGTCTCCGGCTATCAGAGGAGCTGTCCCGCTCAGGAACACGTCTTCCATCTGCACCGTGTTTCTGCGTGTGCATTTCATGGCCTGTCATGTGGGCGTAGCTGCCTTGATAGCGAGCTTCTCTTTTAATACAGACAGCAGTATGTGTTATTTCCAAAGCCAATGAGAATAGGTTCACAGATTCAGGTTTATGGCTAATGTTAGCGGCTCTGTCATGATTGTTTTTGTGCTGAAATAAACCGAGGTAGAGCTAACATTATCCGTGAACATAAACACTATCTCGGGTAAAACAGCTCCACACTTGAACACATGATGAATGTTGTTTTTTTTTACATGGATCAGAGACTAAGTTGATCATCCCGTCTTTCCCATAGACTGAATATACTTTGGGCAACTTGGCTCCTCCTCCCGTCATTGTACGAACTTGAAGCCAAATTTCTCTCGTGTATTTGCGAGATACTCTTTGTGAGAGTCTTTAACCCTGGATGATCTACACAATCTGTGTACCCCCATAGGCTGTATCAGGTGTCAATCATAGAAAACATAAACCCCCTAATAACTTTTATAAACAGAGCTGTACAGAAAAAAGAGGACTTGAGCACAAACCAGTCTGACAGTAACTACATGTCAACATCACAACCAGGGGGGAGAAAAAGTTTATATTCTGTGTCATTAACTTCTAAAGTTTGTCCACAGCTCCATAGGGATTGCTGGAGGAGGCGGGGTTTATGACCTATACTGCAGCCCGTCACCAGAGGGTGCTGTTCTCCTCAGCGAGGACGCAGATGACGTCCATTATACATGTTTTGAGAAACTTTGCCATGTCCACAGTTTCTTCAAGAGAAGACTGAAAGAGTTCTGCTTCTGGATTTTAAATAAATAAACCTCAGAACAAATACTTTCATGATCTCTTTGAAAATGTAAACCCGCCATCAGGTCCTTCAGGACAAAACAGCCTGAAAATGTTCAGAAAGGAGGACCTAACTGATGATTTCAAACGTACCTTCATCATCTTCACACTCAGACTTCAGTTTTACCACCTTGGTGTTAACATTACCAACAATATACTGAGTTACTCAACATTACTGCATCGTCACTTTATTTTCCAAACACAATCATATTCTTAAAAGTTGATTTAATTTTTAGAATTGTTTAATAAATGTCTTTAAAATCTGACCCACCACTGTAACAGATGAACACGGTCATTTCAGCTTTTCTTTACGTTTTCAAAAACTTTAAGGTTTTATAGATTTTTGATTCAAGAAAAATGGTGAAGGAGATGAAGCTAAAACAAACACAGCTAAATACTCCACAGATGGATCACTAAAGCAGCGCTGCACCAGTCTCTGCATTTTCCAGAACAGCGATGTGTTTGTCCTCGTTTTAAACCTGTTAAATTCCTCTTAGGAGAACTCGACGACGTAATAAGAGTTGCCAGAGGAAAATCACACTCTCTTATTTACAGACAACAGGGTGTATTGACATTTGGGATTGTTGAACAACTAATCAGAGTCATGGTCGTGGGGTTTGAACATGCTATTCCCTGGACTAGTGAACACATTTACAATACTGACAACAGAAATGAGAGTAAGAAATGATTCATGTTTGAGAAATGTTGTTTCATTTAATGCCACCACAGATCTGAACTGTGGTGGCAGCTGAGGCTCGGGGGGCCGTCTCAGGTCAGATGTGCATATATGATCTTCATGTGGGCGTGTTTAATATGCATCAGAATTGGTCAACTTCAGAATTAATACCAAGTAATCACAGACTTGATTTCAGACGTCATTTTGGGGGTCGATGTGACCAAAAACATCAGGTGAGCTTTGAACCCCCTCTGGGTTTTCTACCCGGTGAGGGGGGGCTTGTTAGAAAGGATTCAGGTGTTCCTGAGATTTTTGACTGACATGTGCTATTAGGGGTTGAAATGGGTTTATCTCTATTTGGCTTGTGTGGAGCGGTTGAAGAGGTAAGCTGCACTTATCACTGATCCCCCACCACCAACTCCATCCCTACTCATTGACACACTTAAGCCTTGGCAGGCAGACTTTATCTGATGGAGCAGGTAACAGACGCAAAGGAGGATTTTACTGTCGAAAAGCTAAAATAAAAAAATAAAAAAAGACAACCAAGCGCTTGGTGCCGCTCTAAACTTCAGGCTCTGGAGGACGCTGGTTTGTTCACAAATGATGTCCCCGGAGAGTTCAGCAAAGTTTTCCCATCATCTCATGCAGGAAATGGCTGTTGGCAGAGCTTTCGCTGGTTCATTTCTCTGACTCTAACCCCCCCCCCCCACTCTTCCCTTTCTGCATCTGAACATGATTGATGGAGCATTTTTCTCTTGTTACATCTTGCACCAAATTTAGCAAAGGTAGCAGGGCTGACTTGGGCAATTCCCAAGTGGGGACTTGGCACTGTTGTTGACAAGTTGAAACACAGCAGCAGCATGGCACCTACCAACCAAATGAAAGAGGTTTTTGTACTTCTCTGAGTCCTTGAAGCTGTTAACAGTGGCTAATGAGTGTGGTACTTCGTGCTTTTTTTAAGTGTCATTCAGACGTTTTAACAAACCCAATCAATTGGACCTTTAGAAACTGGATTAAAGCTGATATATAATTAAAGCTCTGTATTAGTGATTGAGCGAGTTCTGGACACACTTTTTGGTTCTGTTGTGAGAATCTGAAAGTTTCTGTGTTCACCGTATAATAATTAAAATGAATATTTGCTTTAATAGTGTAATCTACCACACAGACTAATTCTTATACTTATGATTAGACTCTGTTTATTCTTGTATATATTTATGTATAGCTGTGACATTTATTAAAGTTTTTCTGGTTCAGCGGTTGCAGTCGTTCTTATTTACTTTAGTTTCATCTCAAATATACATTAGTGTTGTTTTCAGCAGCAGCCCCCACATCTGAACCAGCAGGAGGTGGTCAAGATTGAGACAGAATGTGGACAGGATTATGAACAGGATACATGAAGAGAGAGAGAGAGAGAGAGAGAGAGAGAGAGAGTTGTTGGGTATGGCAGCACTTTTCAGCAGCAGTGTTGTCAGGTTTATCTCCAGGAATGAAATTGTAACATCCAGTTTCCCCAACATCAGACCAAAGTTGTGGGCTTTTGTTGAACGAGTTATGAGGACTGTATTTTCATGCAGTAGGTGAAACTTTTTTCAATCCCGGTCCTTTTCTGGGTTTTTATGTATTTGCAGCGTTTTTGCCAGGAAGGATTTTCTACCTGCAGAGGGCAGCTAGGGCTCAGCAGTTCATCAGTCCTCTCTTAATAGGGAGGTTGGAGGTTCAATTCCACGCTGTGTCTGCAGTCAGTGTGTGAATGTGACGTGTGAATGGGTGAATGTGACGTGTGATGTAAAAGCTCAGAAGACCATATACAGTCCACCCTGTCCATTTTACAGAACATGCCTGTAGTAGTTTGGGTTTGAGACTTTGCATGTGTTCATGTTTTGATCGAGTCGGTCTGAAACAAACAGAAATAATGTTTGTTAACTTCACTTTTGGAGCTGCAATTATAACATATTGAACATTATAAATAAACAGACCAACAAAACAAATCTGCATCTCTGGAGGAGAAAATATCATTAAATACGAACGTCTCAGAGAAACGTCTCTCAGGGAAAAGTATATAAAAGTCACAGTGTGAACTCACAGCCTAACTGTTAGTTAATCGAGTGGATTAATACTGCAAAGAAAGAGGGAAAGTTGCCATAATTGATCGATTTGGATCGGCATCTTAAAGTAGTTGGCGAGGAATCCTAAGGTTTTTGTCTGCATTTTTATACGAAACAACGACTGACGCTGGTTTTGATATTTTCTTATACCTCCTCTTATACCTCTTCTAACCTGTTACATCATCCCTGTCTAAAACGTCTATATGTCCTCTGCCAGTGTTGTCTCTCCAAAAGTGTCTCTCCATGGCACACATTCAGAGCCCAACCTCTTACCATGTAATTCATAATCCCCGGTGGGGTAAACCTTCAAACACCCTCTTTATGACCATGATCTGACAGAAGCACGCTGCGTTTGCTTTCGAATAACCTGCAGAAATCACTTCAGCGCTTCTCCGGAGGACATCCATTTTCAGGCGAGCTGCATGTCATTGGGTATCTCTTAGAGTATGAGGACAGAGGATTTGAATTAATTTAGGTGGTAGAATATGCCAGAGTACTGATTGGCAGTTGAAAACCATTAGGGCTAGCCAGCTCATGCAGGTTTAATGCTGAGAAAGAGCATTTTTTTTTTTCATTTAGAGGCTATTACGACCTCCTCGCAGAGTCTGAAGTCACAATGTGGAATGGGCAGGTAATGTACGAGGCATTTCTGAATGTTTTCCAAGAATCTGTTGCAAATACACGAGAGAGCGAGAGAGCGGCCAAAACAAAATAAATAAATAAAAGTAAAACAAAAAGAGAGACTGAACAGAATTAATTTATTTGTCATGAGGTATGAGGGAAAAAAAAATAAACGAGGCAAAAGAAATTAGAATTATATGAGACGACATTTCTAATTAAACATACCAGGGAAGGAAATTACCAAAATTTGCTTAATGGAGATGTAAGACAAGAAATGTTCCTGGAACCAAACAGCTTTATGATTTTAATTTGGACTCGATTGAATTGCAAATAAGAGTCAAAAACAATCAAATACTAGCCTGAGCTACATGGATGGATCCTTCATCTATATGACGTTTACATTTAAATACTACTGTTTTATCTTCTGTTCCTTTAAACTGTTGGCATTAAATTTAATCTTGTTTGCATTGAAGTTGTTGTTATCGTTTTTTACCAACATGCAGAGAAGAAAAGAGGTCAATCTGTGACTAAGTAAATACCTACAGAGGTAGTAGACATGACCGCTCCACTGCAGTTAGACCCCAGCCAAGGACATGATATTCTGCCATCATGAACAAGGCTGAAGACAAGGCTGCAGAGCTTCTTCACATATTTATCTTTATCAATGTGTTAACTCAGCAAACATGTCCGTGCATGGTGCATTTTCACATTTGCATCATGCACCCTGGTTGTAAACAGCATCATTAATAAGTAGTCCTCAGTCAGATGTTAGGCGGACTTCTACAACCCCGGGTCAGACAAACTGTATGTCAGGATTTAAATACACATCTTACCATCATCACCTCCCAGCCTTCAGATGTATTCAAAGAAAAGCTGCGTGGTTCAAAAGAGGAGGAACCCAGACATGAAGTCTAAACACCGCCGACTGGAATGTGAGACACACAAGTTTTGCACCATTAACCTCCATCTCAGTGTCAGCCTATGAACGCAGCGCCAGGATGCATCCTTGGATTGCTTTTCCGAACATTATAGTTATTATGAATCAATTCAAACCTCCATTACACAACTGAATGCAGAAATCTCAATGCCTGTTTAATAGAGCAATACAAGTGAGGTAAATACTGTGTAATAAGTGGGCTGTCATCAAGGTTAGTCTGCGGTTGGGCAGAATAACATGTTTAATAAATGAAATAGTGAAATTTTCATAAGGAGAGGAAGTAATGGCTGCGTGTAACGAGAGCTCTCCGACCCGCTGATTAAAAACAAGGACACGGATTGAATTTCACTCTCGTCTGTGAGCGTTCACAAACACTGAGAAAGGTGGACACCTCAAGGTGGTGACCTTCCATCAGTATGTTCAGCAGTATGTCTTTTTGTTTTGCCCCCCCTGTAACGAAGCCTCGTACATTTAAATGATGAACTCTGATATGAACCTGCAGGGCTTGTTTCAGTTATTAGTGTAGGAGTTCTGACTCATCTCTTCTCTGCCTCTGCTGCCCTCTCTCTGGTTTCCTCCGACAGAGCATCACAGATAAGTGGAGCACCAAAGTCAGAAAAGTGCACTCAGCAAACCTCTCTCTCTTCAAATGTTAGCATTCCTTTTTTTCCCTATTTCTTAATGCCCCCCCCATCACACCATCACACACACGCACGCGCACACACACACACACACACACGTGCACGCCCAGACCCCCTGCTTCTCCCCGCATACTCAGCTAATGGAGCTGTGAGAGATGCTCTTGGAAAAGAGGTTGAAAATGGACAGGCTCTCTGGCACAATACAGGAACTCACAAATAGAACAGTCCACTACATTCAGCATCCTGAAAGAAGCAGGCGCTCGGGGTTGAGTAGAGTCTGCTGGAACATCACAGCCACGGGCCCATAAAGGTGCTGTTTTATAACTGTGATTAGAAACTACTGTCATAATGGGGATAATTTATTTGAATCACCAGAGTGAGGCAGGTCCCTAATCAGTCTTTAAGTGTGATTGAGATAAATCACTTCCTGCAACTAGAGCGTGTGCACGGGTCTTACCTCAGTGCGAGTCATTCTTGACCTTAAAAGCCTTGCAGATCAGGGCCTATTAATTGTGCTCCATATGGTACAACAGTTTTAATTAGTCAGCCTAGTAGGTGATTTTCATGACAGTGTATCTTTAACCCCATTCAAACGTCGAGTCCCATGATTATAGCTGAGAAACTGATCTTGCAACATAAATATATATAATCCTCTGCATGTTCCAGCTGTCTCATCAAAGTAATTTAGGACCCTCCCCGTCATTTTTGGCCCTGTGCTGGTTTTAGAGGAATTTCAGGCTATTTATTTCCCTTCAAAGCTCAAGGCCGTGGCTCTGAAGGAGGAGCAGAGTCATGCTGAATGTATAAGCTAATGGGCCTCTTAAGATAGCAGGGAGCGCACTGCTCGCTATACAGCGGCGAATCACGCTCGACCTTTCTGGACTTCACCTTGTTTGCTCTGATCAATCATTCAGTACAGTATTAAATCTGCCTGCAGCCCCTCACTAGTCCTGCCTGAGGCGTTGGCTTATCTGTTGATGTCATTTTTGCAGTCATTTGGATATTCAGGTTTAATTAAGGTACTGCTGTCATTAGCATGGGATTTATTTCCTCGGCTCTCAATCTCGCTCCACTCTCTGCTCCTCTAAGACGCTTCCACCTGCTCCAAAACACAAACACTCTCACCCAACTGCTGCTGCTGAAGAAACACTGTCACAGTTCCCTGGCCAAAGTTTTATTTAGTATTCATCATAACCAAGACACCGTCTTGGTTGTTTTTCTTTTCCATGGAGCTCAGGGGAAATGATATCTGTTGGATAGGAGCCACAGTTAAGGTTGATGAAACTACCAGAGAGGAAAGACAGGGTCTGCTATCTTTTTGACATGAGTCATCAATATAAAATATGGTGTCCCTTCTGTGATTCCAAAGAGATATCGATGCAAATAAATATCAGCTGCTAGCTCTTGTCACCTCGTGACAAGGTTTCCACAACCTGGCGTATGTATCATCATACAGAGATGTGTGTGATTACAAATATATTATAAGATGCAGCTGGTTCATAAGTAAACCAACAAATATTTGTTTTTTTATCCTCGGGGGTGAGATGTCTTTAGGACTCCGAAGGACAAGCAGCACCTGCTTTGTCTAAAAGATAGTAGAATAAATGCAGATACTGTCTCCTTTTAGTTAGCACAACAGTGAAACAACATTTTCAGCTCAGCCATGTAACATTTATGAGCACGGGGATTCATGTTTTTCATGCTACATAAATCATCCTGGTAAACAAGAATGATTAGTGTTTTTGCTCATGCGAAAGAGCCCGGTTCGAATCAAAAGTAAATCTCACAGCTCATTAGACTACGCTGGAGCTAAAACCGGAGCCCAAGGCAGACTGGCAGACTCAGAGGTCTAAACTGCACACCTATACACGCCCAGTTTAATTTGGCCTCCAATCACATTCCTCTCAAATGGCTGAGTTAAAAACCGAGATAATGCAGCGATGGAACAAAGGACCTGCAAATCGAACAGAAACCCTTAGACCACTGATCCTGTCCTTGACTGACTCTGACCAAAGTTGTAATAGGACTTTTTTGTGCAGAGCAAAATTATATTTTGTCATGCTGTATCTGGAGGTGACTGATAAAGATGATTATAATTCAGGTGGTGACATTTCGAGCATTATGAACTCCTGGTCTGGTTCTTATTTTACTTTTAAACAAATCCTTACATGCCTATTTAATCCTGCCTGACATACATGCATCTGTGCAAAAACTGCAGACTGAGTCCTCTGAATATTCCTGCAGGTTTTTTTACATGATGAATTTTTCCATATTGAGCATCATAGGAACATTTAGTCCTATTTCTGATGATGCTCATCCATGGTCATTGTTTTAACTCCTTTGTTTGTATTTTTTTATTATTATTTTTTTAATAGAGTTTGATAAAGATAATGGAGGAGAGGATAGCCTCAAGTTATTAAGAATAAAAGGAGAGGGCGGCTGTAATCCCTGTGTGCACATCAAAGATGGGCCTGAAATCTGGCCTGCTATTAGCTAAATGGCTTGATGCCACCTGTCCAGATGTTTGGCATGTGGACCCCCGCTCTGCCAAATAGGAATCATGAGACCACAGGATGCCTTCCAGGATGCATTATGGGGCCCAACTTGAACAACATCACACATTTTCTACAGCGTTTCATAAATCATTTGTATTTACATTGAGCAGAATGTTTGTTGTTCAGTGTTTTTCAGAGGGTTTTCAAGCCCTCCTTTAAGGTGACTGCATTGGCTCCACAAACCCAGGACTTGATGACACAGGTGCGTCTCTTTTAAAGTCGTATTTTCTCTGAACATAACAGGCACTTCTGATATCCTGCATGGGATACCACAGAGCTCAGCACAGATTAGAGAGAGTTGATGTTGGGCTCTGCATATCCCACATTCGTGACAATCCTAGGCCTGGTGCCTGGACTCTGACTGTCAGTTAAAGAACTTGCTTGTGATAGGGCCTCAAAAATTTGGAAGGCTTCCTGTGGCTACAGCCCTGCCTGTCAATGTGCATTTGATCTGCTCAGAGTTTACCCGCGCTGAAGTTGTTTGTTTAGAGCCAAAGCCGCAGAATAAGTCTGTGCCATTGTATGCTCAGCTCAGCTCTGCTGGAGGTCGAGATAATAGAGCGAAAAAAGTGTAATTATGATTCATCCATTCATTTATCCATCCATTCATTCATTCCTTTTCTTTCTGGTTTGAGATTCACGTTTCTTTTTTTTAGATGTGACTGATTTTGTCTTTGCAATGTTTTTTGTTGGTTAAGGTTTCATGAAAAACAGACAGACAGACAGACAGACGGACAGACAGACGGATAGGTCGTCCTCTTCTCCTCTGATTTTGAATGTGACTAGAAGAGGAACATTTGTACCGTGAAATTATCAAGCATCATGCATTTTTAACACACATTTGCTCCATGCAGATGAATCTGTGCCAAATCAATTTCAGAGGGGGGAGTCCAGACCTGACCTCGTCCCTCACTGTTCAGACTGATGCTGATTTCCATCATCCCATCCTTGTACATTTAGAGTGAGTATGACCGATGTCAACCCACTTTAAATGTTAGAGCCTAATGCTGACAATTCACTCATCTGGTTAATCTAGAAATAGTTTAAAGCATTTCCATCATATCATTTATATCATGTTTACTGTATATTTAGAATCTCAAATATTTGGTTATTTAATCCTGATGCGTGACTCTGATTCCAGGTTACTCACAGTCCTCCACCACACAGCCCGCAGAGACACACAAAGACACACAAAGACACATATAGACACAGACACACACAGACCCCCACCACACACACACGCCATTACCTGAAGGTAGGGAGCAGCTGTGGTGTGTTTTCTCTGAGCTCTTTCCCTCTCACGTGTTGTTTCAGTCAGGCACTAAAAATCATATGACTGACGACAACAAAGTCATAAAGCAAAAAGAAGTGAGACTTCTGCAGCTCATGTGGAGATCTATAATTCACTCTGACAGATGTCAGAAAAGAGCTTTTATGCTCGCCGCGCTGTAACAACAAGCTGCAAAACATACCTCTAAAGAGACACCGAGCCTTAGCATCCTGCTATCTGAAAGTTTGTGCCGTGCATAGTTAGCTCATTTCTTATCATATGACTATTAAGTTTAGGAAGCACCCGTCGATTGTACCTGCTCTGTTTCAGAAACGGCATCAGTATAACAGCTATAGTAAACACAAGAGCAGTACGAAGGTCTAAAACCGCCTACCATGTTGGTGATTTAGATAAAGATCGGGCTGAACTGTGACACAGTTTTTCCTAAAATGGTCTCTATGGGCCAAAGTGAGCCACAGTGTGTGGGCTAAATCCAGCCCATGTTTCAGCTCACCCTCATCTTTGCTCTGAACTGTGAGAAAAGCTCTTTTAATTGTTTTCATTGGTCAGCCTGCCTGGGACCCCTGGGGAGTAGTTTTGCACCTTATTTATCTTACACCCGTTTTTGTGGAAACTTGAACTTAAGCACTTTCAGCCTCTGACTGAAACCCTTGATTTTTGCTTTTCTCCGGGGATTCAAAGTAAGACACAGTTTGTAAATGGTTCTTTTCGCAGGGATTTGGAGTCACGAAATGACATGATAGTTACGCCTTGACAGAAAACATCTACGGCTAGCCATCAGAGACCACTTAGCTCTCCCTGAGCCCCGTTAACAGACAGCAGCTATTTCTACATTGCTTGCTGTTTACAGCTTGGATTTCTAAGCCATCATGGTAGGTGTTTACTGATGTCACAGCCACAGGTTTAAGTAATGCCTGAAACACAAATCCAGCCCCTACTGCCCTTTTGTCTACGACGTAGTCAACAGTCAAACAAGTGATTTTGTCCCGAAAACACAAAAACTTCCAACTGTTTTCTGGTAGCTTTGTCTTTGGGCAAAGAAAACAGCTGTGACATTCCTTCATGACTGAACTGTTATTAGCTGACAGCAGGAATGAGGCGGTAAAAAGTGCAGTAAAATATCCAGGAGACGTCAGAAACACCAGGAGCCGAGTCAAAGAGGCGTGGTTCCATCCCTTCAGGGTGACACAAGACCACTCTACCTCATCTCAGGTTATTGTCTCATCCTGTTGGGATCCTGTTTCCCATACAGCCGACTGACTGACTGACTGACTGACTGACTGACTGACTGACTGACTGACTGACTGTCTGACTGACTGACTGACTGACTGACTGTCTACACCTTATCCCTTATAGAAACACCATCATGCCAGTTTCAAAATATTCAGTCAGTGATCTGCTGGTCGAGTTTCTACAGGTTAGATAAGTGGCACAGATTTAATAAGTGAACTGTTGAACAACAAAGTTTGACAGTGTGTGTGTGTGTATTTATATATGTGTGTGTGTGGCTGGCATTTTGATTTGGGTGAGAATTTTCATTTAGCAAAGAAAATTTTGAAACTTGTTCTTTTTATTTGTATTTATCTGGTTGATTTCGTATTTCAGAAAAGAAATGAAACTGTTTGTTTCATATATAAAAGTATTTTAATAATTCAAATTGTACAAAACACCTTGATGTGTTTTGATACATGAGGAGATATAGGAGAGGCTCATGTCACGGTCTTACCCGCACATGTGCGGACACCGGTTCCGAGTGGTTTAAACAATTACAACACAACAGCAAACCTTTTCTCTGTCCTCAGCGGGTCTTAGTGGAGGTTTTAAAATCAGGTCCTCTGGAGTTTTTCTCTTCAAATGAGAGCTGTCATCTGAAAACTACTACATGTCAAATATCATATTCTGCACCTCGCCTTGTATTTCCACGGAGGACTTTGAAATGTGCGATAATTTCTGCGATCACGGAATCACGGATTTCTGGAGGGTCGACTGTATGTCCTGTTGATGAAGTTAGGTGCTGTTCTGAGCATTATTTGTGGCGTTTTGGTTGAGCGTGTGGCTCTCTGTATTGCTATCCTGCGGTCGTTACTAAAGTTGGTATAACTAGAGAAACAAGCGGTCGACAACATTCATCTCTGGAGGGGGGGTCTGACTCGGTGTTGCGGTGTGTTTGACTCTAAATTAATTTTATGCCGGAATATCCCTTTAAAGTGTAAAAATGAGCAGAAATAGTCTCATCTTACCCGCTCTCCCCTACATGATGCCATCATTGATAGTTTACCTATAAGCCTACAATATTTTGAAGTAAGAGGGGTTAGACAAGACCCCTAGATATTATAATAATCATAAACAGCCAAATGCATGTGAATGATGGTACATCCAACACCCAGAACCCCTTGGCGAAAATATCCCGTAGACTGTCACCGTGGCTTTAACGTGAAGTCACGGCAGATTTTTCATGAGCAACATTTCGCACACGAAAACAGTCAGAGTCATTTTTTATCCAAGAGAAACAGAACAAGACCACACTTCTGCAGAAAGAAAGGAATCCAGCCCGGCCCGGCCTCCATCTCTTGGTCTAATAAAATTCTGTTTACTGTCCTTCAGGTCCACCAAACAGAGGCAAACAGAATGTCACTAACTGATTGGCACAGCAGTCAATACATCAGAATGTGCATTGGGATAGAGAAATCAATGTCAGTGCGTTCCCATGCCTCCTCCATCTCTGCCAGCAAGCCTTCATACAGAGATGGAAAGCCATCAACTGAACCTGCCCAAAGGGGATAGAACACACCCGATATTGATGTTTCAAGTGTTGCCTTGGTCCAAGAAAGGCCCTTGTAAAAGCCATGGTAAAGGATTACCCAAGCATGTATGTCCTCCTTCAGCGCAGCAGAGAACACTGTTTCCACCCTTGGTACCGCTTTGAAGGGTCATTTTTAAACACAGTGAAGGGTGAAACAAACAACCACAGAAGCTAGGAGGGGCTATCCATCACTCCTACTTTGCTCCGCCATGCTGTTTGTTGTTGAACTTGAGATAAAGCCGGATCTTGATCAAATATTGTTAAGGAAGTCAGTAACTTTAAAGCAAATTAACAAAGCTGTTTGTATGTGATATGAGACCAATTCTTGTGCAGAGGTGAAGGCAACATAACAGCCCTCAGAATGACATCAGTCAAAGGGATGTCATCGTACAGCTGTGAAACCATCATCTCTTTAAACAGACATTACTTTACTGTTGTGACGTATGAACACGGTCTCATTCTGTCTTTTTCTACCTGATTATCCAATAACAACACCATCAACTTACCTGACAACCAACACACTGTAATAAGTTCAACTCTCACCGGAGGAAATGAAACTTGGCAAATGTCACAGAGCGTAAACAGGGACTGAAATCGTACAAACAAATCACTTTTGTAACATCAGAGAACAGAGGATCTGTTTTTATTGAGGTTTGAAGGTTTTCACACAAAGCTAAGCACTGATCTGCCAAACTGTCAATGTACTGTAATTAAAGTTGTGCAGCGAGGGTCTGCGCTATGACTGACACGTCCCCCTGGCCTTTTTTTCTCAAGGCCGGTCTGTGCACCACAATGACATTCAGCATTCTTTAGTTTCTGCAGCTCGATGCTCATCTTTAGAATCTGCAGACTTTTACATCTTCATGTACCTGTTTTATACAGTTTAATAACAGTTAATATTCTAATAATGTCGATCAGCAGTTAGTGTCCATTTCTGAATAATAATATGTTGTTATCAAGACAACAGGCCGATCGCCAAACTAAAATGACTGTGAGCAGCTGCGTGATTTACAAATAATACAGCTAATATGGAAATATACTGTACGAGGACATTTTAGGACATCCTTGGGTATCAGAGTCAAGTCTCAGACCTCAGACTAAACAGTCTCAGGTCTCAGACAAAGTAACTTTAGGACTCAGATAGTTATCCTGAGATCTGAGGCTGTTTCATCTGAGGTCTGAGACTTGACTCTGATACCTGAGGATGTCCTAAAATGTGGGCTGTAATACCACCATGATAAACCAGGGTATCATCCACAGCTGTCATCATGAAAACAGTAAAATCCTTTTGTAAAACACAACAAATATATGTATTCAATCGAGGAAAACTGATGTATTAACGCTGTTAGTGTTATCTCTTTTGAATATTTCACATCATGTAGGTCACACAGTAAAATAATAAATAAATTGATGAAACCTTAAAATTTACCATCAATCACTACAATATAAAAAATTCAAGCTGACAAAAACAGACACAAAACTAAAAACCATGTGGTTGTTCTTCTTCAGAGAGGTCATCTTATAGTGATCATGAATCACTAAAATCAAAGACCACAAAGATAAACTTTGATAAAAACACAGAAACTCCTCCTTTTTGTAATCATGCCATCATGAGAGGGAACTAAAGTATTTTGAATTCAGATTTCTCATCAGTTTACAGTCAGTTCCTCATGTTTTTACCTGCTGAACTGCAGGAAGCTGATGAGGGGTCTTTGCAGAAATAACGGCACATTCAGACTGTCTGCGAGTCATTTTTACGGCATTAAAATCCTTATTGAAACAGATTTCCACTCCATATCCTCTTAAAAGGTTAATCTTACAAATGAGGTGAGGACATTCAGATTTGATAATTACAAACCAAATAGCAGATTTCCACCGTGGAAAGCCCCTCGATGACACGACAGAGAACAAAAACAGAGAAGTAAACTTTGGTGGATCTACCTGACCGGCGCTGTGTCATGATTTTACTGCCCTGTGGTTTATTGTGAGACATAAATCACGCCTGTATCATACTGTAGAACATTCACATGTTTGTCTTACCCAGGAGCTCTGACCCCAATACACCAAACAGTCCTTACAGAAAACCAAACCATGGGTATAAACAGATAAATATGAGAAGTTGACCCCACTGAAATCCCCAGTTTAATTAATGCCCGGTCCCCTCTCTGTAATTTCAAGTCTCCTTTATTAGAAATTTTAAAAGTGCTGTCCCCTGGGACGCTCCGAGTCACAGGGAAATTGTGGCACAATATGTTTTTAATTTCCCAGGAGGTCCTCACACAGCAACTATTTAACGACGGAGCAGCTTTGCTGAATGAAACTAAAAGGTATGCTTTTTCTTTGTGTCATTATGAGAGTAGCCCTTACATGAAGTATTCTGCACATTTGCATGATCTCCTCTTGCTTATCTTCGGAGCTGGTAACTCGTGTTTCCTCTGTGGTTTTCTGGGGGCACCAGAACTGCAGTCCGTACAAGATCTTGACATTTGTTTTCATGGGGAGGTCTGTGGTGTTTGACTGTGTGTGTAGCTTCAGTACAGCGTTCACTTTGCTGCACACAGGGAAGTTAAAACCTGGTCAATATGACTTGTTTGTGGGATTGATCCAATCCGATCGCTTGTTTCTAAATTTGATCTTTTCTACCGTGTAATGAGTTCTTCCCTGGCCGGTTCTTTGCCTTGTACAATAAAGTGACCTGGAGTTTTTCTGTTATCCTGCTAACAATTGACTATCAGCACTAAATGCATGACCTCCTTGGTTGGGTATAAGAAATGGTGTAACAAACAGATTTAGAGAGCAGATTCGGCTGTTTTCAATGAGGCATTAATGCCAGTAAATTTCTTTAACTCTGCTGTAACTGTGGTTTTAATCACGCTGTGGATGTGTTTGGATACACTGCAGAGTTTAGGGGGTCACTTTCAGGATCTAAAGGATTAGGGGTTTGTTATAGACTTATTTCTGGACAGGGTTGCTGTTCTGTCTCTAGGTTTAATCAGTGTCCTACAGTTTAAGGTCACATCCATCTGCTGCTCCTTCAGTCAGTGAACCCTGCTGCTTTCAGTCCCTCTAAAACGGTCTCTCACTTGTACTTTCACCATTGTCACAATGGGGGTTCTGTCTGTCTCACTTTGATAGGATCCTTTTTTCTACGACAGGTACTCCGTCCACCTGAGTTCCAGCTCGGATTTCCACCATAACCTTTTGCTTATTGAGCAGTTAACCTCGTATGATTTCTCTTTCTCTACCTTGCAAGGATGTACTTTCTGTTATGATCACTTTGAGGGAATTCAGTTTGTTGATTATACCCATGTAAGCCTAAAGCTAAGTTCAGAAGACGTTTGTAAGGTGTGTGTACTCACTGTCAGCTTAGAGGAGCAACAAATCACTGGTGTATGCAGTGAAAGTGTCCATTAAAAAACCTTTTAAGCTGCAGAAACTGCTGGGAAAGGGTAGAAAATATTTATTTAAGCAGGATGTTGACAGCGCCATGGTGGCTGTTTTTGCTCTTATTCAGCGTTTGTGATCGTGTAACATGCAGGCAGATGTCAACACTCTGCTAAGTTTACACTCTGCTTCCTAAGCATCGCTGCAGCAACGCCACTTCTTTCCCAATGTGCAGTTTGTGAAATTAAATCAAAATTTGTAATCTGGAGATCACTGAAGTCTCGGTCGTAGCTGGTGGATATGGAGTTTTAGTTAGCAGCTTTGATGTTTGAGCTCTAATGAGAACATATCACTACATACCTGTTGGGAAAAAAAAACACACTCAGCAAACCAGTCGGCCTGAGCTGCAGAGAAGCCTTTTGAAGTGCCCTTGCCCACTCCCTCACATTTTAATGTGGAGAGTTACTGTCTTCTAATGTGCTTGTAATATACTGCGTGTTCCTCATGATGACACAAATCAATAGATATACTAATCCTGGTGTATCCAGCGGGGCATTCTCTTATCCTGCTGGATTTTCACACACTTACTTAAAAATCTGTTCAATGGTCTTCGGGGCAAGTTTCTTATTCCTGTCAGAAGCAAGAGGGATTATGTATGATACTTAAAGCTTCTCACAGTTCGAGTTTAACTTTTCTCTACAGGGGGATGAGAGAAACTAAAAAGAAACATTTTACATGAGCTGACATTGTGGGATGAGATAAACAAACCTTAATAACAGGGGTGCACTAATATTGTGCCATCAAACTGGCAGATAAGACGTCTTTAGTCTTCCGTGATCACTGACACGTTTAAATCTTATTGTGTTAAAATCATGTTTTATTTTTGGGTCTGCGCTTCAGCTTCATGACTTGGAAACGTGTCACTTTTTGTTTGTACTCTTGGTATGCTAAACTGTATCGTTAGAAATCCCAGAATTAGGGAGACGACAGTCACCTGCAAAGACCTCATACCAAACAGGACTTTTCCTGATCACTGATACGGAGCCCCTAAAAGGACATGAAGAGAAACAAATAAAAAAAGGATTTTCTCGAGATCTTTTGTGTGCTACTGCAAAACTATTGCAAGATTTCGCAAAGTCGTCACAAGGTTATGAGTAAAAAGATTATAGATCAGTGTATTTCTTCCACGTCGGGGTCAACCCGAACGATGGAACGCTCGCTCTCGTGGCAGAGGACCATCGTATCTTTTATAAAAAGATATTAAATCAGTTCTGTGACGCAGGCACTGTTTTCTTATAAAACACGAGTCATGGAGGACCATTTGAGAGAAATTCCTCAAGGTCAGTTGATGTCCTGAAGACATTATGTGCGTGCAAAGGGACAAGGTGGGCAGAAAATGAGTTCAACATAAAATTCAATGAACCTTTCCCACAGCTGCGTATATTCCAGTATTTTAGTTACACTGACCAATAACCCCTAAGACAACATTTGCAAGATCTCGCAATGGTTTTGCGAGGGCACGTAAAACTATTGCGAGATCTTGCAATAAATCTCAAGAAAATTATAATTTTTTTCATCCATGTCCTTTCTGGGGTTCCGTACATTTCCAAAGAGATAAGTTTGAGTTTGTTTCTAACATAATTCAGAGGGTTCACATTTTGTGGGTTTAGAGAGGATGTATTAAGTCTCTTGATCATTCAAAGGTATGTCTGAGGTACCCACCCCCGTGTAAAGGCGTGCCCTCATAGTTTTAGTGCATTCAGTTTAAGTCCCTTTTCTTAGAGGTTGACTCTGTACTTACTATCATAAACAACCTCTGTTTATTTGATGATCAAAATGGCGAGAAAGAGATCAACAAATCCTTGTTCATGCAAAGTTTTTAGATAAACTGGTTATTATACTCCTAACAGACAGAAATCTATGAATGAGTTTGCTTCAGTGATCCTCTAACCAGAACTTGTTCCACATTAGAGGTGTTCAAAGTTAACACAGCACCTATACTCAGGGTCTCCAAAGAGGATAAAATGAGACACATGACTGATGGTAAATTATTCCGTCCATTCCTTGAACTGTGTGTCAAAGCTTAGATGTATGACTCAACTTACATCTAAGAGGGCTTGATTTCCAACATTGTCACAGAGTAAGGAGTTGGCGTGTAATTGAATTGAAAGCACAGGCAGTGGTGGATCGCACTGGAAATTCCCCAAGCCTGCAGATTTGAAACCAAGTCACGACCCTTGTAGCCATGAGTGCCATCCAAGTCAAATCCCAGTAGCATGCATGTATCTCTCCCTCTGTCACACAGAATTCATACTCCCCCATCAATCGTGGCGGTGGGCGACCCTATCCCTGACAACTTTTCACATCAGTCTGGGGATTAGAGGCATAAGGTTTACGCTGGCCTTGCCAGAATCCTGGATAACATTTTTTGATTCAGCAATTTAAACTAATTTCAAGGCTGGCTCTGCAGCAATTTTCTGGATCAATGGAATGTCATAGCTCACATCGTCACTAGCCCTCTTATCGTGCTACCTAACACAGGGGGATGCTATGCTAATTGCCTGGTTTGGAGAGCAGAGGTTTTTCATTTCTTGCATCTTGGCCTGATGTGCTGCTTCAACAAAACATCACTTTTTTTTATTTTTTAGTCGAACTTGTAATCTGCCAAGCAAAAGCCTTCCAATGCCAAGACAAAATCTCTACATGTGATGATGTGTTGTTTACACAGAGTACTATATTTGCAGTAGACTGGCAAACACTATTTTTGGAGGCTTGCAGTAAATTGTCAAACAGTGTTTATCAAAACTTCAGGAAGACGAAGTTGGAGGAAAACCAAGAAAACAGACAGTAACTGAGAGTTCAAGAGGAATAAGAGAAACAAAACATGAGGAGCCGGTCAGTCAAATGCCGTTTTGATATGGGGGTTGGGGGCGCTCACAGCTGACATATATACCACCACATTTGCATTTTAGCCACCTTCTTTCTTGTGCGTTTTTGGATTGCTCTTTAATAACCATAAAAGTGGAGAGCTGGACTTGTATCTTTGTAATTGTGGTTTGAGCCTTGAACACTGGAGCGAGAAATAAATAAATATCTGCAAATCATTTCCGTTGTGTGGCTTCAGGGTAGAACAGCTGAAGACATTATCTGCTGGACTATTTATTAGAGCCTCAGGTTCCCTTTATTCCTTTGAACATGAATAACTCAAATGGCGCAACCACGTTTTCAACTTATCCATTTTAACAAACACAAAGAAAGGGGAAGAAAACAGACTGACCAACGCTGAGAGAATCTGTGATGTACGAAAAAAGCCTTTCTCTTTCTCTCCTTATTTCTGCAGACATGCAGAAGTTCTAGCAAGACTGGGACATGACCGGAAACCTTTCCGTGGAACAGGTCTGTCTTTCTCTGACAGTGCCTGCTCTATTTTCTAGTTTCCAATGCCAAGGACAGGGCAAAACCGCATAGGGTTAAAAAGCAATTTCCCACATCGTGACAACTGTACAAATATATGGTGGCAAATGTTAGAGGAGAAAAGGGGGAGGTGGTGGATGATAAGGAGGTGAGGGAAACCATGGTTGCAGTGGTGGAGTAGAGAGGTTAATCCTGCTGTTTAATCTGTGGAGGTATGGCGGGGGGCCTTATCTCTGCCGCCTGCTGCCGTTGCGGTCTCCTTCACTATCCAGCATCCCCAACTGTCTGACATCAGTCAGTGCTGGACAGCGGTGGTGGTGCTGAGGAGTAGGTTGGCTGGGTGAAGGGGGAGAGGAAAGGCAACCTACCATTTAGTGCCAATTCAGTCTCAGGGACACACAAACCACCATGTGATGTGGGTCTTTGCGTTCATGACAGAACTGTTGGTGGTTCTGTTCAATATTCTCTCAGACTGGTGGCTGACAACCTCCATTTCACATTTGTTTTGGGGAAAGTGCTATGAGTAAAGGAGAAGGAACTCATTGGCCTGCAATCTGAGAAGACTTTTGGCAAACCGAAACGCTGTCAACAAGCCGTAGGCACTCGGAAAAAAAGGGAAAGCCCCACGTGGGCATAAATTTAAGCAAGCATACCTAATTGAAAAAACTGAAACATGGGGAAATATATTCATCAAATCTCATTGCAACTTAGCTGAAAGCTTTGATTACAAGATGAGCCGTATATGCAGAAGGGTGCTAATATTTTTCTGTCAGCCTGCAGCAAATTGAACTTAAATGTAAAGAGTAAAACAACTTAAATTGAACCACAGATCTCAAAGTCCTTCGATATTGTTTACTTTAGCTGAAAACCATTTAGATTTAAGGTTCCGATGTTATTTAGTGTTGGTAATGTTCCAGTTACAACTGGAGCTGTGATAACTGACTGTTGTATTAACCTGCTGAAAGGAGCAGTGATTACAAAAATGAACCTGATTTAATCAAACTTGACTGTTTTTCATTCAGATGTTTCCTTTGGGTCAAATAATATTGAGATATAACATTAACACACATCTTTGTTTTCTGGGATAGCTGTGATTTAAACTTCCTCATTTCATGGATTCACTCTCCGATGCAGTGATCCCTCCACCCTCTGAATCAACCCGTATGTCTGGGCTCTTTGTTCACGGCGGTGGATGTTTGAGTTCAGAGAGGACCACGTCCCCTCACACACTCTGCAGTAAACCTGACTGTGATCTGTGACTCAGACCTTTGAAAAGTGTTATTAAAGTACAATAATGTTTTCTCCAACACAGAGAGACTGGAAAAAGATTTTAAAAGCATAAATGTTAAACATTAAATTTAGGTATTAAAGTGTAAGTTATTTAGTTTCACGCACAAATATTTAAAGACACACATCTTTGAATTAAATAGCTTATCAATCACTGAAAAAGAAAAATGAAAACTTTTGGCAAGAAAGATTTCTCCCTTCAGACTTTTGCTCTTGATTAGAATAATCTGGCATGCAGAAAATGGACATCCCTGTAGCTCTGATACCGAAATAAACAAACAGACCAACAAAACAAATCTGCATCTGAAGCCCGAGGCTACAAAAACAATTACCAGACAATCCAGTCATACATATACTGCCTCCTATCCTTTTAATGAGTCTGTTAATGATAAGACTGCACTGACTGGCCATGGTCCAGACACTTCATTCATTCATTCATTCATTCATTTGTTCATTCGTTCATCTAATTATTTGGTGAAACAGAAAAGACCTGTTTTCAATAATAATAAAATAAACTGTAGCTGCATGTCCAAAAGTCTGACATCATAGAAAGAGCATTTCCTGTCCGTGTGAACTCATTTTAATAATAACGCCACATTCTGAGCAGAACATGTTTTTGTTTCTTTATGCTAATAATCTATTTTCTATGATCATGAAATAATCTTTCCTTAACATTTCCAGATGTTTGTTCTGCTGTTTAAGTTTCTCCAAAGATTCACATGAAGCATATTTATATTTTGGATTGATTCGGAGGAAACGAAGAACCTGTCACAGGATGTATGATCGCTCACAGTCAAGTGTCCTGCTGACCTCTGTGAAGCTGTAGGATAGATTTTCAGAAGATTTCCACTGATTTGTTTCTTTCCTGAGAGCAACAGAGTAAAATAATGACCAGACAAATTGGAAATTGGACCTCCCCCCAGCTTACCATAAAGAAAGCTAATGACAGGTGTATTAAGTGATCATGGGATTTTAATAGCCACTTATCCCGAGCTGTCAAAGACTGTCTGCAGAAAGCTGCTAAGAGCTGCTAAAGCAGCTGTCTGCGAAATGGGCAGGTTTCTGCTCACAGCCATTTCAGATTCGACTGAATTTGTTCTCTTCATGCTCTTAAGAAATTGAGTCATTTAACTACACTGTGCACCCTTGTTCACCAGGATTCAAGCACACCTTATTTCATACATTCTTTGTCATCTTATGCACCAATTACTTGTGATCTGTGATTATATATTATATGATTTGACTAAAACAATTATTCACTTTGATTGTCTGATTTAGTTTCTAAATGTGCGGTCATGGACCCGGAGCAGTTTCATGTAACACATTCATTCATTTTATTATTGTGTCATGCACAGAAAGTGCCCAAAGACACCAAAGAAAGGACATATAATAGCAACAAGATGACAGACAGATAACAGACATAACAACTTAAGCAGATAAGCACTCCTGATGTTTTTTCCAGGTTTCAGAGACAAAATAAACTAATTTAAAGACATTCAAGTTGAACAACCACTTCATTCTATCATCGTCGGGGCACCAGAACATTTCTCGGTTTTTAACACACATTTCCGTAAATAATGAAGCTCTCGGTTCAGCGTACAAAAGGGCAATATAACAGAAAATAACACAAATACTGAGTGTAGTTGACAACATCACAGCTGCCCTCGCTCACAAAAAAAAAAAACAGAAAATACAATTAAAAATATTTCTATTCTGATTTTAACGTCACTTAAAAATGTGTGTGCTCTTACTGCATTTATGGTAACCAGGAAAATACACCGGGTTTATGATTCACAGATTATGATTTGTGTGTGTGTGTGTGTGTGTGTGTGTGTGTGTGTGTGTGTATGACGACAATGACTTGTATTTTATGATGCTGTTTCTTTTTAAATCCTTGTTATTTGACAGCAGGTTTAACAGTGAAGTGTATTAAAGTAAACCGTGGCAGTAAAATGCACTATTAAAGGTAATTTCGACCTTGCAGGTACCAGCCTTTTACAGTGAGGAGTGACCATTAATATGATGACTCATCTTCATACATACATCTTAGTAACATAAGAATCCAGATTCAAGCTCAACAGCTGATTGTCCTCTTTATAATCACAGCCTGAGAGCAGGATGTCCCTCAACAGTCTGCATGTGAAACAGAAAGAGAGGTTTCTATATTTAAGAGCGAGGCTGCACTTTCAGTCATGGAGAGCAAACTAGTCTTTGTATTTCACAAAACATGCAGATGAACATGTAGATAATTTCCATTACTCAGAAACAAAACGTGGTCGAATTAGAAATATAGATATTTTTGACACGGCCAGCAAGAACGCTGTTTGTTGTAAAAATAATGGGAGTATGACGAGGAGGAGGGTTGTTTACCTTTGAACAGAGAAAAGAGGTATAAACACATTTTTTCTCTCTGTTTTCTTTGGCAAAGAATATTTCTCACCAGGATTCTCACGGGGGACTTTAAAACACATACAACTCCCACATAGCTTCGATTTAAGATCTGTGCTTCAGCTAGTAACATCACAGTCGAACACTTTGCAGCCTGCTGCCCTGATGCTTCATCTTCCGTTCCCACTGCTGTTAGGTAGCAGTGATTACCCTCGAGGCATCAGTCCTCTTTGACATCGTGGCAGGAACCCTCTTTCGCAATATTAAGTATTGGATCTTTTTGACGTAATGGTGGTTGGATAACAGTGACTACCTGACACTCTGATCGTGTTTGGCTGACATTCAGTGTTAAAAATACGATTCCAACATTTCAGCCTGCATACTTTTATTCTTAGCACCACTTTACTCTTTTTCTTTTACTATCTGCACACATTTCGTCAGGCCAAATTTGCTGGTAATTCATTGATTTCTATGACCACAGTTTAGTTTCTGTGGGAGAGGCTGCAGTCATCTTGGTCAGGAGATTTGAACCGTCAGATTGTTGACCACACTCACGTACCTTTCGAGATCATTGCGATCACACTGGGTCAACCTTTTATTCTCCCATAAAAAAAATGTTTGGAGCCAATGCAGATTTGATTTAAAATAAAGCGGACTGAAGCGTGTACTTGTTCTCCACACTGGCACACTTTCACTCTCCTCCACCTGACTACCCCAAAGCAGCTCTGCTGTGGTGCTCTCGCCACCTCAGAGCAAAAGCCCATTTTGAAAACAGGAGATGATTGGTTTATTCCCTCCAGGATAGGATTCAAAACCACAGAGCTGTACCCATCTGAAGGCATGAAGGACCATGAGCCATCTGGTGGTCCAGGAGACATACTTAAATGTCATGTTGGATCATATCACACATGCTGGGAATAAGGCCGGCAAGGGGTAGAGGACCTCAGAAGCTACAAGGACAAAGAAGAGTGTAGCTGGGCGAGCACCTGCTGCCTTTCAAGAGGAGATAGTCTAATGCCTTTATAGGGGGTTTGTTTTTGGTGAATGAATGAGGATCTTAACATCTTAATGACGGTGATTATCCTACACACTCGAAGGACCACCTGTGACCAGCTGCTAGAGCATCAATGCCTTCAAGATCACATAATAACTACTTTGTGAGAACAGATGAAGCAGTGAAAGAGCATCACTTCATAATAACTGAGAAGGCTTCAAGTGTTTATCTATCGTTTCTATTAAAACAGCAGTAACACTTTATAACAACTATCCATTATAACTAGTTAATAGATCATTTGTAAACTGTTAATTAATGAGTTATTAATGACTTGTTAAGAGTTTGTTAAGGATTTATAATGATGCTTCTAGATAGTTAATATATCATATCATATATATCATACAAACTGTTAGTAAATGAGTTACAAATGACTTGTAAACTGTATGTTAATGATTCATTACTATACCTTATCAATTAGTAATAGATCATGAACAAGCTATTAGTAAATTACTTACTTGGGTAATTTGGTCATAATAATTGCAACTATTCCTCATTTACTAACTGTTAGTAAATGAGGAATAGTTACAACTTTAGAGTACCATCCAAGTGATATATAAACTACTGAACAAGTCGTTCGTAAGTAATTTACTAATGGCTTCTTCATGATCTATGACTAATTTACAAGGTATAGTCATAAATCATTAACGTATAGTTAACTAGTCATTTATAACTCATTAACTAACAGTTTATATGATAAATTAACTATCTATAAGGCATCATTATAAGTCCTTAAACTGTTAACAAACACTTAACAAGTCATAAATAACTAATTATTTACAGTTAACTCATGATCAGTTAACTAGTTATAATGGATAGTTATTATAAAGTGTCACCAAAACAGCTGCCAGAGATCATGAAATTGACTTTAATCCTGTATTCTACAATTTCAGGTCTAACATAGACATGCAAACATTTAATGAGAGCATTGGCTTCCATGCATTCCTTTGCAGTTGTATTTGAATGGCGCCATGCCTTGTACCAAGCGTAAATCTAGTCAATATTAATTCAATGGAAACAGCTGCAGTCCTCTCATAAGTTATTTATCGAGCTCATTTGTTTAGCCTGATATATCACAATCAGGGGAGTGCCCCAGACTCACAGAACCTGCAGAGGTGATAGTGAATGAACAACTTTAGAGCTGTCAAACTTATAGCACAGAGGAAAAGTGTCAGTGCTTTGTATTTGTGGTAGCAGTCAGTGACAGTACTCCTCTGTAACTGGTCCACACCAAGCATGACAGCTTACTGCTGCAATCTGAACAACAACCCCTCTGCAGCTTCGGCTTTGCATGAAACATCATCTGCATTCAGAGTCGTGCTCGAATCAAAAGTAAACTGAAGATCTGTGGACTTCATCACTGATGTGTTACAAAGGGAGATAAAGCTGGAGACTTATTACTCAGATACCATTATGTATCTTCTGAGATCAGCATCATTAGTTTTGGCTTTCATATCACAACTTTATTCTCCTGAACTCCTGCTATTTAACTACCTGAACCTCCAAACACATTTCTCATTCCTCACATATCACAGGAAATGATTTCCTTCCATTAATCTCCCCGGCAACAGTCAAGAAGTTCAGTCAGTTTTGGGCAAACTTTTCCCAAAGGTTAATGAGCCATGTGAATCTGTCAAGGTTTTCATTTATCTTTTAATCATATACATGTTTCATTTGATACTTTTACAACACTCGAAGTCCAGGGATAAACCCACTAGTTGCTGATGCACCAAAGCAGCGCTGGGAATATGTTTGCAGCCATTATGTGTTTGCATATTAGCAGTACGCCTGACTCTGAGACTGGACCTCTCCTACCTGTCCACATTTAGACCACCTCACCTGCCCTTCTCCTCTATCTCACCATTGACTGATTACCTCCCTGCACATTTATCACCGTCCCTTGTTGGGATGTCTTCATATTTAGTGGCTCTTTAGCTGTCTTTATTCTGAACGAAGTATCTGACCTGGCCTGAGCTCTTGGGCGTTTACTTAGCCTGACCACAGAAACTTTGTTTTCTTTGTTTCCAGTATCTCTGAACTCTGTGGATGAAGACTTTGTGAATCTGACAGCTGTGTGGGTTTTTTTGTGCCTTCAAGTTGCACCATAATCTTGTGTGTATCATGTAAATCAGTGTGAATGATTTCATACCAAGTAGAATTCTACCGAACTTATGAATTAAATATTTGTTTCTATCAGATGTTTGGTTTATTGGCAGTGTTTGTAATAAATGATGCGATTCATACCAAAGTGGCAGGTTTGATTGTTGTGCGGGACCACACAGTAGATTCTTAAGAGGAGGCGCTGTGTTGTGGCATGGTCACAGTGAAATCACAGTTGAAAATTATAGGAATGTCTTTTGTCTTCTCCAAAGTCGTAGGCATTGACTGACAGAACTATTTTGGTCCAAGAAAACACAATTCCATGAGGTGGACAAGTAATTAAGGCAATTACTTTATCAACACAGAATCAAAGCAGTGTGTACTCCAGACTGTCCTTGAGATGACAAGGGCTGCTCACATTGAAAATATTGCGTTGCGGTTTTTGAGCTGTTGGTGTCCTGCCATTAACAATGAAACAGCAGAAACAGTCATTATTATGGATGTGTCAACCAACAGAAAGAAGACTGAAAATAACTCCTGCCCAGCTCGGACCGTCTCTGGAGACCTTTGGTTTTTAGACTTCTTTGGCTCCAGCCAGACTAAAAGCTTTGGACTTGATTACTATCTAGCTAGATGAGCATTGTTGTGAGATGTCATAGTAAAACTGCATCCAACAGCTGCATGGTCACAACTATTTCCAGTGGAAGAAGCATGGGTAACCCTTTCTTTTAAGGTACACTTATTACCAGGTAATTACCTAGTAACAACATTAAAATTATCTGGTAATTACATGATAACTACTAAGTCAATACTGTCTAGCTAACAGGTCGGTAACCTTCCATCATCATACAAATCTGAAGCTGAATTGCTCTGGTATTTCCAGGATTTTCTCCGCTTCCTGGAACCACCTCTTGCGCAGTAGTGTTGTACACATTCGGTGGGTGAGTCGCTGTGATAATGCTCGGGTCAAACAGCGTATCTCTACGCACTCTTCGCACGCCCATAGGCTGTATCAAGTGTCAATCATAGAAAATAAGAACCCCAAATAGCTTTTGAAAAAAGAAAAACTAGACAGTATTGACTTAGTAGTTATCATGTAATTACCGATAATTTCATGTTGTTACCTGTTAATTACCTGGTAATTACCTGGTAATAAGTGTACCGTAAAAGAAAGGGTTACCGAAGCAGGACGCAAATGAAGAAGAAAATGATCTCTTCAAATATTCAAACATCTCTTTTTTTATTCAGTTATTTCGTGATACATGCAGCTTAAATGTTATGACAGGACAGATGACATTGAAAGTAAAACTTGACATTATAATGAATAACACATCACGTAAGGTTTGCGGCATTTGCATAGGGCCTTCTGGATAATGGGAGATTTCCAGTGTCTTTTAACAGTAATGGATCCTCACTGTGTACCTGTTCTTGTTCTGAGCACATACGTCTGTCCATTAAAATGCACTATAAGACATTATTTTTACGGTTTAGTCTTTTGTGCTGTTTCACCGCTCTGTCGGTAATTTCATGTTTTATTGTTATTCCAGTATGAGTCCTTGAGTCGTATGTATTTCAGTCAGGGCTGTAACATTTTACGTTTATCCATGACAGGTCCATGACAAAACCTGTACGTTGACTCCATACCTATTGCAAGTCATTATGAAAATACTCAGTTATCTATCTTTGTTTTCATGTAAAGAGCATTAAGTCTCAAACTGTCATACTGATGTGTTCATGCATACTGCAGATCTGCAGTCAATGCATTTGTTTTGGTATCATCTGGTACCACAGCAGACCGAAGCGGCTCATGGATGACTTTCAGGAGCTTTTTTTTAAAAGAGTATCCCACTAATGAAAACTTGAACAACTCTGACCCTTTCATTTTCTTCAGGTTGGGCCGACTATGCAAGAGCAGCCGTATGTGATCATGCCTCTGAGCAGCCTAGATTAAGCAAAGGGCCTGAAATGTCTCACCTAGAAAGAGCGATTCTCGGACACCAGGGACTCACGGCAACGTATGAGAACCCGCACTAAATGTCATCTAACAATGCTAAAGGGGAAAAAAAAAAAAAGAGCATGAACACACAAACTTATTAAAGACATGCCATGATCTCCAAGGTCTTAAAATATATATCACCAAGCAGCTGCAGAGGAAAGTGAGCTGGGGAGAAAGCCAGTGGAGTGGTGATGAAAATAATTCCCCTGATGTTGCTGATGTTTTCTTTTTTTCTGTGAAAAATGAAAGTGCGCGGGGAGTACTTGTCTGCACTACACGTATCACTAATGAACGGTGTGGGGATTTGTTTCCATTAGGTATTTAAACCACATCTGAATTCATCATACGTTATACCATTAGTCCTCGAGCTGAGAGAAAGACTGTTTTGACCTTGACTGAAAAAAATGAATGAATATAGATTATCCTGCTCTGGTAAAAATATCTAAAGATCCCATTGGATGATCAATCAGTGATTAAACAGACCAAAGCGGAAAGGATTAATTGCGCTCCAATGGCGTCGTCCGTTGGCTGATATAGACTCATATTCACCTATCTTTATCAACAGGGGCTGAAGCCTGCACAGAGGCCCCTTTGTCCTTTGACATACCACTCATGAGAAACTCTTATGACCACTTAATACACAAAAGGATCTTCAATAACTTCAGACTTTAAAGCTTCAGTTTACTCTACTACCAGCAGGAACTCAAGGGCAACAAAACTGCCTGTCCTCTACTCTGACGGGTAAAATGATCAGCATGTGTGATTGCCGCAAGGTGCCACTCTTTGACTGCAAACTTGGCTTTTAATATTCAAAGTTTCAAACGTATCCAGTTAGATGCACTTCTTTGCATCTTTCTGGCTTTATTTTGTACTGGAGTGGTAGAAGAGGAGAAGGATACGGGTAGTGAGAGGAGAAAGGAGGTACATGAGACAAATTGGGGGGAGGGTGAACAGATGAACTGATGGCCTTTAGCTGTGTTTTACAGCACTACAGCCTGGCCAGGATTGTTCTCTGCTTCCCAGAAGACACCAGTCAGCTGCTGGAGGCTAATGTTAATTAGAGCCTGTCAGCAGAGCAGCATTTAAAAAAGGGTCAGAGAAAAAGGTCAATGTGCTATATTTTAATTATTTTACATGTTTAAACCAGAAGCCTGCGTGTGAGGGAACTGAAAAGCATCCCCCTCATGCGCAGGCGAGAAAAGAACATATTCATGCATACTGACTGTGAAGCTGACTGTGAACATCACCATACATGAAGTCAATACTTTTATTTTTGTGTGTGCTTTTATTTTGAAACCCCTACTAATTACTCTCTCTTTGAGGTCTACTTCTGGAGGGCATGTTTTCATGGAAAGCACACATGAGAAGGCAGCACCGGGACTCCAGCAGCAGTCAATTACCTTGTTAGGGTGAGTTAGGGATGAAGGAAGAGTGAAGGGAGAGAGGGCGGTGAAATTATTGTGAGAGGTGTGGCTGTAGTTCTTCAGTCAGTGTTCGTCAACAGTCATAAAATGTAATAATGTGGACTTGTTATCACATGTTCTCAAACTGCAGCAGACGCCCCTTCGTGGCTTTACTCAGTACATTAACATGATGTTAAAATCAATTAATTGCAGCTGAGAGCAGGCTGCACAGTTGTCTACTAGCTCACAGACAAACCCAGATTAAACACCAGACCTCAGTGAGAGAGTTTAATATCAGAGAAAGGATCTGTCACCCAGGCGTGTCTTAAAATGATTCATAAACATCAATCTGTTATCTATGTGATTGTTATCTATGTATGGATATCTCTATAATTTACCTTTATTTTGGTAAAGCTTTGTCTGAACCGTCTTTATATTAAAGGTACATCTTTTTTCAAACATCAGAGGCATGCTCAGAGGCAGGAGTTTCTCTTTGTTTGTCTGCTGAGAGTTTCCAGCCTCATAGGTCGTTATCCCTCAGTGCATCAGATGACACGTGTCGGTCCAGCGTTGACCTTCTAATTCTGTCTCCAGCCCGCTCCAGTGTTCCCTCGCTGACATTGTTGGACACAAATCTCCCAGGGCCAAACTGTGCTATGTCTCTTTACCATTTCCACCCCGTCAAACAGCAAACATCCTCAAATCAGATTGCTTGACTCAACCACCTACACCCCCCAGGCTTAATAGTTTGCCCACCCCCCTTCACCCACAGGTTGTGAGACAGGAAGAAATGTGTGTCTACCCTCCTTGACATCCATCACGCCGGCTTCCTATTTTAAACAATGTAGCAGAGATAATACAGCATTAGAGTCCTCACCTTCATCATGCTGACATTTGTCACGCCTTAGCAGAGCTACTGTTTGATCCACAACATGTTTCAACATCACATCTTTAATCTGTGTAAACAAGTCAAAGGCCAGCAGGTCTTATAGGAGGCAGAGGAGGGAGGGACATTATTCAGACCCGGGCACGTTGCACACCAGGTGAACCCTTGCAGAGATTAGAGTGTATAGTCATGTCATGAGAAAGCAAGACAGTCACATCCTCTGTGTGTGTGTGTGTCTGCCTGTGCGTGCATCGAGGTGTGTGTGTGTGTGTGTACCTGTGGACATAAATGTAGCTCTAGCAGGTGTTTTCTCTGTGACATTCAATTGGAGAGTCCTTGTTCAGATTCCTGTGTGTGTTTCCAACCTCAGGCTGTGTATCATGGAGCAGAGTGTGAATTTTGAAATTGACATTTTCAATCTGCAGAGCTTTTCCCCCTGATGTTATCTGTGGCACTGTCAAGGACTGACAGGAGGGGGGAACATTCTCGGGAAAATAATAAAAAAAAAACATTTTTTTATTTTTTTAAAAAGAACATTATTTTTCTTTCCTGTAATAGATAATTTAAAACCTCTCTGGAGAAAAAAAGCAGGTTATTGCTTGTTGGAAGTAGAAAGTTTCAAAAAACATCAGGCTAAGTGCACCAAACACATGTCACATCAAATTCAAGTGACACACCCAAAAGGGAGATCAGACTGATGGACCCAAAAATGCCTGAATCGCACGAGGGCACGAGTACAAAACCCGACAGACAGCAGCGTTCAGTCCAAATTGGTAGACTGAGTGACAACGGTCCCAGAATGCAAACAGTCCAAAAAGGACAGACACTGTCATACCGTCTCTGATCATGTGACACTTTTGTTTTCCATGAATTTTTATTTTATTGTTTTATTGCCAATAATGTCTCATTAGGACATGTAGGTTTGATTCTTGTCTCGGCTCTTTCCCCTAAGTCTTCTCCTGTTTATTAATCTTTCTTTGTTTTCCTGCATGTTAAAACACTTTGTAAACTATTGTTTTTAATTGCAATATTGATAAAATTATTATTAGTAGTATTATTATTATAATACCTGCTGTAGTTTTCCATTCAGTCAGTTCTGATGAGTCTGTTTTAGTAATCTTCCTGTTTACTCAACAACTGTATCAAAAACATCTTTTCTGATAGGACTGAAGGTTTGGATTAAAAATAATAATAAATGTGAAATTTCTGTGACTTCTCTAATAATAATGACAGAAAATAAGTGGAAACTGCACAAGATTCTAAATGAATTGAATTGATTTATTTTTCAGAGTTCTCTCTAGTCTCTATCAATCGATAAAGTCTCTGTTATCTCTGAGAGGAAACATTCATCTGGTATTTTTAAGAATCGGTGTAAAATTTGTCCTTTCAAAGCTTAATGCAACACAACCTGGAGCACATTCAGATCACTCCTGAGCATGGCAGTTTATGCTTTGTTAGTAAAGGTCAGACTGGCACACTGGCGATATGCCTTTTAACCGTCTCAGTGGCAATCTGTTTATAATTATCTCATTATGTTGATGACCAAATCAAGTGCACCCCTGGGCCTCATGTACTCCTCTTACATACTGCTTATGCCAAGTCACGGCCTACCGCTGCAGTCATGTCAGACCTGATGGGAGCTGGAGGACTTCTAATACTACATGTATATGCCAGCCAAACCATGACATGCTATTAATTAAGCCAAAGCCCACTTGACAGGCTGCCTGATCTCCTTATTAGGATACGGGTGAGGATGCAGACTGACTCACCTCCTCCCAATACAATATCAGGCAACACCTGTGAGCAGCCAAGCTCTGGAAATGATTACACAATGACTGACTAGTTTCCACAGTGTGAGATCTGAATATTCGGGAGGTTCATCGGATTGAAATTTGTATTTTTGTCAAATCAACTGACCATAAATCTGCTCAAGTCTGGATCTTGTCTTCAAAAACTACTCACAATGCTTAGGCGACCTGGCCATTCTTATCCAGAGCAGATTTATAGGACCCTCCCTTGTATTCTTAACATAGCGTCTTGTGGCATTTTGTTCAACATGTTTGCAGATATCCCCACCACAGAGGAAGAAGCGACCAACCTTTTCGCCTTTATGCATTCTCCGAGGACATCTGTATAAAAGCTGCTCTTTAGGATTAAAAGCAACACTTTTCAAAAGTGCTTACCTTCCAGAAACATGTGGAGTTGTTGATTTATACCGCAAAGATTAAGTGTAGCTTTAAGAGAAAACTCAAATCAAAATCTTAACAAAAGCTTTCAAGCAATATTGAATTTTCAGCCTTCATTTTTCCCTGGTTAACGCGGCGCTTTGTTTGTGAAGAACCGTGCCTGAGTGTATGCTCTCATGCAGAACATGTAAGTGGCCTCCCAAGTTCTTATTGATTAGGGAGTAGCACGCAGACACTTACATTTACAATGTTTTCAAAGAAATCAAAAGCAGTCAAACCTCCACACTCAGCCCACTGAGATCTGTGCTTTTCAGCAGCTCTGAATGATGGCCTGCTTGAGTGGCTGATGACATTTCACCAAAACAAACACAAAGTGCCTCCGACAAACAGATTTCAACATTTGGAGGTAAAAAACCAGCAACACAACTTCTATAGATGAAAAATTCTATAAAAACTCGGGGTCTTCAGTGTAGCTACAGTTTGAATCTGTTTTTGAAAAGACTGCTGAGAAGTCAGATAGTCCTGACCATCATTAACCTCCAGCTGACCGCAATTCAGCATCACAATCCCCAAGATCATGAGGATTAAAACCACATTTAAATAATCAGGGTCTGCAGTGAACGAGCCCCATACATATAAAACCAGAGCTGACATGAATTCTTTTAAGTTTAATGAGACTGTGCTGCAACAATGAGTTCTCACTGTAGAACGAAGCAGGGGGGCAGAATTAGAGCAGGAAATAACATGTTGATTGGTCCGTTTGATCCACGCAATTATGTTTTTATAGCCATCCAAACATTAAATGACATTCCCACTCCGATGCTTAAGGAGCTTAGAGGAGCATAAAAACGCTCTCTGTCGAGTAGCTCTGTTTAGTGGACCGTCACAGAAAAACACAACCAAAAAAAGGACGTTTCCACATCTGTTCAACAGTTTGTCGATCTTTAGATGAGATCGTATCACAAAACCGCTGCTGTCAATCAGATCATAAGCAGTACATGAATGTAGACCACTAGCCAACAGTCTAACAGTGCTTGCAGTCTGTCACTGGTTGAGTCTTTATTGCGTTGGCCCAAAGTTCAATGCTGCCTCCCTGCTCCCCCTCTCTCCTGTATTTGTCAGGTCTGCACGATCAATCCATTTTCAATCGTAATCGGATTATTTGATTATGATGATGATAAAAAAATTAAAATCGTCAAATCATTTTCCCTCTCTATCATGTCTCGTGCCTCCAGGCCACCGTAGTTCCCACACACACTAGTGTAAACAAACATGGCGTTTGCAGAAGAAGGCGACAAGTTCATGGCAAAATGGGACGAGAGCAAGTCAGTCGTGTGGAATTGGAACGGCTTCGCAGTTTCAGACGAAAAGTCTGTCTGATGACGGTATAAACCCGTCTGCACCTCCCCGTCCTGAAACTAATTCAGGAGTGAACTTTTTTTGTCGTATCGGCGTTTCATCCACACGGAAACGGCATTTTGGGTCAAAATGGGTCAGAGAGTGCATAAATCAGCAACGATCAACGATTAAAACGGTTATGTGACACACAGCGTAACTCTTTTATGGCGGCAAAAACCACCTTTATACTCGTGCTGTACTCTTCTTCTTTCTTTTGTGCATTTCTTGTGCAGAGTTACAGCGCCACTTACTGGCTTGGCATATGTACTACATAATTTTTCGTTTTGAGAGATGATAGAAAAACGTTTTATTTTTAAAGTGAAGTTTGGTGAAGTCGTCACTGAATAAAAAAATCTAAATCTAAAAATCAAGATTTTATTTTTGGCCAAAATCGGGCAGCCCTCGTATTTGTCATCTACCTTCATCTGTCTCCACTGGGTGATCTGTAACTGTTAATCAATGTTTATCTGTATTGAAAACTGATCGTGTACAAAAAAAAGGTCCGTACAGGTTTGGTGCACATGGACCTCTGGTGGCAAGGGTTAAGGTTTTTTTTTTTAAGTGAAGGATTTCAGCATGAAAAGAAATAAGTTAGAAAGGCTTTGGAGGCTTTCTACTGTGAACAGAAAGAGTATCAAACAGTCTGAGGTTCCTTTATAAAACAGAAATGTATATGAAGGAGATATTCAAAGTCTTTTCTTTGGTTTTAAGGATAAAAAGATCAAAACTTCAACAAGGCATCATAACGAATGACCTTTTCCCTGGCCTCTGATCAACACATATTTCCCTCCAGTGAAACGAAGACGTACAAGATTTCTAAGCACAGACTATAAACTAACCAACTGCAGAAGGCAGAGTGTGATTTCTGCCTTCATCAGCCCTCCAGCTTTCCTTGCAGTGAATTTCATTTAACTCCTGCTGTTGGTATTTTGGATCAGCATGATGTGCAGCATTAAATGCCATTTAAATGTAATGGGCTCTGCTCCTAATCTACATGACACAATGAGAGGAGAGCGCTGTAGGGCTAAGCCGCGTCTTTAAGCTCAAACTTATTAACTGTTATTTGCTTTAATAAGAATATGTTGTAGGTCCATGTCCCTGGAATTCATTATCAGTGAGAGAATTACTCTCCCAGCACAAGAACCTGACAGATACATCTGACTCATCCAAGTATCAGAAAATGTAATCTGCAAACCTGAAACTCTCCTCAGACTGTTGCAGCAGTCCTAATTATGTACACTGATCACATATCATTAAAAAGAGGATAGTCCATCTCTCATGTGATCAATGAGGCGCAGGGTTTAATGAAGGACATTTCTCTCTGAAGGTTTGACACTGAAATGTCCACTTTGATACATGTATGTATTTATGTGTGTGTGTCTGAGTGTGTGTGTGTGTCTGGGTGATAATGTGCGGTTGGTCTCCTTTTCTTTCTTCCGCTCTGCCCCCCCCTCCTTTACCCTTTTTCACTCATAATTAATGTCTTTGCTACTATTCGAGGTTAAAACCAGCGTTGCCTTTGGCTCTAATGGCCAAGTGAGTGACAGGTCAGTGACAGGAAACAAATGTGAGCCTTCATCACACTGGGCATCTAAATAAACACTCAGCAACCCCAGGGCCATGCTCTGAATTGCAAATTCGTTTGTGATGCGGAGAGAAGGAAAGTACTCCGAGGGTGGAAATCATGGGTGTCACAGAGTCTGCCCCCACTCCCCTCTACAAAGTCATCAATTCAGCATGTTTTTCACTTCTCCTGCTTGCTCCCAGACAGAATAGACAGTATCTGTTTTAAACAACATTGATCAGGCTCTGAGCTGCTGGGACTGTGATATCAGAGGGAAAATGATCAGCTGGACCTGGAAGAATGGCTCACCGCTGGGAAGCTTTGATTGTCTTCCCTGAGGGAGGATACTGCCTCAGATCTACTCTGTTGTCTCTGTTGAGAAACTCGTCCACAATGCAGCTGAGATGACAGCAGGTAAGTGTGAGTGTGTGTCTGTGTAATTTTTAGAAACATAACGTAACAAAAGGCTAACACAGGAGAGGTGGGATGTTTGGACTGCTGCATGTGTGGGATGTATACTACTTCTATATTTTCTCTTGTAGGTGGAGTGAAGAGCAGCTTTGTGTCTCATTTTTCCAGCGCTGGGGCGTTGAAGGTAAACATTATTGTTAAAAAGCAGTAAAAGTGCAGAGACCGAGGTGTGAGAGGGGGAAGAGACGACTGACAGCATGTGCATTAATCTCGTTAATTAAATTTTAAATTGAAGCCTGAAATATTACTGAGCAATTACTCACAACATTTATTTGTCTCCATGATGACTGATAACTGTGAGGACACCAACATGCCAGGAGAGAAGTACAGCGATGATACTTCACAGCTGGTAAGAAGGACTTTTAAAGGCTGGTGCCATGAAGACAAACTCAAGGGAGGAAGTTGGTTTTCTCTGTTTGGCCGTTATTCTATTATTCTGTTTGTTTTTTGTCTGTCCATTTGTTTCTCATCTTATTTCATCTATTAACCATGCCAGAGTAGATAAACATTATTTTGACTTTCTGTCATGCAGAGCGTTGGCCTTCCTAAAATTAAAAGCCCACCCTTCTCCTTTCTGACTTGTGATAGTCAAACTTACTCAAAGGTTTGTTTGTGAAACTGATGTGTCCTTCGCCTAAAGTTAACCCTTTTATTGTGGTGACAGGATACTTCATCAAGGCTTCTTTAAGGCTTCTTTAAGGCTTCTTTAACCCTCATACAATCGCAGTCACAGTATCTTAATATCAGATGTGTGGAGCTGAAGGCCTGTGCTGCTGCAGCCGCGGTGGTTTATACATTTTAAATAAGCTGCAAATGACCACTGCCTCCTCAACATCCCATTAACAGGATAGTAGCGGTCCATCTTGGGGCTAACAGTAAGAAGTCCAGAATCTGCTTTGAACTGATCTCTGCTCCCAGACTTTAACACTTTCTCAGGGGCTCTAAAAGATTGCATAAAAAATGCAAATGCTTATTAAGCTTTTGGCTCTCGAGATCACTTGATTGAACAAACTGGATTTATTATAATTGGCCCATTTTTTGTAGTCACTTTTCAAGACTAAAGGAAACAATCTCAGTTTAGACTAAGGACACAAATAAACCTCATCCAAATAGTTTGTTTATTTTAACCTGTTAAAGCTCATGTGTTAGCAGTGAGTCCACTGTTTTTAGTAAGGAGTAATCCAGCGCGTTGCTCTTTCCAAACCAGTAATTAGATTTAGGTTACATGTCCAAGACACTGTGTCTTACTTTTTTATCTTTTTTCTTATAAAAACAAAGATAGATTTGTTTTCGTCTGAGGGGAGTGAAGTCAGTCATGTAGGCGACAGGTCACGTTTTCAGCTCGAGGAAGACTCACTTGGGTAAAACATGTTCACACACATAAAGCAGCTGCTGCAAAACAAACATAAACAACAATGGAGGGAGGAGAGAGACACGTGTTCTCAAGCTAGAAATACAGACACTATTTTAAAGACTGTCTTTCTTTTATGTTTTATAAAACATTTTTTTTTGGTCAAGAAAGACTATCTCTATATTTTAAAAAATATATATTTTTTGACGTTCCTGTTAAAATGACACTTCCACTAAAGTGAGTTTTGGAAAGAAAATGTTTGTCATTTATATGTTGATGCTGCTGAATGTAACTTAAAAAGTAACTTGTTGTCTCACTTAGTTACTTCTAAAATCATGTCATCAGTAAAGTAACTAAGTTACTTTTTAAAGGAGTAATCTGTAATCAGTAATCAAATTACTTTTTTAAAAGTTACTGTTTGTTGATGCCCCTGTCTGGCTCCATGCGGCCCTTAATGATGCTTTTGAGGTGGTGAGGCAGTACCCTTGTGTTTCTACACCAGAGCATTCAGAGTCCTTGTGTGTAGTTGTAGTACAGTAAGACTAAATGGATTAACAAACTGTTGACACTGTTTTATTAACCAGGCTATGTGTGGTTTTCAACCCTGCCAGGAAATGTAGTGGTGTCGTGTCAACATGTTCTTTACAGCAAAAAAGATGAATGTCTGGACACCAATACTCATCAGTGGTTAATTAAAGTGTCTTTAATGAGATATTTAGATCAAGTAGACCTTGAATCAAACCGACATTTATTAGGGAGTTTCTCTGTCTTTGACCTTGTGGTTAAAAATTAGTTTTTTTTAACATTTTTCTGACAATAAAGACTTTTTAACCCGTCAGAGAAGAGCCGTTTCTTATCATGTCAAAAAGCATCAAAAGGACTCATTTGGTTCATTTTTTAAAACATCTTTATAAAGTGTATGAATATGTAGAACAGTTTGATGGATTTGTGCCACAAGACAATAAAGTCATTCATATTCCACACAGGATTCATATTAACCTGACTCTCGCTATGGAAATGAGTCCAAATGTGATCAAACAATAACTCAAAGCTCACCGTAGAGGAATGTCCGTGTGCGGTGAGATTTATGTTGTTGTTGTTTTGTCCACAAAAACAGTTAAAATGTCCCGATACATTTGCTTACTTACAGATTTGGCTGACAAAAGTGAGTTTTCAAGGCAATCAAGGATTTGTGTGATTCCTCCCATTTTCCTCTATCCCAGGCACTATCATATCAGTAAATCAGCCTATTTTCATTCTACACAAGCTGCCCCATTCTAGAGTAATGGCAAAGGATCCCTTGTGGTGCGGCGTGTTTTTCCATCTCACTGCCAATTGTACAGGACATCTCTCACATTCTGTCTCTTTTTTGACAATGTCCCTTTCGGGGTTGCCGAAGGATTACACCGTATATTGGGTGGATCTTCAAGCTCACATCTGACTGAAATACTAATTAAAACATTTGTCAATATAACAAACTGAAACCTGGGGGGCATAAATCACTGCTAACTCTTGGCAAGTGAGGATTATAGGTTTTGACCAACCCTAACACCGACAAAGCAAATGCAGCTACCTGGAAATGATGTACAATGTAGGATTCAGTATTCTAAAGGGTATGTGAAGTATTCTCATGCAGCTGCTGGCATGGTGCAGAGAACCAAACGGAATGCAAAGATAATCAAACATCCGCTCCCCCTCGCTCTAATCTTCGTGACTTTCTGTACCAGGGCTGATAAAGTCCATTAGGAGGAGGTTAATATATATAAAGACATGACACATCTGGTCTCTGAAGTCCAGACTCCGGGTTTCAACCCCACACATCATCAGTCAGTATCAGGCAGGAATAATACAGGACAAAAGGGAAGATTCCCGTATCACAATGCACAGCAAACAAGCTCAGTACAAGAGCTGTTTGTGAGGGGAGCAGTGCAGCCGCCGTCTTACGCAAAGAACTGAAATATGCTGTATCGCACTATAAGCGCAGTTGCACTGCATCGACAGGATGTGTACACAACAATTTTGCTCGACTACAGCCAGAGGAAGATATACATAAATTTCCCATGAAGAGTGAGAGGAGCCTAGATCCTGCAGAATTCAAAAGAAGCTCCTTCCCTGTAGACTGCACCTTACATCAAGTACAGCCCTGGTTAACATTCAAATCATGAGCCTCTTGGCTAGTTTTAAAAAAGAAATGTCAGGTCATTATAGATTGCAATTTTTTGCCAGGGTAAAACGAATACATGAAACCTTTATTACCCACAAGGCAGAGAAGCAACAGAGGAAAGACACCATCAGAATAATTCCTTTCTTCTTCTAGTTTACCGGTCAGATCAGATACCCCCTCACAGGGCTTCTTTTACAAGTTCCTGGACCAGCCATGTCAGGGTCACTGCCTAATCACATTAGGGCTTGATCAAAGTTGCAAGAGCAAGAGGGAGAACAGGAGAACCTCATTTCTCACAGTGCAGGGATTAAACTTCCAGCAACATCTCTGGATCATCGGCATTGAGCCGCGTCCCACAGGCCCCACAAAAGGCTTCAGTTGAATAGTGGGCGTTGGACAGGCTGCTGAACCTGTTGTATCCTGGAAGACAGAATACACGGGGCAATCCGGGCTTGGTGAGCCCGCAAGAAGATAGATGATCGGCTGGATAAAATATAAAATAAAATACAGGGGAGTAAATCACCTCTGCAGCTTTCTCCGGGGTGGGTGATCAAATGATCTTAACTTTCCAGTACAGGGAGACCGTGAGGGTAGTAGTTCCCAGACACAGTTTTCAGTATTTCACAGGAGAGGTAACCAGGTTTCAGATATCTTGTATCACCTCGCACAGTGCCCTCAGCATACACAGTGATGCAGGCTCCTCTAAACACCCATATATAAATAATATTATGGTTGAATTTGGCTTTTCTAAACATGGTAAATATTGAGTTAAATTGAGGAGCACTCCAAAACAAATGAGGCTGGAAGGCTGGAGTTCAAACTGTTACCCAGTTGTTGTTGTTGTTGTTGTTGTTGTTTTTGTCATTAAGGCATGTCGATAACTCCGAAGACGTGGAAAATTACTTTAACCAACCACCACAAAAGAAATTCACTGACATTAAACTGACAACACGCTGACTTCTGACATTACATTTTCGTCGATACTGGACATTCATAATTGCTAATTGTCATTTACAAATAGAAGAAGAGGTAATTATAGCAATTATGGCCACAGTCTATGTCAGTGCTGAAGCGTTTGTTAAAGATGAATAATGATGGTAACATTTGAAGTCTTAGGATTTCACACTCCGTCTCCGCTCGCCTCAAAGCAGAAAACGGGCTTTTACAGGGGTTTCATTATTCTTCTACACAAAGCTGCAGCACTTCCACTTCAGTTTCGAACTGTCTGGTGCTGGTGAGCAACTGCAGCTTTTTGGTTTCAGTTTTGCTCAGTTTGATCATTTTTCTCTGTGCCTGTGAATCTAAAAAAGAAATTACATGGCTGGCCTTGGGAGAGGAAGAGAGTGCCTCCCACCTCTCTTCCATTAAACGATCATGCCCTTTCTCTTCCTTTTTAAATTATGACAATAATACCCTGCTAACATGATCTTTTCCAATGCTAACAGCATATATAAGCACAGACTTGCACCAGCATCTCTACATCCCAAATGAAAAGAGTATGAGCTTATTCACACACCTTGTAATCATCACTTAAGCACAGCTTGAAAAGTATGAAGGAAAATTCTCATTTTTCCTCCTGAGGTTTCATTAAAGCAGTTTTAGACTGATGAGTCTTCAGACAAGATACTTAGGCTTCTTGTATTTAGAGACTGATTGTGATCGTTTTCTGTGCAACAGTTTACTGTCACTGTGGATCAGTGACCATGAAATTCATACCAACAGAGCAGGGGAGTGTTTTTGGTATGTATAAAACCGTCAATGGTCACAATACTATATAAATGATTCATGTGGTTGTTCCAGTGCTACTGTATGTCCAGCTTTTCTCTCTCAGTTCAGGGTGTTTTCAACAAACTGCAGATAGCAGCCGCGCTACAAGGGGCTGGGCATCTATTCTGCTCTGATCTATTCTGTTCCTCAGGTTTCTTCAAAGAAAATGCTCAACTTTCAATTTCACGCTGCGTTTGTGGATATGGTCGCCCACCAGTGTTACTACAACAACCCGGCCTGAACATCTTTTTTTAATCATCTTTATACACTCTTAGAGAAACACATCTGTAGGTATTTGAGCCAGCCTGAAGTTTGAGCCTAATTTTTGGCATTGTTGTGCTGGCTTTATTTTCAGCTCCATAGGTTGCTGATTGTAATATGACATGGACCTGCACACACACACACACACACACACACACACACACACACATCTTCCTAAGCCTTCCATTCATTTACACCCGGTGCCAGAGCAAGTACTCTACCTTGTGCTGACATTTTTACTGCCGCAAATATTTCATATCTCAGCTACCAGACGCAGCCAAAGCTACTCAGCTGATAAAGCTCCAGGCCTCTAAAGTGTTCTCCAGCACTTGGAGCTGGGTGTTTTAAAAGAAGAAAATAACGCTGCGGTGGTCACAGCGTCTCATTATTTGGTTAGGTCTGGGCACAAACACTGTTTGGTTAAGGTCAAAGTACAATTGTTGTAATGGGTGAAGATTACTGAGTGCTGGTGGAACCTGAGAGGATAAGTCTCAAGCTTTGCACTTTCACAACATCCACTTTATCCTAGCAGATGAGAACACTGGTTGTGCTTGAGCAACATTATATTTATGTGCTGATGAAGCTTATGACTGTCATATCGGTCATATCAAGGCCACGTCATGCACATGCTTTAATGGGCCTGCAACATTTGGACATTTTACTTTCATGTGTTCAGTCTAAATTTGGAAAAATCTAACTTTCCCTCGAATGAGCGAGATGTTGTTAAAACCAGGGCATAAAAATCTGAAATTGCAGCAGCCTATTAGCCCTGAACCATTGTATCCAGCCTCCGCAGAGATGTGCATTGTCCTCTGCGATCACTTCCTTCCCTGTCCCTGAACCCACCATTTTAAAAAAAATCAGCACAGAAATGTTGCTGCACGGACGAGTGGTCAAAATTGAAAGGTTGGCGGTTCAATCACATGTCAGAGGGTCCCTCCTGATCTCCACATAGCCCTGGTGGCAGCAGTGGTTGAATGTAGGTAAATAAGTTAGTGCTGATGGTCACTTTACACAGCGCCCTCTGTGGCCAGTATAGGAATGTGGTTCGAATGGGTGGTGGGAATCACTAGTGGTCCCATGACATGATATTTTCACAATACTTGGGCCACAATTCGATATTGTTTTCGATACAGTGAGTATTGCGATACCATATATTGTGATTTGTACAATTTTTCCAACTGCTTGGCTGATTTAGCATTTGTCTTTCCCTAATGTTTGTCTTATTGACACAATATTTTATTTTCATGTCGCCCTTCCTGCAAACCTTATATGTCATGTTCATGTCAAATAAAATGCGTGCTGAAATGCATTTCTAATGTCTTTCCCCAGGTGCTGCTATATTTGTTGTTCTATCACCTCCGCCAACCTCACTGGACAAACAATTGATTTTATTTTTTCATTATTTTAGATTTGACTTCATATTAGCAATTTTTTGAAAAGTCGATAATTGGTGAATGAGAGGATACGATATATCACCAGACAAAATATCGCAATACTATGCTGTATCGATTTTTTCTCCCACCCCTGGTACTGACATGTGAATGTGACAGAGAGTAAAAGCACTGTCGGTGATCAGATGACTGCAAAATGCCAATGCTGTCCAATAGCCTTGCATTTAGAGCACTGTTAAACATTTATAAGGGTGGATAAAAATTTTATTAGTATAATTATTCAGGACTCATGTGACCAATGAGTCGGCACTTTTAAGTAAAATTCACAGTGTGATTTACTGCCGGGCTGAAGTGACAGGAACATTTTTACGATGAGAGAGTCCTCTGACTTGGAACGATGTTAGGGTTCTGTCTAGAGGTGAGTAAACACAACGATGATGTTTCAGTCAACATTCAGTCACACATGTATGAAAGGGAAATGAGTTCACCTAACAAATGTAAAGACTGCACAGCTACGTATGAAAATTCATCAGGGAAAAAAATCTCTCTGGTTCTAGTTGTCATGCAGCCACCTGAAAATGCCACACTAATCTTGTCTCTAAATACTACCCCATGTACGCCTGTTGCATTTACTTCATAATGCAAGGCTGCAAAGTGCTGTGTGTGAGGTGATTTAGTGGCATAGCCTTTAGACAGTCATAGTAATCCAGGCATTGTTATGTTTAATTTACCTCTGTCAGTTACAGCGCATCTCCAAGAGTCATTTCAGAAATAAACCTTCATATTATTTTTAGCTGTATGTTTTGGACTATCCAAGAGGAGCAAACAGACATCCTACTTTTATCTGATTCATAAAAATAAATAAAAAGAGGGATAATCTGGATGTACAAAATTCTCAGAATCCCATTAGATATTACTTTTATTTTTCAACCAGCAGATTATTCCTTCTGTCTTTAGGGCTCTTGTCTTTTCCAGTTTACTGCTCTGTGGGATGTGTTAACATATCCTCGGGGGGGTACCATGGAATCACGTGTTCATGGCATAGATAAGACAGACTGGGCAGGAGCAGAAGCCACTTTTGCCGGGGCCATTAATTTCAGAAGCAAACTGCCACCAAAGATTTAAGCAAAAATGTTCTTCAGAGTACTCCGTCCTCGTACGTGTGCGGATGTTAGTAAGAGGATACGTCAGTTTAATAAAATCATTTTTTTTAATCGTGCTTATAGAGTTTACATCAGTCTACTATTGATAATAGTATATTGTGTTAATTAAAACTGTTGTAATCGTACAGATCTTTCACCAAAAGACATTTTCTCTTTTTGTTTTTTGTTTTGGACATGACCTTTGAACTCGAATGTTATTGTTTTTTCGTGTGTTGACAAATACTGAATCAGGTTTTTGGACCTGGTTATTGATCCTCATCCCTAACTCAGAGTATTGTTTGATGGAGGATATACTTTAAAATATTTCTCCTTAAATCCCGAAAGTTTCCTCGTACCAAACAAACAAACAAATAAAAGCTCATGTTGTTCTCATGGTACAGTTGTCCTTTTTATGACATGAAAATTTTAATTGTGCAAACTGGTTGCCTGGGCCTTGTGCAGCAGTAGCTTTTCCAACACCGGCTGTATGATACATGTGTCATCATCCATCTCCATCGATCAGCGATTTCTCTGGAAAACACGCTGCTGCTTTGTCACATAAGATCACCCCGACTCCAGCCCAAAACTGAACCAGGGGGCTCGGTGGAAATATTCTGGATGAAATATTAGGCTGTTTGTGATCATACCTGCAGTTCAGGCAACAGCAAGAATTTTTCAGGAATTTTTCAGAAAAGAAGTTTAAGACTGTTCATTGACATGGGGGCAAAAACTGAAATCTCTTTTAGGACAAGACCTTTAAACAATCCTCCTTTTGCTCCACTCCTCACTCCTGTCATCTAAAATCCACAAGCCCAAATATTAGCTAATGAGATGCTAATCCCAACATTTTATGCTGCTGCTTGTAGGACTGAGGGTTCTGTGTATCTGGGAGCTTCCACCCTGTATACAGGTGTTGTCTGTTAACATCGGGCTGAAGCCCCTCATTGCCTGCATTGTGTACATTAGGGGGTTTGCGTAGTCCTGATTATTTTCCTTTTTATTAAACTCACATGTGCATGTAAACATATTTGAAGAATCAAATTCATATGACGCCTCTTCTCCACCAGCCCTGCAGGTGAAGTTGTTCTCATAGTAGAGATCGTGTCTTACTGAGTTCATAAACGACCTTCTGAAATAAACGGACATCTTTCTTTGAATGGAGATTTCATGACAAAGTAAACAGATGACTTTCTTGCAGGCTGAGTCAGTTAGCAAGGAAATGAAGAAAATATTGGCTTGATTTGGAGCACTTGAGCAGCATATGGCAGGTGGAAACAAGGGGGGGGGGGGGGGCTCCAATTCTGCTCCCTAGCCAGCTGGTCCCTGAAGCAGGGCTGCAGCATATCTTATTGACCGTGTTCCCCCGCTGAGCTTTTTCAGCCAAAAGAACTGTGCCAAGAGGTGTGGCCCCTCTCTTCAAATCACCTTTCTTCGGGCTTTACAAGGCCCTCTCTGGTGTATAATCATAACATAATCATGCCTGCTACATCTATTGATTGGTTCACAATACACTTCCACTGAAGCAGCCAAATAGTATCCTTAGGCGAAACTCTTGCCAAAAGAGATATGATGACACCGTTTAGATTACACTGATCTCCAAATACACAACAGATTTATTTGACCGGTGCTGCAGCCTCAGACTTATTTTGCTTACAGTGGAGCTCCGTGATTTATTCAATTGTCACCGTGTCCTAAAAGTCACTCAATGTCATGCTAATTAATTATTTATCATTACCTAAGCACACTGATTAATTGTCAGTTTAAGGGCATGATTTTATGGAAGACATACCCAATTTGTCTCGGGGGATCACTTTGATCAGAGTATACATACCAATTATTTATTAACAGCCAGCTAATTCTCTTTATTGTAGACATGGTGAAGGTCAGGGAAGAAGAAAAAAGAACTGTAATTTGTGAGTGAAACCCACTGACATTTATCCCTTCCCATGGACTTTCAAGTTCTGTTTAGAAGGATGCCGCTACTCCCTTTGCTTTTCCTCAAAGTGAATGTCAAGGACATGCGTAAATAGCGATGCCATACCTCATTACTGGTCATATTTATTTTAAGGAGATGCCCTTATCACAGTGTTTATAATCACATGGATGCGCCTGCACTTTCAAAAAAAAAAAAAAGAAAAATTTGTCACTTTCTCCTTTTTGGTTTCTGGAGGCTTGATTCTGCATGTGCTGTTTGTCATGCCAAACCATGTTACACGTAATACGCTTTTCACTTAGTGTAGAAGCAGACAATAATGTTAAGAGTGTGTCTAATTATAACAGTCTCCAATGAGTTGCATTAAACGACTGCAGTATTCAGACATCTGGTATTAAAATAATTGGCACACTTAGGAAGGGTCCATGGCATTTTACAGATGCTCTTGTGCACCTTTAAAACGTGTCAAAACACCCATTAAATGGCTCGGAGATGCCATCGGAAGTGCACGAAACAGTTGATAGAAATTCCAACCTCCTGACTTCAGTTGCTATCAAGAGCACTTAAAATGCCACATTTTAAGATCTTGTTATTTAGCCGAAGAACAACAGGATAGAAATGGAGCGGCAGTCGTAAATATACAAAAATATGTCTGTTTCCGTATAAAATTATATATGTATGGCATGGTATAATAATGGCGCATGCACATACGTTGTTTCCTTTAGGCAGTGACTAATTTCCCTATCAGTCTGTTTACCAGATAATTAAATATACCTCACCGATTTTTTTTGCTTAACTTGGTTTTACGATAAGTTTGGGCTGTCCTGGTGTTGTCAGTGTTGTACATTATGAGTTACAAACAATTAATATTTAGGTCGCTTTCACACCAGCGCTGTTTGGTCCACTTTAAACGGACCAGAGTTCGTTTTTCCTCAGATAGTCCGCTTCGTTTGGACAGGTGTGAAAGCTCATCTGAACTCTGGTGCAGACCAAACAAGTGAACTCTGGTCCGCCTGAAAACGTGGGTCTCCGTTCGGTTCGTATGCAGTGTGAAAGCTCACCGGACCAAATACAGGACCAAATGTACGAAATGACGCTATACACAGTGCATCTTGGGTAGAGGAAAGCACAGTGTCACTTGTTGCTATGGCAACGCTGACATTAGCAGTTGCTAGCTAGCTTAGCTCAATTGTCTGAACAACAATAACCCATAAATTCACAATTTGGCGTATTAAAACAAAATCAAATCACAACCACCAACAGTCACAGTCCTTAAACTCTGAGCTCATATGTCGTCACATGTTAGATGTATTTGAAGAACTTAGTAAAGTACCCGTGTCTTTAACTGTTAGGTTACTTGGGGTGGGCTTAAAGGGACAGCAGCTCAGACAAAGTGTCTCAGGTGGAGCTGAAATAAAGATATTTTAATACTTCAATGAAAGAACTTTGAGGCTTTTTTAAAGTCTAAAAATCATGTAAAGATATTGAAGAAAGGAAGTTTAGAGTCTGAATAAATTCATAGTACCCCCCTTTAAAGATCATTGATATAGAGATAGATCTCACTATAGTACCAGTCTTTTGGTGTAATTCCTGCTGCTGCTCTATAGTTATGAAAGAGATTGGACAAATCTGACATTTAAGCGGAAATGCTACAGCATCCCAGAGCACAAGCCAAACATTTTAGAAAGTATTATCTATATTATCCGGAACAGGAGCACACTGTGGTCATCAACACAACTCCGAGACACATTTGAGTTGGGTGCAGCTGTATGTTACTATGATGCATTTTTCCTTATGTCTCATAAATAAAATCTTTTTATGTGATCTAAGGAAAATCTAGGACAGGGGGCTATTAATGGCCAAGGGACTCCTCCCCTGGGGCAACAGTGTTAATCGGAGCAATAGGTCTCCTTCCTGCTGGATCAATGTCAGCACAAATTCAGATTGCTTTCCTGATCCGTGCCAAGTTATCTGTGATTCAACTTTAATAGGTTATTGAACGCAGACAGCATTTAGGGAGCAGGGCCGTATTTCACATTATTGACCGTCAAATGCACGCAACTTTCTCATTAGCATGCATTAGAAAAACAAGGAATTAATCTTGACAACACCATTGGGGAACACGACTACAGTTACACGCTTGTTTAAGCAGACATGACAAACAATGGCTCGGAATCATGTTTGGAGAGGACATGAGGAATGCAGATATACGGAGCTTTACAAATGTACACTGCGCTAAAATCTACAACTGTTGTCTGTCAAAAGATGTCCTTAAGAGGAGACAACAATGTGTTTTTCAAAATATGAATGAAGCGTTGCATAATGCATGAAGAATGACAAAGCAATGCACGATATCATCTTAAATGTTGCAGGACCTCAGTGCATCCCGGCTTTGCTCACTGTCACTTTGGATAGAATCACGGTTTTCAGCATGAATACCATTTCACAGATTTGTAAGTGTCACACACTTTCTATCTCCAAAAAGAGAACATTAACACTCAAACATTTACATTTTAACAACTGTAAAAATGCTGCATTTACATATGCACATTGACATCCAAGTACTGTACGTGTTGTAGGTATTTATCCGTCGTGATCATCTCCACTAAGAGATTGATTCAGTAACGCTCCTGCTAATGATGTGAGGATCTATGTCGTCTGTCACTATTCAGCTTTACAGGAGCTCCTTATTCTGTAACGTATTTGCTCGACATTTCTACATGAGAAAATACAGTGCTTAGATGACAAAATGAGTGGTGGCAATCCAAACTCAGTGTGCTATATCAGATGACATTTTGCTGCACCTGAAGGTCAAGTGTTTTGTCAACATGGACAGAGCCTGATGATAAAGCTGCCAACAAGAAGATTTACAGTGCCTGTGTAACTCAAACAAGATGTGGACATGATGTGTCTAAGGGGATGAGATGATTGGAGGGAAAAAAGTAAGTGCCACCATCCAAAATGGCATGCATGGAGGGTGGCAGTGAAAAAACAACAGTATGCCCCGTAATAGTACCAGCCTGTTTCCCTCTTTAATGTGTACATAAATAAAGCCTAAACAAACTTTTATTGGGTTGACTAAAGAAAGAAAATAATTTGAAACTGTTGGTCCTATTTTAAAATCACAATAAAACTAAAACAATAACATTCAGGGCCCAGTGTGTAAAGCACAAGAGTCATTGTTATTTTCTATACAACATACAGTTAAAGAGTGAACCTTAACTAGCAACTTAACTAGCAAAACACGATTTGACAAACAGCAGTTCACATAGTGTTGTGCACTTCAGACCCTGCATTATATATATATATATATAAGACTTATTAAACAGAGAGTGTTGTATATTTTTTAAACTCTGTGCTTCCTGTCTGATTCCTCTTTAATATCTTTACATGATTTTCAGATGCTGCTGTCTCTTTAAGTCGAGCTCAATGTTTGGCCCCGCCCCTCTATTGTGGTCAATCAGTAGAGCAGCAGAGCAGCTACACTGTGGGTATCACCTCCCACGCTGTTGGAGGCTGGACTTTTAGCTTTGCGGGAAGCACAGATGAACTTGCAAGGAAAGACTATTACAATGACGTCATTAATTTAGAACCGTCCTATTATATCGCCAGGTCAGATTTTGAGCAGTTTATATTTTCCACGATTATGACAACATATATTACCCTCGTGATTTAAAACTGTGCATACATCTATTATGGACATCAAACATTGTAATTTTGCATTTTCTCTTGTTAATGTTGAAAAGTAGCATACCAACCCCCTTTAACCTGAATTACAAACACAGATGGAACCATAATAAACAGTAAATTATCTGCACCAGTTTATAGACCACAAACAGACCTTGAGTAAATCCACTTTAAAACAATGGCAGTGCTGGCCACTATTAAGTCCTTTCTGATATTTCTCAGTCCTCGTCAGTGCTACGGCTCAGTGAGAATCCCAGACTCCTCAGGCAGAGAAATCCTTTGAAGTTTAAGAGTTATTGTGGTTCAAGTGACACTGACTGGCTTCATCTGTGCCGTGCAGTCGCTCTCAAACGTGGCAAAAAGACCACAGTTTGGTTTTATGAAATTTTGCTTCAGAAACAGTACACCAACATAAACCAGGAACCGCTGACTTTATTGTGGCAGTAGCTTGAATAATTCAGCTTTGTCTAACAGAGCGTGATGTTTCATTAACCTTTTGTTGGTTACTAAGACTGCCAGGGATTTTCAGGTGGTTTGAAGAGTACAAGGGAAACGCTTTGGGCGCATCTGCTGCTGCTGCTGATGACCCAACCTCAATGCCACTTGACAAACCATCAGATTTACCCCCCAAGAGATGCTACAAGGTATGTCAAACACCATCACACAGACAAGCATGTTCAGGTGGATTACACCAAAAAGTCATACCGATTCAGACAAAGCATTACACCTGCCATGACGCTTTAGTGTTCCTGTACTTTAATTCGAACTCGTTTGCATAACTGAAGCCAATGGGAGAGGAGACACAGAAATGAGATGTTAAAGAGCATGTTTTTAGAGACAAGGCTGTGCGCAACGTGTGTGGTAACAAACCCAAAAAAGCTGCAAGGGGCACAGGCAAGTGTGTGACATTAGACATAATTCCGAATAAGGGCCAAGTGTCCAGCCAAGCGGACAGGCGAGCCCCTTGAATTCAGAGTAGGCCAGGGGTAAATATTCACTGTGACATTTGTGCTGTATGCTATTTCCAACGGCTGAATTGTAGCCGACTGACATTTTCATCCAAGCAACACTGGCAATGATTTCTACGTTTCAAACCTTTTTAAAATATCAAATCCATGGAAGGTGCACACAATGAGTTGGAACAATGACAAATATTCTGGAGGATGTTCATGATGTTCTCGCAACGCAGCAACGAAACAGGCTTACAGATTTTTAGTGACAAATATTAGATGGCCTTTTATCTTAAAAAGGTAAATTAACTCACAACATAATGGTTCAGGAATATAAGAAAATCTTATTTTTAGTAATAATATGAATATAAATATGAAAATGATTATTTTTATGACACCATTGTCCTTAAAATGGTTCACATCAGTGATTGTTTCTTTTCCAGTTTCAGCAAACATTTTCAAAAGGGTGTCAGGAGACACAAAGTACTACTGCCTGATACTCTCTGAGTGTTCTCCAAATGATCCCACACACTGCTCTATTTTCAAACCTCTGCGGTATGGAGTCCGCGATCTAAAATGTACGCTCCCTCCCAGAGTCATTTCTGCCCAAGCAAAGCGTCACATGTGAGAGGCATATTTGAATTTTATTTATAAAGGCAGCTGGACACCGATATTCAGGAAAAAAAAGAGAATCAAATAAAAGGAGGATGTGTCAGTAAATCTCCCTGTTTTAAAAATGAAAAGATACAGCTCTGTGTAAGTCTGCTGTTTCATTAATAAAAACAGCACTAATGCATTAAACTAGATGACTGTGTAAGATGTCTTTTTATGCATTTACTTATTTATTTATTCATCTATTTATTGTGCACCTACTGCATGTGCTATCTCTCACTAAGTAATTAAACTGTAAGTGTGAAGGAAATGAAGAAGTACAAACCCATTATGTGATGGTTGCCTAAAAGCAAGTAAATTTTTCAGAGGATTTTCCACTAATGCATTCAGAGACTGAGAGACATGACAAAATAAAAAGCCCACACTGGCAGCTCCAGAGAAAAGTGAGCATTTAAAGTATGCTTGGTCAAATACTTTGATAATCATAATAATCTGCACAGTGAGTGCTTTTCATTATCATTTTATCCTGGGCTAAAAATCTGACAGATGTGCGGCAGTGCTGGTTTGCTTCATTAACCAAAAGGGATTTTAAGTCAACAAGATGTTTTTTTTATTTAATGTTTTCTTAAAAATTGCACACTCACAACTAAAATCCTTTCTTAATGAAAGCGAACAGACATCTTTGAGGAGTCTTCCCCTAAATACACTTGAGTAGTTTGCAGCTTGTTTTAAATGGATTAATTTAATAGGGTTACCAAAGGATGTTGGGACCAAACCAACTTAATTTTAAGACATCTGCAATACATAAATCAGAAAGACTGTGTGTGTGTTTCCTTTACCTTTGGGACATGCAGACAGACCCTGCAGAAAATGTCTGAAATTTCTCATATTTTTTTATTTCTAAAATATTTACAGATCCAAAGTTGCATTATCTTTCCATCCTGTATGTACAATCACATGTGCGTTCACCTTTAAATATCCATCATGCTTTCTATAAAGTGACTCCTTCTCCAAACAGAGCTGGTGAACATCAACAACTTCTACTTTGGCTTTTGGATGATATAAAATATTTATTCCACTGTTAAAAATGCTCATTGTCACACGTCCACATACAGTTCAAGGCCTGACCTCCGTCATATTACTTGATAATTCTGGCACTCTCCAGGGAAAAGATAGAAAGTGTATATCGATCCTCTGTGGTTGGCTATATGCTAAAACAAACAAGATATCCTGCTCTGAAGATCAAATTCTTCCACAAGTCATACAGCATCAACAAATGCAGCTGAGACTTGGCCCTAAACACAGGCACAAGATAATTAGTCACACCATGGCTGGAGTAGGAAGGGCAGGGAAGCAATCTGACTGAAGGATGTATTGATCCTCCAGAAAGGGAGGGGCAACCAGTCAGGAGTCATGATCAATCTTGCAGGCCAACTCTCTTAGGTTGCGAGTGAACCTGTGTGTGCTCGTACGACCGAGTATTCCATCTACACTGTACACGTTCTGTGTGTATGTGTGTGTGTGCACGAGCGCTTGCGTGCATGTGTGTGTTTGCAGCCACATTAGCAGTACCAACAGCTCGGTGTTTGAATTGTCAGAGAATGACAAATGTCTGTGTCAGTAAAAGACTCCAGGGGTTTGAGGAAAGGGGGGGTTAGCAACAGCACCTGATCAAAAACCTTTATCGTGGAGTTATAAGCCATTCCTGAGCCTCCGACTGTCCTCATCAAACCCAGCACTCCAAACCATAACACAGGGAAAGGTCTTAAACCAGCTCAAGGAGTGATGAAAAAGTTAATTCCTTTTGAATATAAACTGTTTGTTTATTGGCGTTATCTGGGGGATGGTCACAGGTGGGCTTCATCTGATTAGACAGTGCTGATGCATATCAGGAGAAGCAGCCAACCAGTAACACTGTAATTCATCTTTCTCTGAAATACTGAAGGAGGAGGAGGAGAAGGTGAGAAATGAGAGCTGTAGGACAGAACTGGGATGGAAAGGCAGCCCCCTCGTCTTAAAGATAAGGGATCAGTGTTCTGTTGTTTTTTATTATTTTTTTCCCTTTTTCTGCATTTTGCAGGAAAGAAAAATAGAAAACCAGTGAAGACAGTTTGTCTCTTTGTTTATGGATTGTGGAGGATGTAGAAATCCTCAGTGTTGGCCTCCAGGGTTGGGTGTGTGGATCAGATGTCAGACAGCATGCTAAGCTTGCAGGGACACCCACAACAGTGGAACTGTAGACAGCTAATTGACACACAGTCGTATGCGACGCCAGACGAGTCAGCCAGTCACTTTCACGCTCACACACTCTGTGCTCTCCACCTGAGGGGAAGGCGGCTGGCTCGGCGAGCATGTGGGGATGGGGGTGGATAAAGGGATGTGCAGAATTTGGACCCATTAGAGGAGTAGATGATACTCTCTCACACACACACACACACACACACATACACACACGTATATAAGCGAGTGGGAATGAAAGGCTATACTTTCTGCAGGACTTAGTGTGAACATGCAGAAAGAATTTCTTATTGTGACAGTTGTCATCACTCTCCTGTATTTTCTTTGGATTTAAAAACACATCCGACCACATCAGTAATAGACTGGTGAGAGGTGTGACCTTGGACCATTACTGCTTTACTCTGGTTTCTTGATATGAAGTGGAAAAAAAAAAATAAAAAAACTCCACAACAATGACTCAACCTATAGGCACAGCCTTAATGTCTCCTGCTATAAACACTGTTGTTGCAAACCCGACCTACAAATGTCAATCTCATACTTTTAGTACAAGCTTCTCTGAGAACTAATATAACCTTAGCCTCATTGTTATCATCAAATCTAACACTATTTCTCTGTGCCATGTCTCTAACCTAACTCGGATCTATTTTCTATGATGAACACATAATTACTTCAACCCCGAACAGCTTTTATTGTACCATATAGTCGCTGAATGGATTTTCATTGAAACTGTAAATATCATCTCTAGTACCTATTATTAAGCATTCAATTATCCATATTGACACAATGAAGGCTTGGGTTGATGTAATGACAAATTGCAGGTGCAGAGCTTTTCAGTGTTGTCCCCGTTAACCCAGGGTTTTTATAGATCACCTCCCATGCCACCCTATAGCTATTTAGTTATCTCCATGAATATATGCAGAAGGGATCTGTCCTTGCTGAGAGCAAAATCTGATAATGCAGCAGCAAACACAGCGAAGAGTCACAGCAAACCAATTCCGAGCTCTGTTTAAAAAAAGCCAAAGGGCTTGCTGCTCATCTCTGCCACAGCAACACACAATAGAAGAACAATTATTCAGACTAAGACTAGAAGAAAAATAATCTGTTTATTTATGGCTTGTTGAATCAGCTTTATCTCATGTTATTTATTCAAGTCAATAATGTAATCTTTAATTGTGAAGAATGGCCCTATCAACTATGCAAAATAATGATGCCGAGCCACAATGCAGGAAGGAGGTAAACAAATGTCTCTGCTATGATCGTGTGTTTTCCATGTATTAGAGCAGACCGACAACATCATATATTAAACTCTCTTTTGCAGTAAATGCACTAGAGTCTGAAATTCATTAATGACTGAATAACCTTAACATTGAAAGAACATCATGTACACAACCTGTAATTTCAGTTTTTTCAAGCACACAGTTTGGAGAAGTTCATCCTGGTGAACTGAAATGTGAAAATGATTGAAGTTTTGTTGAGGGATAGAACAAAATCTTTATATTTAGATTTGTTTGCCCCCCTCTCCTTTTTTCTCTACAGAACATAATCTCTAAAATAAAAAACAAAACAAGATGAGTTTTCTTTAAAGTCTAATATTCCACCAAGAGACACATCAGTGCGGCTGATGATAAAATAAAACAAAATAAATCACTGACAGCTCAAATAATTTACAGAGATGGTCGTGAGAAAAGGCAGAACAGACTGAGGATCTGAGGCACTTTGATGCTGAATAAAACTCCTTTATTAAACAAGGATATGTCTGTGCAGTCACTAAGAAACAGGTGTTAAACACAGCAAGGGTGTCATCTACTGCTCCATTCAGTCGTAGGTTTACTGCGATTATTACCATCACAATAGCACAGCATCCTATTAGCTCTGACCTCCAGCTGGTTTGTTTATAATTACCCTTTTTGATAAGATACGTTTAAATCTTGTTATTTCTGCTGGTTACATACACAGTGCAGCTCACATCACTGTCACTGTTATTTTTTTAAATGTGTTTTTTTTCTGGTTGTTGTTGTTGTCTATACTGTCTGTGTGTGTGGCTGGCTGGTTGGCCTGGGGGCTGTGATGTTGTATTTCTTCGCATAGAGATGAACGGAGGTGATATCACTCATCGTGGGTCTTCTCTGACGTGTGTTATCTGTATCCACTTCTGTCACAACATCCTAATTGTACTGCACACCTGTTTCTGCTTATCTGCCGTGCGATGATGACGGCTCAGTCGAGTCCAAACGCAGAGACACGTCCGTGTTCAATCAAGGATTTTTACACTGCTTCAGAGTCCCTTCAGGTATTCAGATTGGACTTTTAAATAACCTGAACAGTTATTTGTTTCTGCAATTTTACCTTTGTCCCTCTTCCTTTAGAGCACCTGATTACTTCCTATCATTTCTACATTTTTGACTGAGTGCAGCATTCACCCCATTCCGTCTAAAATAACAAACTAAAACATCTGGATCCCCTGGAATGATCAGTCGGAGGACTATACGGGGATTTTTTGCTCTCTAGTTCTTATATTTTGCTCTCACACTTAGTCCCACAACGCCCTGTCCTTTCATCCTTTCATCCTCACTTCCTCTGCAGTTCCAGTCGTGTGCCCCACCAGGACTCAGAGTAAGTGATTTGTCATGCGTGGCGGCAGCAAGTAGCCTGTAACAAATCCAACTGACAGCCCCTGAAAATGCAGATCACATAGCCAACAGAGAGGAAACAGCATCTTGGGGAACTTTCAACAGGATCCTAATCTGTGATGATTTGCCCAAAAAGAGCTATAAGATGTTTTATTGACTGGCACAGGATGGACTTGCCCTGCTTGTCAGAATTATCCACTAATTAATGTACTCCGGTAGGACTGAGTGTCACAGTGTCAGAGGACATAGTCATCACGTGTCTCAGAAGCACATGATAAACTTTTATAGTCATGCCGTCGTTGCTTCATTCTGAATTTTTTGTTCGACTTCCAGCTCCAGGAGAAAATTCCATGTCAAGGATTGCGGCTGTAATTTCTTGGATAATCTTGAAGTTCCCGTATGAGGCTCTACCCAAAAGGCCCAGAAGAAAATAAATACTTCCAAACAGCGTTGAAGGCATCACATGAGCGACAGTGAAATGTCATTATTTCTTAGGTGTAATTTGGCACATCATAGGTAGTGTACTGTCATCCCTTTGATAAGACAGAATCTCTAGGTCCCAGGAAGGTGAGCATATCAATGTTCAACACACCCTATTAAGACTTGACACCCATACTTTATCATCACTAAAGCAATTGCATATTCCTATTCCTGCTGGAGAGATGGGGAAATCCATCTCCTGCAAGGACAGTGCCTTTAATAAATAGTGCACAGAACACAGGCACAAACTCTCCCTCCTCCACCTGATCCTCCTTTCTTCTTCTTCTTCTCCTCTCTCCCTCTTTTCTCTTTCTCTCTCTCCTTTCTGTCTCTCCATCTCACTCTCACACACACACACACACACACTTCTGCACGCACACTTTCCCTCTCTCATGGAAATTGTTTCATTCCTTTTAGTCAATCTGGCTAATGCAAAAATCATGTATGTCTGTCCTTAAATATTTAATCTTAACAGCAGCAAGATTGAAATACACTGTTGAAGAAGCATTACTCCAACCCTCCTGAAAAGTACAAGAGCTCAGAGAGGGAGAGGCAGCTGCTCTGCAATGTCAGAAAGAGAGATTTAGAGCGACAGGGAGTGATGGTAAAGGGAAAAAGAAGAGACTGCTATTTTCGATGACAATTTTGTTGCCATGCACTCTCAGCGCCGAGAGTTGGAGGCAGCACAAAAACACAGTCTGCCTTAGAAAGTATGCAACCACATATGACAGCTCTCTGTTTTCTTCTGCAGAAAAAGCTTTTGTTCTGTCATATAATAGATTTTGGTAAAGGCTAAAAACACAAAGCACGGAGAAACACTCGTGCTCCTTGGAAGACAGGAAGAATAGACACGGCTCAGTGACTGAGACGAAGCTATGGATCTTGCAATAGGCATGTATCGTGGGAACCACATGGCCCCTGGAGATAAGTACAAGCATAAAGAGAATTTCAATTCAGCTTCCCTTTAATTGCTCATTTTGCTGTGATGGTTTTCAGAGTTTGTACGAACAAAGGGCTCTCAGAGTGTGTGATCCCAATATCAGTGAGTGTTTGTGAAATTTAACAATGTTAACCTTCGGAAGTTTTACTTTAACTTCATAAATTGGGGAGAAAAAGTTTTAATAAAACCAGTAAGAACTAATTTAAAATCAGGAAAAACCCAAAACTTTGAGAAACTTTTTCACCTACCACAGAGAAGTCGTCCGCAGAACAGTTCTGCCCGCTGAAATTGCAGCTCATGAGCATCTCTTCTAACTGATGTCCTGTCCTGTTGAAGATGTCCTGCATGTCAGGGGCAGGATACATCAAATCAGTAGGTTTGTGCCCATCCTTGTTTTTCGGTGGCAGACCTGTCAAGTTAGCCAGGTGGTAGATATCAGCATCGGTAAGTGCGGAAAAGCGAAAGCGGTTGATGTTACAGATGGTCACAGCAGGGAAAACCATTTCTGGAGTTGCCTCTTCATTCAAAGCTGTGACATGAGGGTGCTCCAGGTAAGAAATGGCACACTTAGCCGCTTGGTACAAAAACAGCACCAGTGAAGTCAAAAAGGCAAGAGCCCAGAGAGTCTGCCGGATACCCAAGCGACCAGAGACAAAGATGTGGTTAATCCCATGAAGAGAGCAGGAGTTAGCAAACCCGGCCAAGTCTTTAGCCTTAGGTGTGCAGCTCTCCTCGATCAGGCTCTCCCTGTCCCCATCCTGCTTGCTTCTCTGCTTCTCATCCTCCTCTGCAAATTTGATTTTGCAAACAAATTCGATAGGCATGGGGGCAGCCAGGTCTGCGTTTTGGTTTTTGTTTTTTGATGGCAGCTATCAGCCCTGAACGACTTCCTTCCTTCTTCTTTGGCTTTTTCCCTCTGAGCAGGAAACTCCCCCAGAAAGACGAGAAAAAGAGAGGACAGAGTTTGTTGCTGCTGCTGCTGCCGCTGCTGCCTCTTCTATGACTGATAGTGCTGCTGCTGCTTCTGCCGCCACAGCTCCTGGTGACTCGAGCGCTGCTGTGCTGCTTCTGCTCTGAACGCTTGTCTCACTACTTGATCAGCTCACACAGTCTCGCTTATCAGCAGTAATACAGCTGTCAAAAGAAAAACACCCTTGCACACAGACTCAGACCCACTGATGAAATGCAGCATTTCGAGCCGGACTAAAATAGGCACAGAGTACTTAATAATTCATGAGAAGGTAACACTGTGATTATTTCCTCCTCACTGGCGCAAGTCGCAACAACCCCCGGTCATCTCTTCCCACAGACAGCCCCCCTCCTGCTTAATCCACTTGTTTGGACGGTGCTTTCATCTCTGATAAAGACAGGGTCAAAGGTTGTCTTTTTAAACACAAGGTGCTTAGTGTGAATCGCAGGGAGTCACAACTTGTAAATGCCCCTCTAAATACGGCAAACGTGTAATTGAAACAACAATAAGAAGTCCGGAAAAGGGAGCTGAGAATAAGCAGCTCCTGTGCAACAGAAAAAGTAAACGACTACTGACCGAGCAAACGTGTGTGTAAGGACGTGAGAGAGGCAGCCTATAAGTTTGTTCTTATCAGGAATTAATGGTAGCATCTCAAGACTCCTGCACGAATTTGAATTAGTGAATACCTCCTGATCTGGACCTTGACACTGCTAAAGATGTTGAAATGAAGTATTGATCTGCCTCCGTCCCGATCTTTTACAGTGTGTGTATCGGGGCTGTTAATGGCCCTTTTCCAACTTGCCAAACAAAATTATGCAAATGCAAGGCAGAAAAGTGAGAGCCCTAATGCATGTTATTCCCCTTTAAATGGAATTAGTCATGCAGGTCACATCACAAGAGGCTGGGATCTCCAGAGAAAAGGCATATTTAAAAGTGAATTCAACCGCTCCCAACACACGTGCCAAGTCAAGTGTGAGAGAGCATAAGAAAGGAGATGTAGTTAATACAGCTGAGTAAATTAGGGTTAAAAACGCTATTTCACTTAAAAAAACAGCCTCATTTAAAGGAGTTTTTAATATATACAAATAATGCTTTACAATAATCTACTAAAATAGTGGGACTTAACTGATTTGACAATCGCATTATAGAAAAACACTGAAGACAAAAATCTACTTTCCCCCAAATCTGCTTTTTTCCTTAATGATTTCATGGTTTTGAAGTTTTTAAGACATTTTTTATTGTTATTCTGTTTTAATGTGGTGGTGCATTTTCAGACCTGCCAACTTTGAGAAATTTTTAGGAGTACTACCCAACCCACCCCCGAACCCAGGGGCGATCCCCACTGTCAAGCCACCACTGAAATAATTACAACACAACATTGCATTTTCTCAACTAATTCTTATTCACAAAATGCAAGTCACAGTCATCCAGTGTAAACAGTACAACCCTAACGTTTCACCTGACGTCTGCCTGCTCCTCCTCCCCTCTCTGTTGTCTTTGTGGTGATTTCTTCTCAGACTTATTTTCCTCATCCACTCCACTTTTTGTAATAACACTGTGTCTCTGTCTGGTTTTTGAGCTCGTTTTTGTCCTTTTTTTTTTAATTAAAAGAGTCCATTTTGTGTTTTGCACTGGCTAGCGGAGCTAACGTAGCCTGCCTGCAAACATTCGCTTGAGTTCAGTGTTGTAAACAATGCCACATGGCACGTGGGCTGCGCCAGGTTTGACAATGCCCCCTTTAGGAAGCACCATGAAGGCTTAACATACTTCCTTTCACCTACATTATTTGGGTGAAGGGAGAAGTATAATTCAGATATTTGCATTTTTGCAGTGTTGTATGTTTAATGTAGGACATTTGATAAAAATGTATTGGCTGTGTTACCACATAGGAAGCTACCATGCAAGCCACCAATTATAGCTTGACGAGCCGCATGTGGCGGTAAGCAGTAAGTTAACACAACATCGTTACCTGTTGCTCCTTGGTGGCAAATGTCGATGTCCATCTTGCATATGGTGCAGAAAGCGTGACAAGGCCATCTCTCTCGGTTGCTGTTGAGAAACTTCTGCACAAAGCCCGGCGAGGAGGGGTGGGTGCTGGAGTGAAAATGAAACATTTGGATTGGCTGAAAGCAAACAGCTTTTGCACAGTGACATTCAGTGACAAGGTGACATCAAACAATATGCGTACTTTGGAATCGTACAAGTGTACTAGGAGGTCAAAATGCGTGACAAGTGCACAAAATACGGTACATGTTGGCGGGTCTGCATTTTACCTCCAGATAGAAGAAAATAGTTCGGATATTGCATTAACTTGATAGAAGTAATTGTGGTTCAGCCTCTGACAAGCACTGAAATCTTGTAACCACCGCAGTGTTTCCTGTTGTCACTTGCAGAGGCAGTGACTAGTTTACAGTTGGACTAGTCCCATGTGCTCATCTGGCACAATGGTGCATCATATTTACAGGGTTTGTGATGGTTGCGACACCCATACTTTCACAGAAATTAGATTTTTGTGATTGATTTGGTAACTTAAATGTTTACCCTGATTTTACTTATGACTTTCAACATCAAAACTCTGTGTTGATTCATAATAGGCTGAATGACATTACTTGTTACCCATTGAAGAAAAAAGCTAGTCCTGAGCTTGCTAATTTTGTTGCAGGTAAAGATTGTTCAGTATGTTTTCATGCTGTTAAAAAAATAAAATAATCAGACTGAAATCACACTAGATTAAACTTCTTCTTGTCGGACTAACATACCTGGATAATGAAGTTGGGATTAATTTCCCCCCCTGTTTATACAGCTCAATCGGACTGAAACTGGCCTAAGCCACACTCCAGTGTTAGCACACCAGGATTTGAGTGTTGCTTTTGATGCATTGCTAAGAAGCCAGGAAGTGAATATAACCTCGACAGATGAAGAAAAGACTTCAGGATTAAACTGTCCGATCAAACTAACGAACTCTACAGAGCTGCAAATTTGACTGTGTAGTCAAAGTTCAATGTACATCCCATTGGTGAATCGCTCCAGGTGCTACATTGTCCGACATTGGCTGCCGTAATAGAAAGTTCTGTTATTCTCGACATGAATGTGAGCAGCCTTTCACGGACTCAACAGTGAAATTGGACTTCCATGTTCATAAGTTGTAAAATGAGCATGTGCATGTAAATGTACTGAGTGGCATGACGTAGCTGTATATTATTCTGTAAGTCAGATGAAGTGTCCAGTTGTTAGGAAAGCATGGACAACATGAGTACTGCACATAGGGCAGTTGTCACCACTAATTCTGTGGTCACCAAGTAAATAAATTCAACATTTATTATTTCCATTTGTTTCACAGTCAAATTGGAGTCATTAACAAGCAGCAGCTCAATTTTCCGAGCTAGGCTTGAAAAGTTGACTACCTGGAGTTTCCATTACATTCTTGTACTTTAGTAATAAGTTAAAATGTCCAGCAAACAGAGCGGGCTGTAGAGATGATGTAGCACTTGGAAATAAACTAGTCTGCTCAACTTATTGAACCTTCCAGCTCAGCTGTTAGCCAGAGAACTAACATAATGTGAGCAAGATTTGAAGCACAGTGACTGTAACTGTCTTGCATGTTTAATGACAGGCCTCATTGTCCAGTCAGCCACCTCATTGTTCCCAAATCAATAAAAAAAATTCTATAAGGAAAGTGACTGGTGATGATGGCTGCAACTTGAGGACTGAGAGGACTTAAGTCCATATATAGAGTAAAAAAGTGTTGTGGTGGCTAATTGCACAGAAACTGTGTTGAAAACAAAATATTCACATTTCTATTCATTTATTTCTGAATCCACAAAGTTTGTGACTAACATAATGAAAAACGACAGTTTAGTTTTATAGATAGTCTACATTTATTGTACACTGTCTTAGTAATTACAGGATCATTTCTTTAGGACTGCAACACCTAATTAATCTAGGAACCACAGGTATTCACATTTCATTATAATGAGGTCATATGACATTTAAATACACTTGACTAATTCATGGCACTTTAAACCGCATCTACAGAAAAACTGCAGGCTATTAGAGAAGAAATACACAAGACTAAACCACTTAATTTGAGATATAAATATACATATAGATAGAGTTTTCAGCACACTTTCCAAGCCGCCAGCAAGCACGAAAATGTCACTGCGGCAGCTGATTCTGATGACACCCCCCCTACCGTGCGACCACGCCCAGCTTGGCGTACCTCGGTGTGCCTCAGTCTATGAAAATACTAAGTACGAAAATAGAGTACATTAAGTTTTTAATATGTCTTACTATGTTCTTCTAGTTTTGTTCTTTTCTCCTGCAGACTGGAATGACAAATAAAACTCATTTTAATCCTTTGAACTTCTAGTAAGCGCAAATGCTGTTGCATTAACTTGGGATCATTGGACATCAGTGAGCAATCAAATTACCTCAAAATAACAGCTAACCCTGTTGACACTTATTATACATTTTTACATGCACTCTGCATACAAATTTACCCTCTACCCCTTCACTAAACACATAAAGAGCAGCATATAGTATATGAATAAGAAATGTATAATACAAAACTATAATGTCCATTTTATGGCTAAGGTTTGTTTCAAAGTTTAGACAAACAATCAAAAATTACGAAAGCACAGTGATTTAGAGATAGCCATATCTGATTCAGAAACAGGTCATATATTCATAAGCAAAGTTCACAAAGTTTGCATGAATCCCTCTTTGTGGTCAGAGCCCAAGGCAAGATTTCAGCTGGTGCCCTTTATATTGAAGCTAATTCCACCACCAATCAAAATACTTATACACACATCAAGAAAACTGGCATACAGCATTGTTTTATAGGTTATCATTAGTTTTAGATAAATAATGCATCTCCGCAAACATGAATAGAATGGTAATAAGGCAGATTTTTTCATGATTAAAAAAAAAATTGAAATAAATAATGAAGCAGATCATAAAATATCAAACAATGCAGGGCAGAAATATAAAGATCTTAAGATACCTACAGCAGCATAACTTGGCTGAAAATCAAAGGCAGACTAGTTTGTGTAACTGTTTTCCTACACCATGCACACATATCTGTTGCACACATGCACTTTGACATGGATACCCATGATGACTGATGGAAGAAAGGGTTTATATCACCACCTCCTAGCATTCAGCTCTGGCTTCAACCATGATAACACCTCCTGATGTCCTCTGGAATTGTATGTTGTTGCCCAGATTTGTTTTTCCTCAAAGAAAGGAGCTCTCTTGAGTAAACTCTTCGCCCAATAAAAAATAGCCAACAAAATGACAACAAAAGTATGAAAAAAATCTAGCAAAAATTACAAAAATCACAGATAATACAGAGAGACTAGACTTGCAGCAACCTCTCGGTTCATCATTCATCAAGCTCATCATTTGAAAAGATAGTTAGAAAGAATAGAAAGATAGAAAGAAATAATTACTGACCCTACCCCACCTCATCCCTTCATCCCCACCCTACAATCCAAACACAACAGTAGTGAATTTTAAAATGCACTGACTTGAAAAAAGCTCGATTTAGTAAAAACAAGAATATACATACTGAGGAAACGCCATCTTGAATTTCAAGATAAGGAAACACTGGAGGGTAGGTTAAAATCTAAATCCAAAGTACCACAAAATGAGATTTAAGAAATAATACATTAAAATAAAATGAAAACAGAGTAAAAAGAGACCAGAATTAGAGCACTAAAACTCAGTGACATGAATTACCAGCTACCACCAGCTTACTACCATATTACCATATTATACTACTATATTGGTATGTGTTATAGTTTGGTGATTGGTTATGTCTATGGGTTGTAATCAATCTGCTCCCTGAGATTCACTCTTGGTTCCTTTATCTCAGCTAGTCACAAAAGGTGACCGAGCTTTTGCTGTTAAAGCTCTGTCACTGTGGAAATCCCTGTCTGAGAGCACCACACGGACAACTCTAGTGTCCTCCTTAAAATCTTATCCTAAAACTTTCTTCTCTCTTTTGGCATTTTCATGACCTCTGGCTCCGTTACACTTGCCTCATTCACCTTGAATTACTGATCAGTATTGGACCTTTCGTTCTTGTAATCTGCTGTCATTTGTTATTTGTATTGATTGTTATTCAACAAATTGGTATTTTGTCTTGTTATAAATATAAGTGTTGACTAACACTTGTTGTAAATTTGTGCTATATACAAAAAGATTGATTAATTGGCTGATTGATGGTTTCATACAAGGTCTGAAAAGGGTAGATGATCTGCAGTGGCTTGAGTGATTATCATGAGGTGAAAAATACTGCAAACCCAGAGATGATACAACTTCAAAAACAAACAGAA